GGCTCCCGTCACAAAACCACAACTCCGAAAAAAGAATTTGTATGGGATTTTGCACAAGACTGCTCACTCCCGGACCAGGCTAAGGCTTATACTGCCGTATTATTGGGAGGATAGGGACTAGAATACGGGTAGTCCGGGCCCGGTATCTCACCTCGTCGTCGCATAATCCTGATCCAAAGTCGAAAAGTGACCTACCCGGGAGCTGCCGGGTAGGCTGTCTATGAAAATGAAACCTTCTCAGCGTGAATTCGAGAGAATTAGCACTCAGACGAGCCTGGTCTGGTACTCATACCTCATCTCGTCGTCGCACAATCGTTGCCCGAAATCGGATTTTGACCTACCCTGTAGGAGTCCGAGAGACGCCTACCCGGGACACCTCCCGGAAAGTCGATTTTCGTGAAATATAACCCCCCCTGAAACTTTCAGGACGTCTTTTTGGGAGGATAGGCAGCAGAATGGAAGTGGTCTGGTGTCCGTACCTCACGTTGTCGTCGCCCCATCGTCGCTCAAAGTCGAAACTTGACCTACCCGGGAGCACTTTTTCCGTGCAAAAAGGTAGTCCGTTCGGCCTGAAACTTTGAAGACCTGTACTTGAGAGAAATCGAAGCAGAACGGCCGTTGAACGAAGTCCGTATCCCGTCTGGTTGCTGTACAATCGTTGCCCAAAGTTGGAAAATGGCCTACCCGGGAGTAAACGCAAAAGTGCTCCGATCACGCTCAAACTTGAGTTACGTGTATTTCGTGTATTTGGGAGAGCCAGGATTCCAATGCAACTTGCCTGAAGTCCATATCTTGTTTTGTTGTTGCACAATTGTTGCTCAAAGTTGAAAACCAGCCTACCCTGTAGCACTCCCACAGGTTGAGTGGCCAAAACCAGGAATTCGCGATTTCCGGACTTTTGACATCATTTCTGGATAGTTGAGAGAGCAAGAAGCCAGAAAATGGTCTTCCCGCCTTCGTAGCACTCTTTCTTTATCGGCCGAAAAATACTCAAAGTTGGAAAATGACCTACCCGGGAGCAAACAAAGAGATGCTCAAATCACACTCAAACTTGCAGGGCGTATAATTGAGAGAAATAGAAGCCAAATAAGTGTCGAACGAAGTCTGTAGCACGTCTGGTCGTCGAGAAATTAGCATCCAAAGTTGGAAAATGACCTACCCGGGAGCTGCCGGGTAGGCTGCCCACCCCTTCACCACTGGTGGTCCGCCAGCCAGAGTGTGACCCGACCTACCCGGGAGCACCACCCGCTGAAGCATCCACTGTGGCAGCCCAGCTACAGCATACTTATCCACTGTAGCCTCTAGGTTACAGGGCACTCACCCACTAAAGCACCCACTAACCCTACCCTAAGTAGCCCTCGAGACAGCCTACCCGGCACTTCTCTCATCCAGCACGCGTGCTGCTCCTCACCAGCCCGTCCCAAGTCCGAGCAAGACCTACCCGGGACCTCCTGCCTGCTGAACCACTGGAAACCCAGCTGAAGGCCTGCTGAGAATAGCTCAGCTCCAGCACATCCACAGCACATCCGGCCCACTGAAGGACCTTCCGCAGCACCTCTGGATCTCATTGCTCAACTCCCAAGGTAAGGCAAAACCACGAGCCAGCCTACCCGGCACTCCGCACGCCTCAAAAAGTCACAACTCCTCCCGTCCTGCCTGATGGCATAAAACTTGAGAAATCTAGGCGAAGAAGGGCTTACCCTCAGCAGATCGTAACAACAAGGCTACTCTACTGCTTACAGGACCCTTTCGCACAGCTAAGTCGTCTGCAAAGGATTTAATCCCACGCGTGCTCAAATTACAATACGCGAAATACCACCTGACGCTTCCTGTCAGATGGAACAATCGCCTGCTAAGATTCGAGGCCGAAGCCTATTCGTATCCGTCTACAACGTGTGGGAGGTATCACCGCGTTCTGGCATGGATTCTGACTTAGAGGCGTTCAGCCATTATCCAGCAGATGGTAGCGTCGCGGCACTGCCCGTTAAAGATTCTATACTAATATTATAAGCTACTTACGCGCGGCCTTAACTAGTTAGGGAGAAGGTAGAAGAGATACTTACGGAGTAGGTACCGGACGGGGCCTGAACAGGGCCGGAAACGCTCGGTGTGACGACCCGACTAATAGGTCGCAAGATCGGGCTAAGGATAAGGGCAGGTTATATACTGTAACGACCCGACCACTAGGGGATGACTGTTTGCGCAGGAAGAAGCATAAATGGCTAGGCCGCAGGATCAGGCCAGGGACAAGGGCGGATCATGCGATAATACCGTCACAGGTTTCTTATATAATCGCGAACGAGGGTTACGATAAGGATAAGGAGCACGGGTACAGTACCACCGGTCATGCATGAGATGTATAACCGTTATGGACGCCAAGACTGTCGCTTACGACCATACCACTATGACCGTCAGCTAAGGCATGGCATGACCACGATAAAGGACAAAGGATATATAGGGCAGGAGGAGTCTCCTTGTAGACGGTCATTACCTTTGTACTTTAGCAATCAATCTAAGTATTAGTATAAGGCCGCAGGCACTGGCAGCGCGGTGCAGGCCTGGCGCCGACTTGGTGTCGATAAGGTGGAGATGGACAATGTGCATAACTGTGCTGCAAGTACCGAGGTACTGTATTAGGGCAGTGCGGGATAGTCTAATCAGGGGCATATTTGTACAGTACTACTTAAGGCTTGAAGCCATCGCAACATTTTTCATAGCATCCGGAGCGACATCGCCACTTCACTTTACCAATCCAACTTGATTTTTGTTAAAAAGCTAATAGCTACTTACCCGGTACTAACCTACCCGGGAATACCTACCACCCGGCACTATTCCGACCTCGTTCGTTACTTTACTCCGACCTATTACGAACGGACCTACCCTAGAGCTCAAGCGGACCTACCCGGTACTTCTAGGCCGACCTACCCGGGACCTACCCGGTACTTACGGGCCGACCTACTCGGGACCTACCCGGTACTTACGGGCCGACCTACTCGGGACTTACTTAAGACCTACCCGGTAATAGCCTACCCGGAATAACCTATAAGAACCTTATCAAAGCTTCTAGAAACCGACGAAACCTCCTCGAGCCTCGTTAGTTCTTTTCGTTTCTTTCGCTTATAAATCAAGGCTTAGTGTTGAAATAGCTAATAGCTACCTACCCGGTATCGACCTACCCGGTACTAACTTACCCGGTACTATTCCGACCTCGAACGACTCCGTCGTTCGTTACCTTACTTCGACCTACTACGAATAGACCTACCCGGGACTTACCCTATACTTCGTTAGGCCTACCCGAGACCTACCCGGTACTTACGAGCCGACCTACCCGGTAGTAACCTATAGAACCTTATCGAAGCCCTTAGAAACCAACTAAACCTCCTCGAACCTAGTCGGTTCTATTCGATTCTTTCGCTTATAAATCAACGCTTAGTAATACTTATAAATCCAATCTATATTTATAAGTATTTAGAAGGTTCTAGACTCTATTTACCGACTATATAAGGTCGCTTCGCTCTCTTATTCCTATAGCTAGAACTTAGTCTAGTTAGAGCACTCTAATAGTAACTCTCACACTCCTTTACTTACTTATTCCTTTATTATCAAACCTGCACCTTATATAAGGATAAATATCCTTATATCGGACTGTAAGGCCAGAGGCCTCAACGGTCCTATATAAGGTACTGGAAGCCCTAAGTACGCCGTGCGGCGTACTGCTAGATCTTTTGGTCTATTGGTCGAGCGGTTATAGGGCTCCGTTCTTACAATTGTACGCCGCACACCAGGTCCTCTGCGAGGGCTTGCACGCACATGGGTTCGAGACTCGTTCGGAGCGCAGATGCCAAATGGCCAGCACGAATTTGGAGCTACCCCTCTGAGGCGCTGCAGGTGCGCACTGCGCTGGTTCGCCGTACGCGGTACGGGTGCCGCCAAACCTCCTACGCCGGGCTTAGAGGGATCGCCATATCCTTCGGGGTCTTAACGGTACCTAATCGCTCGAGGACGAGCGCCCAGAAGGGGGGGATAGTTGTAAGGCCAGAGGCCTCAACGGTCCTATATAAGGTACTGGAAGCCCTAAGTACGCCGTGCGGCGTACTGCTAGATCTTTTGGTCTATTGGTCGAGCGGTTATAGGGCTCCGTTCTTACACGGACATACCTTCCAACAATTTTCCACCCCATTGAATTCCTGCGCTTCTGCACTCGTTCTTGCACACATTTAACTGATAATGCCATGATCAGAGATTCCCTCACAAGTGTCGCATCAACAGGGCGCTGTCAATGTGGCTGGCTCCCTCTCAAGAATCCGGTTTGGCCCCTATCTGGGAATGCCCTCACTCTGGCCTGGGGTCAGAGTGAACCTCGCCGGAAACACCGCCGAAACTGGCAAGCGGTGAACTCCCTTCGGTCGTGGTGGTTGTTTTGTCCCCGATCAGGAGAATCCTCACCCGCCCCAGGACAGTACGGGGCTGCAGACAGTGGGACAATGGGGGCTGTACTGGGGTTATCGGCACGACACCATATCGTGGCCGAAACGCGTGCACTTCACAACAGAGAACGTAGACCTCTAAGAATTAGTCTTGCAGTAATGCGACCCCCTACCAGACATCCGACTGCTATCTGACTTACCTTATGGTGTACTGTTCTTACAATCAGTTTCACCACATACTTGAACTAGTCACTCAATTGCCGAGACTGATATCTCTTCCAAGAGACATGATAATCCCAAAGAGAGAACGACAGCGGAGTGTTAGTATTATTGCACAGGCTTTATCTATCTTGCAGAACAGCAAATCCAGCGCCCTGCCAGACGGCGGACTCCGGAGGCATGATTGTGGTACTCGGGTAGTCCAAGGAAGCTGGGATTCAGGTATAAAACCAATCCCTAGAGTAAATATCTAGACATGGCAATAATAGATTGAGAATTAATCTCGAGCTCATTTTAAAGACGATATAAAATCTTTCTATATTTATCAAATTGTAAACTAGTATAATTTCAATGCTACGCTTGTAAAAACCCACTGGATTTCCACTGATCGACGTACTTGCGTACCAGTGTATCAGTGACGGGACCAGTGCTCGCGAGGGTCCAGGAATGCTTCTGGCTATGCGCAGTGCCCAACAACAGTCCGCCGCAAGACATGCGCTCAAAGTTGTCTTGAAGGAAATCAATCAGCATGAAGGCGGGATTTGCGCCGTCCGGACCGCTTGGGCCTTTCGACCGGACAAGCTCCACCCAATGTTGCAATGGAACAAGGCTGATTTCACCAGCATGTTCTCCCGAAGCCACGCGCATGGCTTGGGCCAGCACGGGCAACATGTCGGACCACTGCTGGCGGACAGGGTTGTCGACATGATATACGGGAAATGGCTCCTGAGACAGGAGGACAATATCGGTCAGGGTGCCGGCAACGGTGTCGACGGGTGTCCACGACAACAGGCCACTCAACTGGGGCAGGCATCGCAGCGTCTGGGACGACTTGAGAAGGAACGGGAGGTGCTCGTGCGGGTTCCAGTAGCCGGGCCCTCTGCTGGCACCGGCAATCTGCCCGATGCGGACGCAGGTTGCCGCGAAACGGTCGGGCCTGTGGTGCAGTGTCTCATCGAGCATGCGCTCACATGCAAACTTGGCGTCCCCGTATCCGTTGGGCAGGACATCTGCCAGCTCGACACGGTCCTCGGGCACATGGGGACCGCCTCGGCCGGGGCGGAGAGGGTAGTGGCCGACCACGGCGATGGATGAGACGAACTGGAAGTGTACCTTGGTGGAGCTCGCGTCCGCTGCGTCGACAGCCAGGCGGACAAGGTTCCGCATGATGTCGAACTGCGACTCGAAGCCGTGGATGGGCCTCTTGATAGACATGGCCCAGGCCGAGTGGATGATGTGCGTGACCGAGGCCGCGAGACTGGCGTACTCGGCCGGTGTGAGACCAAGACTGGGCTTTGATGTGTCGGTGGCGATGACGCGGAGCTTCTGCCGGAACTCTGTGCCAAGTGAAATGTGGCGCGACGTGAAAGCCTCAAGCTGCCGCGCCATGGCATCGACGCTGTGCTTCCTGTTGAGGACAATGACCTGGTCCACCTCGGTCCGCTCTGCCAGTTCAGCGACCAGATGCGAGCCCAAACTGCCAGTGCCCCCTGTGACGAGCACGCAGGTTCTCATCCGGGCTGCGCCTGATACTGCAGGAAGCTTGCCGAGGCGGCGGACATCGCGTAGGAGGTCACTGGACATCCAATCAATATACTTGTCGACGGCGGCTTGACGAGGATCGGTAGAGCGTGGGCTTGATGGGCTTACCGCTTGGTGCTTCTGCTGCCGGCCGGCCGCGACGGCAATGACGAGTCGCTCCATCTCGCTCTCGGGCCGTGAGCCGCCGGTCCAGTCGGTGAAGCCAAAGCCGGCCGCCTCGAGTGCCTGCCGCCATCGCCCCTCGTCGGCCAGCGCGTGAGAGCGGCCGTCTTCGAACAGCCACCAGCCCTTGAAGACGCCAAACACGAGGTCGACCCAGAACGGGGGCCGCGTCATCTCCACCATGAGCAGCACGCCGTTGGGCTGCAGTACCTTGCGGATGTTGCCTGTCGACCGGACGAGGTCGTGCGTAGCATGGACTGCGTTGCTCGCAATGACGATGTTCTGTGAGCCGACGAGCTCGGCGGCCGGTTCCTTCTCGATGTCGTGGGTCTGGAAACGCATAAAGGGGTAGTCGGCCTGGTAGCGCTTGCGGGCCTGGATGACGAGTGACGACGAGACGTCGGTGAAGGTGTACTCGACGGGCCGGCCAATGCGTGCCAGCAGCGGAACGAGCCATCGCGTGGTCCCGCCGGTGCCGGCGCCCATCTCCATAATCTTGAGAGGGCCACTGCTCGCCTGCGAGGAGAGCCGCCCAGCCAGGCTCTCGAGGAAGGCCTCGACGTGGCGGTAGCACAGGCGGTGCAGTGGCCACTCGGCGTAGTAAGCTGCCACGAGACTACGGCCACGCTCGCAGCCAAAGATGAGCTTGATGCCGTCCGTCTGGCCGCGCAGCAGCTCTGCCAGATGCGAGCCCACATAATAGATCAGGTCGTTGGCTGTAGACTCCTGTGGCGCGGTGCCGGCCAGTTCGGCCAAGATGGCAGAGCTCGGGCGGATGGAATATGGCTGGCTCGTCCTGGCCACCGACATGTCGTCCACGCAGGTAAGGATTCCAGTGCGCTTCTCGATCATCCGGCAGAGATGACGTACTAACTGCGTGTGTGCGGCGGGATAGACAGGGAGCTGGATCGACTCGCCTGGCATTGCCTGCTCCAGCGAGCACCCGAGCTGCGCAAAGGCCTCTAGAGTCAGAGACACGCACAGGTCGTCTTGCATGGGTGAGATGCTGGCAGCATAGGTAGCGCATCCCGCGTCGTCTATTCGGCGGTCCGTCTGAGCCTTGACTTCGCCAAAGGTTGCCATGATGGCGTCAATTCCCAGAGTAAGCGTTTCCGAGTCTCGTATACCAGACCCCGACGTTTGGGCGTCGGGGGAGAGGATGCTGGCCTTGGTCACTGGCTCCGGATTGGCCGGGCTACAAGGTCCATTGACAAGGGCGTCCAGTTCTGACACAGTCATGCCTTCGACTGCTACCTGATCATCAAGATTGACTCCGCATTCGGCGTTCAGAGCTGCCCGTAATTCCATGCTCATGAGCGAGTCCACCCCGAGCTCGCAAAGTACGGTGCCCGGCGAGACTTCTGTAGCCTCCACGCCGACGAGACCTGCAAGCATGTTGACAATGTCCACACCGCGGCTACCAATCTCTGTCTCTGCTGGTGTGATGGTGATGGAACCCCGGCTCGTGGCCCTCGCTTCGTCTTGGCTCTCATCACTGTCGGTGTAGCCGTGGTCATGGTCTCGATGTGTCTCTGCAGGCCCTTCCGAGCTGGAAAGGCGGGCGACGGGGCGCACAAAGTCGACCAGTTGGCCCATGTCAGTCACGCCCGAGGCATCATCCAGTGACAAGGTGCATTGGAACCTGATCTCGAGCTCGCGGACAAGCTCCATGCCCATCAGTGAGTCGACGCCCAAGTCGGCCAGCAGACTATCGCGCTGGATCTCGGCCACCTGGACACCAGCAAGCTCCGACACGACGGCCTTCAAGGAATCCAGAAGCTCATCATCAGGCTCACGGCGACGCGTTGCTGTTCTCTTTGGAGAGGCGACAGTAGTAGCACCGCTGATGACGGGCACTAGGCTCGCTGCGGGCACAGCGGGAGGCTTCGGTTTCGCTGATGCCACCATGGCTGTGGACGCTTGTGTAATCGCTGCTGACGAGCCAGTCAGGCGGACCAATGTCTTTGCAATGGCCTGTTTCTGCACCCGCACGAAGTTGAGGCCCAAGATCGCCTCAACCAGAACCCCAGTTTCGGGATCAAAGACAAAGACATCGGTGAGGAAGCTCCCGCTTTCCGTAGAGCCGTCGTGGAGGGCGAGGACATCGTATGACGAGCGGCGGTTCTGCTGGAGGGTGGCCGACCGCATCCAGCGCTCGAGGCCGCGACAGATGAAGATGTCACCAGGGGATCTGTCAGTCATACAGTTGAGGAAGATGCCGCCGACCTGGCAGAACGTGTCGGAAAGATGTGCGTCAAACCACGAAGCCGTGCTGGGCTCCTTGGCCACGCGGCCAGCAGATGCGAGGCCCTTGGCAACCAACTTGGCCACTCCACGATACTGCTCGTCGTACTCTACAACCTCGGCAAACGCCTTGTAGATGACGCGGCCTTGCATCACCTCGTCCGGGTCGGGGCAGTCGAGGACCTCCAGGCACCGCTTGTGGCTGACAACTCTCTGGTACCTCGACAGGTCTGCCTCGGTCGACAGGTTCTTTGCGGACGGCACGATGATGCCAGTCGTATGGACCGTGGGACTGCGAGTGCTGGCGGCTCCGGTGCTGGAGACTGTGAACTGCCACCGTGTAGCCGATGTGTCTGTGGCTTGGAGGTCAAGCCAGAGCTGGGCAGACGGGTCGTCACAGATGGGCGCAGAGTTTGAGATGTTGGTAATCTCGGGGTTGAAGTCGGTGCCGAGAGAGACAATCTGCGACATTGCGTCAATGGCCAGATCCATCTGAACCGTCGCCGGGCATATGGGGGCCGTCTGCGCAGTCTTGTGGCCGGCCATGAGAGTCTGGAATCTTGGGACACTGGTGTTGATGCGGAACCGCGCCTGCCGCTGAGCAGCACCGTCCTGGTACCCAAGGAACGTGAGCCACGTAACCGGGGCCGCTTCGGGCTGCACCGCGTCAGGGGCCTTGAGCGCAGCAGCGGGCGCCTTCTTGAGCTCGAGCCAGTGTCGTGATTTAGTAAACTGATAGGGCGGGAGGAGGAGGCTCGCATACTGGCCACTCTGCGAGCGGTGATGCAGCCAGTAGGTCAGGTCTACCCCAGCCGTCCACAGCGTTGCAGTCGTGTCGGCGAGTTGGTCGCAAGCCGTGTCGTTGGAGAGGTTCACGGAAACGAACGTACTGCCTGGAGGTCGGCCCAGTGCACGACTGATCATGTTTGTGACTGTCGAGTTGGAACCGGCCTCGAGCCAAACACACTGGGGGTACTTGGACGCCACGCGTCGGGCACAGTGGTCGAAAAAGACTGGCTGTCGGAGGTGCTGGCTGAAGAAGGTGGCGGGTATCGTCGGGTTGGCCGCTGTCTCTGTGCAGCGCATCCATTCAATCTTTGGCGGAGCAAACGACACACCAGAAGCAGCATCGTCCAGTGCTGATAGCAAAGGCTCGGTCAGCGCCGAGTGGAAGGCGTGGGTCACATCGAGCCTCTTCATCTTCACGCTGATGCCGGCCCTGTTGTCTGTCACGATCTCGACGGCGCGATCAATGGAAGCCGTCGAGCCAGCCAAGGTGAAGCTGCGCGGGCCGTTGTGGCAGGCAATGGCGATGGGGCCAACCTTTTCCTCCTCCCCGGCAGCGGCGTTGGTCAGTTGTACGAGCAGGCGAGCATCCTCCAGGCTGGCCTCAACTGCGAGCATGCCGCCCTTATCCGCTACCCACTGGTCGCGGATGATTCGGGACCGCGCGAGGACCATTTTGATGGCCTCCGCCAGCGGGAGGACGCCAGCAACGGCCATGGCCGTCAGCTCGCCAAAGCTGTGTCCCATGACCGCCACTGGCCGGATGCCGCAGCTCATCCACGCCTGTGCAGACGCAAACTGGAGGGAGAAGAGGCAGGTTTGCAGGATGACAATGTCGTCGATAGGATCACGCTGGAAGATGTGAGGGAAGATGCTGCTGGCACCGAGCGACTGGAGGATTGTGTCGCACTCCTCAAGTTGAGTCCTCAGGACGAGCGCAGAGTCGAACAGCCTGCGGTCCAGAACAACAGACTTTGCGACCTGGCCGCCGAAGCACAGCACCACTGGTACACTCAGGGGCTGGCGGTCATGACTAAGCTCGGTGAGGCGGCCGTCCGACAGGGCAGCGAGACGCTCATCCAGTTCGGCCGCTGTCCGGCTGGTGAAGACGTGATGGCGTGGGAGTGTCGAGTTTGCCTGTTGGGCCATGTTGAAGGCTATATCATCTATGGTTGCGGCAGGCGACTGCTGAAGAACTCTGCGGAGTTTCGCCGCATATGCCTTGATGCTCGTACTGTCAAGACCGGTGAGACGGAAAGGTCGTTTAGCTTCCACGTGGTCATGCTGATGTTTCACAGCTAGCTGTTGCCGGCGCCTGGGAGGTCCCGTCACTACCATGGACGCATTGGACCCAGATGCACCGTAGTTGTTGATGAGGACTGCTCTGAGACTGGCTGTCCACGGTGTGACGGTTGTGGGAATGGTGATGAGGTCCGATGCGACAGCATTGATGGCCGGGTTGAGCCTGGTGAAGCTCGCTTGCGGCGGGACGAGGCCGTGCTTGATCATCAGGAGTGACTTGATCAACGACACGATGCCTGAAGTGGCCTCCAGGTGACCAACGAGGCCCTTGACGGAGCCGAGCATGAGCTGCGAGGTCCTTCCGCAGGCACTGCCACCAAATACCTTGCGCACGCTGTCGTACTCGGCTGGGTCCCCAACTGCTGTCCCCGTTCCATGTGCCTCGACGACGCCGATCTGCTCTGGGCGCAGGTGCGACTTTGCGACGACTTTTGCAAACAGGTCGCTGAGGGACGGCACATTGGGGACCACGATAGGCGTGCAGTTCTCGTTCTGCTGCACCGCCGTGCCTGTAATGACGCCGTGGATCGTGTCACCGTCTGCGAGCGCCGAGCTGAGCTTCTTGAGGAAGACGGCGCCGCAGCCTTCACCGCGGCAGTAGCCATCGGCAGCCGCGTCAAAGGGCTTGCACTGCCCCGTCTTGCTGAGGAACGAGGCCGCCCCGAGGTTCTGGAAGAACAGAGGGCTTGTCATGATGTTGACACCGCCTGCGACGGCGGCACTGCACTCACCATTCAGGATGGCCTGGCAGGCAAGATGTACCGCCACAGCCGAGGACGAGCAGGCAGTGTCGAGGGTGAGGCCCGGACCAGTCCACCCGAAAAAGTGGCTGACTTTGCCAGCGACAAAGCCGCGCAGCGTCCCCGTGGCCGAGTACGCGTTCGGTGCGTGACAGGCGACGTTGTTCTCGTAGTCGACTGCACTCATGCCGACATAGCACCCCACGCGCCTGTCTGGGTCGGCGGTGCGGAAGTAGCCAGACTGCTGAACAGCCTGGTAGGCGACCTGTAAGAACTGCCGCTGTTGAGGGTCCATCGAGGCCACTTCTCGGGGTGCCTTTTTGAAGAACTTGTGATCAAATGCGTCATGGTCATCGATGAAGTTGCCGAACCACGACCTGTCACTGGCCGACTCTCGGAATGGGGTGTCAAACTTGAAGCGGTCGCTCGGTACCTTTTGGTGTTGGGACTTGCCGTTGCAAAGAATCCGCCAGAACTCATCAAGGTCCTCGGCACCAGCAACCTTGCATGACATACCCACAACTGCAATGTCTGTGTCCGCGGACGGCCGCACGGTCTCTCTGTAGTGTTGTTCGATCTCCGTCATGTTGAGCACCTTGCCCTTGAGCAACCGCATGAGAGATGGCGGCATGAACTTTTCGAATCCAAACGTGACAATCACTGCCCCGCCATCGACTGTGGTCTTCTCTTGCACACGCCGGACTGACTCGTACCAATTGGGCGCTTCGAGCAGGACAGACCGGATGACGGACCGATGCGGCGCCTCGGGGGATGTGCTCTCGGTGTCCGTACTGACCGGAAGCGTGAGCATGCTGGCGTCCTGATTCTGCAGCAGTGGCTCCTTGTCGAGTGTGGACATGAAGGCCTCTGCCGCAGTCTTGTGCCCTGGCCAGTGGAACCTCCCGTCGAAATCGAGCTCGACCGCCGTCAGCCCCGTTGCCTGGAGATGCTGCTTCATGTCGTCCCTCTGATGCCTCAATACTGTGAGCGTGAGTCTGTTCTCGTCAAATTGGACGGAGTGATATGTCTGGTGGTGTCGTGTTAGTCCCTTGCGCTGATGCAGACCTCAATCCTGGTTCAAGTGGCACTGACCTCGGGAAATTGCGACATGACCTGACCGATTTCTTGTTGAGTAGTAGATGCCTGCCACGCAACGGCGAGACCGGTAGTCTGAGCCTCGGGTGATGCATGGTTATGCTCGTCAACGATTAGACCGCACGCCACGGCCAGACGAAGCGCAGTAGACCCAAACGAACGGAAGCTCTGGACATCGTGGGCGTTCGAGACGGCATATGCGCTGATGAGCCCAGTGCAGAAGCCTAGGGCCTTGTGTGAGAGATGAGCCGCTGCGAACCTTGCATCGACGTCGAGGTCTGGATACTTGGCCTCCAGATACGCCGAGTACTGAAGCAGGTGGTGGATGATGGTGAGGGGGGTCAGAAGAGTGTTGTATCTGACAAAGTCGGTGCTGTGGCTGTCCCGGTACTGCAACCACCTGGCAAGGTGGCCCAGCAGGAGTCTGGCACGCCCTTCAAAGTCTTTAGTGAGCGAGGGAGGGAGCGGCAGCTCAACCGCCAGGTCGGCCACTGTGTCGAGGATCCACGAGTTGCTACTTGACCCGTGGACTGTCTGTCGAATAGACACGAGCTTTTGCTCGTCGAGGGACAGGGCCTGCCAGCCAAAGAGCAACGTCACTCTGGAGGCAACGGCGAGTGCCTCTGTGCGATCCATGGTGTCAGATGGCTCGGCTCTCTTCAATTGTCCCGTGCATCTAGCAGCCGGCGGGGAGACGAAGGGTAAGAGAGCCTATACATATGTCGGCGGCCCAGACCTGGAGACGAGCAGTATGACGTGCGAGGGGATGTGAGACGAGGAGGAGGGGCACGTCGTGCTGGGTCTTTATCGACATGTGGTCGAATGTAAGACCCTGGACTTGCAGCAGCTGCTAAAGAGTTTCGGGCTGCAGGGGGACAGCATGTCGGCCGACGAAGACCAACGACCAACAACCAACAGCGGACTGGGGACCGTTGAGAACCACGAGGCTGGGGCCAATGGCACCGGCCCATGGCGCGCGAGGATGGCCGGCATGGAGTGGGCCTCGCATCGCGAGCAAGTGGCATCCCGGCAGGCATCGGGGCAGCCTAACTGTAAAGAGCATCCAGAACCCGGACGGGATCTGCAGCAGCCTTTTGCCGAGCGGGCATGCCGGTCGGGAGGAGCGCAGGGCGCATGAACCCTGGGTCTAGGCTGCATCGCACATGATGTTGGTTCGAGCCCGGGGATGGCCGGGGACTATCGTGGCAGACGGTGACACGCTCGAGCGTGGTTTTCTTATGCGTGCGGCTGGGAGGGGGCGGGAGGGCCTGCATGGCCAGGGCTCCCCAACTGCCGCTGGATTCGCCGTTGTTGTTGGTTGTCGTCAGTATTTATGTGATGTGCGCCGGGAGCAAGCCCTGTCACTAAATGGACGATGGTTGTTCAGTGGTGGGCTCGTGCTCGAGGCGGGCACTAGCAACTAGCAGCAGCGGGCCGAACCTAGGCGGGCTGGGAATGACTGACAGGTCGATCGTCCGATGAAGCTTCTGCGCGCACGAGCCAGCACGAGCACCCGGCACACCCTGGCGTCGCGATTTCAGGGACGTGCGGGCTCGGGGAAGGAAGAATGGAATGCCATGGTGCCATCTCTGGCCTGCCACGAGAGACTGTTCCACATACGCACCAGAAGCCCTGCGCAGCTGGCGCTTGGGCGGCAGGTCAATGACTCGGTGTCCATGTGCATGTGCATGTGCATGTGCATATGCCACGCCCGTCTGGGCGTTGATAAGCAGCAGTGTACGTAGCTCAGTAATACGCGTGGAGCGTCAGCAAGATGGGCAACAGGGCTGAGAATGGGCCGATTGCCAACAGGGCCAGACGGGGGGGGGGGGGGGGGGGAAGAGTGGCCTTGACCTGCAGCCACGACTCGTGCCTGTTGTCGCTGGTGGGAATTATACGAATTATACCTGCATGTCGCGGGGCGTTATCAGCCGCGGCTGCACACATGACTGAGGGCCGATCCGCTGCAGAGAGTCAATCAGTCAATCAGTATCCGTGGAAAAGGGTGGTGTGCGGGTGGTGTGTGTGTGTGCAGGTATGTGATGTGGGGTGGGGGGTTGGTCCCTGTGCTCTGGGTCAGTCGGGCCGCCCGCCTCCCCGGGTCCTACCAGCTGCCGCCCGGCTGGGTCGCACTGAGTGCCGGGCTACCGCCGTTGCCTCCTCCCACGCCCAAGGCACCGGGTCGGTCCCCCGGATACATAAGCCTGGGCAACTCACCCGCACCACAGACAACCCTGGAGGCAGCAACTGTCCTCCACCGCCTCCAACTCTGATTGCCACGTGCCCGCACCTGCACCCGCTACCCGTGCCACTCACTCCACGCCTGTACCACACCACCTGTCTATCAAAGCAAACCGCACGAGGCGCCGCCCATTGGCTCGGCGACCGGCGCCGAGCTCCGACCACACATTCCCCGGCGCGACCGCTCCCAGCCGGCCCCGGCCTGCCCAGCGCCCGCAAGACCGCGCCGAAGGGTTCGAACGCGGGGAATATGCGGGGGCTGTGCCTGGGGTTAGATGCTCTCTGGCATCGTTCTTGGGCCCTAGGCTCGGCTCTCTTCGCCGTAGCATGTACGATGCTCCCCGATCCCGACGGAATGCGTTCGGGTATATAAGACAATGGCGTCCTGGCTCAGCGCCACCAGAAAGACAAGCCTTCCTCCTGAGCATCTACACGTCCGTCGACGCCTTCCCTCTCTTTGGAAAAGGCTGTATGCCACCTGTTTGAGCTCGCCACCAGAGACAGGACGCCATGCGAACCCCAGGAGTCCAATCCATCGCCGCCGGGCTTGGTATCATGACCGGATTGGCCTCCTCTACGTCCACAGGGGGGGCCGCGAGCTCCTTGTGGGTCGCCAAGTGTGTGCACAAGTCGTACGTTTTTCCCAATGCCACTCTAGTCTCGGTCGACGCGCTGCCCAGCGGCTCCGTCATTCAGCTCCCATACGGCCCGGACCTCTGTGCCAACGCGGGCGTCACGGCCACGGCAACGAGCGACCTGTGCCGTGTTGTTGTCAACATCACCGATACGCCTGGCAGTTCCATTCGCATCGACGCCTGGCTGCCTGCCGACTGGAACGGCCGCTTCCTCGCCACCGGTAACGGCGGCATCGGCGGCTGCATCGACTACTCGGGCCTCCAGACCGGCGCCCAGCTCGGCTTTGCCACGCTCGGCACCAACGCTGGCCACGACGGCGAAGTGGGTTTCGACTTCTTCCTCAACCAGCCTGCCGTCATCAACGACTTTGGATACCGAGCCATCCACGTCGAGGCCGAGTTTGGCAAGCAGCTCATCCAGCACTTCTACGGCCGCGCCCCAGCCACCAGCTACTACCACGGCTGCAGCACCGGCGGCCGCCAGGGCCTCCAGAACGCGCAGCTCTACCCAGCAGACTTTGATGGCGTCCTCGCAGGTGCCCCGGGCATCGACTGGCTGCACATTGTCGCCTCCAAGGGCATCCTTGCCCGCCGCATTGGCTGGCCGGATCTCACCAGCAGCGCCTACGTGCGACCTGAGCAGTGGCGCGCCATTGTCGCGCATCAGATCGCGCTGTTCGACCCTCTTGACGGTCTCGCCGATGGCATCATCGACGACCCGGCGCGGTTCCGCTATGACCCGGCTCTAGCCGCCTGTGGTGGGACCGCACTCAACAGCTCTCTCTGTCTGGAACCGGATCAGGTCGCCGCCGTTCGGGCTGCGTACGAACCCCTCACCGACGGATCTGGCGCCATCGTGTATCCAGGCTTCAGCGTTGGCGCCGACACGAGTGTCTTCTCGGCTAACCAGCTCAACGGCACCGCACGGTTGTCGTACCGCGTGCTCGACGACTTCTGGCGCGGCGCCGTGTACAATGACTCGACCTGGGACTCGCTCAACTTCACCGTAGATGACATGGATTTTGCCATTCACCTGAACCCGGGAGGCGTGGGGTTTCGCGAGACAGACTTCTCGGCCACCCACGCCCGCGGCGTCAAGATCATGTCATACCATGGCCAAGCCGACCAGACCATCACCCCGGCGCTCTCGGCCGAGTACTTCACCAAGGTGCAGGCCTCGACGGGGCTTGATGCCACAGCCATGGCCGACTTCTACCGCCTCTTCTTCGTGCCGGGCATGGGCCACTGCAGCGGAGGCATCGGCGCTACTGACATTGGGCAGAAATACCCACTGGATCCCACAAGGGTCGATGCCGACAACAACGTCTTGCTGGCCCTCGTAGACTGGGTCGAGAAGGGCAAGGCACCCGATATGATCTTCGGTGCTCGGTACGCCAGCGGCAATGTCTTGCAACCAATTCTTGCGAGCCGAAGTAAGTCATGACGGTGTGGATAGTGGTATAGGCACCCGAACTTTGCAGACACCGGCTAACGTGCTTGACATATAGAACACTGCCCGTATCCGCAAAGAAGCAAATGGAATGGAGTGACCAACTCGAACCTATCAACGAGCTGGGACTGTGTTTTCTAAAATATCTCAAGAGGGCTCCATTCGAATGCATGGGAGTCTAGCAATCAGAGGCCGCGCACGCCCCCGCAGCAAGATTTATACCATCGCAGATAAATGTCTCCGCAGTGTCTTCGCAAAGTATTACATTATCTAAGATGAACTGAACTTGGAGCATCCTGGAGAGCTCGCGCTGTGCCGTCTCTGCGAAAGAGTCTCATTCGAGAAAGTCTCGTGCTGAACCGTTTGGTATCCTACATAACCGCAAGGCAATCTCAATCGTACCAAAAGCCTTCCTCGCCCACGAGCCTGAGTACTACCTGAGCTATCCCCACATCGCGACTGAGCCCAACTGAGCCCACCTGAGCTGGCTCGCGCTGACCAGGGCATTGCTGATTAAGCGACCGATCTCGGAGCTTGTCGTCACGCATACATCCTGACGGTAAATTATGCAGGGATGATAATGCCAGACCTTATCTAATATACGTATGCTCGACATAAATTCGTGCATAACGACTGCCTAAATTATTCGGCCCGGACTGGATAAACCAGCCATCTGGAGATCTCATAATGCATAATAAGAAGCATCCCAAGCGGGTGTCACGATCCTGCCTCCGGGGTCAACCGTCTGGCAGGGCGCTGGGGTTGCTGTTCTGCAGATAGGTAAAGCCTGCGCAAGATCAACTAACACTCTGCTGTCGTTCTCTCTCTGGGTTGTCGTTCGTGTCTCTTGGAAGAGATACCAGTCTCGGCAATTGAGTGACTAGTTCAAGTGTGGGTGAAACTGATACTTAGATTGATCGCTGAAGTACAAAGGTAGTGACTGTGTATCTAGGAGATCCTCCGCATCTATATATCCTTTGTCCTTCATCGTGGTCATGCCGTGCTCGTCTGACGGTCATGGTGGTTTGTTCGTGACCATCAGTCTTGGCATTCGTGACGGTCATGCAGGTGATGCATGACCGGTATCCTCCGTGCCTTATCCTTATCGTGATCCTTGCACATGCTTACATAAGAGACCTGTGACGGCACTGCCACCTGATCCGCCCTTGTCCTTGGCCTGATCCTGTGGCCTAGTTGTTTGTGCTCTTCTTTGCCCAAACAACCGTCCCCTGTTGGTCGGGTCGTCACAGCGGGCTCGATACAGGATCCCGCCAGCCAGAACTATAAAATTAACCTTCACGTTCTCATAATAGTATTAACAGAGAATCTGTTACTGCGGCCGTTACTTTACCCTAAGCCTAAACAACGCATTAGGCCTGGCATATTATTACTAGAATATTGTAACGGCCAACCAACAGGGGATGTTTGTTTGGGCACGGAAAGAGCACAAACAACTAGGCCACAGGATCAGGCCAAGGACAAGGGCGGATCGTGTGGCAGTACCGTCACAGGTTTCTTATGTCAGCAAGAGATAAGGGGACCGATAAGACCCAAGGAGGGTACGGTACCAGTGGTCATGCATATCTGCATGACCGTCATTCCGCCAAGCACGACGGTCACCTCTCACAACATGACCGTCACGTAAGAAGGAATGACCACACAAGGAACGATGAAGGACAAAGGATATATAGATGCGAAGGATCTCCTAGATACACAGTCATTACCTTTGTACTTCAGCGATCAATCTAAGTATCAGTTTCACCCACACTTGAACTAGTCACTCAATTGCCGAGACTGGTATCTCTTCCCAGAGACACGAACGACAACCCCGAGAGAGAACGACAGCAGAGTGTTAGTTGTGATTGCACAGGCTTTACCTATCTTGCAGAACAGTAACCCCAGCGCCCTGCCAGACGGTTGACCCCGGAGGCAGGATCGTGACACATATTGTGTCAGGGCAGTGCGGGATAGACTGATCAGGGGCATATTTGTACAGTACTACTTAAGGCTTGAAGCCACCGTGACGTTTTTCATAGTATGGAGCCAGACATCCATCACTCAGCTTCGCAAATCCGACTCGATTTCCCACCCCATTGAATTCCTGCGCTTCTGCACCCGTTCTTGTACGCAATTGACTGACAATGCCATGATCAGAGATTCCCTCACAAGTGTCGCGTCAACAGGGCGCTGTTGACGCGGCTGGCTCCCCCCTCGAAAATCTGGTTTGGCCCCCCTATCTGGGAATGCCCTCACTCTGGCCCAGGGCCAGAGTGAACCTCGCCGGAAACACCGCCGAAACTGGCAAGCGGTGAACTCCCTTCGGTCGTGGTGGTTGTTTTGTCCCCGATCAGGAGAACCCTCATCCGCCCCAGGACAATATCCAGTAGTCTTCAGAAGCTAGGATGGTCATAATTATAAGATGTACCAGACCACGTAGCTCTAGCCATGCTACTAGATCTTCTGGTATACAGTCACTCAGGATAGAATAAAGAATCTCAGTAGGTAGCATGCTTGGGCACACATACGAATTGTTACGGGCTCGGGCTCTGGCCCGAGCCTAGGTGGGTCAAAAAAGGGGAGACAGGGGGGGTTAACAAAACCGTAACGCGCTCACGGAGAGTGCGAACTACCTCCTTTTATTTCCCAAGTTCGTAGTAAATCTAATACGCCTAGTATCTGTTCAGACCTAGGGCCAGTACTTAACACGAATGTCTTATGTAGCAACCCGGCACGATTCGATAATGATCTCTGACAATGATGAAAGATCTTTACATCCGGAACGCTTCTAGTTGGAGTATAGAACACAACACATTTATATTAGCATAGATTATATAACGTAATCCACGGGTGAGTGAGCCACACGGGTCAGTGAGCCACCTTTCAAGTACTCGTACGACAATGTATAAGACAATTCAACCACAACGCCTTAAATCAATTGAAACTATTCAGAATCCTCTTCTTCAGAGGCAGATACAACTTTCTGATACGTACGAGCATTATGCCCGGGCTCGCCGCAGACGCCACATCGCCGCGCGCGCGTTTCGGGCCTCCTCGTACGACCACTATTCTGACTCGTTTCCGCTATTAACTGCTGCGTCGCATCGATTTGAGCCTTCAAATCCTTTGCCTGATTAATCGTGAGGGACCCTCCTTTCTGTAGCTGCTTTCTTTTCGTACGACGACGGCGGCTGAGGCGGTCGTTTGCATCTCGAAGTTTGGCGAGCTCTTGGCGCATAAGGTCCTGCTCGTGTACCATCATTATGACTCCTTTTCTTAGCTGCCGTAGGCTCTCAATAATGGACGACGGTGAGCTATTCTGGTGTTGTACGATGCGATTTTCAATATACTCCGTCTGCGATTCGGTCTCAATTGGGTTGTTCGGCGTCTTTGAAACCCATGGGGGTGGTAGTCCAGCAGAGGAACCTGGCGGTGTTGGCGTATGAAACTTCATATCTAGCTGCGAAATCACATAGTCCGGGTCGTACGGTACTAGGCCTGTCGCTCGAAAGCCTGCCTGGATGTTTGACTTAGTTATCGTAGCGTCGTACGCCTTATAAAAGGCTGGGAGGAAGTCCTCCTTTGAAATATGGGTTACGTGTGCCCGCATAAGACCTTCGATTTCTTTACCGTACGCCCGTTTCAGAGGTCCAAAGCACCCAACGTCGAGAGGCTGGAGCTTATATGACGAATGAGCAGGCATACAGAGCGTGACAATATTCTGTTCCTTATAGTAGAGCTCGAAATCGACGGAATGGTGGCTCTCGTGGCCGTCGAGGATGAGGAGGCGGTAGGTGCCCTTCGTACGACTCTTTGTATGGAAATCGAAGTGTTTTACCCACTCTAGGCCTCTCTCGTTCGTCGTCCAACCGTTCTCTGAAAGCGCGATTACCCAGTTAGCCGGTAGAGGGCTATTCGCGGTCCAGGAGTCGAGGTGGACCTTCCCGGCGAAGATGATATACGGCGGGATTAAATAGCCGTACGACGCGATGCCCTAGATTACTATAACCCATTCCTGATTCCCTTGTTGTACGGCTCTTGGCCTCCCGCGTCGATCGGAGGTCGTAACGACAGTTTCGGCGGAGATCTTGCCCATCGCGAAGCCCGTTTCGTCGAAGTTATAGATATCGTCATCGTGGATCCCGTATTTCGCGATTATGTTTCGTACGAGCTCAAACCACGCGCGATACGCGTCCGGATCCTCGCAAAGGACCCTCTGGTAATCGATTCTTCGATTAAAACGCGTACGGAGCTCAGGTCGTCGTCGTACGAAGTTTGAGGCCCAGTTCGTTCCGACGCGTGGCGCGTCGCGTACGCGGAGGAGTCGATCCGCCATTTCTCGAACACCACTAAGCCGCGGCGGAAACGATCGCGAATCTAGGTCGAGTATGTATCGTACGATACTGTCCTCTTCGTACGAGGTCAATTTCTGGCAGGGTGGTCGGGTTTCTCGTTTGCGCTGCGCGCCTCTTCGTCGGTCTTGGAGTGTCGTACGAGGTACATTATAGATCTGTGCAGCCTTTCGTACGCTTAATTTTGGGTCTGATTGGAGCGCCTGAAGCGCTAGAATAAGGTCGCATTCAATTGATTGTCGTTCCATAACTACTGGTGGAGAAAAAGGGGAAATAAGGTGGCCCATATAGAAATGACGGAAAGTGGCCGGGTCACTTGTGTGGCCGGGTCACTTGTGGATTACGTTACGTCTTACTGATAAATTTTCTGATCCATCTCTCGCGCGTATATCTGTATATATATCTGTGTTCATATGCGAACCATTACGAGCCACGATTCTTCCGTAAACAATTCGAGCACAACCGCGTGGCCTTGAAAAAGGGATTAATTCACGGTGCAGATACTCCAGCTCCCCTCTTTACTACACTAGCTCAGATTCTCGAACTCCAATTTGCCCAGAACTAGAGGATCTAATAGTTTCTCTACCTCCCTGATAAATTGATTCGCGCATATATGTCCCCTGGATTTTAGACTGTTAGTCATATGTTCTCCACTATGAACAGGCTCCCGCTATTGTATTAACTTGTTTCTCATCCAAGAGCCTTCACTCGTCCTCGGCTTGACCTGCCGTACAGGACACTCAGTATATCCCAAACCAAAAGATGTTGTACCTCATTTGCAGTGGATATCCCGTCACCCTCACGCTGAAACTCGTGTTTACGCCTTCTTGGGTCACCTTGCTCAACAGGTAATCATCGGCATCACCTCTGCCATCATTACCCACCGGGTCAATGCGCAGATGCAGATCCTGGAGGGCATACCTATAGGCCGTGGTCCCGCCACTGGCCGTCACAGTCACGGGCTTGGACGTCAGCTCCGCCGTGTCCGGGGACATGATCAGCGCCGTGGGCTTGCCAGCGACCTCGAAGCGCGGCCAGGGGACCTTGAGGAATAGTGGCCCCCCGCCCTGTGGGAAGTCTGCGGGCGCCGAGGGCTGCCGACGGCCGAACACGTCCTGGGTGAAGTCGCGCCAGCCGGTAGTCTGGTCGCGGAAGTCCCAGCACAGGCGCACGCTGTCGCCGGGCTTGATGTGCCTCGGCTGCCATGAAGTGGCCGAGCCAGGAGTGGGCGAGGTCACGATGCGCCAGTACTGGTATTCGTCCGAGTCGGACATGCCGGGGACGAACTCGCCCTGCGCGTTGCGGAAGACGACCATGTGGCTGGGGTTGGGATTGGGCGCGTCCTGCTTCGCTGGGTCGCGGAAGGGGCAGGAACGGAGGATCACACGGGTGCCGTTCACCAGCTGGAGCCGTGAGAAGAACGTTAGCCACATGAGTCACTATACGAGAAACACTGGGGTTTTTGCCGGGCAATGACTCACCTCCTCGTCAAAGGGCGCGACAATATCCCATGCCGTCTTGACAAACTCCGTGCTGTACTCGGAGCCGTACTTGGCACCCCCAACGTTGTAGTTTTCGTACCCGAAGATGGCCGGGGCGCGGTATGTCGCCGGGTTGAAAATTGGAATGTCCTCCGTCATATCCACGCGATACCAGAAGTTCCCTTCGACCGTGGAGACGTGATTCAGCCGAGGCGTGATGGTGCCCGCCGGATCGTGGCCCAGGTAAAAGGACGCGCTGCCGCCTTCGTTGCGAAGCATCATGCTGTTGGTCGGGGCCATGACACGAAGCCGGGCTTTGCACTCGTGTGCTTCGTTGAGCATCATATAACGGCTGAGAGCCGGTACTGCTTGGACAAACCACGACTGTACTGCTTCGTAGCCGGGCATACCGGACAGGATCTCGACCAGAGGGCTTAACCCATCGCGCTGCAAGGCACCTCAGTAAGAATTCGCAGTAGAAAGTATCCCTTCGACCAGCAAGGCAGCACGATATATCCAGAAGCAGAAATACTCACGTTGATGATACGCCAGAGTTCGTGGTCAGCAACAGTCGGGCTCCAAGCCTTGGGCTCGGCTGCCAATATGGTTTCTCCACCCACTGCCTCAAAGACAACCGCTTCGCTCTGCGATTTGGCTGTCGACTGATTGGAAGTGGTGCTGCCCTGCTCTTTCTCATGCTTCATGCTGGAACTGGCACTGAAGCCGCCGAACCCGCCAGAGACCGTGACGCCCACAGACGTCTTGAATGACTGCTTCTCCTCCTCCAGCTTGGAAGCCTCGGTTGTCTGTACCGTCTTGGTCGACAGCAGCCGCCCACCCAGGGTCACGCGCTGGCAAAACAGGTTGCCGTACTCGGCATGTAGCCTGCGCAGTGCCTTAATGTTCTTAGTTCGGCGGATCGTCTCCAGCAGCTCGGCCAGCTCAGCAGTCGGCTCCATCTCGTCGGGCCACATCAGCAGATCGCAGCGGGGAAACATGTAGCGAGCCACGATGGTCTGGATGCTGCTCGAGTTGAGGCTCTTGGACGTGCTCGACTTGCTCGAGGCGTAGCCCACGCTAACTCCGACCGACACGCCAAAGCCACCAGCACTGAAAGTGGCCTCGGTCGACTCGGAGCTGAAGTCGCTGCGGGCCATGGCCACCGACAGCTCGTCGGCGTGAGCAGTGACCTCGATGCGAGAGTCGTCGTTGACGCGGAAGTTGGGGATACCGTCTTCGGATTTGGGCACGATGGGCTTGACAGACGTACTTGAGGCTGGTTCGACGTCCGTAGGGTTGACCTCTTTCTTATCAGAAGACATTGTGTCGTCTCCAGAGACGGGAGTTGAGACGGTGAGACCTGTCGCCTCCTCCTCCTCCTCCTTCTTCTTGGCTCCAGCCGGTGCCGGTACAAAGTCAGGAATCTGGGCCACCGGCTGCTGACCCACCTTGGACCGCAGTTTGAAGGCTGGCTTCGGTGCCCTCGTGACGTTCTTTGTGCGCGGGTCAATGACCCAGCCGTAGAAAACTGCACAGTTGCGCAGGACCACAGCCCACTGCGCCTCGCTCAGCTTGCCCGGCCCAAGTTGTGAACCCATTTGCACGCCACTGAACTGGTCATCGCTGATGAGGTCCTTGCCAGGCTCGGATTTGGTCAGATTTGTGACCTCTGGCCCACCGGATGTCGTGGTGGTCGGGCCCTTGCTAAGATCCGGGGCGGTCACCGTCGAGGCATCGCTCCCATCGGCACCTTTGCCTGCCTTCTGTCCCAGCTTCGTTGGACGGAAAAAGATCTTCAGTGTAGGCGTGCCACCTGCAGTCGCTGTGTTGTCTTCCGCGTCTTCGAGGGCAAAGTACTCGACAATGGAGATGGTCTCGTCATCGATGAGAGTGCCCGATGGTGTGCAGAACTTATCAATAAAGGCATAGCGCGACATCTCGGGCACGAGCTTGCGCAGAGCAGCCATTGTCAGGCTCTCGGCCGTCGCGGAGTGCCCCGCAGTCACGAGGATCTTGTCCAGGCTCTGGGACAGTATGCTGCCCGTCACCCGCGCTGCGGCGTCAGCCTCCTCGTGCTTGAGGGTCTTTATGATGAATGGGCGGGCTTGGAGGACTTTCAACGGGTTGATGGTTGCTGGCTTGGGCTTTTCGGCCGGTTGTGCACCCGCATCCTTGTCGGAAGTGGTGTTCTCCCCAGGCTTCGTGGCACTGTCGTCTTTCTTCGGGGCGGAAGCCGCGTCCCCCTGCTTGTTGTGGTTTGCCCCATCTACAGCAGCCGGGGAGGGGTTGTCATCCGGTCTGGTAGGCTCGACGGATGGTTTGGCAGGTGGCTTGGCCCCCTCTCCGGGCTTCTCTGCATCTTTCGACGGCAGCACTGGCGGTTGCTTGTCCGGTGTCCCTGCATTTGAGCCGGCAGCAGGTAGTGGCGGCGATCCGTTACCGGAGCGTGGCCTGGTGGTGGGAGCTGCCGAGGACGATGCTGCTCCCGTGGCAGAAGTTGGCTCCGGCGGCGGCCTACTGCTTGAGCGTGGTCTTGTGTCAGACGGCTTCTCACCAGGTTGCGTCATGTTTGCAGAGCAAGACAGACGACGGCAGAGTTCGACAGAGACAGTAAAGAACTTTGATAAACCTCGATAAAGGGCGGAGGGAGCTGACTGGTGATAATGTCGCTTCCTTTGTAAATGACATAAAGGCCAACGGATTCCAGCCTGGAGCTCGCGTTCTCACAATTTTGGAAAGAAATGGTGGCGAGTCATCCCAGCTCGAAAGGCTCGGCTCCGCACCATCCCACAAGCACGGATCTAGGAAGTAAGAAAGTCCCAAGAACTTTAAATGAATTAAGCGGGAAAGGAATTCTTGCGCCTGACTGCTGAAAGCCACTATGCAAGCCAACAACGCACTTCCTCGTCTTAGTAGGCGCTAGCTCGGTAGCGAGGCGCCATCGTCACCACCCTGGACAGGTTCAGTTTATTCTAAAGTCAATACTGATGCTGACAAAGGGATTGTTCTGGAGAAAATGCCGAATGCTCACAGGTCCAACCCCCCCTGTAGGGCTGGAGCTCTGCCGTAGCGCCCTGCGGAGAAGAGACTCGTGGGGGCGGGAGAGGGTGGTGATTGGCTGTGGCTAAGGTCTAGACCACAAGAAGCCAAATGCCAGGGGTTTCCGCCACGTGAGGGCAGCTGAACGCGAGGAAGCTGAAAGGCCAGCCTCAGCCACATGCCGAGGACAACTGACAATGAATATTTGGAGGCTGGAGCGGCTGAAGGCTGGCCAAGCTGAATACTGCATGCGACTATCGAACGCTCGGCTTGTCTCAGGAATCTGTTTTTGCTTAGCCAAATGTTAGTCTCGTGAAGGCTCTCCGTATCCATGCTTCTGTGGTTAGGAATCGCCGACCTGGACATGTCTCCTGCCCTGTCTCTGACTACAAATCTTTTGTCGACTTCAAGTCATTTTCTCGTGACCATACCGTACTCGTCTCTGTCACTTTTGCTTGAGCCCTCTCAGCGCGTGACGATCGCGGCCCGACACAATGGCATTGCTCCTGGCACCCTACAACGACTCCATGCGCCTGGTGAGTGTGCCCAAAACAATAATTCCATGAAGCGACCATGCTAACGTTCACAACAGGGCATGGGGTTTAACTCGTACACGCAGACGATATGCATTGACAACGCCGTGGAGGTCAATCCTGACAACAAGGAGAAGGTGGAGAACCCTTCGCAGGTGGTGACCTACTCGTCAAAGTTTGTCGAGCGCCTGTCCGATGTCGTCAGCTCCATGAACATCTCATACAGTGCGGCCATAAAGAAGGGTACCATAGAGGTATCTGGCAATGGCAACTCGATCGACGAGGACAAGATCAAGGCGTCGGACATCAACCTTGTGATCTCGGTCCAGGTCATCAACCAGACAACGACGCTCAAGGACTCAGCAAAGTTCCTTCAAATGGACGGCGTCCGAGCCGGCTCACCCGAGTTCAATGATGCCTTTGGTGACTGCTACATTTCTGGTAAGCCAGCGCGCTTTCATACCCGCTTATCCACGGTTGCTGACATGACGTACACCAGGCTTCATCGAGGGTGGAGATTTCAACAGCATTATCTCCATGCGCTGCCTTGATCGCACCAAAACCAACAGTATCATCCGGTCGTGAGTGCTCCTGGGTCTCGAGCGCTTAAACGTCGTGTTAACACCTCACAGGATCAAGAAGATCACGAAGACAAAGTCAGAACCGCAGGACTTCTCGATGGACTCGTATGGACTCTCCGACAGTCTTGCAGGATCCAGCGCTCTCAAAGAGACCGAGACGACAATCTCAGTCAATTGGATGGGTGGTGGCCAGATCAAGGACCCCAAGACCTCCTGGGACATCGACACTGTCTACGAAGCGGCAGCCGCATTCCCTTCCTTTGTTGCCAAAACCCCCCAGAAGACATGGTATGAGTCGATCGGAAGTCCGCAGTGCTCGATGAATGCTAACAGATGCCCGCAGGGCCATCCTCACCAAGTACAAGGCCAACCGTAGCTTCAACCAGTGGGCCACGTCACAGAGCCTGAAGCCGCTCGAGTACGATGCGGTCATCTCATATACTGCAGAGCTCTTCAACAACTTCATGGAGTACAAGCAGCTCATCAAGAAGGTCCAAGACATTATTGCCCATGGCGATCAGTACAGTAAGTCCAGATGTGAACTTCAAATTGTAGACTGATCTAGTACTGACAATGCCTTCGCAGCTGAGAAGCTCAAGTCGAACGGCATTCCGATCCACATCAACACTCTGGTAGCTGTGCGGAGCGCGCTACGCAACGAAATGAACAAGATTGTGGCCGTGGTAAGTGTCTCCTGCACCCCTAGCTGGTCAGGCATCCGCTCATGATGCACGCCAGGTCAATCTGCTCTCGAAGAAGCCCGAGGTCCTGGCGCAAGCGAACAGTTTCGACGTCATCTCCAAGAACAGTCTTGTCCGTAAAATTATCGAAGAGGCCATCCTCGCATCACCAGAGTCCAAGATCATTTACGATGACACAGTAACTTCAGCGACAGCGACACCATCCAAGCCAACCCAGCCGTCGTCCGATTCCTCCACCGGCAGCGATTTCCTCGAGGTTGAGCATTCGGGTAACAGCAAGACCGTAGCCACCACTGCGGCAGGCGTCAAAGAACCAGAGACACCGCACGGTGTCAAGATCGACCTAAGTGCCCTGATTGCACCAGAGGTCTGGGCTGACCTGCTGCCCATCAGGACTGGTGCCATAACGACTGATCTCGAGGACGCTGGCGCAAACGCAGCCGCTGCGAGTCTCCTTCCCCCACCACCCAAGGATGACGCCGTGGACTTCCTGAGCGGGAACCGCTCCAACAAGCTCAAGATCCTCGCCGCCGTCTGCGGCATTCACGACGTCACGCAGACGCTGCAAGATCGGGTCAAGGGCGACGCCGCTCTGTCCATCCCGGTCAACGAAATCGACAAGCTCGCCCAGGGTGAGGTATACAAGCGTATACCTGGCAACTTCGCCAAGAGCCTCGCGTTCGTATATCAATTCGGCGACGGGCCAATGCGCATCTGCGCAGCCAACTTCGACAAGGACTCCACAGCGACTATCGAGGTCACCAGCACCTCGGAACACACTCAGGTCCGGCCGCGATCCTGGAACCGAGAGACGCGGTCTATTGTCTCGCTGGTCTACGGTGGCAGGATCTTCAACGGCGATGACCAGCTCAAGAACCTCGAGGACCAGATTCGGCGGGGATACAACGACACCGAGCCAAGCTACCACCGGGTCATCATCGGTAACCAACTCATGGGCGACGACCCTTGGCCGAACATGAACAAGACGGGCATCGTGTTTTTCAAGGCTTCCGAGACTGGGCCCGTCCGGGCCGCCGTTGCGCTTGAGGGTGATGAATGTCTGGTCACAGATCAGCCACAGCTGGCGCAGGTCAGCAAGGAAGTGGTCAAGGCAGAGACCAAATATTTCGGATTCAAATTAGACACCAAGGACGCAACTTTCCAGATTACCAGCACTAATCGTAAGTACAATATTGTTGCCGCTTCAGAGATATCCGGCGACACTGACCCATTTTTGCAGCATGCACCATCTTGCTTAGGCCCGGTGGGCTCAACGTCAGGACCTCCTCGTTCCCATTCCTTGTCTTCCCAAACGGCGTCAGCTACTACTTCTTGGAGAGTGGCGACTTCGTTATCCAAGATGGGCAAGGTAGGCGTGTTTGGACAAATGGAGGTGCTCCTCCTGGCCAGGGTGGTCTGTTGTCTTACCAAAGGGATGGCGTTTTCTGCGCTTACAACGATCGCGGGACATTCTGGAGCACGGGCTCGAACAACAGCGCCTATTTACTCCTGCGCGACCAGAAGCCATACATGTCGGTCCTCCCGGAGTCGGGACCGACGATGTGGGAGGCAGGGCAATAGTAGGGCCTGATACACGGGATTAAATACGCTAGTTCCGGGAACAGATTGGTAAAAACCGATTCTCGACAGCTTCGGATTCCCGTTTTTTGTAGCATGATTAGCTCAGCTTGCCTGCCTTGAACTTGAAAGGAGGTAGATTGTCAAAGTAGCTAGGTAGTCATACAATAAAGAGGGGCCGATAATGGGGAAAGTTTCTGTCCTGGAGAGCTTGCCATCCCACGCTGCCACTATTTCAAGCCACCGTTGATCGAGCAGATCCGATGGTTCATTATAGGAAACAAGCGGCTATGTGCTAGCGTAAGTTGATGCCAGCCTCTCGTAGGATGCGCAGCTCCTGCGCCTCATTGTTGGCTTCTATGGGCTGGATATGAACAAGGGTTCCTCGATGATGCATCAGGCAGAGTGGACATCGTGGTGTCTAGATTATGATGGTCCTGTCGAAAGCAGCGAACGAGCCAGTAAACCCAACCTGGACTTGGGAGGTAGCTGATCTCTCCATATTTTGCTATACAAGACGAACTGACGTGCTGATTGAGATGAGCGGCGGCGATGATGGGCTCAATATGTCGTAGAATTCGACAATCTAGCCTCGGTCTGGTCATCACGGCGCAGTGAGCTCATGGCAAGGGAGAACCGGGACACCGTTTTCCCAACCAATGATTTGTTTCGTTCTTGTGGGACGTTGGGTGGCTATGTCTTGTGCATCTTCCTGACAGGGGTCAACAGGCAACGAGATTTGACCCCGGCCATAAGCCTGGTTGGAGGAATTTAACGGGATTCCGATAACCCCATTGGAAATCTCGCCGTTGACAGGTTAGACTGCGAAATTTGAGGAGCACGGTTATTGAGCCACTTTCTGTGGTGGGGGATGGCTCCCCTTGATGAGCAGCCTCACAAAATGATCGAGCAAGACTCCGCATTCGACATCTTAGGCTGAGCCAATTTCTTGTCTCTTCTGTAACTTTGCAGCTGCCCCTGATATCCTCTGCTGCAGGCCTGGCTTTCTTCTGAAGCTTGGGCAAAAGATCCTTCCCTCGGCAAGGTCACACACTGTAAAGAGACGGCTGTGGCCGTGCGACACCCATCACAAGGTGCGACGGGTTATGGCATAGGAGAAATTGCATTTTCATACATGCCTCAGCAAGAGACCCTTGCACGAAAGCGCACTTTGGTGGCACGAGAACCAGCTTCTCTTCCATCATCATGGCCGCGACTTACTAGCAAGGTATATAAATATTGGGACGATTCCGCAATTCAATTGAACTTTCACTATCCACCAGCCAGTCGCAGCTCCGTCGCTTCCCCCCATACCAGCAAGCAACCACATACTCCTTGCCCCTTTGCCCGATCCTCCTCTCGACATGCGTCCCTCTCAGCTCATCGCCCTGTCCGGGCTCATCATCTCCAGGGCCACCGCCCAGCGTTATGAAGCCAACATCGGCTTCGCCATTGACTCAGACAGCTGCGGAGATGGCTTCTATGTTGGCTGCTCAGTCAACGCGGGCGACTGCTGTAGTGTGGGTTCAAGCTTTGCCGGCAAGTCTGTCTCGTTCACCCTGGGCAGCAGCTCCCCCAACGTGATAGGCAAGGGTTTCACGGGAGAAGACTGCCTTGCGGCAAACTTTGTCGGCCAGCAGGCTAGCGGCACTCTCAACTACTTCTGTCTCAGCAAGCCGTCTGCGCCGGCGACAAGCGCTCACTACCTCCCTAACAACGGTACCAGCTGCGGGAGCAGTGCCCGCCTCAGGCGAGATACTGGTCGTGCCAGCGTGAGGAGCACCAAGGAGTGCCGCTCACCCGACCACATCATCTTCCCCGGCGGCGCTCGTGCCAGCATCGAGGGCCTTGCCGAGAGAGAGTACAATGAAATGGTAGGTTTGGTGAGGCAAAATGTTTTCAGAAACAGGTTTGAATAGTGCTGACTTTTGAATCACAGTAAGCCAAACCCACTGATCCGCTTCGAAGACCTCAGCAGCCCGTTTGGAAGCTATATGCGCCGGTGACCTTGACGCAGGTCCTTTCGGCTATGGAGCATCTGAATCCTTTCCCTATATGGTCTGAAGCTCCATTCGTCCCAAGTTATTTTCGCTAACCTCTGTTGCATGACCTAGCCTGGATATGGTGGTTGCGCACCGTGATACCGCTGATATCGACGCCCAGCTCGCCGCTTTCCGCAAGTAGACTTGCCACTCGGTCCACCGGGTATAATAGGACAAGTTAAGTTTCGGTGCTACTTGCGCTTGCGAAGATGATGGGCGATATGGATGTACAGCTGGGGCTTCGTGTTTCGGTGTAGTGTCGTTCGTTGATCTGAGCTTTTGCATGCATTGTCACCATCGATAGACCTCGAGTCAATTGAAACATGCATACGCCTGGCATGTTTAGTCCGCCATGGAGGCTAAACAAAACAATGCCTAGAACTGGATATGGTTTCCCCGCAAATATAATTGTAGTTTTCGGATGATGCAGGAACTATAAAATCCAGTTCTCGTGCTTCTCATAGCCTTCAGTCAGTTTTGAGAGCTTGCTGTGGTGTGACCTGATTTCGAGACATATTTCGAACATATAATTGGCGACTCCTCAACAGACCAGATGCGTGACACGACCCGTGTCATCAGCGAGCTAATCCACTATGGAGCGGCAAGCGCCAAGCTCGTTGAGGTTCTGAGGGAAAATCATAACAAGGAAATTCCAGGTTTTAGTTGAACTAAGCTGGGAAAGGCACAATGGCATTTTGAGACGATCTGAGACACTCTAGTCCAGCTGGGGCCAACCCCAAAGGCCAGACTGCAAGACATGAACTTGCCTGAGAGATTCTACTTGCCATAGTTAGTTGAGCCTACGGACAATATTGCTGTCATAATTTTCATACCCCTCGACTAGCCAGAATTGCTCCAAAAATATAATCTCACAACAATGAATGCGTACAAGAGATGATTATGGAATTCTATTCTTAAGATAGTAAAGACGCCTCATTCCTCAGCTAGCGTTTACATGTTTTTGGCCAGATCATCGTGGCTCAATTTGAGTACGAGAGCGGGCGCCATTGTCGATGTGAACCGTCTTCCTATCGTTGTCTCCGCAATAATATCCGCCTATTGTAATAGATACTCGAGATAAAGTGAAAACAGAAAAGCCCAGCCTAGATCAAGAGCGCAACAATAGTCGCAGCGATGACAAGTGCTATAGCCGCGATCGCCATACCGTACGAAAACTGCTGGAACCCCATATCGTCCTCGAACCGCCCTGTCGCCAGCGCTACCTGTATCGCTGACAGCATGACCGTGATGTACACGAATACCGCTAGCAGCCAGCCAAAGTTGCGCTTAAAGAGGGTCGTGTACCTCTGTGAGCCGGTTATGTAGCCTCCTACCAAGTCTCTGGCAGATAATTTCATGGCCCCCTGGATGCGGAAGAGCGTCTTGAGGCGCGATAGGCGGAGCTCCCCGCACATGTATCGCCGTGGTTGGGTCTGATGAGTTTCAGCGTGCCATATCTGCTCGTGATTCCGACTTACGAGGACCTCTCGCACAAGCCGTGTCCACGAGGACTAGCCGACGTCGGGCGGCAGAAGGCCAGTCTCGTGTGCGATCCTGAGGTCGGGCTTGGATCGTATGAGCCAGGTATACGATTGAAGAAGCCCTAGGGCGCTGCGATATAAAGCCTCGTGAGGACAGATGCTCGTCACCTAGAACTCGTAGCTTAGGAGGTACTTAGGCAGCGGTTTGATGAAGATCGATTTCTCATGCCATACTAGGTGTTCGTCTAGCCTCTCTGTGATCAGAATTGTGCGCCCTAGTAGGCGTTGCCGATGCGGCGGGCGGGCTAGGCGCAGGAGTCTAGCTAGCCACAGATGCTTATGTAGGCTATCTAGCTTTGGGGTCTGTAAGTCGAGGGCAAGGAAGGTCAAGACGTCGGTCGTGGGGTCTTTGATGTTATCACCGCATTGGAACGTGGCAGGCCATTCGGCATTTTCTGCCGTCCAGCCGCGCACAGATCTGTCCATCGAGAATGGCGGGGCCTGAATCTTTGTCTGGAGGTTGTTCATTATGAAACTGCGATAATGTCTCAACATTGTTATATTCTGTTTGGCAGCATGAGGAAGCAGGTCAGGTGGCGTCGATGCTTGTCCCCAAAAGCTGCCTTGCCGCTTCATTGTGGCTGGTGCGTGGCAGTCTGCTGCCCTCTTGCGTGGCTTACAAAACTACGGGTACACTGTCCGCTTCACATTCCACTAGATGCAAAGGCCCCCGCACGAGGCAGATTTGCCAAGCCTCCCAGCCCTGCACATGCACGAGCTGGCTGCGCTATCAGTCGCTTGGGCAAGCAGGCTCTGTAATGGTTGGCAGGCGGCTGCTGAAACCTCTGGTCTTGGGCCCCAAGACCCCTGGGCCCTTGTCGGTCAAGGTGCACATGAGCGGTCACCACGACTTTCAAGCGAATCAGAGCGGGTTATCTTGCTTAGCCACTCCATGATCCCAGGCCCCTACCATGTCACCTGAAGGCAGACACTAAACCAGCACTTTGCACGTTGGGGGGACGGCTGAGAGAGATGCATGGCATCGCCTTGCCAGGGTACAATAGTGAGCCTGGCCGACCCCAGGGTTATATGTCGCCCTACTGGTTCGTGCCCGTGTCGCTGACGAGGTCTCCATTCTCTCCCGATTCCTCCCTTTTACATTGCACTAGAGAATCGAACCGCATCTCTTCGACGTATCTGGTGCCCTATTTTGCCAGCAGGCACATGCGCACAACCCATGGGCCCTCAGCATTGCTGCTGAACCATGGCCACACGCAGAGCCAATACATGGCGCATTCGAGGGCTCGATCTGCGCTGCGACGAGGGCTGCTGAGCGACTGCGATGTCCACTCACTCGCCATCGAGCACCACGGACGATCTCAGACCGCCACGATCAGCCTCACAAATGGCGCAAGCGCAGTTCCAGAACGATTGGGGCCCTGCGCCGAACACGTGGGGCAACATGGAAACCCGGCTCTTGATAGCCAGTTCCTGGGTTTGACCACCCTTTTCGCACCACCTATCTCGGATCATAAGATCGAGTAAGATCTTACCGTACGGTAAATTATACGAGCATAATTCGCAGCTGATTATAATTGTAGCATCGTTGCCATTTCCGGCCTTGGAGGCTATGTATTCGGCTTATTTAAGGAGCGCGGCGGAGAGCATATGTGGCTGCGCGACGCCCTGCCTTATTACATTGTTGATCCTGAGACGGGGAGACCGATGGCCCGGATCGTCATCTACGGATACCTGTCGCCCGTTGCGGATAGCGATAGTATGCAAAACGTGGACGATATCGCGGGCCAGTTTCGCGAGCAGCTTTCTGGCCTTGTGGTGGTAGCGCTGGGAGGAGATCCATCGCCCCGGCCCGTGGTCTTTATCTCTCATAGTCTTGGCGGTCTGGTGCTTAAGGAGACTATTATATCTCTGGCGGCGTCAGATGACGACGTCGCCGCGAGAGTGCGTAGGGCCATCTACGGCCTCATTTTCTTCGGTGTGCCCCATGCCGGAATGGATAATACCTCGCTGATGACGATGGCCAGAGAGGGTCCGAATAGGGAGCTCGTGCTGTCGATCGGGCATACTAACTCGTAGTTCCTGACCCGGCAGTAACGTCAGTTTCCTGGTGCGCTTGCGAAGATGGGCCCGTAGCGGCGGGAGGTCTTTTGCTTCTACGAGACCTTGGAGTCGCCTATAGCGATAGTAAGCCAGCTAGCATATTCAATTTTATCTTTCATATCCCGTATCTTTCGCGCGAGAAAAAAGGCAGAAAGCTAAATGTCCAACATACGCAGGAGAAGGACGGGCTCTGGACAATGAAGGGCCCGTGCACGATTCTGGTTTCGGTCACTTCTGCGACGTAATGCCTGCCCGACACGCCGGACAAGCAGAACCACATCTGCGCTATCGACCGCGGGTACTCGGATATTGTCAAGTTCGCGGCGCAGGACTACTGGTATGACGTCGTGCTTCAGAGGCTTCAGCGCATCTCGAGGAGCGCCAGAAGTCAATCCGCCACAGCGGCGTACTAAGATAGCAGCGGGCTGGCTTTGGGACCAGAGCATATCCCCGGCCCGCAGCGAAAAGTTATAACGATCATTCCGTTGAGACAAAACAGAAACTTCACCGGCCGTTCGTCGATTCTTGAAGAGCTCCGCGACACGTGCTTTCCTCAGGGGGCAGGCGTAGGGGAAAAGGGCCCAGACACGGTTGCTCTGGTTGGGCTCGGCGGGATGGGCAAGACGCAGGTAGCGCTCGAGTTCTCGTTCTGGGTACGGAAGCACCGGCCAGACTGCTCCGTCTTCTGGATCTCTGCACTAAGTGAGGAGACCTTTGACCAGTCATGCGCAGAGATCGGTCGAAAACTCGACCTCACACCAGCGAATGTGGGTGGGGAGCAGCGTGACGTGAAGCAGCAGCTCAAGGATTACTTGTCACAGAGCGACCTGGCCGGCAGGTAGTTGGTCGTGCTAGACAATGCCGACGATATTGGTCTTGTCAAGAGCCTACGGAAGTATCTACCGTCTAGCGATAACGGTGTCACACTGATCACGACGCGTAGGGAGGAGGTTGGCACCATGGTCGACACGAGCACGGTGCTTGTAAGTGTCCGTGAGATATCTAAGGGGGAGGATCGACAGCTCCTGGACAAGTCTCTAAACGCGAGCAGAGTGCCGGACTATAGCGAAGAGTTGTGCACAAGATTGTTATTAGCTCTCGAAGCACTGCCACTGACCATTACCCAGGCGGCAGCCTACCTGAATGGAACCCGCACATCGATTCACGATTACCTTAGCTACCTACAGGGCCGGGAAGAGGAGGCGATCCGGCTCCTAAGCTATGAAAGCAACTTGGCAGACCACTACCCACCCGAGAAGCAGCACCATGCCGTCATGAAGACCTGGCTGGTGTCTCTGGATGAGATGAGGGGGCATCGGGACGAGGCTACGGATGGGAGGGCTATTGTTGAGCTGTTGATGTTCCTGTCACAGATTGAGCCCAAGGCGATTCCCAAGTCGATGCTGCCGGTGGTCGGGGGGTCCGGAATGGTGCTCGACCAGACGATCGGCACGCTGCTCGGGTACACGTTCCTTACGAAGCGGGACGGCGAGGTGTACGACATGCACAGCCTGGTGCACCTGGCGATCCGGAGCTGGGTGGCGCGCGAGGGTCACACTGACGAGGCGGCCCGGCAGGCACTGAGCCTTCTGAAGAGACAGATGGATTTCAAGGAGCCAAGTCCCTGGGCACGTAAACAATGGACGGCGAACATGCCACATGCGCTACGCGCGTTGACAGACAGTAGAGGCCAGCGAGCGGAAGCCTGGTTCGGGCTTGCGTATGAGGTGTCGTGCTGCCTGAGCTGGGACGGGCGATGGGACGACTCGCTAAGGTGGGCACAGGCCAGTCACGAGGGCATCTCTGGACTGTATCCCAAGGGCAGTCAGGGATGGGTGCTGGCACAACGACGCCTCGCGATTGCCTACCGTTTCGCTGGCCCTCCTGGGGCTGCCCTGCCGTTGTTTAGGGACGTGATTGCTTGCTTGGACCCGACCCGGAAGGCGGATCGGGAGCTGCTAATATATGCACAGCTGGAAATGGGGGAGGTGCTCAGTCAACTTGGGCAGCACCGCCGAGCTCTCGAGGTTCTGCAGAGCGCGGGGGGCCGCGTCTCGCAGGAGCACCCCAAATAGCTCCGCACCCAATTCGCGCTTGGGCGTGCTTACCTACAAAGCGGGCAGCCACAAACAGCCGTCGAACACTGCGAGCGGGCACTCCTGGCCATGCAGGCAGAGCACACAGACCGAGTGCACACCGAGCACGTCCTCGCATGCGCCTACCTCAACACTGGCCAGCCACAGCGAGCACTGGCATTGCTCCAGCATGTGGTTGCCGTGTACGAGGTAACACTGTCACCTCAACATCCAAACTTCCTGACTGCGCAACATAATCTTGCCAGGGCCTACCTGGATCTCGGTGACCCGACAAATGCACTCCCTCTCCTCGAGTACGTCGTGGAGCAGGAGTCCCAAACCCTGCCACCCAATCATTCTTACTTGATGAGTTCACAATACCTGCTCGCCAAAACATACATAGCATGTGCAATGTTGCAAGAGGCAGTCACCATACTTGAACAACTCATCCAGACCGACGATGGTGCAACACCATCAGCTACAAATCATCGCCTTAGCCGGGACATTCTGCGATTCCTGCAGGATGTCTACGAGGCACTCGGCGACCAGGACAACCACTCACGTCTCCGCGCCCGAAATAAAGAGTTTGATTCCATGTCTGGCAGTGCGGAGCCATCACAGCTGGAACAGTCAGCAGCGGATCAATCGGTGCCAGAATACAACAGCGACTCGGAATCGTCACAAGACAGCTCTCGGCTACCGCATAAAGAGGTCAGGGACATCAGTGCTTCCACACGCAAGCGGAGACGAGGCAAGCACAAGACTATACCACCAAGCACAACTCCTGCTCAATCTGCATCAACAGGTGGTGCTCACCCGCCTAGCACTCGTGGGCAGGCCAAACGAAAGCATTATCCGGGGGCCGCACAGTCCTCAAAACACCATAGTTCTGGCCGCAAAACTCGTCATCCAGCGCCATAACACCATCGTCGGAACTCGTATTTCGCCAGAGGTATATAGTTCTTTCGAGTATCCCATTATCAACAAAGCCTCAAGCGAGAGGTGGTCATTCAGAAACGAATATCTCATAAGCGCCATGGCAAAATACAACACCCATCCATAGGCCTTGGTATCACTTCAGATTTTCCATTTCACATAGAGCACCTCATTGTAGATATCATTCTTTATGAAAGCTATTAAATTAAGTATGGACCACGTTAGAGTTATACATAGCGCTCCATAGGCCACGTCCTATGCCTGAAATTAAGCTACAAATACAGCAGACACACTATTGAGAGATCCGTCCCTTGCTCACAACGAACTCCGCTTCGAAAACTTCCTCTGAAAATACGCGTCTCCCCTCAAGCACTGCTCGTCTTTTCCTTGACCTGCGCCGCACCCGCTGCAGCATCGGACTCGACATCCGATGACCCACCGCCGCCGCCGCTGCCGCTGCCGCCCTTCTGCCCATCCTCAAGCCCAAACTTGGTATCCAGCTCCGTCCGTAACACAACCTCCTTCTCCATAAACACGAGCGCGAACCCTACCGCAGCAGGCGTAATGCTCGCTAGCTACGTAACCTTTAACGCGCGGGTAAACACATCTACGACCTGATCCGCCGTCTCGGGTAAAAACCCACCAATTAGCGTAGCAGTAACATAGCTATACGCCTAACCGTCGCTAAGCCAAGCACGTACCGCCTCGTCGGTAATCCGGTACGCCTCGATCGCGAACCGGGTATTAAATACCGCCGTGGGGATCGCGACACCCTAGATAGACCCGTACGCGCGTATAAAACTAAACGCTATGGTTGCCGCTACGACTTGTTCCTCGGGTAGGTCGGCCTATACGGCAGGGAAGTTAGTGGATATTATAAACCCGACGCCAAAGGCGGGTAGTATCTACACGATAACCTACTCCGCGGTCAAGGTCCAGCGGTTAAACCAGGCGAAAAGACCAAAACCGAGTATTATGACCCCGAAGGCGAAGAGATATAAGGGTTTGTAGCGGCCCAACTTGGTAATAAGGGCGCTACCGACCACAGCGAGGGGTACCTTAACGAGAACCGTCGGGAGTAACCAGACGCCGGACTAGGTACTACCCGCGAGGAGGACGGCCTAGAAGTACACGGGGAGGAAGTAGATAGCCTAGAAGAGGAGTATAAAGCTAAGGAAGGCGAGTAGTAGGGCTACAGCAGGGGTGCGGCGCCGGAAAACCTCCTCGGGTAAGGTAAGGTACTTAACCTAGCTAGCTATCTCGTAGGCATAGAAGAGGAATAGGCCCAGGATGCCCAGGACTAAGGGTACGATAATGCGCGCGTTAGACCACGCATATAGGGTACCGCCGTAGGACAGGCCGATCAGGACCGAGGTGACGGCGCCGACGAGGACTAGCGTGCTAATGTAGTCAATACGTTTCAGTCTCTCGCTTATAGTTGTAGTGCGGTTATACTTGACGCGCAGGAAGGGAAGTAGGGAGACGAGGGCGACGCCACCGAGGGGAAGGTTGATCCTGTGGAAAAAACGCTCTTCTGTTAGCATTCGATGATACGTATGTATGATATATGCTCGAGCTAGGACGGGATAGTGAGATAAGAACGGCAAACTCACTAGAATACCCAGCGCCACAACGAATACTCAACTAAGACTCCACCTACGAACGGGCCCATAGCGGTACCGAGGGCGAAAAAGGCAAAAAGAAGGGCTATATAGTTGCTACGCTCGCGTAGGGGTACCAGGTTACTAACAACCAGCTCGATGTAGAGGTTAATGCCGCTACCGCCGATCCCTTGGACTGCTCTGCCCGTAATAAGTATGGTCGCCGTATTAGCGCCGCCTAAGATGCCGCTACCCAGTGTGAAGATAGCAACGACCGAGATGAAGACCTAGCGGCGGCCAGATGTCGGCAAGCTAGCTAAATAGCGGTAGGAAGGCGGTACTAGTAAGGAAGTACGTATTAACGAACTAGACGTACAGCCCGCCTATATTGAGCTCATATACTGTCCTGGGGCGGATGAGGGTTCTCCTGATCGGGGACAAAACAACCACCACGACCGAAGGGAGTTCACCGCTTACCAGTTTCGGCGGTATTTCCGGCGAGGTTCACTCTAGCCCTAGGCCAGAGTGAGGGCATTCCCAGATAAGGGGCCAAACCAGATTTTCGAGGGGGAGCCAGCCGCATCAACAACGCCCTATTAATGCAACACTTATGAGGGAATCTCTGATCATAGCATTGTTAGTCAATTACGTACAAGAACGGGTACAGAAGCGTAGGAATTCAATGGGGTGGAAAATCAAGTCGGATTAGTGAAGCTAAGTGATGGATGTCTGGCTCCGTGCTATGAAAAACGTCACGATGGCTTCAAGCCTTAAGTAGTACTGTACAAATATGCCCCTGATCAATCTATCCCGCACTGCCCTGACACAGTGCTTCAGTGGGTGGATCGGTAGGTGATTTAGTGGTTACTTCGAAGGGTTAGGTATACTATAGCGGAGGTGCTTCAGTGATTAATTTAGTGGATAATTTAGTAGATAGCTTAGTAGGTAGTGCAGCAGTCAATCAGCTACTTCAGTAGGTCGTCAATAGCCTAGCGGCTCTAGTAGGCAGGTAATCCCGCTAATAATCCTCGAGCCAACCACTATGGGCAACGTAAAGCGCGCGCCTTCGGTAGTCCTGCCTCGCATTCTCCATCAGTAGCTTGAAAGATTCGTCTACTTAATGCCGTTAGAATGCCTTGAGCTATATATGCAAGTCGCTCGCCTTAACAGGAAAGCCATTACTAGATATAGTCGTTAGGCAAGAGGGAGCTCGTAATTCCTCCAGATCAAGCACTAAGCCTAAATGTCGAGTAGGTAATAGTCGAGCCTACATGAGGGTGCACTGAGTGCTAAACGTGAGGGACTACTACTTGTTTTCAACAAGGCTTAGCTACACAGCACCGCACCCAGCTATGCCGTTGTCCAGCTATAACATACACCACGGCACCGCGCCACCTCCTGAGTTAACGCGCTTCCATGTTAGCAGAGGCTACCTCGAGCTACTCCGGACAGTAACCTGGAACGCATCCACAGCTCACCATCCTGTTTGCATTATTTATGCGCTTGCATAGGCGGTCCCTTTTACATAACTACTTGCACGTGCTTCAGATTGATCCTTCAGCACTCCTTAGTAGTCCCCGTAGAGCGGAAGGGTTGAACGGCAGTATGCAGCAAAACCGTCAATAACCCAGCGGTACACCTTGATTAAGCACCCCCATGCGGGCTCTGAAGCGGTACAGCGCTTCTACGCAAGCTCAGCTACTACATCGAGCCGAGGAGGACTGTCATTAAACATACTTAAGTCACTAGCACTAAAGCACCTCCTAGCGCTGCATCGAGAGCGGCATAGTACTATCGCCGACTATAGTCGATAATGGCTCATAACCACTTGCTCGCGTGGGAGCCATTTTCTACTCACGCCACTTTCGTCCCGGCTGTACTATAGTATGGGGTAGCAAACACCTAGCACGGTCGTGGCTTGAGCAAGACCTGGGTCCACAATTCCGCTTGTGTGGATGCATGCAAGACGCCTTCCAAGCCTGACCCTTTAGCTTCCTCGTTGGCGTTGTCTTTCTTTCCTAAACCACTGATTGGATCACGCCCAAGATCGCCACCCCGTCCTCAGGCTTCCAGTCATCGGCTGTGTCTTTTACTTGTAGTATTCTGGGGCTGTTTGTTTGAGTTGTTCTTAGTCGAGAGCCTTGTGATCGCTGCCTTAAAATCAGATAGGGCTATTCATCCGCCATAATCGTCCTATAGTACCAGCTTGAACTACCGAGAGATACTTCCAAAATTAAAGCGCACAAATGTGGTGACCAATAGTAGGAGGCTTCGTCCCAGCCAATGATTCTATAGAGTCGCAGTACGAAGTGCGCGAGCTTATTGGTTCCCCAGCACGAGATGCGAGCTCCAGAAGATGTAATGCTATATTAGAGCTCGTTTATAGGAGGCTCATTTCGATCTCGAATTCGTACTTGCGTCGGTAGCCCCGCCCCCGCTCCCCTTCCCCTCCCTACTTCACCCTCCACAACGACCAGGCATTCCCTAGGTTATGTTCGACGGGGCATAGCAAAGCACCATGAGCAAGCTCGATAGTTTGGTTATCCCAAACTATTTCGCTCAGCGCAATCAGGGCAAAACCTCTTTGCTACGTGGTCCATTGCCAAAGGTCCTCCCGGCTTTCGATCTCTCTGCCGCCAACGAGCTCTACAAAGTGGAAGCCTAACAGCTTGAAAGACTTAAATCAGCTCTTCAATAGTTTAAGGAGAGCTGTGGAGAAGAAATTCAAGATGCTAGGCTTCGCATACGCGGCTTCAGCGACATGTTTGGTCGGGGCTTCCCGCTACTAGCATTTTCTAGAATCGGGGAGAATACTTTTGCCTCACAACTGATCTCGAAATAGCAGACCCATCGTGCCGATGCCTTCCAAGACGCCGAAGCGAGCTATATCATACCCGAACAAGCCGAACAGACACTCCGCCGACGATTCTTCCCTGAGCCCCAAGGTTACTTCGAATTATCTGCGGACGCTTGCGAAGATGGTGCCTGTGAGCTAGATAGCGGTGGCTAGGCTGGGCGACTCATGGACATTATTTCACCGTTGGTAATATGGGAACAAGCTATCTTGGCAGCTCTGGGATGTGATTTCGGGCCTACTGTTTCAGAAGATGTTATCGGCGCAATAACAAATATCTTGGATGGTCAGTTTCAAAATCACAAAGACCAGATATTATCAAATCTTCCAGCGTCAGCTGCCATAGCAATTTCTTAGGATTAGACAGTGATATATACTTATTTGAAAAGCGAAAGATCATGCTAATTTGTTTTTTCCAAGCGCTCCTCCTCATATGCCTTGATCAGTTCTGGATTGATATTCTCCGCCGGTTCCCAGGTACTGTCTGATTCTGGAAAACCCAGCCATTTAACCAGATATTTCAGCACCCCATGTTCCGTTCTTGTTCCAAGAAGACCTTCCACCTCCCACTGGTTATCATCAACATCAATCAGTACACCTCTTTTCGGTCGACTTCTTTTCGGTTGGCGTCCTTTCCCTTGGCGAGCTTTTTGCACGTCCTTCAACCCCCCTTGACGTGTAACTCCATCCTCATTAAGTAGGGCCTTTGACACGTGGTCAGAAATTGGCTCCTTCAACGCCGTGCTCTCAAGAATGTCATCCTGTGTTACCGAAAGGGACGCTCGGTGCTTTACCACTTGATGTCTTTTCCCTTAGCGAGGTTCCGCTATTTCCACAGATATCCCTTGATATTGGAGACCATCCTCATAGATGGGGGTCTCTGATGGTTGTACATGTAATGACTCCTCGAGTGCCGTGCTTCCGAGGTTGTCGTTCTGTCTCGCCGGAAGGTCCCCGCTGATCGGACTTCGTGACTTGACTTTGCTGGAAGCACGAGAGCTGTCGGTGACGTCGATGAACCAAGATGTTGAAGCCGATGAGCTAATCGTTGTGACAGAGCTTTGGGAGGCTTGGCGAGTTCTCTTGCACTCGAAGTTATGATGCTCTTCTTGCTCCCTTTTTCTCTTTCTGTCGTCAAAATCGGAGTTGGGTTGGCCCAGGTGACAGCCATGGGCATCCTCGATGTGAAAAAGGAGGTCTTGCAACGAGGCTAATGGTGCTCTCTCCCGACAGTGTAGATGACTGCACGGCACCGAAGAACTACTACCTGCCCCGATTTTCCGCTTCTCGAGGCAATGGCGTAGATGGACTTTCCACGCATGAATGTAAACGAATTGATGGAGCCTTATCTCAGGCGGCATTGCTTCGTCTCCGAGACAGAATGGACAAAGACCAGGCGCGGCGAGCACACCACCGTAGGTGAGGGGATCACAGAACTTTGGGATCGTATCCCAGCATCTCAAGTGCCCTAAGCAATGCCCTGTCCATTCATCTTCTCTAACAACCCACTCGTAACAAATGAAGCAGAAGGCCGTTGGGCGTGACTGTTGTTTCTTGTAGTAATCGTGGACATGTTTCCACTCGTAATGTACTTCGCGTTTCTTGCAGTTGCACTTCTCTGGTTCAAGCCCTTGCCGGAATTGAACCTCTTGCTTTTGCGTACAAAGAGCAATTAAATCCTCAAGGGCGCTCTGACCGTGCGGGTCCCGTAGTCGAGCAGTCTGGAATAAGGTCGTAGCAAGCCGATCTCTTTCAGGCATACGATGGCGTACACGGTCAAAATAACTCCGATAGTAGCAGGGCTCGGCCTCTGCGTCCGAAAGTGACGATAATTGCTACTCTTGTAGGTTCCGGCATGCCTGGATCTCGAGCCTGCGCCTCTCCTTATACAGCTTTCTTCTGCGCTGTCTCGCTTCATCGTCATTCGCACCGCTCTGCTGAATCGTTTACAGTTCAGCCCGAAGCTCTTTTATCGGCTCCGAATCCTCAAACTCAGCACGCCTCTGTGCAGGGAGTGCTTGCCACATGAAGGGATTGCGGCGAATTGTCAGATCTTGAAATGGCTCCAGCACATTCTTGCGAGAATGGCCCGTGAAGTAAGCACCTTGCCCATCTGCAGCAAGAGTTGATGCGTAGTGCTTATCAAAAGTGCCATTGTCCCTGTGACCGGCATGTTTTCTACGCTCTGCCTCCGTGTGATATTTTGCTACTCGAGGGGTTAGCAACTACTGCTTGTGCATGTAGAAGGCCTCGGCACTTACCAACACGTAACAAGCTGCCGGCTCTGAAGTCATGGGGACGCGGTGGCTGAGCATAGCCGGCCCGTATTCCAAGCTCCCGAATCCGGTGCGAAATCGGACCAGCTCGCTCAACGCCCTTGCCGAATGCGCTAGGATAGAAGGGTTCATCCTCTATGCCTTCTTTCCACGGAATGACTGAGATAGTGTCCCCAGGATAAGGTTTCTTAGCAAAGAGCTTGGCAATTGTTTCACATCCTTGGAGCGCATTCTTTGCTAAAAGGAAAGCAAGATGGAAGAGCATCCCGCTCTCGAAGAGGGGTCCCGGAGTGATTCCTTCGTAAATAACATGCTTCGGCCTGCAGAGACTACATTAGCTTAAACCCTAGTCTTTTAGCGTGTCGCCGCTCTACCTTTGATTAGGGATATCGGTCATCCCTTTCGCGTCACGAATGAGCTGGAATCCAAGCTCTGGCTTCCCATCTTCGTTGTAAAATACCACAAATTGGACATCCTAAAGCGATCATCAGCACGGTCACTATGTGGGATAATACCGCAAAAAGCCCTACCCTAAAGTGTAATCCTCGCTCTGTTCCTGGCCGACAGGTAGACTCGAAATATTCTCCAATTCTGGAGGCCGAGGTGACATGAGCGTTCAGCCCTGCCCAGTCATAGACTCGGACTGACGGGTTTGGGTAGATGTGCCAATCTTGACCCCAGATCTGAGTAGCAAGGTGTCCATAATGCGTCGGGGTACCAAAACGCCTAGGGCGCTTCACTTTTGGCATGGGAAAGTCTTGTTGTAGATCAATTTTGATGTACTAAAAGTATCAGTCAACATCAGTATTCGCGCTTCAGGTATAGGTATGAAAGACCCTGACACGTACCTGTCGAACCGAAAGTGTAATCTTTGGTCCAAGGGAATCATCTGCTCGATAGAAAGCACGGCTGAAAACTTTCCAGTAGTGCAGGACCGTCGATTCCGCAGGACGGGTTTCGAGCCCGGGCCTTCGTTCTACCCCAAAGTCAGGTCTCACACCCTCTATCCCCATTGCGACTTCTTTCATAAAGGCTTTCAAGGACATCAGATCCCTTTCATTTGCTTCCGGGTTGCGTTCTTTGTACCTAAGAAAATATTGTTAGGCTAGATACGAGAAAATAGCTTGCTGCCTTATACGTACTCTTTCCACAAACCCATAACTAGGTCTGCTTTCCTTCGTTCATCTGGGCTCAATCTGTCGGGCACTACGTCGTTGTTTATCCCAGTCCAGCACTGGTCTGCACCCCTTTCTTGCGCAATCCGGTGATAATCGGCAGGACTTTTCTTCTTCCCCATTCTCGCGTTTTGAGCCTTGTCGGTCGAGGGTTGGAATGAAAGTGGTTCATCCGATTGTGCGGTATGGACTCAGCGCCGACCTGAAAGCTACGGGACCAGGGAAGAATCGGGGTAGAGACGGGTTGGATGGTCTCGTGGGCTATTTGGCGTAAGACTAACAAGGAAAGACGAACATTTCCAGGACTCTTTGGAGCCGGAAGTGGCTCTATTTGTACTTTGAAAGGGAGGAGTTGCTCGACCCGAAGGGGAAACCCCGGCTTGATTGCACCTTGTTCCCTTCGTCGCAGGCTACCAGGCTTCAGCTGGTTTTGGCTGCATATACCAGGGGTATTAGGCTGGAACCCTAGGGGTGCGCAGGGTTTGACCTGATGAATGCCGTCCAGGTCTTGCTCGCCAAGTTTATCACGCTGAGCGTGATGCGAAAGTTATCGACAACTTCGCACCTATACGCCTAGTTACGGTGTATAGTAATGGGACCCGCCACGTTAATACTCCAGCTGTTGTGAACATGTCCAACATGGTCGTCCAAGGAGAGGACATAATCCCCAACGGTGTGAGGAGTGATGGAGTAGCTGGCTTATAGTCTCCTGAAACTTAGTAGTCCAGACGAGCCTTAACTTCCATTAATTTATGTTATGAGGAACGAGATTAACATAGTAAATGTGGAACTAAGTAAATCTCATTCTGTGAACACGCTCGTGAGTCCTGTATTCCAGCCGTTCGTACACTTGAATATAGTGCAACTATGTAAGCCTTGGAAAATCTAGACGAGTTGCAGTAAACATGCCCTTGAATGACGGAATCTCCGCGAGATTGATAACGCGCTATGATACTTGTATAATATTATGTAAAGATGGTATCAGTGTATAAGCATGCTCAACGATTCCCTGCACATCTACTTGTGTATGTATAGTATACATATTCTCTGTCCCATTCGGAGCTGTAGCTACGAGTGGAGACGGGGGCTGAGCCGAGGCTGAGTGGGACTGAGCATGCCCTGTTTGAAACTGAGCAGGCACTGAGCAGCTCTAAAAAAGCGCTTACCGTATTAGGAATTGAGTGCGATTGAGATTAGCCACCGGATCCCACATGCACCGGAAGTCCGTGATGAAACTCCCCTCCTTGATTCTGAAGAGTGCTCAAACGATAGGCACGTCCGGACGTATATCATTGCTTAGATTCTGGTCCCTACACTGCAGGCTGCAACCGAGTTTCGTCATTGTGAAAGGGAGACTCGGCATTTATTTCATCCACCAAACGGCAAGATGGATATACGTCAATGCAAGTACTTGAATCTCAAGCTGTTGCACCATCGTTCCTACTCAATACAGATAATATCAACCATAACTCGGGCTGCGCTTCGGTGAGAGCTGTCGGCATGTCCAGACAAGCCGAAGTGTCGAATCAGAGATGGTCACTGATCCGCTTTGCTGGGTCACTTTATCATGGTGACGAGTTTGACGTTTCGCATGCACAGAGAACAAGAACAGACGGAAAAGATACGCATGAATCAATTACAGTCCTGATTGGCCAAGTAATACGCACAGATGGAAAGTCAGGATGTATATATAGGTCTCCTGACACAAGAAGTCATACACGCGAAGGGGTTCTGCCAAAGAGCGTGGGACGAAAATATGTACAAGAATGCCGATAATGACAGAGTTCCCTCCCCCGAGCCTGTCAGACTTGAGGAATCGTAGGAATTGAGCAGCGGCAAGTAGGATGGCAACTCGATGACAGCTTCAACGGGTTCCAAGCCGCTGGTTGTGAGCAAGCCAGCTCATAATTGAGCGAGCTTGTTGCTTGCGCGGCCACGGGGCAACCAGACAGGGCTTGCCACACGCTTGGCGGGCGGGCTATCCCGCGGTAAACTCCCAAGGTCACGGGACTCGATCACAGTGACGTTAGGCGGAGGGCCACCAGCGAGAAGAACGGCTACGGGACGAGTATTAGTGCTGGCTCTTTGAGGGAGATGACCAATCTAATCATGATGACGCCGCCAGGGGCATCGACACTGGTGGCATCTGGTAGACTTACAGGATGGGGTGAAGCTGAGCTCAGCACCATCAATATCGGCGGTGGCAATCGCAGCATTGGCACAATTAGGAACGTCAATGAGGACACCAGTCTGGGGGAATGGCTCAAGTGGGCCCCAGAGGTTGCCATTCTCATCGACACCAACACCCCGCGTGAGCCACGGCATCTCAGAGAAGTCGTTGGGCGGCGGGGCACTGCCAGGAATGACCTGCTCGCCGTGTACCCAGACATTGATGGGCTGGACGTAGGTGCCAGCCAGCAGGCCGTTGCTTGTGAGCCGCGTGCGGGGAACGCCATCAATCTCTGCCACCGCTCGGTAGTCGCGGGCATAGCCGCCGAGAATGTCGGCGCGGAACTCGAACTTGTTTTGCTCATTATTCTTGAGGCCAATCTCGGCAATTATGCGGTCGGTGGTGGCGCCAGTGCACGGGTCTATATCCATGGCGTAGAGCGCAATCCGGGCTCGGTTGTTGGAGGTGAAGCCGATGAACTGTGTGTGTGTTCGGGCACAGGACATCAGAGAAAGTTATGCAAAAAGAAAAAGAAGGAAAGAAATATTTGAAAAGGGAATACTTACACGAGACTCTGCCAGCTCTGTGTTTGGATTGAAATTTGCGATACCAAGCAGCCCAAGCTCCATCCGCACGTAGACGAGATTCTGGAGAGTCAGGACTTGGACATTGTTGGCGACGATGCTGAAGCAGATGACCTCATTTCCTCGCTTGATGCCAGAGAATGTCACAAAGTCGCCGGGAAGGAACGGCACCATGACCAGTGGGTTCGGTGCAGAGCTATAGCGAATCATGTCAGTGGCTGAGGATAAAAGACTGCATTTCCCCAGGGATATAGTCGCGAAACAGGCTGCAGGAGCTTACAAGGTGCCAGAACCCTGGAAAGGGCGGTTCGTCAAGGGGCAAAGCGGATCAGTGGTGTTGCGAGGGATGCACATGGGGAATCCTGAGAACGAGCTGATGCTTGGGCTTTCATCATCCGCAGTGAAGAAGGGGGCTCCACTATAGCCAACCGAGAAGACGGCGTTGGGGTCGCTGATGCGCAAAGTCGGGCCGGCCCGGATCTTGATGGTACCTTCAGCATAGTTGAGAGACTCGATGAAACCACTGCTGAGTCCCTCAAAGAACTGGTAAGTAATGATCTGAGCTGCCCAGGGCACGCCGTTGATGAAGTTGCCGATGACCTATATAGTAGCAGTCACTAAGGTGAAAGGCAAAACCAATGCAGTCTCCTGTTGTACAACTCACGTTCACCTCATAACCGAGCATAGAAGCCTGGTCAGCTGCAAAGTCCTTGAACGGGACATAAGCAGCCGGGAATTGCACGAGAAGATTCTTCGGAACAGAGATGGCAAACCCATTGACGGTGATCACTCCGCCCGAGTTGTAGGAGTCGTCCGTGGCACCAGCTCCTTCAAGGCCGCCTTGGATGAAGAGAGGTGCACTGCTCAAGTTGTCAACTCACATCATCATGTCGAGGAGAACGAGGGAATCCAGGACCTTCGCGGGGCGGTGCACTTACTCCTGGGCCAAGCAGATCCCAAACAACTGCAGGGCAAAGATGAAGAAGGTGAATCTCTTCATAATTGTCATGATGGTTTCAGGACTTTTTGAGGGCGTTGGACAAGATGTTAATTGCTAGAAGAGTCTGAGTTGGGGTAGTTTTCGTCACAGTCCACGGGGAAGGCAAGCTGATATTTATAATCGGTTGGTCTTTCTCACGATCTTATTCTCTGAGGCCACCACATCTGGAAGGCTTGGTAAGCGTCTCGGGCCAACGGAAAGCTGCTCGCTCGGGGTGTGCTTGTCTTCGTCCAAGACAGCTCCGCGAACGTCATTTACTTCCCCCATCTCGGACAAACGAGCCAAGCCTTCAATGTCTCTGGACCTTCTCGGTTCCGCCTTGTTCCCATGCGAGGTACGTTCGGGTTTTGAAGTCAGAAGTTCGCATCGCGAAGCTCTATGATTAGTGGAAAGTCGCAACCTGCATGCACCTTCAAGCATGCGCCGTTGCTTCTTGGCGAGTATTGCCCGGAGCCTCGTGACTCGATGCTGCCCTGTCTCCTTGTGGTGTGGTTTTGACTAACAAGTAGAGGAGCAGGGCTTGGGCATGGGGGTTCTTGGCCTCCCTGGGCGCTTCGCCATGCTTTTCGAAGTCTTGGTACGGTGGCAGGTTGCATTGTGGCGCCCGGGGAATTTTCAACGTGATAGACTACCTTTTCTGCGGAGCACGTGTCACTCCCGGACGCCGTGACAACCCGTCTTTGACATGCAGTAAAGGCGCCGGGAGTATGCAGGTCGTGGTATACCGTCGGCGATGCGACGTAATAACCTTATTCCAGGCTTAGAGTCGACCAGAATTCCCGTGGGGGCCCCCATACTCCGCAACCCCATGTCTGCTGGTCGCAGCTCTGGAGGAGCCGAGACAAGCGCCAGTATCTTTTAGCTTGGAGAACTAGCAAGCGCCCCAAGTGGAAAAGATCCCACCAGAACCTGGACGACAGGGTTCCCTGGTCCGCGGGAGGAACCGCTCTGGTCTCGCTGCACGCCGTCGCGAGTAAATCACCTGCAGACGCGGGCGATGATCCGGATCAAGTCCTGAGTGCAACCCTGGCAGTACAGGGATTGCATGCGCCCCAAGAGTCAGCCGTGCGGCACGGTATGTGGCTTGGCAGGGGACTATACTCTAGCTGGGACCCATGCCGGTGTGCTTTAACCAAGGCAGAGCAGGCTTGGCAGCGGACGCAGCCAGGGCCCGTGGAACACGCTTGTAGCTGAGCAAGGGACCCTCATGCACACAGTGCATCACGCTGGTGAGGCTTGTTCAGCAGCATGGCCATACAGGTCGCTGCTTTCGAGGGCCTGCACGGCGTTTCTCCATTGCTTGGTATAGCTTGTTAGTATTGGCATTCCCTTGACCTTGGAGAGATACGTCCACGACTGCCGTTGATGCAATAAAGGGCTCTTTTATCAATCCAGAATGCCGTCCGGGCAGTCTATGACGAGTACCATTCTGGCTCGCCAGCGGGCCGTTCCTTGGGCTGCGCAGATCCGACACTTTTGTCGGAAGGCCCCCCCTGTCGGCTCGGCCTCTATGCAGGTGCCCGCTGCCCTATGCATTGGTTAGGCGGTGGCTACTCTGCACAGCTTCAGCGGTGCGACTCTCTTTCGACTCTGTGCCTTTGTCCCGCGGAAGAAGTTCCACTAGCCGCTGCGCGCTTGGCATTCTTGCAGCTTGCGTGGACGGGGAGACCCGGACACGCCTCCGATACGGGTGGCCGCGCGTGCCCCGTTCTTGCCGACGCGAGCACCTCGCACAGCGATCGTCTGCGGCGGGTTGCATCGATATTCTTGGCACCTGAACCACTCCGCCCGGTGGGATATAGATATGTGGGTGAGGGTGTGTAGGCGTGGCTCCCTGCTTGTCTTGTGGTCGGCATTCCCTTCAAGGGCCTTGCCCAACATGTGTACAACAATGGTCACGCGGCTACGGCTGCCATCCGAGTGGTGGACAGGTCGTTTGGCTTGCCAAACTAGGTAAAAAAGTCGTCTCATGGATCCTCAAGGTGGAGGAAACAGGGCTCTGTGCTCTAGACTTTGCTCAACCCTGAGGCATCACGGCCATGGCCTCGTAGAGTTCATCGATTCTGCATTCCGACCCAGAAGTCCTTACCAATCGCTTACACAACAGAGCCCTCCTCCCAGTAGTTTCCGACACCGAGTGTCCTTGCAGTGGTCTAGAACGCTGACTGTGTCCAGTTTGCAGGTTTTTGTCAAGGTGTCTCGTGCAATGCAAGCCAAGCCCGAATCCGAGCTCCGCTCCTGGTGGCGGTCGAACTCACCGTATGTAGAGCATCACATGAGAAATCATCCTGGCTCGACGGAGTCCACTTGGATCTTGGAGAGGGTTGAGCTTACAAATTGTGATCGGACTGGATGATATCGGAATGGGAGGGAATAGTCGGTAGCATAGTCTCGGCAAAGTATCACGGCCTTCGAGCTTGATTTTTGTGAGTATAGCCCGGTCTATAAAGTCGTGGGGACTTCACCAAGCATCAACGGTTAGAGAGCCATCTAGACAGAAACCCCAAGTTACCCCCTTCAAAGCCGGAACCTCCAAACTCTCAAGCCTGCCTTGGTCCTTGTCACTCAAAAAGTCCATCATGCACTGTTCTCGACCAGGCCTGCTGGCCCTTACAGCATGGCTCGCTTCCGGCGTCGCCAGTCAGGACGTTGTTCTCTCTGATATTCCCCTGGAAGAGAGCATAGCCCTCGCTGCCATCGTTGAGGATGCACCTGGGACAATCAGCATAATGAAGGAGGACTGGGAGAGCCCCGTCTACCCTCTACTCTTCCGAAACCCACTGCCTATTCCTCCCCAGAAGCAGCCCAAGATGTAGGTGCTCGATTCCGACACTGCTGATAGACTCTCAGCAGGGGCAGGGTTAACAATGTTCAACAGGGTAGTCACTAATCCGGTCACTGGGAAGGAGATCTGGTACTATGAACTTGAGATCAAGCCGTTCTCGCAGCAGATCTATCCCACCCTGCGGCCGGCGCAGCTTGTCGGCTATGACGGAATTGCTCCTGGTCCTACGTTCATCGTGCCTGTGGGGACAGAGACGGTTGTGAGAATTCTCAACAGCGCCAAGGATGAGACGTCGGTTCATCTCCACGGATCGCCTTCGAGAGCCCCGTTTGACGGCTGGGCCGAGGATGTCACCTTTCCCGGGGAGTACAAGGACTACTACTTCCCCAATTACCAGTCGGCCCGCTTCCTGTGGTACCACGACCATGCTATGCACAAGGTATGTTGCCGTCCCTCGTCCGGTCCATCTCGCTTGTGTCGCCCCTTTGGCTAACAGAGTGGGATATAAGACGGCGGAGAATGCCTACTTGGGCCAGGCTGGCGCCTACATCCTCCACGACGACAAGGAGGACGCTCTGGGGTTGCCGTCCGGCTACGGAAAGTACGACATCCCTCTCGTGCTGACTTCCCGTGTGTACAATGCCGACGGCACCGTCAAGACGACTGTAGGGGAGGATGACAGTCTCTGGGGCGATGTCATCCACGTCAACGGCCAGCCGTGGCCGTTCCTGAATGTCGAGCCCCGCAAGTACCGCTTCCGGCTCCTGGACGCCGCCGTCTCGCGGGCATGGAACCTTTACTTTGCGCGCACCAGCTCTCCGGACGCCAAGATACAGTTTCAGGTGATTGGCTCTGATGCAGGCCTGCTCGAGGCACCCGTCCCAACTCGTGAGATGTACATCGCCAACGGCGAGCGATACGAGATTGTTGTTGATTTCTCCGGCATGGCTGGCCAGACCGTCGATCTGCGCCACATTCCTCAGTCTGGAGACATTGCCGTGGATGACGAGTACGAGCACACCGACAAGGTGATGCGTTTCGTCGTGAGCTCCACCCCTGTCGTCGATCCGTCGGTCGTGCCCTCGAGCCTGCGCACTGTCCCCTTTCCCCCAGACAAGCTCGAGCAAACCGTCGACCACCACTTCAGATTCCACAGATCCAATGGGCAGTGGCTGATTAACGGCATCGGCTTTGCCGACGTGGAGAACCGCATTCTGGCCAATGTGCCGCGTGGCACCGTCGAGATCTGGGAGCTCGAGAACAGTTCTGATGGCTGGTCGCACCCGATCCACGTGCACCTGGTCGACTTCAAGGTGCTCTCGCGCACAGGCGGGCGCACAGCCCTGCGCAACACGGTCCAGCCGTACGAGGCTGCCGGGCTCAAGGACGTTGTGTGGCTCGGCCGTGGCGAGACGGTCCGCGTCGAGGCCCACTACCTGCCTTGGACGGGCGTCTACATGTTCCATTGCCACAACCTGATCCACGAGGACCAGGACATGATGGCCGCGTTCGACGTCAAGGCCGTTGCGGGCTTTGGCTACAACGAGACGACCGACTTTTCAGACCCCATGGACGAGCGCTGGAGGGCAGTGCCCTTTGCGCGCTCCGACTTTGTCGGCAGGACGGGGCCCTTCAGCCCGGAGTCCATCACTGCCAAGGTTGAGCATCTGGCCGAGCAGCAGCCGTACAGCGAGCTTGGTGATATCCTGGCAGCACTCGGTGCGAGTCGCAGGTGCTCTCCTGAGGAGTGTGCCGAGAATGGAATGACTGGTGCTGTGCCCAGGTACCGCCGCTTCAAGCTTTGAGCAGCTCATGTGAACCATGGACGGCGTGTTCCAGCTTTTGGCAGTATGGCGTGTGCCCCTCACGCTTGTATCGGAATTCATCCTCGTCGAGTTTTGAGTTTGTTTTGTTTCATGTCTTTTGGGCAGCACATTGCCCGTCTTTCATTGGAGCGCCTCATATCTTTGCTTTCCATGTCGTTGCCCGTGGTATCTCCGTCTGCTTGGTTCAAACAACAGTCATTACCGGGTCGGTTCTCGCTTGTACTATTTCGCTGTACATAGTTTGATAGATTGACTCAACAGTCATTTCCAGCCTCTCTTCGCACTGTTATCCATGTCCATACGGTGTGGAGTCTCTACCATGCATGACAAAGGTGAAAGTCCCATCTGCATGTTTCAGCTACAGGGATGCGCATCCCCACTTCGCTCCGCGCAGACACTTCTACCCAAGACAAAAAAGGAACCAATTGTCCTGGGCAGATCATGGAGGATTGCACATATTCGTCTCGCAGACTGCGCGCAAAGGAAAGAGCCGGGCTCTTTTTTGCGCCCCCTGCACCAGAGGTGCAGAGGAACAGAGGTGCAGGGTGACGGCCACCGCCTTTTAAGGTGCCTACTGCCAACAAGCAGGGCTCTTCGGTCTGACGGGGGAAGTGGCAGAAGAAAGTCCAGAAGTCTCCGCTAGAACAAATTCTCTTTAGAGTTAGGTAGTTCACGGCCAGGGTAGGTCAACGCATGATTGGTCCTGATCAAGTAGACATTCCTGCCGCCAATAATGTGTCTGTGAATCTGTAGATGCATAAGGCCTTCCCAAACATGGCATAGCAGAACGAACGCACCGGTGAAGAAGGCGAGGAGCAATGTTGCCCCGCCCGCTTTGGTGCTTCAGTGTGTTCATCATATGAACACAGTGGCATCCCTCCAAAGGCATACTACTATGCCAAAACAGGTCAAGCGCGCAAGTTGGACCCTGGATATTTCCGATTCTGCTTGGTGGGGGCTCACTGGGCTTTCACATTTTCACCAGTCACACCCGACAGCCACGAAATGCAGAGCTTCGAAGCTGCCATGACGACCACAGAGATATTTGAAATCTGAAAGCATAGCGGCGCTCTCACAACTCTGACGCCCAGGCAGCATGGCATCCGCACCGGCCGTCCACGCAGGCCTCGCTGTCCAGCAGAGCACAAACAAGGGACGCCTCGTAGTTGCGACACAGGCCATCCCCGCTCAGGCGGTACTAATGGTCGACCTGCCCTATGCCCTCGTGCCCGCGCCTCTCTCCCATGAACCGCCTATTTCCTTTTGCTGCAATCATCGCTGCAATCGCCAGGCATCCAGGGCCGGCCTCGAGCTTCAGCCTCGGCAAGAGAACCGCGATGCGGCGATGCAGGCGGACAACAGCAGATCGGGGGGGCCGGTGACATTCATCTCCTGCCCGCGGCAGTGTGCTCCCGAGGTGCTCTGGTGCAGTAGAGATTGCCATGCGCAGGATGCGGCAAGACACAACCCAGAGTGTGCGTGGCTGCGCTCTTCTGGTGCCCGCGCTCGCGCGGAGCAGGGCGAGTTCGAGTTCGAGCTCTTGTGGCTGCTGGCCAGGACATCCATCAGGAGGCACTGCGACAGCAATATCGGCTCAGAACCCGGGGAGAATCACAATGAGAGTGTAGAAACAGGCTCTGCAGTGACGACCTCCGCAGGCTCGTCACATTTCGATCGTCGTGGATGGGACTCGGTCTGGGATCTCGAAGGCTCCCCGGGGTCATTCCCCGTGGACGAAGTGGCAGGCTGGCGAGACCTGACGAGCACATATCTCGTCGACAAGATCCCAGGCGTAGAATGCACCGCTGAGCAGGCCATCGGGCTCATCTGCAGGCTCGAGACCAACTCGTTTGGCCTGTACCCCGGCGTGACGGGCGACTATCCCATCAAGACACACGCCGGACGTGGCGAGTATTTTGGGAGTGGGCTGTATCCGACGGCAGCCATGTTCAACCATGCCTGCTGTCCAAATGTGAGTGTGGCCATCTCTTACTCACCACCTCGAGTATGCTGATCGCGACGACGTTTAGGTATCTCATCGCCTCGACGAACATAGCCGCAGGATATTCACGGCGAACCGCGAGATCAAGCCGGGCGAAGAGTGCTGCATCTCATACTTTGATCTCGTCGAGTTCCGGGACGCGGCGGTCCGGCGCCACGAGATCAGAACCAAGTGGACCTTTGGGTGCGACTGCCAGCGGTGCCAGGACGATGCGAACGAGGGGCTGCCGGACTTCCTCACAGGCCTGGACATTGAGAACGACTAGCTGGCCTGGGAGGTAAAGATTGGCAGGGAGGAGATAGACAACAACGCGTTTTTTGTTGCTCCAACGAAACGGCCATAGCAGAGTGCAATGCCGCGGGCAAACAAATTATTAGGTCTATCTCTCTATACTACAGCGAGTCGCAAACTTGTCCAACCCTCCTCACTTTCTTTCCCCAAACACTTATGCAGAGTCACATCCATATCTAGACGGGAATCTTGAAGCCAGAACGACGCAGGGTCTGGAAGTCGCCAGTAGGGTCAAACTTCTTCGACACCGACCGGATGAGCGCGAGGTTCTCCTCGCCGTAGTGAGAGAGCGGGTCCTGGTCGCCGAGCGCGTAGGGGGCGTACTTCCAGTTCTTGTTGAGCCCGAGGCTGTTGGCATAGGCGTTGACCTCCTCGCGGAACTCGATCGTCAGGGGCAGGATGATGTCCTGGTTGGCGGCCGTGTCGACGGTGAGGGCGATGAGGAACATGACTGCGGGGCCATCGGCAACCACGGCCTCGAGACCCAGGACGTTGCCACCATTGGCCGTGCTGTGCTGCACCATCGACTGTGTCACGGGCTGGAGCTCGAGGAGGACCTGGAACACAGAGTCAGGGGCGGCAGCGCGCATCTTGGCCGTGGCACGGAGCAGGGCGGCATCGATAAAGGTCAGGATGCGGATGTCGCTGGCATACATCTCGACCATCCAGTTGGAGCTGTAGGACCAAGAGAGGATATGAATGAGCTTGGGTGCAAGAGACAGTGACGACATGACTCGGCGGGTTACTCACAAGAGACCAAGTGGAGTAGGACCGGTAAAGACGGGGACAATGATGTTGATGGAGTCGGTGAAGAGAGTCTCCGTCACGTTGGGCACGGACAGGGTGCGGTCAAAGGCCGGCGGTCGCACGATGCCAAGACTGTTGGACACGATGGCATTGCGCGTCACAGTGGTGCCCTCGTTGGCGATAACACCGAGCAGAGTCTGGCTTGCCAGATCCTGGACGAAGCGAGCGTAGGTCAGCAGTGCTCTCTCCTTGTGTGCAGGTCAGGTCCGAAGCTGGCCACTTACCGATGCCATGTTGTCGACAAAGTCAATATACGCCTCGTAGTACTCCTCAACCTGCTCGGGCTGGAAGCCGACGAAGCCAGCCCACAGCTTGTTGGTCGGCTGGACATCTATTGCGATGGTTAGCAGCAGTCCCTCGACCAGCAGTGCATATTGACCGACAACTCACCCATATCGACGCGAGTGATGAAGCCGAAGTTGCCGGATCCGCCCTTCTGGGCACGCCAAAGGTCCGCGTTCTCCTCGGCATTGGCGTTGACAACAGTGCCGTTGGCCAGGACAATCTCAAAGTTGCGGACCGTGTCGCAGCCGAAACCTGCGCGGTTCGAGTGGAACGAGTAGCCTCCACCAGTGATGAAGCCTCCAACGCCCACGACCGAGGCTCTGCCACCGGCGACAGTGACGCCAAAGGGGTCGAGGGTCTCGTAGGCCTTGCCCCAGGTCGAACCAGCTTGGACTGCAGCAGTGCGGTCACCAGCAGTGTAGGTGGTGGTGTTCATATAACCTGTTCCATGACGGTGCCTGGTCAGCAATGGCCGTGATGCTCACACTACATTGCTGTAAAGGGGGGAGAGACTGACCAAAGTCGACAGTCACACCGGCAGCGACACTGTTGGAGCCGGCAAAGGCCGAGTGGCCACCTGCACGCATGCCAAACTGGCACTTGCTCTTGTGGATCAGGGCCGCAATCGTGGACACCTCCTCGGTGGTGGTCGGCAGAACCATGCACGAGGGTGCGAGGGCGGCATTGGCCGAGTAGTACTCGCCCAGGCGGGTCGTGTATGCGCTCGTGCCGGGCAAGTAGACCTTACCCTTCAAGGATGCATCGGCAGCAAGGTCGGCACACTGATGGGGACGGCAGGCAGCGAGTTCGGTCAGTAAGCTGGGCCCCTTTTCTTCTCACTGGAGGGGAGGGCCGTGACTCGTGTACTTACACACTTGACGTTTACATCGACTGGGGGTCGGGGAGGGCAGCGGGCGCTGACCACAGCGGCAGCTGCAACAACAGTGACGGCGAGCTTCATGGTTAAACGAGTGTGGGGTGATGGATTAGTAGAAATGTGACAAAAGGAGTGGAAGACGGCAAAGAGCGTCTAGGGGATGCAGAACAGTCGCCACGTGGTGATGGGATGTGAGCCGAAAGTTGCACAGGGAAATGTGACGTGCCGATCTCAAGTTATTATATATATGCATGCACGTCCGCCACGCAGGAGCGCTCCTCTGGGCCAACAGACCCGTCACTCTGGCCAGGCAGCCCCAGGGGCTTCCGACGGATGTTCGTTCGTGCACTGCCGACATAGTGAGCAGTCCCACCTGGGACAGCTGTGGGAGAGCAAACCCTTGCGAGCAAAGCAGTCAAGGCGCCGCCTTGTTCAGGACTGGCTTCGGGCAGCGCAGCCCGTCGGCCGGTCTAGCTACAGACACACAGTCTCCAATCTCCTTTTTTTTGATGTAAAAGTTCATACGGCCAGACCAGGCATTCCCTGGCCGCAAGCAGATCCACGATTCACTTACCTGTCACGGACAGGCAAGAGGACCAACAAGCAAGTAACCCTAGGAGCGGACCAAGAGGCCGTGCGCTCCGCAGGGTTTCGATTGGTTGTCTCCGCCATGATCGCTGGAGATTAAAGTCTTGGCGTGCCGCCAACCCCTGCCTCCGATCTTCCGCGGCGGATCCTGAGTTCCCCTGCTCAGAGTATATTCCAGGGGACAGGGCCCCAACGTCGTGCCAGGATTCTTTGCAACCGTCGCAGGCCGGCCCCGAGCAAAGTTTGCGGCACTATGCAGCTGCTACAGTTGCATGAATCTGCCTGCAATGGGCGTCCATGCTACTCAATGTCCCGCGGCTCGCTGCTTGCGGCAGTGGTAGAAGCGAAGGATGACTCGTGGAGATGGGGATGGCAATTGCGAGAAGAGGCTGACAGCCCGATCGTGGTAATCAGCGGGCTCAGGCTTGTGTGGCAGATTTTCTGGGGCTATTTAGCCGTCCCTGGTTGGCATGGCAGATTACAAAACATGTACACTGTGTACGCATGGTCCAACGCCCCATGCCCTGCTTCGAGGAAGCCTGCGCGAATCCTCGCCCGGAATCAGTAACATTACTGAGGGTTGCACCCGCTGTGGACTCGGCATTGGTGTCAAATTTTGTCGTGGAAATCCGCCATGCAGCGCGACCAGAGTCAATACAACCATACTCATGTGTCTCTCATGCCCAAGCAGCGCGCATTACCACACTTGTGTATCGTCTTGACGGCACCAGTCCAGCTCTGCCCATCTGTTTTGCTAGCTATAATAGTAGCCGATTTTACTACGAGGGTGGGTGACCACCCCCGTCCTCCATCCTTCCTACTATCTTTAGGGAACGACTTCCAAGGCCCAGTGGTTGGAGAGGATCCGGACCCCTGCTGGATGTGTCCGACATGATTTTTGATCCTGGTGGTGAATGGTTCAAATTTGCGACTGGAGAGCTGCTGCGCAAATTTCGAAACTCGATGAAGGCGGTACACAGGGGTACGGCACGATTTTCCCGTGCCCGTCTTCTGTGGAGATGGCTGCAGCCTCCGGGGGAATCATCCTACCAACCTTGTTTTTGAGAACTTCTAGAACCTGCTGACCGTAGACCGCCTATCAATGAGTAGGACGCACATAGATTTCCCGACGCCGGCCTAGCAACCCTCCCCATAGTTGAGAATGGCTCTTATGAAGGTCAACCATATTCAGGCAGTGTAGACGAAACTTTGCGGCTACACGCGTCATGTCTAGGAAGTAAGGAGATGTGCTCTATGGTGACCACCACCGCTGAGGAGTTGCAGCAATCGCTAATATGAAGCAATTCTTTGGAAGCCCCTGAGAAACTTCTTTCCGAGGCCCGACAAGGGTGCTCTCGCAATGCAGGCTCGCTTCGGCCGTTTCATCCCTGATGGAACCCGGCTCAAGTCCTTTCTGGGAGTATGAGCAGCCCAACTGCTGCAGGGCAGCATCATTTGCCGCTGCTACGGCAATGGACCAGACACCTCGAGCAAAGGTTCCAAACGCCTGGCACTTGGGATGCTCGTGCAGATGGGTAAATGCAGTACGACGGTGCAGAAAGTTTTTGGAGGATCTCTAAAACCCTTTGTTGTCTTGGCGCTTGCGCGGAAGTATGGCAGCCCGAGAAAGCGTGCCTCATAAACCCTCGATGTTCCCCAGACTCGGCCCCATCTGAAAGAGCCGTTCTCAAGACTTTGCCGCTCCCGGCGAAGATCAGCAGTCCACTGTCCCCTAAACGAGCACGCTGGTCAGGGTCTGTAGCTCCGCCGATCCAAGATGTCTTCCAACGACCCGCCCGCTGGGCCGCCTTTCTTCGTGGATGGGGTCGAGGTCTTGGCCTTAGCACCACCAGGCTACATTGTCAACTTTGCCAACCCGCCGCAGCGATTTGCAACGGAGCATTATGTCGTTTTTGCCGTCATGGGGACGTTGGCGACCGTCGCTCTTGCTCAGAGGCTGTTCACGAAGATGGTGCTCTCGAAAGGCTTAGGAGTCGATGATGGTGAGGATCTGCAACATGGCTGATCGTTCCGGTCCGGATGCTGACCTGCTCCAACACGTAGGATTCATGGTAGCTTCCTGGGTACGTTCGAGGAAGAGAGCAATGTTCTCCAGCACGGCAGTCGCTGACTGAAACAATGTAGCTTGTGTCTCTGACTACGCAAGCATTGCTTACGCGTAAGTGGCCGTGCCGCCGGGACCAGCCTCTGACAGGAACTGACCTTTCCAGATTCGTTCCACATTGGTGGCCTGGGAGTGCACATCTTTGAGATGCCGCTCGAGCGGTTCGTTTATGCAATGACTGTCCGTCTCCCGCCCCTCTCCAAGCATGTAGGCGCTCTGACTGACAGGAGGTGTTTCGACAGCTCGCGTACGCCGCTGGCGGCCTGTTCATGCTCTGCGGCGGCCTTGCCAAGCTCTCCCTGCTGGCGTTCTACCTGCAGCTCTCGCCCGAGCGGTGGTTCCGCGTCGCGGTATGGACTTGCATCGCCTGCGTCTCGACCCTCACGTTCGTCATCACGACGCTGCTCTTCTACCACTGCACACCCGCTCGCGCGTCATGGGATGTGCTTACCACGGGCACGTGCGTGGACACGGGCATCCTGTACATGGCGACGGCGGTGCAGAACATTGTCACTGATATTGTCATCTTCCTGTTGCCGATTCCAATGGTACTGGGGCTTCAGATGGGGCGCAGACAGAAGATTGGGGCGCTGGTTATTTTCGGAATCGGCTCCATGTAAGTATTCTGGCCGCGCGCGCGCCACGATAATCTTGCTCTTATTACTACCACTCCTCGGGGCAAAGCTAATACCTGTCATCTCTCATCCACCAGTACAATTGCCACGTCCGCCATCCGACTGGGCCTCTTGCCCGCGTTGCTCAAACAAGCCGACGTTACATACGAGGCCGCGCCCCCCAACATCTGGTCATTCGTCGAGGTGAATCTGTTCGTTATATGCGGGTCACTGCCTACGCTGCGCAAGTTCTTCAAGCACTTTGCGCCGAGGCTTGTGGGGAGCTACGGCTACAGCAACAGCACCCCTTACGGCCGCAGCGGCGCGTACGGCAACAACAACAGCCATGCGTACGGCAAGAAGTCACAACTCAGCCGGCCCGGCGACTACAACAGGTTCGGCGGCGGGCGGGACGGGCATGAGACCGAGGACGAGATGGAGCTGGGCGTCGTCGTCATGGACAAGAGCAGGCGGGTCACCGCGGACGCTGTTGCGGTGCGGTCGTCGAGGAAGGACACTGGGGCGGGAGACAATGAAGAGAGGCACATGCGGGATGACGGGAGCGATAAGGCGATCCTCACGACCAGGACGGTTGTGGTCGAGTATGAATAGAAGTGGTGAGGTCGTGGTGCAGTGGTCTCCTTACCAAGACATGAACCGATCGTAACAGGCAGGCCGGGGGAGGAAGTTCAACATGCCCAATGTACAACAATGGCCGTCCGTATAAGCTAATTAGGTCAGATGAGAAACTATATAATCTGTACGACTTTGCACAGCTCATATCTGCCACTCTTTACCACGCCCAAGCTCCATCACATTTAATAAGCTCGGGGAGCCTGTCGTCTTGGCGTTGTTGCAGTGTTGTCGTTTGCTCGGTAGGATCCTGGAAATGGGGCGGAAGATGATGGAATTGTGTTTTTGGAGCGGCCCTGCTGGGCCATTTCCGGCATGCGAGACATCTCCTCTGCCAGGGTTCATCCGTGGTGCGGTACGCTATGAGGTTGAACCATTTTCACACCAGCGCCTCAACCGTCTGATTCATTGTTGGTTAAGATGGGCATTTGCCAGGTGGTACCGTGTTTCTCGCCGGCCACGGAGCGGACTCCGGTAATTGTATGCACTCCGGGATGCCTGTCAAGGCTGTCATCGCCGGCACAGCCAATCTGGGGTGGGCACATGTGGGAATTGTTTCATTGGCACACGTCAACACTACGGGGCTCTAAGTTAGCTGTGCCGACCAGATCAACAACCACCACTCCAAGTTGAGGCACTTTTTGATTGGCACTCACCTCGGGAGCCAAGGTTGGCCGTTCCGAGCTAGCGGGGATTGCTGGGTCGATGCCGTCATTGCCTGACGGCGACCGGCCTGTGAGAGTATTACCTAATAAAAGAACAGGGGCCCGGGGTCCGGCAGTGCTTGTGCAGGGTGAGGCACTCGGTGCTCGGTCTTGCGACGAGTGCGAACGTGTCTTGGCTGGTCTTCACGATCGAGGGCCATGACGCTCGATCACGATGGGCGTCGATTGATGGGCGGCACAGGGCGTTGCAATGGAACATGTAGATATGTTATATGTAGCCGGCTCGCAAGCGATTCGGGTCTGCGAAGCATTCGACTGTGACCAGGCTGCTCACGCTGTTGTAGAATCAGACAACCGCCTGCATCTCTGTCTTCAAGACCCTTGCACCCACACGCACATGATGCAGCTCCCGCTCCTCCTCGCAGGCATCGCCGCCTCTGCCTCTGCCGCCTGCGCCTCGGGCGTCGTTCCCTCTCTGTGGGACGGCGAGTGCTTCTACCCAGCGGCGGACATTGGCTTCGACCTCGACAGCTACATCGCTGGCCGGTGGTACCAGGTCGCCGGTACCGTGGCCCCCTTCACGGCCGGCTGCAAATGCATCTATGCGCAGTACTCGCTCGATGGCGACGGCAACGTCGCCGTCAACAACACATGCGAGGCTGCCGGCCGCGCCGTCAACATCCTCGGCACCGCCAAGCCGGCCAACGCCACGTATGGTGCCGCGGGCGTGCTGAGGGTCCAGTTCCCCGGTACTCCGGAGCCGGAGTGCCCTGGCCCCAACTATATCGTCCAGGGTAAGTGGTCATGCTCCTTGGCTGTGAGGGAGCTCGCGACAAGCTGCGCCACATGCTGATATTCGCTGCCCAGACTACACTGGCGACATTGCTCTTGTCCAGGCATCCAACTTTTCCACCCTCTTTGTGCTGAGCCGCAAGCAGCATCTCGAGGAGTCGGTGCTCGATGTAAGTTGTGCAGGGCGCGCGCTGGCCAAGCGCGTTTCCCACAGAAACATCACCGGTCAAGAACACCCAGGCTGACAAAACGCACCGCAACGCAGGCATGGATTGCGTGTGCTGGTCGGCTCGGCTCGAATCTGGCTGATGTCGTCAAGACGGATCAGACCGACTGCGCATTCGTGTAGTGCTATGTAAAGGGCCGACCGTTGGACTGTTGTTGGAGGGCTGTCGACAAAAGACGCTTTCCAGTGGACAGCCGAACTCTGAGGCGAGAAGTGCTTCAGATCTTCTTTTGATAGAGGTAGCTATTAATAGTCGTAGAAAGCGATCGAAACTTAGACAAGTAAATAATACGGTAGAATTGAGCTTTCTATTTCTTTTATTCTGTTGCCCAAATCATGATGTCACTAAAGTTTAGGATGCTTCTTTGAATTGAAAAGAAATGAGGGAAAAAGCAATTGCGGAAAAGATGATAAAAAAAGGAGGGAGGGGGCCGGCGGGCGGGAAATGTTTAGGGAACGCAAATTGACGAGATAGTTTTGCAGACAGAACAAAGAGAAACGCGTAAAGCTGGGAAGACTATGCTAAGCTCGTTGTGTATGCCTCTCACAACTCCATCTAGGTTCGACAGATACTCGACGCGCTCGACTCGACCCGCCAAGGCAGAGTCTGGATGCAAACCAGCGTTACATGCTGTCATCCAGCCGGGGAAGACGAGCAGATGCCACCACCCCAGGATGACTTGTAGGCACGAGACCAGAAAGCTCAGCCGTCCCATGCAGACACACGCGTGCGCGCACGCCAGCTGAATCAGCTGGACAGACAGAACGCAACATCAACGTTGGAATGAATGCGACCCGGGATCGCCAAGGCCAACTGCCAGCATTGGCCCCCTGCTGTAGCTGTCTGGGGGAGCATGCTGTGCCATCACGGCCAATTTGGCTGTGCCCTGCGTAAGCCGGCGGGGTCGACCAAATGGTCAGGCTCCGCCCCCAGAAAATAGATCGGCCACGAGAGCACGCCAGTCGTTGTGACGGGCTACTTTAGTCTTCCGCGGGCGGGCAGACCCCCGAGCGATGGGAAGTGGAACAGCACTTATCTTCTCCGACGATGATAAGAGCCGTTAGCTGTATGACTGTGGAGCAGACGCACGCCTTGTCAGCGGCCGTCTCCACGGAGCTGCATCCTGACAACTTGGTGGATGGCAAGCGTATGCCCTCTGCACCTCTCTGGCCGGCTCCAGGTTCAGTTGTGGCCGCAGAGATCTCATATGCTCATGGTATGGGCGCGCAACAAATGACCCTTTGCCCGATGACCAGGACCGGGAAGGCAAGTCTGTCTCCCACGTGCGATGCTAATTGCGACTCGTCCTGCCAGTCTGCAGCACGTTGGGGGCAGATAAGGCGCCATTGGCCCAGAGGGCCCCAGGCCAGAGCCTCGGCGGGCGGGTGCCTTGCATCAACTCATTTCGGGGTGCACCGGTCCAACCCCTGTAGCGGCCCCAGGCTCGCGGGAGCTGCCCAGGCTGCGCTGCTCACCTTCCTGGAGCAGCATGGCGCGCTTCTTGGCATTCTACGATGGTGGTGGTTGTTCGTGCGCTGCTCGTGTATCTCCAGCAGATACACCTCTCCGCTTCAACGACATGTCCTGTGGACAACGACGGATAACCGGCTGACTCGCAGGTCTTCGCCAAGACGTGATCGCAAGGATGGGGAACCAAGGCTTGGCTGCTGATACTGGTTGGGGTCCGGACCGGCCGCCTGGAGCCGGTCATGACGATATTTAAATATTCTCGACGATCCCACCCAGATCTCGCAGATCCCTCCTGGCTCCAGCAGGCGCTTCCGACACGGGACAGTGTTTTTCACTCTTTCAAAACCTGTCTGACAGCCCAGTCACTCGCTTCCTCTGGTCAAATTGTCAACGGATCCACCACTGGCTTGTTTCTCCTCTTCCTCCTCGCCAGCATGAAGCACACCTTTGCGGCCGCGGCCCTTGCTGCCGCCATGACGGCCGGCCTGGCAGTGGCGACGCCGTCCAAGATGCCCGAGGACATGCTGCAGACCACGCGCATGAGAAAGAGGGCCATCAATGCCGACGGGGACTTTCACATGTGTAAGTTGTTGTCGACACCAGCAATCACACGCGCGGCCACACAGACACCAGAGAGCATGGATTGTTCACGCGGATACAATAATGGAAGAGGCGAGGCTGACACATGTGGGCTCGTGATGATCCATCGAAACAGCCTTCTTCCACATCAACGACGTGCACGCGCACCTCGACGAGTTTGCGTCGTCGGGCTCGGACTGCACGAACCCGTCCCGGGGCTGCTGGGGCGGCTACGCGCGCATCAAGCACACGATTGACGAGCTGCGGCCGCAGCAGGAGAGCTCGCTGTGGCTGAACGCGGGCGACGAGTTCCAGGGGACGCTCTTCTACTCGTACTACAAGGGCGAGAAGATTGCCGAGACGCTCAACCAGCTGGGCTTTGACGCCATGACGCTCGGCAACCACGAGTTTGACGGGGGCGACGACGAGCTGGGCGAGTTCCTGCTGAACCTGACGTTCCCGGTGCTGTCGGCCAACATTGTGTCGACGCACCCGGCGCTCAACCAGACGATCCTGCCGTACCACATCTACGAGGACCTGGGCGTGGCGGTGATTGCGTGCACGACCGAGACGACGGCGAGCATCTCGAACCCGGGCGACGGCACGCAGTTCCTCGACGTCGTGTCGTCGGTGCAGCGGGCGATTGACGAGATCCGGGCGACGACCGACATCAAGCGCATCGTGGCGCTCACGCACATTGGCTACGACGAGGACCAGCGCCTGGCCCGCGAGACGACGGGCCTGTCGCTCATCATGGGCGGGCACTCGCACACCAACCTCGGCACCATCAACCCGGCCGTCTCCGAGGGTGCGTACCCGACGATTGTCGAGAACGCGGCGGGCGACGAGGTGTTCATCGTGACGGCGTGGCGCTGGGGCCAGTACCTGGGCTTCATCGACGTCGTGTTCGACGCCGAGGGCCGGGCCGTCTCGTACACGGGCGGGCCGATCAACATGGACAACACGACGGCGCAGGACGAGGGGCTGCAGGCGCAGATTGACGCGTGGCGTGTGCCATTTGAGGAGTTTGCGGCCGAGGTGGTGGGCTACACCAACGTGGAGCTGGTGCAGGCGACGTGCCAGACGGCCGAGTGCACGCTGGGCAACGTCATGAGCGACGCGATCCAGGCCTACCGGTCGACCGCGGCCGACTTTTCGCTCATCAACGCGGGCGGTATCCGGGCGGCCATTGACGTGGGCAACATTACGCGGGGCGAGGTGCTGACGTCGTTCCCCTTTGGCAACGCCATTGTCGAGTTCCCGATGAGCGGCGCCGACGTGCTGCGCCTGCTCGAGGGCTGCGTGTCGCGCGTCAGCCAGTTCAACGGCAACCCCATCACCTCGGGCTTCCAGGTCTCGGGCACCCTCAAGGTCCAGTACAACCCGGCCCAGCCCGCGGGCAGCCGCCTCGTGCGCGCCCTCGTCAAGGGCGTCGAGGTCGACCCGGCCGCCACGTACACGGTCGCCACGCTCGACTTCCTGGCCGGCGGCGGCGACAACATCTTCCCCAAGGTGGCCAGCCCCGTTGTGCTCGACCTCCAGGCCGACGTCCTGACGCGCTACATCCAGGCCGAGTCGCCCATCGACATTGCCATCGAGGGCCGCATCGAGACCGTCTCGGAGATCCCTGGTGGTGGTGGCGGTGGTGGTGGCAGCAGCAGCACCATCACGAGCTCGTCTGCCTCGGCTACTTCTTCTTCTTCGTCGAGCTCGTCTTCGGCCTCTGCCTCTGCCTCTGCCTCTGCCTCTGGCAGTGTCACCCTCTCGTCGTCGTCGTCGTCATCGTCATTGTCATCGGTCTCCACCACATCCGTGTCGTCAGTGCCGACTGCTGCTCCTACCAGCACTGGTGGCGTCTACCCGACCACGACCCGTGGATGCAGACGCCGGCCGCGTCCCACTGCCAACTAGACGGTGGCTGCCAGGGAGGATGTGGGTAGCTATGAAGAAGCGACGTCAGGAGTGAGCCAGCATAGCAGATAAAGTAATTGTAATGATGACAAGAGCGGTTCAATCACTGTGGCGTTCCTGATTAGTCGTGTGAGTGAGCTTGGCGAGTTGCACAAGTAAGATGACCCGGCGACTTGAGTGAGAGTGATCCTTGACAGGCGATGGCAGCCACAGTGAAGTCAAGTGAGTGAGTGAGTCGCACCACAAGTGAGTGAGTGCCCAGCTGCAGTGAGTGTGAGTCTGAGCGAGTGTGCTCAGCTGCACAGTGCTTATCGGGCGGTGGCCAATGGGTCGATAAGCCCTGTGGGTGGCGCCTTCCAGCGGCCGAGGCTTCCGCCCAGACGCGCCTGCAGCACGCGTGCACTCCCGTCGCTCGTCCACACCTGCCTGAGGCAGTCTGGACTGACGGCTGTTTTGCCTCTAGCCAAGACGACGAAAGGCGCACGACGACGAACGACGACGACACCGCCATGGCCAATCTCCAGCTGGGCCTCGAGATTGCCTTTTACCTCTACCCGGTCGGCCTCTTTGCCGCCCTCTTCGCCTCCCAGCTCGTCGCCTATCGCTACCGCAATGCCCCTCGCGCAACCACCGCCAGCGACCAGGACCGCGCAGATGGCCTGCGCAAAGTCTATGCCCGCCTCATCTACGCCGTCCAGCTCTTCCTCCCGCCGACCCTGGTATGCTCTCTCTCTAGGTCCCCGTGTCTCTGTCTCGTGTCCACGGCTGAGCAATGGCTGACTGACCTTTGCTTGCCTGCCCCATTAGCTGGCCAGTGTCGTCCTGATTGTCGCCCATGCCGTCCACGACAACGACCCCAAGCCGGGGCATGCCGTCTTCCCCTACAGCGCCTATCTCGTATGTCAACCGTCTCCCCGCGTCTGCCGTCTTTACTCAGGCTGCCTTTCCTCCTAACTCATCTTTGACCACCGTCACCAGGCCTCCCATGTCGGCGTCCTGCTCTACTTCCTCGCCGGCCTCCTGCCCGACCCGGACGGGCCCTGGACGCCCACCCCTGCCCACGCCCACGCCTGGCTCGTCGCGGTTCTCCTCGAGGTCGTCATCAATGCCGTCATGCTCACCCAGGCTCGCCATGCCCCTCTGCCCCCCTCCCTCATCAGGACCCTCTTCATTCTCGGCATGGTCCGCGTCGGCCTCCTGTGCTTCATGATCGCCCTTATGGCCCATTGGCGCTACCGCCTCCGGCCCGAAAAGGCCGTCGCGGACGACGAGACAGAATCCCTGCTTGGCAATGGTGCAAAGAATGGCTCTCCTGGCGCCGGCAAGGGCTATGGCTCCACAAACGGCACCACTCCGGCTCCGGGCCCGTCTGCTGGCAAGCCTCGTGATGCCCAGAGCTCCGGGTGGTTCGACTACTTTGCCGGTTTTAGGGTGCTGTTCCCTTACCTATGGTACGCGCAATCTCTGCCTCGCAACTCGTCGTTGCAATCGTGTCAATTTCACCCGACTAACCAAAGGCTACTACTTCAGGCCTGCCGACTCGCCCATGCACCAGCTGGTGGTTGTGCTATGCGTCATCCTGCTTGTCGCCCAACGTGAGTATCTAGTCATTGACAAGCCCATGACTTGCCATTTCATCCCTGCATCTCTGCCCAACCCACAGTGCTGACTGACTTTGCCCAGGCATCGTACAACTTGCCGTGCCTTGGCTTCTCGGCCAGCTCGTCGGCTCCCTTGGCAGGGGTCATATCCCATACAAGCAGGTCGTCCTTTACATCATCTTTCGCGGCCTTCAGGGCGGCCAGGGAGCGATCGGCGCCGCGCGATCTGTGCTCTGGATCCCCGTCTCCCAGGGCTTGTTTCGCCGACTCTCCTGCGCGGCTTTCGAGCACGTCCTCGGCCTGTCGATGGACTTCCACCTCAGCAAGCGCATCGGCGAGGTGACAAGCGCGCTGAGTCGCGGCGCCGCCATGAACACATTTCTCGAGAATTTTCTGTTCCAGGTATTCCCCATGATTGCCGACATCTTTCTCGCCGGCATCCTCTTCTTCTTCACCTACGACGCCTTCTACACGCTCATTGTCTTCGTAATTATGTGGACGTACATCTTCTTGACCATGTACATGGCCAAGTACAGAGGGCGCCAAAGGCGCGACATGGCAACCAAAGCACGCGAGATGGACGCAGCCAAGTATGTAGTCATCACTCCCCCCAACAGTCGCATTTCTAACTCTACGAAACCAGAACGGACGCCATCATGGCCTATGAGACAGTGCAGTACAACTGTGCCGTCACCGCTGAGACCACCAGGTTCCGAGACCAGGTGACGATTTACCAAAAGGCGGAGCGGCTCGTTCTTCTGTCACTCAATCTGCTCAATGTCACGCAGAGCTCCGTCTTCACGCTCGGCACAGCCATGATCGTGGGCGTTTCGGCCTACAAGATATCCATTGGCCAGCAGACAGTGCCGGACTTTGTCACCTTGATCACTTACTTTGCGCAGCTCCAGGCCCCACTAGGTTTCTTTGGCACGTGAGTGCATTCGAGCTACGCCTTTGTCATGAATTGGGCTTTGCTGACAGCGGGGCGACAGGTACTACACTATGCTGCAGAACAATCTGATCGAGGCCGAGCGCATGCTGGATCTTGTAAGCCCATCCCGGGCCCCTTGTTTTCTCTCACTCTCTCTCTGCCTCATGCAAGGTCGCTGACAACAACTACAGTTCAAGGAAACGTCTGGCATTGTGGAGAAACCCGATGCTAAGCCCATGGCCACACCCAAGGGCGAAGTCAAGTTCAACGACGTCCGCTTCTCCTACCAAGGTAAGGGCCCCGCGATCGACGGCATCAGCTTCACCGTGGCTCCGGGGACCAAGACCGCGCTGGTCGGCGAGTCGGGCAGCGGCAAGTCGACGTGCCTAAAGCTGCTGTACCGCTTCTACGACATCAACAGCGGATCAATCACAATTGACGGCCAGGACCTGCGCGACGTCAAGCTGGACAGCATGCGCAAGCACATCGGGGTCGTGCCTCAGGACACCGTACTCTTCAATGCCACCATCATGTATAACCTGCAGTATGCGAACCCGGACGCAACTGAGGAGCAGGTGTATGCAGCAACCCAGGCAGCAAACATCCACGACCGGATCCTCAATTTCCCCGAGGGTTACAGCACCAAGGTTGGCGAGCGGGGGTTGAAATTGTCTGGTGGTGAAAGGCAAAGGGTATGTGCCTCTAAAGTCGTGCCCGCGGATCCGGGATGTGAGGTAACTGATTGCTGACTGTTGTGCCAGATTGCCATTGCCCGCGCCATCCTCAAAGACTCGCGCATCCTCTTACTCGACGAGGCTACGGCGTCCCTCGACTCGCAGACGGAGCGCTTGATTCAGGACGCTCTCGAGCGGGTCACTCGTGGCCGGACCACAATCACCATTGCGTAAGCTCAGGCTCTGCCTTATTCCAAGATTCGCCCAGCACCAAGACTGCGGCCGTACTGACGATGCGATAATAGCCATCGCCTTTCAACGATCACGACATCAGACCAGATCCTGGTCCTCCATGCGGGTCAGGTGGTCGAGCGCGGCACACACGACGAGCTGCTGGGCCTGCGAGGGCGGTACCACGCCATGTGGGAGAAGCAGACCACGATTGAGAAGAAGGCCGAGGAGGCGGCAGAGGCAGTACAGACTGTGGAGGGCGCGACGGCGTAAGTACTACGACTGCAGAGCGGGTCAGATAAGCATCAGACGTACGGTCAATGAAATACATCGCGGCTGCTATTTGCCAAGCCATCTTGAGAATATTGCCGACGCGACACCTGCCACGAGATGCTGTAGCTCGAAAGGCTCAGACTGTGCCTGATGAGAAAGTATTGCCGCTCGCAATACCAAGAGTATCACGTTGTCCCCTGCATGATGCCGACGCAACCGTCACCGGTCTTGGAAAGATTACACGGTACCTTTCAACTTGTCCCTTACAACTACTCACTGCGCTGTCTCCACATTGCCACGCAGCCGTATCATCGCAAACCAAAGGAAAACATCGATCATCATAAAATGGCTGTTTGTGGGCCATCTCAGACTGCGTTTCTGTCTCAGGACCTCCGTTCTGCGTGTCGCGGGTTGTTGATAAACGTCCGCTGTGCGTATGACCCCCTTTGGCTTATTGAACTGATCCAGGCAAGACCTCCGGTTGGTGGCTGACCCTAAACAAGCTGAAAGCTGAACAGCCACGCGCCCGTTACCGCTTTAAGCGACAACCTTCAGACATGTTCTTAGTCTGCCCTATGATATCGCTCCCGGCCAACTGCGCTTGGTTTATCGATGTGCATTTCAGCGTTCCAATGTGTCGCTACTTGAGACATGCGTGCCGCGCTTGGGCGGGCCAGGGAAGAGTAGATTTCTGCTGTGTTTCACAGCATGTGTAGTGTTCGGAGTACAAATTCGTGGCACACGCTGGGCTGGTTTCTGTTATCTTCCGAGATTCCATCGTCCACTTCATCCCATTCTTCAGAAGAGCCTCAACAAATACCCTCCATAATGCATAAGACCTTCCTCCGTGGTGTCTTGCTGCTTGGCTTGCCTGTCTGCCATGCTCATCTCGACGCCCAGCATCCTCTTGCCCTCCCTCACGCCGACCACTACAACGAGGACCTTGGCCCCTTAGACCTTGACAGCCCTATCACGACGCTCAAGTTCAGTGCCCCTGCAAACGGGAAGCAATGCACTGGTAAGCAGAAAACCGATCAGCCACCATGCTGAACGAAACTGTCCGATAATGGCAAGACATGAAAACTGACAAGACATTACAGCGCAGAACACGCAATACGCGTTCACGAACGCGGAGCTCACAGACGCCCTGGAGATGGCGGAGGCGTGCTATGACTGGAACCAGGGAAGAGTTCCAAAGGCGCCTACCTGCTGCGAGATGAGCCCAGGCCCGAACCCCACAATCAGAGACGACTGCTGCAAATATGTTCGAGGTAAGATTTGTGACACGGGCCCTCAGCCGGGGAGGAAGGGTGGGGATTTAGCAGTGTCTATTGTTCTTTTAGAGAATCTTTACCGCTAACTAAACATGTGTCACAACGAAGCCAAACCCCCGCCGAAGGGGTACCCGAGCAAATTCGACAACATGGGCAACAAGTTCCCAGTCCAGCGGCCCCCCAACCCCAAGGGCCAGTGGCCAAAGAGCCTGTGGGAGTTTCCTCTCCAGCCGGGCAGTCCGACGGCGTGGTGCGGCGGCGCGCCGGGTGCCGTGCGCCTCATCATGAACGACAATTACGACTATGTGGGGATCCTCGTGCATGACAAGGAATTTGTCCATCCTGGCTATCAGGGTTTCGTGGAGTGCGTCTAGAGTGAAGGGGTCTGGCCGGCCTGGGGAGGAGGGGGGGGGGGTGGACAGATGAAGCGGCATTGGGAAGCATACTTGTGAGGGCTAGGAGGGTATCCTCTGCGGACAATGGATGTCGGCCTTCCGTGTCTACTACAACAAGGCGAGCTGCTCCTACCGCTCATAGCCAGGACGGAGGTTGACCCCGGAACCCCACGGCAGTTTGAAGGGGGCAGGGATAAGGGAGAGTCACGTTCTGGAGTGTGAAGGGAGATTGTCGTGACCGGTTATAAGCTAAGCAGAACGAAGTCCCGGAAGAACACTAATTAGGGCTCATGATAGTGCCAGACACAGCCAGCAGCCTAAGGCTCAAAAACCAGTGCGCGATCACCGACTCTGTTGTCCTGGGCTTGGAAGGCAGATAGATGTGTGGTGCTGAGGTGGAGAATCACCTTAATTCTTTCTTTCCCTAGTCTTGCTGGTCTATTCTCCGAAGTACAGCCCATGGAGTAGGATATCCCATTGTCTGCAAACCAGTGAATGGCACAGAAATACTTGTCTGGCGCCACTTGTCCCGTCAAACCTACTGGCTAATGGCCAGGGAAGTACTGAGTTCGTTCATGCTGTGATGCTTCGTAATCCACCTGCATTCTTGCCTGCGATTGCAACATTAGTATATGCCGACCTCCTCACACTCCCATGTCTCCATGAAGTGCCAAATGGTCTACTGCTTCCAGCCTCCATAGTCACAAAAGCCGGCACGCCTCTGTACATGAACGTGCTGCCGCGCGACCTTTAGAAAGAGAAAGATGGCGAGCAAGTCCTCTTTCTTCGTATCTTGCAAAAATAGACGTGTCGTTGGAGGTCCCTATTGCGTCATGTGTGCATCGTGCAGACGGCAAGGCCTGCGTTGCGGCCAGGGCGAGGCACCAGAACAGATTTCCGGGCCAAGCCACACTCGTCACTGTCAGCTTGTCCCCTGCCGCCTCGTGCCAATCGGTTGGCCTGCGCAGTCTCTGGTTGCAGTGAGGCGGTTGTCGGCGCCGACAAGCACTCCGGATCCTTGCATGCTAGATTTGCCAAACAAGTAGTATGGACGGTATCGCACAGCTCATTGCTCAACCCCTGTATCTCGCATCCCTGGCCCGCATTGTGGGAATGGACCCCCTGCCCCTGATCCGTATTTTCCTTGCCTCAACAGCGCCGGCCCCCGCGCAAACAGGACTAGCTTGGGGCTAGTGGGCGGTTGGTCGCGTCTGACATGCATTTCGCTATCGGTTTCGGAGGGCCAGGACGCACGCATCTACCCAATGGTGGATGGCTCTCAGGCTCTCTACGTGCCAATTCGCACAGGATATCGACAGAGGGCGTACCCCATTGGCGCGTGTAAGGCTGAATCGGTGCCCGCCAGTCACATCGACCGTTTTCCAGGATTGGAGCAAGCGGGTCAAATGGTCCTGGTGGCAGCCAACTTCTTTAAGGCAGGTGGATTTGCTGCCGCGCGACAAAGCCTGTGGCGAAACGCGTGACCTTGATCAGCTCAAGGCTGTGTATAAAGGTGATCCTTCTTCCGCGCTGGTTGTCACTTCAATGCGTCTCCGCCTTGCCCAGGGACGCAGGGAATTGCGCCAACACGGCCGGTGTCTAGGTTTATTCAGGTCGTTCCTCCAGCACCCAACCAGCGGATACTCAATCCAGGGGCCACAATAGGACCCTTCGTGCCGTGCCGGACGCCACATCCTTCAGCCACGATGCATATCGCCTCGATCACAGTAGGCCTTCTGGGCGTTCTAGCTGCTGGTGTCTCGAGCATACCCACCTCACCAGCTGCCGGTATTGCAACCCGCCAAGCCACTTGCACCACAGACAACGCCATTGTCCGCAAGGAATGGACTGCCATGACCCGGGCTGAGCGCCTTGCTTACATCTCTGGCATCAAGTGCTTGCAATCTCTGCCTTCGCGTTTCCCTGCAGGTCTCATCCCTGCCGCCATCAACAACTACGACGACTTCACGGCGGTGCACATCAACCAATCCTTCTCGATCCACATCTCGGGCACCTTCCTCTCATGGCATCGCGAGATGTTGCACATCCTCGAAGGGGAGCTACACTCAAAGTGCAACTACCCGGTGCAGCTTGGCATTCCGTACTGGAACTGGCTCAAGGATCCCCTGCTCGACGTGTCTCCCATCTTCTCGGGCGCCGACGACACTCTTGGCTCGAACGGCGATCCTGACCCGAACCCGCAGCCGATCCAGCTGACCGAGAACGTCTCCATCCCTCACGGCACTGGCGGGCTTTGTGTGACCAAGGGCCCATTCGCGAACATGGAGATCCGCTTCGGCCCCTTCTCTCCGTTGCTCATACCCGGCGGCGTGATACCTGCGAACTGGACGGCCTCTAACCCCCGCTGTCTGACGCGGGATTTCAACCCCTACATTTCGACGACACACTTGAACGTAGCCTTTGTCACGCTGCTGCAGGCATCCTTGACAATTGCCGATTTTCAGGACCGGTTGACGCCGACCGCGTTGGGGGTCACGGGCTTGGGCTTGCATCGCGCGGGACATCTTGCGTTGGGTGGACCAGCGAGCGATTTCTTTGCCAGTCCTCAGGATGTGAGTCGGTTTCTCTCTATATTTTTTTGTGGCCTTGAATGCATGAAAACCATGTCTCCTGTTCCTGGGGGCCTGGCAGCACTGGATCCGCGTCCGAGGCGCGCTTGCAATCTAGACCACGATCCTCTTTCAGACTGCCCGAATAGCAAGGAACATCGCCTAGGCGAGTCGAAACATCGAGCTAACCTTTATTTTGCTGGGAACTCAGCCAAGCTTCTTCCTACACCATTCTCAGGTGGATCGCATGTGGACGATCTGGCAGGACAGCGACATCACCAGCGGACGACGGTACGCGTACAACGGGACCAGCACGACGAACAGCCCAGTCGGGGTCACGCCCGAGGTGAACAACTCGACCGTCATCACTTTTGGCCCACTTGGGGAAAGCATTTCCTTAGGGGAAGCGGCGGACCCCATGGCAGGGAGGTACTGCTACCGATATGAGTAAGGTAGGTTGTCGAGCGGCTTCGGCAGAATGGAGATGCTCAAGTATAGGTCACAGGAGGCTTGTTTGCCACTGTAATAGTTTACTGCTACTGCAGGAGTTGACCGCCATGACCGATCGAGCAAGGGTCTTTGACTGTGGCTGGAACATTCACATCTTGTTAGAAGCGCATCCACAAGCACATACGACCATAGGATCAAGAAAATTGAGGGTCCCGTCCGCTCCCCTGTTACACAAGCTTGATACCGCCGAACTAGTAGTTGGGTCGGTGACGACCAGCGAATCCTCGGTGTTGTATGTTTTATTTTTATTTTTCGGCTTTCATCATTTTTGTCATTTTTCCGGTCCTCGTTTGCTGCCACGTTGTCGTGGTATTGCAGCACGACAGTGGGACATCGCCATCGGCTACCCTTCGCCAGAGTGGAGGTTTCCATTGACTGGGTTTCGATACAGTCTTTGCATACATGATCAATGAAACAGTCTCTTCCAATTCCGTGGCTTGTACGTCATCGTCAATGGGTGTGCTGGCGCTGCTGCTTTCGGTAGTTGAAGAACCACCATGCCACGACGCTGCCCTTCCGCTATCTCCTCCTCTCTGGAGATAGATCATGCTTGCATAATCAAGGAAGACTTACCTACATGAAGTCGAAGAAGTTCATCCTTATTAGTGAAACAACGAATGTGCCGGGCACAGAGCGCGCACCTGACTATATTCAAATTGACAAAATTCAAGTGTGTACTTTACTTGCCATTATGCCTTTCCGTGCTACGAGTCGAGCAAGCACTAGTGCGCATTCTGAAATGGATTGATGGCCCAGTCAAGTAGAGGCAGTAAGTGTGCTTTGTCTGGTGTCCTACGTAAGGAGCAAAAAAACGCCCGTGCGTATTGATATCAAAGAGTTGATCATTACCTAGGTTAATTTATCGTGTCGTGTGACAGGCTAAGCTAGGTTGCAGCAGAGCACCTCAACGCTGCCTTAATTCTGCACTAAAACTTGCCACGAATTGCTACACTGCATCTCGGAGCCTGTGTGGCACAAATGGTCTTGCTAAGACGCATATAGTTGTCTTAAATTTCGTTCGCTTTGTTTAACAAAGTCTGGGTCGTGGCATTTTCACTGGGTAGGGACAGGCTCCCATACGGCTCGGCCATATGTGACGCTGAAGTCTCCAAGGTGCCTGGTGTGGTCGAAACTCAGATCGAGCCATTCTTGTCGTCCCAGGCTCTCGAACAAGCTCATGGTCTCGGGGCTGGGTCTCCAGTCGCCGACCTGCCACTGCACAACCGGCCCTTGTCCTTCCGTGTCGCCACCGGCAACGTACTTGACCCCCCACCGGTGCACCTTGTCCTCAAAATCATACGCCTCGAGACCATACTCGGGCGCCCTGGTCTCGCCTGGGTACCACCACAGGTATGCGAACAGCTCTGCGTCTTGCAAGTCGGGCATGTTGCCGTGGGCCACGGCCCGTGCGAAGGCTGCTAGCAGGGGCTCGATCCTCTCCCGGCAGGGCTCGGTCCGGAACATGTCGGGGAACTGGTCACCCTCTTTCCCGCCTGTCGGGTCGTCTTCCCATTCCTCGTCCAGCTCCTGATCCTCCTCCGTGTCATAGTCGCGCGGGTAGTGGTCCTCGGTGATACGAAACCCCCCGTCCGCCGAGTCGTTCGGGTCCTCGCCGCGGGGGCCGACAAAGTACCAGCGTCCGTCGGGCCTGAGCGGGTGGAACTCGATCCTCATACGGCGCATGTGTCGCCACTGCTCTTCCACGGGTGCTCCGGGCACAGGAAAGAGATCTTTGGTGATCAGGGCGCGGAGATCGAGGAAGTGTAGCTGTGAGGCCAGGGTGCGGAGCCCAAGAGACAGCGGGTCTCTGTCATCCGCGGCCGGGTAGATCAGGTTCGGCCTCGGGACGGCCTGATCCTCCTGGGACACTCCCCTCGGCGTCCAGAAGTGCAGCGCGGCACGGGTCAGGCTGGCCGGGATCCTCCTCCCGCCGAGATGCTGCTCCTGGTCCGCCATGGCCGCGCCAAACTCGTGGCGGGCATCGCGCAACGGACCCTCCCAGGGACGCGTGTAGTGCTCGCGCACGACCCGGCTGGGCATGGAACCAGGCATCGGGCGCTCCCACATCCAGGGCAGCCGGAGCTCCTCGGCTCGCGGAAGGTGGACCAGGCACCGCAGCGGCCACAGCAGCGAGAGCGGCCGCACCTTGTACGCCTCGCGCTCCCAGTCTCCGCCGTTGTCTGGCAGGGATTCGACCGTCAGGCTGCGCACAAAGGGCAGGTCCGGCAGCGTCTCCGGGTCCTGCAGCTGTAGCCGGCGCGAGTTGTACTTGCGGTGATAGCAGTATGGATCACCCTCAAATGTGTCTGGCTCGATGTAGATGCTCAAGCCGTGGCTGGCGGGCGCACTTGCGTCTCTCGTCTGGGAGTCGTGGGCGGCGAGCTGCTGGAAGAACGTGTGGATGCGCGCCGACAGGTGGGCGCTGATGGCAGTCGTCTCCTCGATGGGCTCGTGGCAGGGCAGAGGTTCCTCGGCGGAATGCAGCAGCCGTGGCATCGCCACAGTACACTTGAACTGCTGGGCGGTTCTGTCGGGCGAGATGGACTCCTGGATCTGAGCCCGGGCTCTCGCCTCGGGGTCTGAATCTTGTATACGAAACGGCATGATAATGGAAGAGCAAGAGACAATTGGTTGTTGTTGAAGCTGCCACGGAAGGCAAGGAGATTGGTTGGTGGAGTGAGTTGAAGACTTGGGGGGCCTCAAGGAGACCTGAAGCATCTTATATGCGTGAGAGGCATCGTGCCCCACTCTTATGACCAAACATGCACCCTGGTTATAGAGACTGTCGGTCCAGGGAGGAGATCGTCACCGTGCCAGGCACCAAGACCCCGCTTGATCTCCCACGGTAACCTCCGAGGGGGGCGTGAGGGTGTCTGTAGCAGGTCTGCCAAGCACTGCGTCGGTTGCGCCCGCCCCCCAAGGGTGGGACTTCAGGGGTCTTGAGTTGGTACATTCACAACGTGTGGACTCTGATCGTCCTCGGATAGAGCATAAAGAAACACCGACTTTGCAGATACTCGCATGAATATGCCATCTGCTGTGCCCATATTTCAGCGCCTCAAAGGCTCGTGTCATGGCTCTTTTGCAATATTCACTCCGGTTGAATCGGAGAGCCAGATTCTTTTCGGTGTTCAAAACGACCCGCGAACCATCTAGCTGTGGCGTCTGATTTTGATTTACATGATTATCTAAGTACAGGCTACGGGTATCTGCGCCTTTGCCAATCAGAATGGAGTAATCCAAGGCTGCAACCCGTTGATGATCACCTCCATGGTCTCAATGTCCTCGATCAGCTGCAGTGTCTGCAGCTTGCGGTCCGCCACGGCCTGCGTGTCTCCCTGCGCGGGAGCATACTCGGCCTTCTTGGCGTCGGTGGTCCAGAACTCCTTCATCTGGTTGTAGAAGTTGTTGATGGGCTCCATCGCCCGCTTCTGCATGGCGATGAAGCGGTACTTCATGAAGAAGTCCCACTGCTCCCGCAGCTGCATGGGCTGCCATGTCTTGTACCCGGGCCGCGGGTTCGCGGGCAGCACCGTGTTGTCGAGCAGGTCGAGAATGTCGCCGATCCTCCGCTTCTGCGCTCGGAGGACCGTGTACACCTCGACGTCGTTTTGGTAGTTGCGCAGGGCGATGCCGTCGCGCATCTTCAGGTAAGCCTTGCGCGCACCCGACGCCGAGAAGATGTAGTTGGCATTGCCGACCGTGAGCCACCTGTCCGTATTGACAATCCGGTTGTCGGCCCAGGCGTTCATCTTGATCGGGGTGTTGATTGAGCCCTGCAAGGAGACATATTCGTGCGCATTCCACCCATTGGTAGGGAATTGCGCGGCAATATGCTCAATCACTAAGAGGGTGGCTTGGCCATTTACCGACCTGGCAGATTCAATATTTGCGGTGACTGTGTGGGCAAACATTGCATTCACATAGGTGCATAGACTGACATCGCCGGTCGAGCCCAGGGCCGGACTTGGGAAGGCGTTGCCGTGTTCGCCATTGAGATAGTTGAAGAAGTCCTTGATCATCTGAGCCTCCAGGATGTGCTCCGAGTGGTAGTTGATGCCTGTGATACGGCTTGGCAGCGGATTGCCCCAGTGGAAGCTGCCGCACGTTTGGGGGTCATACCAGCCGTAGACATTGGCGTTGGGAATCGAGCTGTCGGTGGGATACCTGAACTTTGTCGTTGGCAATTGACAAATGTTGACATCTTTGTCATTGATGTTTCGCTCAAAGAGATGCGCGAGGCTGTCGTCTTCGTCAAGTGCTATCGCAAGAAGATCTGTCTCATTGGCACGGCGGTGATGATGGCCGTGAGGATGGCCCGATCCGTGACTGCGTCGGTGAGCGTCAAGATGACTGTGTAAGCGTTGCTCCAAAGGCGCGGATCTCTCCTTGATAGTCCCCTCATTAATAGACTCCAAGCTGGGACAGCCAATCTGTCCGTTGTCATCTTCGTCACCGTTGGCTGCAGGTGGGCAGAAGAGGTTGCCAATAGGAATGCGTATGGGCGGACCATAGACCCCACCTCTCTTAGAAAATGACGATGGGTGCGCACCGTGGGTACTGACAAGCTCCGGTCCCTCCCAAAGAGCAGGCAAGAGATGGCCTCCATACGGAGCTGCTGATGCAGAGTGGTTGTTGTTGTTGCTATCGCTTTGGATGAGATCCAAGCCCCTCTTCGTTGGAATCGGTCCAAGGTCGGGACATGTGCCCTTCTTGAATATGTTCTTTTTGCCCTCACTCAAGGTCACTTCGGCGCCGTTCCATCCAATGCCGAAGGGGTCTGGTGCAGTCACTCTAGCAAAGAGTCGGGCGCCGACGTCAAGTTCGTACGTGAACGGGCAGGTTCCCGCGCTCGATACGCCTGCTGTAAGTCCGGCAGTGACAGTTGCCTCTCCCACGACAGCTGCTCCAGCGGGCTCGACCTCCCACCTGTCATCAAAGCGGATGCCAAATTCAGCCGCGGCCGAGAGCTTGACCTCGATATCACCCGAGACGGCGACGCCAGCGTAAAACTCTGGTTTCTTGATACCTTCGAAATCTCCGGTGCGGGCGAGATCCGTCTCACTGTTGTCGATAAGCGAGGGCTTGTATCCGCTATTCTCTGGCACGACTTGGCGAACCTGGACAAAAGGGAGAGGGAGGAGTCAGCGAGAGATCCAATCTAGCGGGCCCGTGAAAGAACATGAAAAACAGGGGATGGGGGAACAGGCGGTGGCCACGGGTTACTCACATTCCATTTAGCGATTTGCAGCTTGGTCTCGACGGTGCCAGCCACAGCAAGACGGGCATCGATGCTGCCCTCGACCACAAGCTGGGGTCCGATCGTTGCAATACCCGGGATCTTGAATGATGCGCCCGGGAAGGGAATGTCGGCAATGACCTTCTTCTTGCCGTATTTCACTCTGGCGACAGCCTCGAGCGTCACGACACCGGTAACCTCGCCCTTGTTGTAGAAAGTCAGATAGCTCTGGCTCAGATCCAGGGGCAAGTCCAGACTGGTGACGATGAGGGTGAAGCCGAAGCTCGACTCAACCTTGACGTTGAGCAGAGCCTGGGCGAGTAGATGGCCATCATAGCCGACATCGCCCCTCTTGCACTCCCAAGTCTCGTCGATAAGTTTAGCTGTGACCGTATCGTCGTATTTGTGATGAAATTCACGCTTGATCTCGGGCTTAACAAGGGCCGCCAGCCACTCGAGGATGCTCTTGCCGAACCAACGCTCGTGCAAATCGCGCTTGTCAATCGGGTTGAGGTGGAAGTCATCTCTAAACTCTTCCTCGAGCCAGCGTACAGGGTTCCCGCCGACGTCCTCAAGCGTGCGCCTAGTAAGACCGTCTCTCTTTCTGCTGACAGATCCAGCAACAATGTTCTTCCAGTAGTCATCCTGATTACTAAAGTCAATGCGCATCTGAGTGTTGCCGAGATCACGCGGGACGCGGTGAAAGTTGTAGTCGAAAGTGAGGTCGTACACAACCGGCTTAAGCTGGGCAAGGTTGGACAGGTGGCGAGGTAGGAGGTTGGTGTGGTCGTCTCCCGGGCTTGGCACCATGGACTTGGCCACCGCGTACTTTCCGGGGCCGCAACCCTTGGGCATCTGCAGGATGGTGCCAGGGACGCCATGACCGAGACCAATCTTGCCGCAGTTGCTCTCGGGCGTGAAGTCGGTGCAGACCATGCGGACGGTGTGCTCACCCTCGGTGACGGCATCGTTGCAGTCAAAGACATCCCAGTGGGAGCCGTCGCGCTTGTCGAGTGATACCTGCAGCTCCTCGGGCGAGACTAGAACGACAAACTGGAAGGCAGCTTCATTGGGATCCGTGTCGCCGTTCGCAGACGACTTGTCCGTTTCGAGGGTGAAGTCAGTGTCAAGACCGCCATCCGGCGGGTGCTCGAACAGGTTCTTGAGAGGGACCGGGAGGAAGAGAGGCTCGCCGTCCGACTCGCAGCAAAAAGTGCGGACACGGTCATGCCAGCCACATGTCTCACCACCTCCGAAGTAGCTGTCTGTGATCTGGACGGTGTTCATGTCTGGGCAGTGGCCATCGAAGCAGTTGCCAGGTTTGCCATACCACGCGCAGTTCTTCCACTTGTCGACCTCGTCCTCTGGGCAGCAGTACAGCTTCTTCGTGTCGAGGTCAAGCGCATCAAGGACCTCGACCAGGAGAAGGCCTGTTAGGGCCGCGAGGGGATAGGCTCGGCCGACGATCCGCAGGATGACCTTGGCCACATCATCGAGTATGTCCAGGACTGTGCCAGAGAAGGTCAGGGGAAGTTCGCCCTGATGGCACTTTTCGCCAACGCCGCGCCACTTGCAGATGTTCTTCTCGCCCAACGCGCTCTTGCAGCAGTGAGCAACCTGACCGTCCCAGCAGCTGGCGCCACCGCCATACTTGCTCATGTGCGTCATAACCTCGTCGTCCTTGCAGTAGCCATTGCAGAACTTGGTCTCGGAGCCTCGCCAGTGGCACTCCTTGGGATCGGGAGCACCAGAGAGTGGGCAGCAGAGCTCGCTCTTCTTCTTTCCGTCGCACTTTTGATCGGTGATCTTGATTTCACCCGGCTTGCACGAAGAGCCACAGGCCGTAATGTAGCACTTCTCGTTCGTGCCCGTCCAGTTCTCATCTCCCTTGTCGCTGGACTTGAAGTCTCCCAGAGGCTTGGGGTCGAGTACGGCAGACAGTGCAGACAATGAAGCGTCGTCCTGATCGATGGCCCATATCAGGTAGCCTCCCAGGCCGAGCTTGCTGGCTAGCTCCTTCTTCTGCTTGAATGTGTCTTTATCATCAAACGATACCCACTGGTCGCTGTTCCAGGTGATGTACTTGACGCCGGCTTCCTTGTCGTGCACGGGCTTGATCTTGTTGGTTTTAATGACCTCCTGAATCTCACGGTAGCTCAGGATGCCAGATTCGCCACTACAGGCACCTTTGGTGGCGCCGCCTTTGAATAGGCAACCGGGCTTGTTGCATGACGGATCGGCCAGCTGGAAGGCGCGCCCATAGAACCCAAGCCCCATATTAAGCTTGTTGGCGGGCACGTCGTTTCTCCAGAACAGGTCAAACGCCAGGCTCATCTCTGTGAGATTGGTGTGGCCGTAGATGTGGGAGCCGATGGGGTTCTCGCGATCCCAGACTCCATGAAGACTAGGGAAACTATCAGTATACTGCGGGCATCCGTTTCAATGAGAACTGGGAACAACGTACTCGTAAGACATGACATTAACAAAGTCGACATGGTCAACAGACTTCATGTCGAAGTGGCGTAGATACCAGAAACTGGTTGGAGCTGTGAACGAGACGATGTACTTGTTCGGCTGTTTTTTGTTCTCATCGTCCAGCTCCTTCAGGAACTTTGTGAAGTTTACCCCGTCCTCGGGAACACCGCCACGGTCGTCGGCACCAGGATATTCCTGCCGGTGATGAATGATTAGCATCGGGCAATTGCTTTGTCTGCACAGGCGAACGTACCCAGTCAAAGTCAACACCATCGAATGCGTGTTGGCGGAGGAAGGATAGCAGATTCTTGATAAAGAGCGACCGGGTCTCCTTCGAGCTGACCATGTTGCTGAAAACCTTCTGCAGGGGGCCAGGGTCGTTATGGGTCCAGCCACCGATGGCAATAATCGTCTTCAAGCCGGGATTCTTCTTCTTAAGACTGGTAAAGTCTGTGAAGAGCTTGGCCGGGAGTCCGTCCATGCCAATGATGTTGTACTCGTTGGGCGTGATGAAGGCAAACGAAAAGTACAGATGCGTCAGGGAGTTGACGGGTATGTCGTCGAGTCCCATGTCTTGACATGTAGAGTTGTGCCGCCATGCCTCGTAGTATCCGATGACACGGTTGAGCTGGTCGGAAGCCTTGTTCTTCGGGCCCGGCTGGTCGCAGTTGGACTGGCAGCCACCTGTTGCGCCATGGTCTTCCTTTTCACAGAAGTCCCTAGATGGGGCAAGGAAAATCAGCTGCCATAATTGTTTGTGGTGGTCCCGAGAATCCGACTTTCACTTACTTTGTCATGCCACAGAAGCCCCACCTGTAGTCTTGTCAGCGAAAGTGCCATCACAATCAGGTCTGCCATTGGCTCAGAGGTCGATTTCACTTACTTGCCACAGCAAACGTTGAGCGGACACTTCTGGCCCGGGACCTTGGCGTTCTTGCCGCACTCCGCCTTGGCATCGCAGTTGGACCAGCAAACCTCGTTGGGGGAGATGCCCGAGGTGCCACAAGCCCTGAGTGGAGAACGATTGTCAGTATGTAAAACCAGCTGTAGGACGTCTGCCGGCTTCGGAATGCGTAGGATCGTGGAAGAACGGCGATCGTAATACAGGGACTCACTCTTCGCCGTAGTTGCATTGCCCCGTCTTTTTCGGACAGCAGGCCTTGTTCCCACAGGGACGGTCTGGACCACAAGTGTAGTCGTCTCCCCCGACGACCTGCCTGCCAAACAATGAAGACAGTTCTGTGCGTCCTAAAAGGGAAGTGCCGGCTTCTGGCGAGGCAGGGACAACCTCATCGCCATCGCGCGCGTAGAGTGGGCTATCAGCACTGCAGACTGGCAGCTCATACTCACGGCGGGTCTTGGCCGAGTAATCAAACGGTCTGTGTTCGCGAGCCATACATGCACGTTAGCTCATAATCGACAGAAACGTTGCTGTCCAAGCATTCCAAGATGGATCCTGGGGAGTACTGACGACACAACCGCTCGGCAAACATTGGGAGCATCGGATGGCGACAGACTGCTGCTTGCCCTTGAAGTGATGACTGCCGCGAATGTAGGAGTAAGGAGCGTAGACAGAAGCAAACAGCTCCGTGCGAGTCGGGACCACGGGCCCATTCTGCCCCGGGGGTGTGCGTCAATAGGCGCCACCCTCTTGAATGTGCTGCGGGCGAACAAGAGTCCGTTGACCTCCAAACCAAAGCAAAGGAGTATAGGGGAGGGCAAGGAGAGAGTGAGCGGCTGCGAACAACGAATGGCGCAAGCTCATGGTCTATGTAGTCATAGAGTGAAGGATGGGAGCTTAGCAGGGAAGATCGCGGAAGAAGAACGTTCTGAAGCCTGCGGAGCCCGTGCTCACACATGCTCGCATCACACGCCCGATGGACGAGGCCGATATGAACCAGGTTTGGGGTCCGCTCTGCTGCGGTCGCTTAGTGATTGACTATGCCCGAATTGTTATCACGTCCGACCAGCATGCTCACGTCAGAAGGGAGTTTGTGTGGCAAGGCTCAAGTGCCATCGTGCTTTTCATCCCTTCAGCCTTGATGCATGCCCCCCTGCATACGGCGGTTCCCGGGAGTGGTCTGACAGCTCTATCCCAAATTACACGACCCCTGCCTCGTGCTGTCCCGTACCTGCCGACTCATCTTGGCAAACTATACTACCGAGTATTGCACGCGGGCACTGCATAAAGGGCCGATTGGGGCTCGCCAAAATGCCCAGGAAAAGCAAATCTGCCAGATTCGGACATGCTCCGGTCGGGGTTACCTCGCGAGGCCAAGATCAATAGCTGCTCGCGTGGAGTGAAGCAGGGGCTGTGGATGAAATATGGTTTAGCCCCCGGAGTGGTGCCTGCAGGTACCCGCCGGGTGGCGCCTGAGGATGGTCAGCTAGACGCTGGAGCCTGAGTCAGGGCTTTGCTGTGTCTCTCGGTGCAGGCCCTGAAGGGTCTCAGACACGTTGGATCCTCGGGTTCGGGTTCAACATGTCGATTTTGCTCCGGTTCACGCAGCCAAATGAACTCTAGGCTGTCACATCACATGCGCGCACGGACGAAAGTTGCAGAAATAGTCGCCTCTGCCAACGTGATGCCCACCCACTTCAAGGGGTGTCCGGAGCGCAAGCCTCAGACATGTCTCCCAGCAGAGATGTGATACCGTCGTTTCTGAGCAAAATCGCCGTCCCACGAACGGACCATCCTCCATACTCTATTCAACAGACTACAATTTGCTACCCCGCAAAGTGGCCCGTTCGCAAGACGGCGAATTTGTTCAGAAATGGCGGTAGAAGAGCAGCGGCTGCTCGCACTTCAATCTCAGACAGCTCTCCCGGTAGGGATGTGATTACAAAGAACATGACGGGCGCTTAGAGAAGGGCAGGAGCATGTGATTGAGGTGTCCTGACACGCAGGTTGTCAGATCAGCCCATCGCGAAAAGGGTCCGGCTAAATCCATGGCAGACTCTTGAAGGGACTAATGAGCATTTCTGCGCCGCTTGGACCCTGGCGATTGCGGGCTGGACCTTGCCAGGCTCAGGTAGACGGAAAGACCCGCCGTTCGACAGGGTCGGGTAGCTTATTTCGTCGCCGAGGAGAGGTGGATGTGCAATACTTTGTCGATCCACCACCACAAAGGTTCCTGCAGCCCCTTGCATGGTGCATCGGAAGGGTCCTGTTAGTCATTGACGGTAGTGGAATCAGCCCTGCATAGTGAGGTGTCATCGGCCTATAGGCGCTCAAAAAATGTCAGCCCTAGTAAGGGTCCCCGGCTGGCGGGATTGGTCCTGCTTTGGGCAAGCCCGGGCGAGTTCCGTCTGCCTCGGACTCAGACGACCACTGAGGTTTGATTGTCTTGTCGTTGATATCAAGTTTAAGCGAGTAAGAGTCCTCGGAAGCGGTCGTGCTTTGCCTGGCTGTCCCTCGAGCTGGGGTTTGGCTTCTGACACACGAAAACCTCGCGGTTCTGACCCCCTCGCAACTCCTTCTCCCCGGACATAACTCTACGGAACCGCCTGTCCGCGTTCTCTGTGGCCAGAAACACTCTCCCGTCCCTCTCTTCTGGGCGATTTCGTGTCACTTGCTTCTGTTGGTCTTTTGATCTGGCAGAATTCTAACACAGCACACGCTCTCACAATGGCCGCCTTGCGGCGCTTCGTCCTCGGCCTGAGTACTCTTCTGAGCCTCAGGCCCGTGTCTGCCGTCAAGATGTTGTATGACGATGTCCTCCCGGACGATTTGCCGTCGGCCTGCGTCACAGCTCTCATGGCAGATGTGGCTTGCGATCGCCTCGTCCCTGATCTTCGCCCAGACTTCTTCTATCCTCCAGCTTCGCTTGAGCGTCTTTGCACGACCGGCTGCGCCACGGCGCTCCAGTCATGGGAAGCCTCGGTGCGGTCCGCTTGTGGCATGGACATTGTCATACCTGTCGAGTTCGACCTGCCCACGTCACCTATTGCGATACCGGCCACTCGTCGCTACATCTACGATTTTACATGTTTGAAGGAGAACAATATAGTCTGCGGTCCAGTTGCAGCCTTGGCCGCTGTGTACAGCAATCCTGGGGTCACCATCTTCAATTATCTGAGTGAGGTCCCGGCTGATTCCACGCGGCCAAGCAACTGTGACGCATGCCTCGCCGCCAGGTTGCGCGTGCGCAGCGGCTCTCCCTACTTCGACGGCCCCATTGTGGCAAGCGAGTCGCAATACCAAAGCATGACATCGAGCTGCGGCATTGCCGGCAAGCCCGCGACCACATCGACCATTGACTATTTCACCAGCCAGCCAGAGCCGACAGACGAGGCCTGCAGCGGTACCACGTACCAGATCCAAAGCAGCGACGACTGCTACAGCATCTCAAAGGCCCAGAGCGTCGGGACCGCCTGGATGTTGGCAGATAACCACCTGACCGCGTACTGCGCCGACTTTCCTACGTCGGGAAGCCTCTGTATCACCAACACTTGCAAGACCGCCACGGTCGCAAGCAACACAACCTGCGCGGCAATCGCCGAGTCCGCTGGCATCACCGAGATGCAACTCCTGGCCTGGAACCCTATCATCAACCCGGTCTGCTCAAACCTCAACATGATGAACGGCACCACTCTATGCATTGAGCCTCCTGGACCCAGGCTCCCCCCGCCGGCGACGACTGATCTCCCGCCTTCGACGCCGACCACCGCTGCCCCTATCCCCACAAACACTGCCGTAGGATCAGACAAGCCGTGCGGCCGCTGGTATGAAGTCGAGTCGGGCGACTACTGCAACCTGCTCACCCTCAAGTTTGCCATCTCTCTCCCAGACTTTCTGTTCTTGAACACTGGCATCAACTCCAACTGCACAAATCTCTATGCTGCCGAGAGCTACTGTGTACAGCCTGTAGGAGACATCAACACCTATCCCGGCCGCCCTGGATACGTGTCGTTCACTATCGACCCCAGTGCATCTTTTACTGGCGTGCCGTTCACCATGCTGCCCAACGCCACCATGACCCTCTCGCCGAGACCTACTGAGACTCCCCTGGCTCCTGGCGTGCGCGACGACTGCGTATTCTACTTCATGGGTGAAGACTACCAGTTCTCCCCTGACCAATTTGGCTTTTGGAAGAGCAACTGCGAGATCGCGGCAAGCATGTACGGCGTCGACTTTGACAGCTTCGCGGCTTGGAACTCGCTGACAGCAAACGTCACGGATGCCGCTTGTGTCTTTGAGGTTGGCAAGCGGTACTGCGGCTCCTGGGGCCTGATGCCGACGCGCACTAGCACTGAGGAGCTCGAGCCCACCGCCACCGACGACGGCAAGCCCAAGCCTCCGGCAGCCACACACGACGGCCAACCCGCGGACTGTGACGGCTGGCACGTCGTCGCAGAGAGCGAATCGTGCCAGTCTGTCGCTGACAACGCCGGCATCTCCCTCGAGGACTTCTACGCATGGAACCCCGCCGTGTCCAGAGACTGCTCGACCAACTTCTGGCTCGGTCAGGCCTATTGTATCCACAGGCAAGGTCAAGGCATCAGCATCTCATCGACTGCGTCGTCTACAACCACCCCGACTACTACCGCGAGCCCCACGCCGCCGGGCCCGACGCACACAGGCCAACCGGCGAACTGCAACAAGTGGGATGTCGTCGCTGAAGGCGATAGCTGCGGCTCTTTGGCTGCAGACAACGGCATCTCGGTCGACCAGTTCTACGCATGGAACCCTGCCGTCTCCAAGGACTGCATCACGAATTTCTGGATCGGCCAAGCATACTGCGTCGGCATTTCCTCCTCTTCCAGCCCACCAGTGACGACCACATCATCGTCAAGTCTGCCAAGCAGCCCAACACCGCCCGGCCCTACACACACTGGCCAGCCTGCCAACTGCAACAAGTGGGACGTTGTCCAGGAAGGCGACTCGTGCGGGTCAATCGCCAGCGACAACGGCATCTCGGTCGATCAGTTCTACTCGTGGAACCCGGCCGTCTCTCGTGACTGTGTGACAAACTTCTGGCTGGGGCAGGCATACTGTGTTGGCGTCTCCTCGGGTTCCTCGCCACAGCCCACTCGCACGACGACGACGGCAGCGCCGACGACGGCGAAGCCGACGCCCCCGGGCCCAACGCACACTGGTCAGCCCGCCAACTGCAACAAGTGGGATGTAGTCCAAGACGGAGACTCGTGTGGCTCCATGGCGAGCGACAATGGCATCTCCGTCAGCCAATTCTACGACTGGAACCCGGCAGTCAGCAGGGACTGCGTGACAAACTTCTGGATAGGACAGGCGTACTGCGTTGGTGTGTCTGGGTCTAACGGCAGGATTCGTCGTGATTGAGTGGTGGTCCAAAAGGGTGGTGGCCTTTACTCCATTTAGTTACTTCACAGCACCGAGTCTGCACACCAACTATGGGATTACCTGACAGAACAATATGTGTCAAGTCGTTGAGTGATAATGCATGGATTGCTGCTCTGCCTACTCGCGAGTGTTCGTCGCCAGTCCCGGTCGAGGTGAACCCTGCTCAATAGACGACACACAAGAAAGAAAAACTTATACACAGCCACCTGTATGGTGCATGTGACAGTTCTTTGGCCACTGAGCCCGTGCGGTGTGGCGTTGTACTTTTCGGCCCATGTCTGGTTCGCCTCTGGTTCATGGTTCCAGCAAGGAGGCACTCGGTTTTCTCACCCTTCAGGACGCTGACTGTTACGTGCGAACCCCCCTTGTATCAGAAAATATTGATTCACGAGCGTCGGAATAGCTTTCAATTAACTGCGGAGAATTGTATTGCAGGCCTCTGAAGGGGATCAGGCGCGAGGCTCAAATCAAGGCTTCCTCAGTGCCTTGATGGGCGCTGTGGCCCATCTTGGAGCAGCGAGACATGTCGAGTCGCATAAAGGTGAATCGAAAACGAGTGAAGTGCGAGTTGGAGTGGCCGGCAAATCAGGCCGGGGCTGTGCTCAAGGCAGATGCTGCATCATTAGGCAATTTGCGGTGGGTGGCCTCCCGCAGCCGACGTGCGAAGATGGTGTCACCGAGGCCGCCAAGAAAGAAACCTCCATGAGAGAGAATATAAAAAGATACTCAATGTCCACGACTGGCTGCCTAGTCTATTTGTTCTGTTTCTCCAAACCTTGACCCAAGCTCGCTAGCCACCGACACCCGTACAGAACAAAACAGTTTTGCTTCGCGAAGGTCGATAGGCTCTTTTGAAACTTCACCCATCATCATGGTGAGCTGTTCAACGTTTGTACCCGACCAGTACCGGTTTGATTCGTTGACTCCTCGCGGATCTCAACCTAGCTCCTGAACAATCCTACTGGTGCCGGTGCCCTGCACTGCCCACGATGCAACATGAAAGGCTCGTACCTCACCACTCGCTATTCCAACCGCAAAGGCAATGCCGGCAGGCCTTATTGCAAGTGCATCCCCTGTAACCAATTCATCGCCTTCCTCGACGACTGGGGCCTCAGCCCCGAGAACCCACTATGTGCGTGCGGCACTCATACCCGGCGCCAGGTCTCGGGCCCGGAAACGCGGGTGGCAAGACACGCGCACTACGTGTGCGTGCTCGGCCGCTGCAATCACTACGAGAAGCATCGCGACGACAATGGTGCTCCTTGGCAGATCGATACCAGTCTGATTGCGAGTCTGGCGGCCCTTAAGATCATTTGAGTATCAAGAAGTCATGTTTCGATGCTTACAGAGCACCAAATCTCTAATGGGACTTTCACTTGGGTATGCAAGGTGACGAAGTTGGCGCGTGGGGGAATGATTGGCTACAAAATCTTTTGTCTCCAAGATCAACGAAGGCGATCAGGAAATGAAAACTTCGGGAAAATGTTAGACACGGTAAAGACTCAGAAATGATGACAGTTCTATACCATTTTCGCTCTATGGGCGACCCACGGACCAATTGCATAACGCTCCAATTAGTGTACATTTGTGTGATAGAACCACGTCTCTCAAGCTTTCGAACAAGAGTAAGCGTTGAGACTGCTGTTGCTGCAAGTATACCCCGGCCACGTCGCCAACCACGGCCCCTTGGCGGTGAGGTATTCGTGCCACATGGGCTTCTCGTTCCACTGGAACAGGTCCTCCATCGCCGACGCAACTTCGACCAGCTTCGCCTCGCCAAACTTCTGGCCGTACACGCACATGCCCATCGGTGTCGCGAAGCCGTCCTGGTCGACCGGCACCTGTGCAACTGGGTATCCTGCATACGCGGGCACCGAGGCACAAGCATTTCCGTATCCGCCACCGCGGCCGCTTGGTACGAGAAGTCCGTCAAGAGCCACGGCAGTTGTTTCTCCCGTAGTCTCGTCAACAGCGACATAGGTGTGGGCAGAATCAATGGCCTGGGCGGCCGTCATCCGGCCCCAGCCAAAGGCAGTCCAGAACGCAGAGCCCATCTCGCCCTTGGTCGCCACCGCGGCGTCGTAGAAACTCTGTCCGGTCTTGGGGTCCCACCACCAGGTGCCGTTGCCCAGGGCGCCCGTGGTGTCGTTGTGCGCGTCGTTCCACGCGGCCATCTCGTCGATTGTGCTCATGCCGTGGCGCGAGTCGTCCTCGGGGAAAGACCAGTTGGCCAGCCACTCGGCGTAGCCGACAGCCATGAGAGTGCTGAAGACGGTGACCTGGTTGAACTGGCTGGGTATGCTAGTCGGGTTTCCTCCGCCGTACGGGCTCGCAATGGAGTCGAATCCACGCGTCTTTGTAGCATAGGTCAGTAATGTTCCGTAGCGTGACAGCGTCTCAGGAGTCGCAGTACTTACAGTGATGTTGTAAATCGTGGCGCCGGCCGCCTCGAGCTCTTTGATCCGCTTGTCGTACTTGGCACGGGTGCCGGGGCTGTTGATGTGTCCCTGGGAGGCCCAGTATGGGAACCATGGCAGACCCAACTTCATGCCCTTCAGAGCTTGCTTCTTGACCACCTTGGACGCATAGCCCTTCTCGGGGTATGAGCCTACTCCAGTCAGGGTCAGGTTGTCGTACTTGTCGGCGCCGACCATGATATCGAGAAGGATGGAGACGTCCTTCATTGACCGAGCCAGTGGGCCTGGAGTGTCGTGGTAGTAACTTCCAGTCACGACACCGTGGCGAGACATGAGTCCTGGTGTGGACTTGATTGTGTACAGGCCGAGTTGCGCCGAAGGATGTGTCAAGGAGCTATTCCGCCAAAGAAGAATGAAAGCGTTAATTGACTTGCTGGTATGGAAGTGCACGAGCTGTGTTCACCTACCCGTGTGTCTCAGTTCCCAACGCAATAGCAACCTGGTTCGTCCTCACAGCAATCACAGAGCCACTGCTGCTGCCGGCAGTAGACTGCGTGAAGTTGTAAGGGTTGCGGCCTTGCCCAGTCCTGCTTGAATATCCACTCGCATAGTTGCTCAGGGCGCGGTGGTCTGCAGCCTCCGACATGGTGCTGTGCCCGATGAGCACACCACCGGCAGCACGCACTTTGGCAACGACGGTCGCCTCGGACGAGTACCGGCCGCCCAGGAGGACCAGGGTGCCTTCGCTCGTGTTGTGCTTGTCATTGGTGTAGTAGTTGTCCTTGACAAGAAAGGGGATGCCGTGCATGGGTCCGCGGAAGTGTCCCGCGGCACGCTCCTCGTCCATGGCGTCGGCGATGGCGAGCGCATCGGGGTTGACTTCGCTGACCGACTTGAGGTACCTGAAGCTCGCAGTCAGTCATGCAGCGCTTCTTGACGCGCAGATTCCGGGCTCGGCGAGCTCACATACTCGTTGGTCTGTTCGATGCGTGCCAGGTAGCAGCTCACCAAGTCGCGACTCGTCAACTTGCCGGCCACCATGAAGCTCTGGAGAATCTCGATCGAGAGATCCTCAATGTCGACGCCCTTGCACTTGGGCACTTATCAGGGTCAGTCAGAGCTATTGGATAGGCGCATCTGGGCTACTTACTAGGGAACGGGCCAGCTGGAATACAAGCTCCAGACACGGCCCCAGCCAGAGCCAGAGCAGCTCGGAGGACGTGAGTTGAACGCATGTCTACTGATGCCACGAAGTGAAACGAACGGGTCGAAGACAGCGCGTGTGCGGACGCGTACCCGTCCTTCTCTCGTTTTCAGGGTCCTCGCAGGCCTTTTATTATTATGCGGCCATTCCGCTGGCTTATCTCAGTCGTGACTCGGTCGGTGATAGCCGACCATTCTCGGCCGCTTGTGGGGAATCCCAGGCGCGTTATCGGCGGCCTATTATCCTTGCCCAGGCTGGCTGAGGGCTTAGCGGCTCTTACATAATGCTGGCAGCACATATGGCATTGTGCCGTTGAGATCCACTCGTGAGGTTGAATAATCTCAATGACTCGCGCAGGAGCTGCCACTCAGCAGTTTATCTCCCGCGAACCGGCCCCTCGGAGTCGTTAAGCAATTCACTATCTCTTGGCAGCGGGATCGGGGCCTGCTCCGCCCTGGTTTTCGCGAGGCCCACGTCTTATCGTTGGCACCGGCAGCCCGGACCACCGCCCAACTTCCGTCGGATAGCGCTGTTTGTAGGGTGGAGTGCTTCGGCCCCCATTATCTCTCGAGGGATCACCCTGGCAGTCCGGCGGAATTCTACGTCATTCTTGGAGTTGTCGCACGCATCACGATGTGCCTTCACGTGCTGTGAGACCTTACACGCCACTGTGCATTTATGACCCCTCAGATTACCGCGAGCTTGTCATCCGGCGCAGGCTCAGGTATGGCTTTGGAGGTTCGGCACAGACAGAGCAGCATAGTATTCTTCCGTTTGGTCATGGATTGATCCGCCCACGACATTGCCTCTGTCGAGCCAATGTCTTGACAAATCCACCGCCATGTCATAATGGGGTATGGGGTTGCACCATCACTAAGCTGCTCCAGGGGATTACTGGTTGGCTGGTCCCTTTATGCGAGGGCTCCCAGTGATCTCGTTGGTACGGTCCAATACAAGCTGAAACACAGCCTCTGACCGGTGATAGAGAGCTGAAAATCGTGCAACTCGCACAACTCACGATGTATAATTGGGTCTCTATGTGGACAGAGAAGTGTACTTTAATCATTGATGAGGCAAGTAATATCGACCTAAAGTACAAGACCCCGATGCCATCCAACGGTACTTGAGGCACAATGGGCACAATGGTCAAGCTCTGCTCGGCTGTCTTGACGATTGTGGATTTTCCATCTAGCTTTCCGCTGCAGGGAAGGCTGATGCGGCCAACTGCTCTTAACGGCAACGGGCATTCAGTCCACCACAGTCTCCCGCATACCCATAGTCGCAGCACCCGCCGGAGGGGTTGCACTCATAGATGTGCGTCGACACACGCTTGGCCGTGATAGCCCAGCTACCGTCCGAGATGAGGACGCAGTTGCCGCAGTACTGCCCCTGCGGCAAGCCCTTCTTGCACTTGCAGCCGTTGGTGCTGCACGCGCGGGCGACAAGCTCGACGCCACTCGGGGGCTCACGAACCGTCAGGTCAGGCACAGTGGCAGAACCAGCGTTGCCCACCTCGCGCTCGAGGGCGATGGGGTGGGTGATGGCAGTCTCCCCATCGATGTTGGGCATGGGAGCGGCCTCAGGCTCAGCGATGGCTGCGGCCAGCGGCGCGACGAGGGCGAGGATGGCGGTGAAGCGCATGGTGAAGGTTGGTTTCTGTGTATTGCCGTGTGAGTCAAGTGGTTGTAAGGGTAAAGCAAACGTCTGTGTAGTATCACGTACTGGGTCACTTGTCGTTGAAGACGAGGTCTTTGGATAGAAATGTCCTGATGATTCTGAGGTTGAAGCTCATCGTTGCGGACCACGAGCTGGCTTTATATAGACTTTCACCGCCTCATTCTACCATTATGGAAGCACGGGCTGATGCTGACACCTTCCGTGCAAAACTAGTTCTTGTCTCTCCTATGCTTGCTGTGTGTAGCTCTGTGCGACCGTGACTTCGTCTACAGTCTGATGGCTGTAATGCCTACCATCGCGAAGTCCGTACAGGGCGGGTACATCTCCCGCTTTTCCGACCCCCCCTGTCTTGTCTCCTCGCATGTATGTCATCCTGGGATTCTACCGCCGCCGGTCCTGCGTGGACGGAATAAATGTTGGCCGTTGCCACCCAATCAAAGGCCGTGTTGGTGAATAGAGTTGGCGGCCCGTCGCGGCTTGGCCAGTCTAGAACAACGGCCCCTCCACAGACGTTCCATCGAATGCCCGAAGTGGTAGGAGCCCGCTGCATGGTTCCAATACACCGTGCGTCCGACAGCCGCTGCGGCTTGAAAGAGTAAAGTGCAGGCCTTTGTTGACCTATCTCGTTCTCGCCCGCCTGGACTTTTGTGTTGGCCTTCATGCAGGCCAAAAGTAACGGCGGATCCACGGGCCATCCATACATCTAGATGAAGACGATAGTCCAGAAATACGGCATAACTTTTGCCCGAGTCTTGGTGTAAAACAAAGTTTCCTGCATATTTGGATCGTGCGGGGTGCATATCTATACGACAAAGGACCCCCAGAAGTTTCACCTGGGCCACATAAAAATCTGGTAAACGGGTCTTGCTCAATGCGCCCGGGGGCAGCCTGCCATAAGGCATGGTTCAGAAGCATAAGCACAGCTGTCGTCTCTCTGCGAAAGGACATCGTTCACTTGGTTAGAGCGAGTCGGCGCCCTGTTTTCCTCGAGGAGTACGAAGTCGCAGTTCGTCTCACCAGGCGCGCACATCCCTGTGGTTGCCAGTAAGCAATTCACGTTCGTCTGTGCTGGCGTCGCAACTTGCGGGGCTTTATGCAACGAGACGCTGGTCTGCCAGGGTCGTTTTCAGCTATGTGGATCTTCGCGGACAAGCGCAGCACACGACTGACCTCGTACTGAGATGATCCTCAAGCTCTTGTGTGCAGCAAATCAGCCACGCTGTGGCCAATGAGACTTCGCACAGCAAATGTGTCTCACATTGCGCGGAGTGAGATGTCATGCCATTACGCCACGATGACACGACGCTTCAGTCTTCTTGGACGTCTCCGCGGGCAGGGGACTTGAACGGCAGTCCGGCACGGGTTGTGAATGCCGCTTCCCCGTAGCGACACGCAGGATGCCAAGATATTTACCAGCGGCTGTGGGAGAGTGGTGTGCTCATTTATACCGTGTTGGACACATCAAATCGGCCACGGCTCGGCGAAAAAAGAATACGGCTCTCGGGGCCGGGGGCTTTGAATGACATCCAGGCTGTCCCAACCAACTTCCCATTCTTGGCTATCGTGCAGCAGAAGCACCATCATCCTACTCAGTCCTCGCCCGGTACTGATTATATTGACATCGCGGTTAATTGATTATATTGACATCGCGGTTAATTGATCTTGCGCCGAGAGCTACAACCACTTTCGAGACACAAGACGATTATCAAACATGTCTAGAACATCCCTTTTTGTGCCCTTGGGATTGTGTGGGGGGAAAGTGTCAATTGCTTGAATCATGCAGAGCTACGACTATGCCGAGCTCGAGCCCAGCTACGACAAGTACGTTCTTACCCATGTGATGAAATCTCATCGTCATCGTAGCGTGCTTCAAACTTCCACCGCGGCCTTTTCCTTGGATACATCGACGTGCCCGGAGCCTCCATCCCCGCTGGAGCTGCGCCGCTCGCCCTCGATGATGTGTGTGCGCTCGCGACCCACGAGCTCCTCGAAACGCATGGCCTTGGCCTCCTTCATTGCCGCGTCAGGGAACAGCAGACACAGCGCCGTGTACACGACGAAAGCGGTTGCGAAAGCGAGGATGTACCCGAGCGTGAAGATCTGCATGGCTGGCTGGAGGGGCGCGGCCAAGGACGTGACGCCGAGCGAGCCCAGGAAGCCGGGGAACTGCAGGGCTACACCGATAATGTAGGCCACGTATGCACGCCAGTGAAAGCCTTTCGTGTAGTAGTAGCGGCTGCTCGGATCGGCCGAGTAGAGATCGTCGATAAAGTAGTTGCCGTTCCGGACGACATAATAATCGGAGAGCATGACACCGATAAGCGTAGCTATGAAGATGCCCATTCCGATCACAGCGTTCAGAAAGGTTGCGCCATCCACAGAGACCTTCCATGGGACCATCAACCAGCCGCCCAGTAGAGAACAGATAATGGAGGCCCGGATATAGTTAATACGGCGGGGCCAAAGCGCTGTAGCATCGCTACCAAAGGGTAGGATATTGCAGACATAGTTGGTGCAAGTGTTGGCGAAGATGAAAGTAACAGCGGATACCAGGCATGCGAAGCGCGTGCTGCTCGAGAAATTCTCCGCCATAATGGCCTGGAGGAGCAGCGCGGGCGACCAGTACGCCTCGCCATAGATCTCCCGTGAACAGGCTGCTGTAAGGAGACCTAGGCAGACGACAATAGTCGCGGACCACGGTGCCGAGATGGACTGTCCGATAGTAGCGTCGCGCCGGGAAGTGGCAAAGCGGGTCACGTCCTGGCCTGATGCGACCAGGGGCCCAAAGTTGCCATTGAGCGCCGCGTTGATGGCGGCCAGGATAGCCCATGCGAGAGCAGTGTTTGACGCGGCGAGCTCAGTCAGCTGGAATTCGCCAGGTCCTCCAGAACGGTACATTGCCCATATGAAGATACCAACTTTGATATGACGTCAGTGAAGCACGCCAACAAGCAGGAAAGAAATACCAGCTTACACAGATTCATTGGCATGGTCACGGCCTTGACGTAATACATCCACTTAAGCTCGTTGGGGCGGTAGAAGGATGTCCAAAACTGCAGGAGCCAGTTCAAGAAGAAGGCAGTCATCCCGCGTGTTGTAATACTGGCAGATGCGGGGAGGTGATTCGGAATATTTTTCCAGGCATCGCCAAATATCGCGATGAAAGCAACATCGATGAAAGTGCCGCCAAAAGCGGACTGTATTCCATACCATACAAGGTCGAGGATAGAGCGTGAAAAGATGGGCCAGAGGCTGCCGTAGATACCAAAAGAGGCACGAATGACAATGGGGAAGGGTATGTGGTAGGCGGCACCAGAGCGCTAACATTGTGGCATAGGTATTATTAGCAATGCATTTGACCAGGCGCGGAGCTGCTGAAACAAGAGAAGACTCTCATCTTACACAGTTGAACACCGCAAATGCACCGCCAATCATGTGGGCGATGGCACAAGCGATCAGAGCGTGCCACCAGAGCAAACCACTGACGACCAGCTGTGAGCCAATCGAGAATACGCTCACGCCCCACGATTCAGCCAGCCAGTATGCGGCGAACGTCTTCCAGTTCCAGTTGCTCCGCTCCTCGTCGACCGGCTCGAGATCCCAGTTGGTGATTGCGGGGCCGCGCGGGTTTGCCTCGATGGCGTCCTTGTCCATTTTGAAACTGTCGATATATCGCGCCCGAAGGCCCATTTTCCAGGCATCCATCTTGCCCATAGTGTCAATGTGAGCTGCTGACACCTTGTGCTCAGAGGTCGGTCGGGTTGGGCGTCGTGAGCACTCCGCGGCTGTGTTCACCCATAATGGGCGACACATCGGGGGTTATATAAATCTAGCTTGCGTCAACCTGCCGCTCTAGAACGAATGAGATCGCTACCCCTCGTCTCTGGGAAGTTGGAGATACCACGTTGGCAGACAGGGGCCCGGACAGGGCGAGCTTATCTCTCGATGCAGGCGACGCGGGAGTTGCTGACCGACTTGCAGAGGGAAGGTGAGCCGCCAAATGCTATGCAAGCTGCTTTTCCTAGGAACAAACCCTCAGATCCTGGGATCTGGCAGTACGTGTGCTCCTCACCTCGCTACGAGTCAACATCAAACATTGAGCATTTGCACCACGGCGTGCTTCCATGATCCATCTCGTACTGTGACGCTGCATGGCTCGATCAATAGTCGTCGCATTACAATGGGTGGCAATGCCTATAGGCCTGCCACGACGGCGGAACCACCATGCCTAGATCCCTGTGTCGTCGATCCCGATGGCACGTTTGAAGAGGGGAAGGTCCCAGTCAAAGCAGCGATCCGTCGGCAGGCTCGCCCCGACCCCTGTACACTCGGGACTGTCTGGCTGGTTCGTGTCTATTCGGCCAAATGCTCCTCCTTGGTTATGTTTCGTGGATGGGCCAATGTCGAATCTCGAACGCTGGATTCTTTGGTCCCGACGGCCCAGACTATCCGTCATCGGGGTCCTTAAGACCCGGTGTCTCGGGCGTTCAAAGAGGCACTGAAGGTGTTGGGAGTTCAGGCAGAGAGGTTTGGGGATGCAGGCACGCAGAGAAAGTATGACAGCTAAACACTATCATTATATCTTCTCCAGTTCCGTCAGTGCGTGCGGCAATGTCTGTGCACTATTAAATGTTTGAATCACTCATGCTAGCACGGTTACCCGCAGGCCGCGTTGCGTGTTCAGCTTAGCTCAAGTGCCAAGACCCGTTCAAGGTGCACTTGTCGATTTCCCCAAAGATCGCCGGAACAGTGCTTCCGAAAAGGGTGCACTGCTCGCAGCCAGACACGCGCCAAGGTGAGGCTCTGGCCACGTGAAATCCCGGCACTGCAACTGGTGGCGTGCTTATTTCTCTCTCTCGCTCTTAAGTACCGGTCAATGCCCGGGGCCGATCATTTCATGGTGCACAGGCGCTCTCTGCGCGTACGGGGATAACTCTATAAATCAGCTGGCCATCAAGCGCAGGGAATGGAAAGCCAGCACTTTCAATTGTGACAGCTTGGGCATGGTGCAACAAGAGGAGGCGGTGCCGAGACGAAAATTTGAAAGCCTGAGGTTTTTTTTCCGGTGTAGGTAGGAACAAGATGAAACCTTCTGGCCAACACGAAAGCCTACAGAACTAGTGCAAGCTCGCTACCATGGAACTCGAGCTTCAACGGAAACTCGCGCAACTCCGTGGCGCGAAAGCATCCACCTGATGAGGCACGGCGCAATAGCCCAGACGGAAGATCGCAGCCAGCCGGAAGCTCATCGGTTGTGTCATGGCGAGCTGGGCTGGAGGGTCCGGAACGGCTCGCCCGCTTCGGAACAACTGAGCCCACTGAGGAGGACCCCTGTGGGCCAAGCTTATCGCTCCCTCAGACAAAGAGGCAAGAGGCCCCACGCCAGGCCTCGGCAGATTGCCTGCGAAGCGTGCGCTGTGCTGGTCGCCAGAAACAGCCATGATACGTCAATAGAAGAAAAATGCCCAATGGGACACGCAATGCGGATCGGAATGCTAGGTGCTTCTCTGCGCAAGCAGGGTTCTCTACAGGTGCGACTTTGGATCTTGCAACCCGCACAAAGGCTGGCTCCGTGTGCGCATGTGTGGAGGATGACATGCTGATAATCCTGTTTCCTGCTTTCTCGTGTAGTCTACACTGCCTTCTACCTTTCCTGTGAACAATAAGGGCATATTGCTGCATGCAGACTTTGAGATGTTTGGGCTCGGAGGATATGTGGTCGGTTGTATTGACGACACTGCCCATTGCACAGCCTGCTCATCCCAGTCAAGACGGCTCCGTACTTTGCTGTACAATCATCCAAAGTTCAGCGGTGATCTTCAGTCAATCTCGCATACGCCTTGATGCTGAGGACCGCTCTGGTGGTCCCAAGTCAAGCACGCAGTCCCGCGGAGCTGCTAGCCTGAGCATCCATGGCGCTATTCTTACCAAGAGTTGATTACCGGCCTTGGTTTCATGGCTGAACAATGAGCTCACAATTGCATTCTGGCAGGACGTAGTTGGCCCATTTACGAATGACCAGAGCGTGTCGCCGAAAAAGTTGGCGGGCAGTGCTGACACTCGAGCAGTCCCATGACACGGCAACTGCATGTCAGAATAACAGACCACGCGCGACGCATGATGAAGGTGAGACGGTAAGAGAAGCTGTCCAGTCCCCACAGTCAATCGTTGGGAAGTTGTCCCGGCGTGTGCAACGAGGGCTACCAGTTAATACCCCTCGAAGCGCGTGTGCTGAGCACTCAACGATGATGCTTGGCCAGAGTGTCGGACAAAGTCTTGAAGAAACCCCTGTCGTGCTTCTTTAGCTCACCTCCGAGACAAGCTGGTGCGTTGCGCGAATTAGCATTGGATAATTGTCGGATAAGCACGGGATGGGACTGCGCCTCTCCTGTACACATGCAGCAGGCCACAAATTGTGACATGCGCATGCCGAAGCTCGTTTCTGATTCAGAATGATTGCTGTCGCGAGATTCTAGCCAATTCACTCTTGGAAATTTATGTCGCGAGGCACGCCATTTCAAGGCATCATTTGCTCTCACTATGACTCAGATCGTCTCATGTCTTGAAGACACAACTCCGAGATTGCACCCCAGTAAGCCCTAGCCGAATCCAGCCTTCCGGGCTGGCTACTCAGATGCAGTCTTAGTTCTGCTGACAAGATGACAAGCTGGGAAGGGTTACCCCAGACAATCTAGTCGCTGACAGCCATGCCAAGATGGTACAAGGACGCTTCCCTCGTCCCGGCGATCCCTGCAGGATGTGCGCTTAATGGTGCCGCCTGTGTCAGACCCACTGACTCGGCCGGTGCTCCACAGTCAAGGGGATGGGTGGTTTGGAGATGACGATCAAAGATGCAGCCGTCCACTGGCCATGAAATCCAATTGACCAGTTCGGGGTGTTATGTCCATTCAATTCAGGGCGGAGTTATATGGTCAGAAATGCAAAGAAAAGAGAACTGCCTCGATTGTGGTATCAGATGTCTAATAATAATTCGCTACTCGGCAAACATAGCCCAACGGAAACAAAAGAAACCAACCGTTGCTGACGCGGTGGTCGACCGCGGGAAAAGTCGGCCCATGGCTTGAACGCAGTCATGAAATTAACGCCCTAATGAAAATTCGTACACCGCATCCCAACATTGCACGTTACAGCAGAGCACACCATCTGCGCCTTGCCCTGGCTACACGGCTAGGCGGACGGCATTCTTGTGCATATCTGCTCGTGAGCCAAGTTAGCATTTGCCCCACGGGATACCTGCAGTCTTTAATGTGGGGGGATGGGGACTCACTCTTTGCCATGGCTGCAGAAAGCTTGGCCTCATCCTCGTTGAAGGTCTTAGCGGACTCGCTCTTGACCATATACCAGGGAACGGCTTGCCGGGTACTCGAGCAGTTCTCGAAACTGGACTGCTCCTTCTCAGGGAAATAGGACGATGATGCGGAGGAGGCCGAGTATGTGGAGGCGGTCCGTCTGAGGGCTGCGGCCTTGGAGGAGGAAGACTTGAAGAAAGGCATGGCTGTGGTTGCTGGGTGTTTTGTTTTGTTGCTTGGTTTGAAGCGGCTGTAGCTGCCAAAAGTGTGCTTGTGGGTAAGTCGGTGCTGTTGAGGAGTCGAGTTACGATGGTCTTGTGTCTTGATGAGTGGTAAATATCGTTTTTCACAATGGAGATGTGGATTGAATATATATCAGCCCTGTAGTCAACCTCGTCTCGCGGCAACAGCAGAATTGCAGCCAAAGTTCTGCACCAACTTCTCTGGTCTGAGTCACCCGACTCTATTCCGATTCGAGGTAGTCGTCACCAGAAGGCTAAGGGCTGAGCCCGGGACTGCGCCATGTAAGGTTGTTGCACATCTCGTTGGATCCCTGCCCGGCACTAATTACGTGGTCCTCGAGTGCCGGCCGCGTAAATGGCCTGGATCCGGACCCCTGTTGGCGCCAGGCAGCCAGGAAAATAAAAAGACAGAGCCTCAAGCGGACCCCAGGCAGCGGGATTAGCATTAGCAACCCCACCCATCTCTCTGGCGCCATTGCCCACGCTGACCAATCAAGACAACCCAGGGACAGCATTTGGGACCGTCGGAGCTCGGAGCTCGGAGTACTGCCCCTTTCGGTGCTGACTGCTGTTTTCCTGTTGGTCCTCTCTTTCTCCCTTGAGTCTGCCAACCCCGAAAAGGCTTCACTTCTCGCTGGACACCGACAGTTGCGAGGCAAGAGACAATCTGGAAGCCTGAACACCGTGACGTGGTCGGCCGCGTGTCAGAATTCGAGAGGCTCCAGGCAGAACCTGCTTGGCGGCCCGTCACGCGAGGATAACAAGTGCAGCAACTCTCGCGATCCCAGCCGGCATAGCCACGCCAACGGGGCCGGAGTTGGCACCGCTCACTGCACAGCCCGCAACGAACAGACCACAAAGACTCTGGGTCCAGCGGTATACAGCCTCGGGACTTGCATATTCGGTGTACTCCGTGTCAGACCTGCCCGCTCAAGGTTTCCAGGCCCTGCATTGGCAGAGGCGCAGCGCCTGGGCAGGGCTACCGCAGTTGACATTTTGTGTTGCACAGGGGAGAGCAGAGCACTGACACTCCAACGCCGACACGGGGGCCACCCGGACGGCACAAGCACAATGGAGCACCCGGGCGGCGGTCAAATCGTCGACCTCGGCCGCCGGTCGCCGGCACAGTCGGACACGGCCAGCAGCAGCACCAACACCACGATCCTGGCCGCGAGCAATGGCGGCCCACCCGCCAGAGCCACAGAGCCAGCATCCGGGGCGACAACGACTCTAACGACACGCTATCGGCGCAACGGCAAGCTGCAGTCATGTGAGCCTTGCCGGAAGAGCAAGCTGCGGTGCGACCACTCGCTGCCGACCTGTGGCCGTTGCATCCGCCGCCGCTGTGCCGACAAGTGTGTCTATCACCCCCATCCCATGACCCAGACAGCCCGTCCCCCTTCGCCAGCAGACACGCCCGCCACCACAACCGCGGTAGGCTCAAGTGTCGACCAGGGCTTGGTCCTCTCGTCGTCTTCCGCTCCGTCTTCACGCCGTACCTCGCAGAGCCTCCAGCAGGGACGCGGGGGCAGCGACAGTGGGGTCGGCAGCTGGAGCAGGCAGGAGCAGAGCCCCTTGCCCAAAGACCCCTTCAACACGTTCAACAGCAATGTGCCCTTACGGACCCAGTCCTATAGCTACTCGCCCTCTCTACCCTCCCCTGCCTCCTCCTCTTTCCAAGCCCGACCACGCCCGCCTGCCAGACCCTCGACATCCCAGTCGGTCCAGCCAGACACGGCGGCCAATAGCCTGTCCAGCCCCGTGAACCAGGATTACATGGGCGCCACTTCCTTCTCGTCCATCTTCTCCGAGTCCCTCCCCAAATACGGCCTTGCCGCAGAGCTGCAGTGCCTGCGACAGTTCTCTGCCAACCCTCACCTCGGCGAGACCTTTGTGTCCCCTTCTGAGGATGCCGTCATGATCGAGCAGTGCTCTAGGGTCCTGGCCCTCTTCCAGGATCGTGCCCTGATCGAGACTCTGATCAACCGGCTGCTCGAGATATGCAACGGCTCCGTTGATGTCTTTGCGGCCTCCATCATCAACGGCTGGCTCGAAGGGCTGTGGTCTGTCCATGGTGAGACGCTGGCTAGCCAAGATCCCGCCGCGATACGAGCGCTCTGCGACTTGCTCTGGCGTAATACCAGCACACAGATCTCATATAATGGAAACACCACCCCGGAGGAGTGGGTACAGGCTGCCACAGGTCCCAACATCCGCTGGGAGGTGCTCGGCATCATCCTGGCGGCCACAGGCGACTGCTGCACCTGTCTGACCTCGATCGACCCGATCTTCAGTAAAGGGGTCGACCGCATCCAAGTTATGCGGCATGCCTCTCGAGGGGCCAAGCTGTGCCTCTCCTTCTGCCAGGACATGTCTGCGGCCATGGACGACCTGCTGCTCTTCCTCACGCGGCACCTGTACAACGTGACGGTGGCCACGTCGACTCCCAGCTCCTTCACCACCTATCAGGCATCCGGGACCGTCATCGCCGCGGCCATCGCCATGGGTCTGCACGGCCCGGACGAGGCCGACTCGGCGCAGCGCGTGCCCTTCTTCCTCTCGGAGCTGCGCAAGCGCGCCTTCGCGACCAGCTACGCACAGGAGGTCGGCCTGGCCACGTTCCTCGGCCGCCCGCCCCGGCTGTCGTACCGGCACTGCCGCTTCACGCCGGCCTCGGGGCTGACCAACGAGGAGATCCTCCTGCCCGCCGAGCAGCGCCGGGAGCTGCTGACCAGGCTCGACCCGCACGGCTTCCGGCTCGACGGGGTCATGAACGAGCAGGCCTTCCGCAAGATCTGGTGGACCCTGTCGCCGCGGCGCGAGGACATCCTCGAGCTGTCCCTGTGCCAGTTTGGGCCCGACGAGATCCTCCGCCGCGCGGCCGAGATTGAGCGGCACATGGAGGAGCTCTGGACCATCCTGCCCGAGTCGATGCGCAGCGCGCGCCACGGCCCCGTCGGCTACGACCGGATCTCACCGTTCGAGCGGCTGCTGCACGACCTGTGCCGCCAGGCGTTCCGCTCCAACACGCTGCTCCTCCAGCGCGTCATCTTCCAGCAGGTCCCCGGCATGTCGTCCGACAGCCTCGTCCGCAACGCATACCACTTCCTCGACGACATGCTCAAGTCGGCCCAGCGGCCCGAGATGGCCACGACGTATCGCGTAGACGCCCTCTCCCAGCTCGTGTTCCACGGGATGCGCTGCGCGGCCATCCTGGCCGTCGAGCTGCTGAGGAGAGAACAGCTGGCAAGCAGTGGGAGCAATGGGTCGGGCAACAGCGGCAACAACAATAACAACAACAACCAGGACCCGGCATTCTCGCGCGGCCGGACCATCAGGCTGCTGTCCGTGTTCGTCGCCCAGCTCAGCAACGTCGAGGAAGGCGAGATGTGGTATCACAACTGTGAGCAGGGGACGGGCTTGATCAGCCGGATTCTGGACAAGGTGCTCGATCCCCAGCCTGCGCAGCAACAGCAGCAACAGCAACAGCCACAGCAGCCAGGGGCACCGACAGAAGCTTCGTCTGCAAGCTGGACAGCGGCGGCGGAGCAGCAAGAGTCTGACATGCAGGGCCAGAGGGACGCCGCCGCCGCTGGCAGCACTGCTCAGCTGCCCAATACCGCCGCGACGGTCCCAGGCACCCTTCACCCGTACCCTGACATGCCGCACCTGACTTGTGAGCGAGACGGCACATCAGTCCTGCCGCGCCAGCCAGAGTTGGCTGGCAACACTATGCAGTCTCAACAGGCACCCCAGCAGAATGTGAATGACCCGCAGCAGCAGCAACAGCAGCAGCAGTACAACAACTTCAACATGGCTGATGTGGGGGTTGATCCCGCCTCTTCAGAATGGGCATTCGACTTCTCGCTGGACGTGCCGCTTTTGGGCAACGACGCGGATCTCATGCAGTGGTTCGAGGCACAGAGCGCATATTGAGCTCTGAGTTGGCCTTGGGAACAATGATGTGGACACGATATTATTCTGTTTTTTTTTAATGGCATCAAAGATACCTTTTTGTTTGTTGTTTCGGGAAACTCATAATAAAACAAACACGTCTGTCGAGCAGCGTGGGCTTTCGGAGTATTGTCATGTTCAAGAAAATCATTGGGCGCCCAGATAATCGACGTAACGTGAATCTTCAAGATCTTCTTTCAGGTCTATCTAGGGCGCGAACGATACATGATTAAAACAGCGACACGCTTGTGAAGAACAATTATCCTGGCCAAGGCGGCCAGTAGCCGTCAAAACATGAAACAAAACCGAAAAGGATAAGCTGTGCCTGCACAGCCGTTTTCACACAATCCTACTTGCGAAGAGATTCTTCCCATCGAAGAAAAACGTTACGATTCCGTGAGTCTCGCGCAACGGCACGGAGAAAACCCCCACCACCCCGCCTACTTCCCCTAAGGGGCCTTCTTAATGCGCCTCCTGCTGGTGCTTGAGCGCATCGGCCACGATCAGCGAGCGGTTCGCAATCTTGCGGCAGACGTCGGTGATGGGCGCGCTGCTGGTGAGGTCAAAGATGTTGATCTCGCTCTGGAGCTCCATGCCGATCCAGTTGCGCAGCTCGACGGCGACGAGGCTGTCCACGCCGTACGAGTAGACGGGCTTGCTCGTGTCAATGTCGGACGCCGACGTCATGATGCTCTTGGCAATCTTCTCGAGCAGGATCTGCGTCACCGTCTCGGTGGCCTGGTCGATGCTGGCCGACTTGCGCAGCTGCGCGATCAGCGCGTTGCCCGCGCCCTTGCCGCTGCCTCCCGCGCCGCCCGCGCCCGAGTCGGCCCGCACGTCCATGAGCTGCATGTAGGCAAAATGGGCGAGCGTGCGGAGCCAGTAGTAGTCGCCCTCGATGCCCGCGGCGTGCGAGGCCTCCTGGGAACCACCGCTGCCGCCGCCGAGGAGCAGCTGGCTGGGCATTGGCTCGGCGCTGCTGCCATCGGTCGAGCCCGTCATGGCGGCTCGGACAATGTGGAAGAACTGGTCGGCTTGGACAGCCGTCTATCGGTTGGGGGAGAGATGGAGGTTAGTATTGGGTGTTTGGCCTCTCTAGATCTAGATCCAAGTCTGGGGTGAAAGATGACTTACGAATTTCAGAGAGCTGGTGTGGGCAGCAGCATCCTCGTTCTCCTCGACATAGCCGATGCCACGCATCAGGCCGAGATCCAAACTGGTCGCCTTGAGACCCTGCGACTTGCGGTAATGCATGAGCGCGTCCTGGTAGGCGTTGCCCGCAGCATAGTTGGACTGCGAGATGGATCCGATGATGCCCGCCAAGGAGGAGAGCGAGATGAAGAAGTCGAGGTCCTTGGGCAGGAGCTCGTGAAGATTCCATGTGCCTGTTCATAAGCCAACGTCAGCATTGTATCATATGGTATCAAAGGAGAGGAAAAAGGAAGTTTAGAAAAACGAGAGAAGACGTACCCTGGATCTTGGGACGAGTAGCACCGACCCACTGCTCGTAGGTCATGCGGTGGAACAAGCTGTCCTTCAACACCATGGCACCCTGCATGACACCGCGGACCGGGGGCATCGTCGCGGCCATGCTGTCAACCACCGACTTGAGCTGGCTCTTGTTGGCCACGTCGGCAGCGTACGAGTGCGCGTTGATGCCCATCTCTCGCAGGCGGGCGATGAGCTCGCGGGCCTCGGGCTTGGCGTCGCCGGACCGCGAGATGAAGGCAATATGCTTGGCGCCGTGCTCGGCGAGGAGCATCGCCTGGGCACGGCCCAATCCACCCAGGCCACCAACGAGCAGATAGGTGGCGTTGGGGTTGAGGTTCACGGGGATGTTGAGCTGCGGCATGACGGGCCCGCGAGACTCGGGAGTGACCTTGAGCACGAGCTTGCCAATGTGTGTGCCGCGCTGCATCTGGCGGAAGACGGTCTCCATGTCGGAGAAGTCGTAGACCGAGATGGGCTTGATGAGGTCGATGTCGCCGTGCTGGAAGAGGCGGAGGACCTTGGCCACGAGGTCGGCGCCGCGCTGCGGGTCGTTGCTCATCATCTGCTCCAGGTTGACACCGGCAAAGAGCGTGTTCATCAGGAATGGCCGCATGTCGAGACCAGAATTGCCGAGGATGTCCTTCTTGCCGACCTCGATGAAGCGGCCGTAGGGGGCCAGGCACTCCCAGCTCTTGCGCAGACCCTCGCCAGCGAGCGAGTTGACGACAACGTCGACGCCTTTGCCGGCAGTGACACGCTTGACACCCTGGGCAAAGGTCATGTCACGCGAGCTGAAGATGTGCTCCGGCTTGACACCCAGGTCGATGACGGCCTGCTTCTTGTCGTTATTGCCCACCGTGGCGATCACGGTGGCACCCAGCAGCTTGCAGATCTGCACGAGGGCCTGGCCGAGACCGCCGGCTGCGGCGTGGACCAAGACGGTCTCGCCCTTGCGGACGTGGGCGACCTCGATGAGGGACTGGTAGGCAGTGGCGTAGGCAATAGGGATCGTGACAGCTTCCTCGACCGACAGCTTCGAGGGGATCGCGTGGACAGACAGGTGGTGAGCACGGATGGTGGTCCGCATGGCACCGAGACCCATGTACAGAACACGATCGCCCTTCTTGAAGCGCTTGACCTTGGGGCCGACGCGCGAGACGATACCGCCAGCCTCGTAACCGAGAATGGGATGTTGGACCTGGCCCATGGCAATCATTAGGTCCCTGGGTAGTTGGTGTTAGTAACGGCGTTCTTTCGCTCAACAGCAGATGAGAGAACACTTACAAGAAGTTCATAGCACAGGCCTGAGTCTTGATCTCGACCTCCTCCTCGCCGAGAGCCTTGGTCGGCGCATCATCGTCGACAAAGTGCAGCGTGTCGAGCATGCCCGGAGTGCCAATGGTCAGCTTGAGGTCGCGGTTTGGCTGGACGAGGCGGTCCACCTCGGGCGAGGCGCCCGTCTCCTTGAGCAGCAGCGAGCGGTTCAGTGTCTTCTGGGGGAAGTACCGGGGGATGCAGAAGACTCCGTCACGCTCAACCGTCTCGGACTCGTCACGGGTCTTGTCGTTGGACGTCCAGATGGTGTTGAGCCTCGTGTTGACGGCCTCGGCTGCGGACTCGAGCCCGGCCTCGCCGAGCAGGTCACGCGTCAGGTGCAGCTCGTAGACGTGGCGGGTGGCGTCCTCAGTCTTGATGCAACGCAGAAGACCGCTCACGATGCGCTTCGAGGGGTGGGCAAGGCCGTCCTTGATGTCGGAGCGGGTCACCCACAGCAGCTCGGAGCCGTGGAGCAGGACCTCCTTGATCTGGTTGAACTGCTCCTCCTGGAGCTCCTCGAAGAAGCACTCATCGTACTCGAGCAGCGAGATGAACGACTTGCCCTCCACAGTGCGCGACGCCTCCGCGAGGGTCTGCACCTGAGTCTTATGGCCGGCAGCCTGCAGCTTCTTGCTGACGAGCTGGGCGAGGCGCTTGACGTGGCTCGAGGCCGTGTTGGACTCGAGGATGACGAGTTCCTTACTGGTCGTCTTGGTGTCCTTGTCGAGGCGCGTGCTGACGAGCATGGACATGCGGTGGGCCACGGCGTCGTTGTTGTCCTGCGCGGCAATGTCGGTGCCCGTGAAGCCGGCCTTCTTGAGCTCGACGTCCCACTCGGCCTCGGTGATCAGAGGGCCGTCCTTGCGGCCGTCCTCGGCAACCCACCAGCCCGGCACGGTGCCGAAGATGAAGGAGCTGAGATCCATGACGTTGGTGTTCTCACCGAGCAGGATCTTACCGCCAGGCTTGAGGAGGCTGCGGCAGTGCTGCAGGGTGGTGGTGAGATCCTTGGTCGCATGAAGAACCTGTGGGGAGTGTGCTGGTTAGATATTACTTCCAAGAAGAGCAGTTGGACAGGTGTACTTACATTGACGGCAAGGACGACATCGTACTGGCCAAGCTCGAAACCCTGCTCGGCAGGGTCGTTCTCAATATCGAGCCGCTTGTACTCGACACGTGGAGCCCAGTCCTCAAGCACCTTCTGCGCGTTGTCGAACCAACCCGCAGAGATATCGGTAAAAGTCCAGCTGGCGAAGCGCGGAGTCTCGCCGTCCTGGCCACCGAGCTGCTTGAGCACCGGGATGGTCATGGAGGCAGTACCGGCACCAATCTCGATGACCTTCATGCCGGGCTGCTTGTGGCCCTTGAGGTCGAACCAGTTCTGGAAGATCTTGATAGACAGGTCGCAGCCGTAGGTCTCGCGGTAGAAGCGATTCAGCATGTCGTCCTGCATGAGCGTCGCAATACCGGTGGTCTCCTGCTTGAAGATGGCGTCGAGGCTGTCGAATACGTGCATGCAGAACTTGCCGTCAAAGGGGTAATTGGCGGCAAATTCAGCCAGCAGAGCGTCCTCCTCACTAGGGGACACAGGGGCGTCGCCAATCTCGCTGCGAGTCTTCATCCAGTCTGAAAATTGGATCAGGTAGTCGGGAAGCCCACTACGGTCGATGGTAGCCAACTTCTGGAGAGAACGACGGCAGAGGATCTGGATGACTTGATGCTGCAGCCTGCAGAACCGGGCAAGATCCTCAGGGGCTTCGACGCCCTGGGACAGTACAGAGTACATGTTCTCGGGAGTGAGGAGGTCGAGGTCGGCCTTCCACTTAAGCTCGGAGCACAGCTTGAGGCGGGCCTGCTCGCCAGATTCGACACCCTGGGGCATGCTCTGGGACGAGCCCAGCCCAGTGAAGGTGACGCCCTCCATGTTGATGCCCGACGTAGAGTCGAAGTTGGCATCGCCCGTCATGATGGTGCCGACCATCTCGCGGAAACCACTGCGCGAAGACTCGCAGGTGCCGTGGAGCACGTCGCCCTTGTTGTGGAGGACGTCGTTGGAGATCTGGATCTCGCGGATCTTGGAGGGGATCCAGACCTGCTTGGGCACGTCCTCCTGTCGGGGGATAGCGACGAGCATGACCTGCAGCAGAGCATCGAGCGTGGCCGGGTGGACTAGCATATTGCTCTCCGTGGAGGCAGGCATGGTCGCCTTGGAGTCTTGGATGGTGGCCTGGAAGATTACATTGTTGTCGCGCTTCGCCAGGCTGGTCAGACCCCTGAACAGAGGGCCAAACTGCAGGCCCTGCGAGTCACAGAAGGCGTAGTGGCTCGCAGTGGCAACGGGGTCGTTGCAGACGAGGCCAAAGTCCTTGTATTTGGAGCGGCGGGCCTGGATCTCGAGCAGCTGCTCCCGACCAGCGTCGACCTCGGTCGAGTTGCGGGCGTGCTGGAGCTCAATGAGACCGCACGAGTGCTCAACAAACGAGGCATCGCCGCTGCCAGCCGAGTACAGGGCGAACTCGTGCCATATGCCGGCGCCGGTGCCCATGCCCAGCTTTCTGCGCTTGAGGTGCAGGAGAACCTCGACACCGCCAGTCACGCCGGCATCAGCAGGCTCAGGGATAACAAGGGGCTTGTTGATGCACACATCACGCAGAGCGAAGCCCTTGATGGTGTCAGCCGTACCATCCGTCTCGGCAAGCTGGCGAGCAGCCTCAATGGCCATGCAGATCATTCCAGCGGCAGGCATGATGATGTCGCCGTTGATCTTGTGGTCACGCAGCCAGGGGAGCTCGTTGACGCGCAGGTAGTTGCGCCAGATAGGCTCGAGAGGGTTGCTGTCATCGATGCGGGACCCGATGAGGTCGTGGCGTGGTGCAGGGGGGGCGCGGTGGTTCTTGGACCGGCGAGACTCGTGCCAGTAGGACGTGGTCAAGTTCCAGGGATAAGAAGGCAAGGTGTGCAGGACATTCGCAGATGCCGGCTTTCCGCTGGGGTCGTTCGCCGCGTTCAGCGTGACAGGAGCACCACGGGCCCAGAGATTACCAGCAAGAGTTATTGCCGTAACCGCGGCATCCTTGCCACGAGACAGAGCCGCCTCGTAGACGACAGCATCAAAGTCCTTGCGCATGTTCTTGTACTGCTTGATGGGGCCTGCAAGGGCAGAGTGAGGACCAAGCTCGAGAAGAGTGTTGATGGCCTTGCTCTTAGGCTTGACGACACGCTTGGCAGCATCCTTGTAGAGAGCAGCATCAAGGGCACCGACAAACTCGACAGGCGAGCACAGGTTGGCAACCCAGTAGTCCGGGCCGAGCTCGGCAGGAGTGATGAGACGGCTGTACACGGACGAGAAGAAAGGCGTTGTGGCATCGTTCCTCGGCTTGATGTCAGAGATGGCATTGCGGTACTCGTCAGCGACCCTGCGCATGTGAGGACTGTGGTACGCAGTCTCGACTTGAAGTAGTCTGTTGAAGACGTTCTTGTCCTTGAAGATCTGTTGAAGCTGCACGAGAGCAGTCTTGTCACCCGAAAGAGTGACACTGGCGGGACTGTTGACGCAGGCGACAACCACAATGCCTTCGACCTGGTCCAAGTAAGGGTGTACGTCCGTCGGGCTGAGACCAACGGCCATCATGCCGCCATCTGGGTGGATCTCCTTGGCGTGCTTGGACACAATGCCACGGTGGTAGCCGAGCTTGAGACAGTCCTCCTTCGAAAGACCACCGGAGGCGTAGGCCGCAGCAATCTCGCCAGACGAGTGACCAAGCACAGCCTGGGGCGTGACCCCCCAGTGCTTAAGCAGGTCAGTCAAGGCGATCTGCAAGACAGCACACAGCGGCTGCGAAAACTCAGCCTGGTTAATCCTGGACGACGTCTCAGAGGCAAGAAGCTCGTCAAGGGCATTCCAGCTGGCACCCATCTGCGTCAACAAAGCAGCAGACTGCTTGACGGAGGCGGCGAAAACCTCGTAAGCGAGGAGCTCGCGGCCCATGGCGAACCACTGCGCGCCCTGGCCGGTGAACACGTAGGCAATATTGTTTTGGGTGAGCGCCTTGGCGGGCTTGATGGCATCGTCCTGAAGCGTGCTAGTGAGCTCGTCCAGATCCCTGGCAACAACTGTGTGGCGCCACTGAAACTTGGAACGACGGCTCGACAGGGTGTATGCAAGGTCATCAATGTTCTCGGGAGACATCTTGAGGTATTCGGCCAGCCCCTTGCGCTGGCGGGCGGTGGCGTCCTGCTCGGGCGCAGAGAGCGCAAAGACCCGGGGGTGCCTGGCACTCGACCAGGCGCCATCGGTCAGGCGCACATGTTTCTCGACCTGAGCGCCTCTCGAGCGAAGATAGCTCGGGGCATCGTCGAGAATGCAGTGGGCATTGGTGCCGCCGAAACCAAAGTTGTTGACCGAGGCACGATGGAGGTTTTTCTCCGACTCGGGCCATGGTACCGCCTTGTTGGGCAGGACAATGTTCCACGTATCGAGCTGGAGTCTGGGGTTGGGCTTGATCAAGTTGAGATGAGGAGGGATGAAACCTCGCTCGAGGGCCAGAGTGCACTTGAGCACACCGGCGATGCCGGCGGTGCCCTCCGTGTGGCCGATCTGGGTCTTGACCGAACCACAGTACAGCGGAACCTTGCTGGTGCGGGCCTTGCAGATTGTACGGGCGATGGCACCCATCTCTGTCGGGTCACCAGCCTTGGTGCCAGTGCCGTGGAACTCGACGTACTGGGTATCTGCAGGATCAAGGCCGGCGAGCTCATACGTGTTCTTGATCAACTCCATCTGTGCGTCCTGGTGAGGCAAGACGATGCCAGCCGTCTTGCCGTCCTGGTTCAGACCCGTGGCACGGATGACGGCGCGGATCGGGTCTCCGTCGCGGATGGCGTCGTCAATGTGCTTGACAACCATCATGCAGATGCCCTCGCCACGGGCGTAGCCATTGGCACGCGAATCGAACGCAAAGCAGCGTCCGTCAGGGCTGAGGAAGCCCATCTGGTTGAGCTGGGTCGGGTCATCAGGGTCCAGAATCAAGTTGGTGCCGCCAACCAGGGCAACACGGGTCTTGTTCGTCTTCGACCGGATGGTCTCGCATGCCAGATGCAAGGCCGCCAGCGAGCTCGAACACGCAGTGTCAACAGAGACAGACGCTCCTCTCAGGTTGCTGATTCGGGGCTCGATTGTTAGCAACCACATTTGTTCCCTCCGAGTTCCATCGGGTCAGAGAGCACTCACAAGAACCAACTGAGGCGGTTGGACAAGAGAGACTGCGCGCAACCAGTAATGCCGTACTGGGGCGTGGCAGCAATGTCACGACTGACAATGTTCTTGTAGTCGTGGGTGAAGCCGCCGACGAAACAAGCAGCTTCGGTGTCCGAGATGTCTTCGATCGGAATACCGGCACTCTCAAGAGCCTCGTAGGCGAGCTCGAGGAGGATTCGCTGCTGTGGGTCGATGGCTGTCGCCTCGGTGGCCGACGTGGCGAAGAAGGGCGCATCCCACTTCGTGATGTCGCGTTTCAAAAAGTAACCACCTTCGGTAACCTAAAGCAGTGGGGATGAGCACATGAGCAAGACAGGTCATCGTGTCGGCCACATCACTCACCAGACTTCCAGGCCGGTCACGGTTGGGATGCTTGAAGGCCTCCCCCTTGAAACGCGTGTCGGGGATCTTGGACCAGGCATCTCTGCCCTGGACCAGCATCTCGTAGAACTCATCAGGGCTCTCAGCACCGCCGGGAAAGCGGCATGCAATGCCCACAATGGCAATGGCAGAGTCAGACATGGTGACACGTTGGGGGGGAAAGGTTGCGGATGAGTGCTCGAAGTTCGTTATATGGGCTGTTGCAACGAGTTGGGGTATGTCGGCGGCACACTAGCGAGTGTGAGTGCGTAGCGAGTTTTTCAGAGTCTATAGGCTCTTAAGGTGGTAGCAGGTCATAAAGGTAATCACCAAGGCTAGTTGAAAGCCACTCAAAAGGTGATCAAGGGAAGTTGTTCATGAGGGTGGTCATAAGGTGGACTCGGGAGGAATAGCTCCTGGTAGTGTGGATGGGTATCTGCGACGCGAGGAGGACCTGAGAGGTGATTTATTCGCGAAAGTTTCCTGCCGGACATATCCTATGCTCTGGTCTTTATATCCTGCAATGTTTCCTGGATGTTGACCTATTGCACTTTGCTGCCGAAGGCTCGATAAGACATCGGCCCCACATCGAGGTGCACCAGCCGCCAGCCATAAAGGTAGATGTCTTGCTCCCTATCCACGCCTATCCGACTGAGGAGGTCACGTCTTCAGATATATGGTGGGGATCAATTTTGGGCATCCACTTCGCTCGCGTCCAGTTCGTAATCAGTCGTCGCCGCCAAATGCCGCCACAGAAAAGAACGGGGCTGCGTGGAGTCGCTGAGACAATGTGTAAGGTCCAATGGCGGCCGACACAGTCACCAATAGCCGGCCGCCGTCATTTGCAGTAGTGGCGTCTCAGCACAGAAAACGACCCGCTCCCACTTCTGCGGGTATTGCGCTGACCAATGAAAGTCCCACCCAAAGAAACCTAGGAGAATAAGGTATTGACAGCTGGACCCTATACGGCAAGGAGATTTCGGATGGGGCTTCCAAGTGGCCTGGCTCGAGCTATACAAAGTACAAGGCGAGAGGCTTGTTGAGCACGGCCAGATGTCTTACACCATGAACAGGACGGGTAAGGCACATCGGCGATCGAAATGATGTCTGGCCGCCGTCACAAGCTGGGCAATAGCTCCAGGGCACACGGAGCATTTTCTTCTTATCATCAGAAGTGGCTGAAACCCTCCGGTCACATCACCAGCTAAGCGCCGCCCCGAGAGGTGAAGTTGGCCGTATGCACAGGGCGAGATAACCGCCTCGCCCGTCGCTTAGGGCCAGGGCTGTATTTGTGCAACCGGGTTCGGTGGAGCGAGAAGATCTCTTGGGGCACAGGTCCTCGACCCATTTTTGGTGGCATGATGCCTTGACGTCTGTCATCTCCCTTGCTAGTAGATCTCCCCTATTAGTTCTTTCTTATCTCGGATCAGCCAGCCTGTCCTCCGACTTTGGAAGTCCTGAACGTCCTAGACGTCTTGAGTCTCACGTTTGCTACGCCCTCAATTCGAGCGTCGTCCTGCCGAACATCTACATACAACATGGTTCGAATTTTGTGCTTACACGGAACCGCCATCAACTCGGCGATCTTCCAAGCGAAGACCGAGAAATTGAGGACATTTCTTCCTGACGACTATGAGTATGATTTCTTTGACGGCGACAAGGAGGTCGTACCCCAGAAATTCTTGGGCGAGGTCTTCCCCGGTCCGTACTTGACCTATATCTCTTTCTTAACGACGGAAGAGATCGGCAATGCCCTCGAGAGAATCGAGGAGTATATCGAGGAAGAGGGACCGTTCGACGGCATTATGGGGGTCTCCGAGGTAAGTTCCTTCCTGACCATGAGCATTATAGGGCGCTCCAAGCTAACCTGCCATTTCCAGGGCTCAATGCTGGCATCGTCTCTTATTCTTAAGCATCAGAACGAAAAGCCGTCGGCGCCTCCTCTCTTCCGCTTCGCTATATTCATTGCGGGTGCGCTGCCATTCACATGGAGCTCGCAATACGGCCACGATGTGTACGGCCTCTTGATGAGCCAAAACCCCCTGTCTGTTGAGGCGGAGGACTGGATCAACCTGGCCACAAAGGAGAACATCAAGCCCACCGAACTCCAGTTTTTGGGCGACACCATACTGACGGACATGTTCCCGAACTGGGAGCAGCGACGCCACGAGCTCCACGACATGCACACGAACCCCAAGAACTCGCATCTCAAACCGCACTGCTACCATCCAGACATCACCGACGAGCGCATCATGATTCCCACCGCGCACACATGGGGCACCCGGGACATCTTCATCGGCCATGCAGTCGGCCTCTACAAGCTGTGCGACCCAGAGACAGCTTCGATGTACCTCCACGATGGTGACCACGACGTCCCCCACACGGTGGAGCACAATCGCAGATTCAGCGAGATTGTCAAGAAAACTATCCTGAGGAGCGATTTCGCCCTTTGATTCCGCCGTCATTGTCCTCACGAGCCATTGTAGTTGGGCAATAGAATCGTTTGCGCAGTATTGCCATATTGCCCGTGTCTGAACAATCAGTGAAAATATTCAACCCCTAATTTGTGACATCATAGCCTTGGTAATGCTAGTTTTCGCCCGATTACACAATGCCGTAACCCAATCTGCACGGCTTCCCTTCCCGTCCGAGCACGCCAAGTTGCGCCAGCCAATGAGTGAGTTGCCCAGAGTCAAGACAGCGGGTAGTGATGTAGGTGGAGCAGGCATGGCTTGCATACCTCCGAAATGGAGGGCGCGTAAAAGTTCCCCGCGGACAGCTTGTTTCAGCTGCCAAAGACAAGGCGATGGCAAGTTCCGGGGAATGCCATCCCTAGCTTCGGGCCACAGTCCCCTATCCATGTGTATTGTTTGCTTTTCCGACTTTTTCCGCCCGCAGAGCTATGCTCAATACGGCATGCACCACACCTGTGGGATGCGATGTGACCGGCTGGGCTCGTTGACTCCCGAGCCTGATCACCAATCTCTGGAACGGCTTGTTTTCTTCATACCCCGGCAGTTGTACACGGTCAGGATCTTTTTCAGAGGGGCTTTGGAGGCGTAGAAGAGAGGCCCCGACAGAGTCAATTTTACTTTGGGGCTGAGACAGCATGCTGGCCTCACGAAACTGCCGGGCGAGCCTTATCACAGCATTTGACTTCGCTTATGTGTGATTGATCCCCCAGAGAGGCAAATTCCGGGGCCACAATACTCTTGATAAGGCAAGTACGAAAAGAGCGAGATTTTTTGCGTGGGCGGTCAGTTCTGCATGTTGGCCAGACAAGCGTCTCTGTCACAAGATAGCCCTGCACTGCAGGTCAAACAATTGGTAGAGCTGTTCTGTTGTTCATGCATAGAGGGAGAGCCCAGTCACACGACTGAGCACATATTGGATGAGACCCCCACAACCCATGGTTTCACAGCACATATCGACGCAGATATTCGCTCACCCTCTACAGGAGGGCATCCCGAATGCGAGACTTGGCGTACCGTGCATGGTCGGGCCGGCCCGATATCGAGAAAATGTTGATGCAGCTGCACTCGGGGAAGCATGTTGTGGATCAGTGGGTTAGGGGGGCCGGACACAAAGGCTGCTTGGTAATCACATGTCAATGGGAATCTTGTTCGTGCTGTGTCACTCATGCCGCTCAACAGATGGTTTCGACGCCGCCGGTGCTGTGAGGACCTGCAGACTCGAAGGTATGGCATGTACAGATAGCCTTGGCAAAATCACTGGGCGGCTCGGGATACGTATTGTGAATCTGTCTCGGCCGTTGACTAATCATCGACGGGAGAGGCATCAAAGAGAGGCCACCGCTTATCTAGCCACTGCGAGGACTGCTGCGGTCCGCAAAGCTCAGACCGAGAGAATGGAGTGCTCAGGCTTACAAAGCCCCATAAAAGCTGTCAAAGCTATGAGGCTTGCAGCTCGCGACCCACAGGATGGTTCCCCCTGATGAGACAGACGGCTGCTCCCGTAATCGGGGCGGCGGTATTGCTTCCCTAGGAGCATTTCGCGGCGTTGATCTGCGCTCCAGCCAAGACATTCTTCACAAGAGCACCCTTACCCCGTCCCGATCTTCACACTCGCACAGGTACCAATTCAGACGCGCGTTCGCCGACAAGCTTCTTGCCGACACTTTTTGACTCTCGCCTCGGAGACATTGGCCCGGCTGGGAGTCCCAAGTATTTCTTTTCTTTGGAGCGTCGGGAAGAAAAATGAGAATACAGAGCCTAAAGGCACCCCAAAAGGTTGCAAGGAGCAAGGTGCCTGCGCCAAGGTTGCTCTCTTCGGCACCATGTGTGCTCGCTGCAGGTCCAGCATGACCCCTTTCCAACCCGGGGTGAGTTCCGACAGCATTCCATTGAGATGATGCAGCTCGCCAGCCGACACCAAAGTAGTGAGACATACGTTGGAGCCAAGAAAAAGTGCTGGTTTGTGACAATGCTGGTTTCGCCGGACTGGTCATGCGGGGACTGCTTGACTGAGACATGAGGCGAGCTTGTGCAACCGTCTGGATGTCAGTATGTAGGCATAACCCACTCAATGAACCTCAGACCGAGTTGATTCCCTCCAGATAGCACACCGCAGGAGGGAGAATCTAGTCTATCAAAGTTCCCTGGCTGTGGCTGTCTCTGCTGTGCACTTTCCCAAAGAGGTTCAATATTCCCCAGCCTTCTTTCTCTTGCACAATTAATTGCTGCAGGCCAAGCAGGAACGCACAGCAAAGGTGTGTCTGCATAGAACACAACAACATCGGGCAAAAGGCATGCTGCCCATACTTTGGCGACTGGGCCATCCGCCAGGCAGTACGCAAAAACGACCCGGAGGACTAGCAAGGTACACGAAGTTGACAGAACAAACCTCCTCCTGCGGGTCTCTACAAGGCACAGTTGCCAGAGCGTTGCCAGAGCGTGGCAACCGAGACAGCCCAACGTCCCGCTCTGTCTACTGCCGCCAAGATGCCACATTAGCCTGATTAATGAGCTAGTGCCATATTCTGGAAAAGCCCGGTGGCGCATCCATCACTTTGACTGCCTTCCAGTTTCGGGTACGGGACTTTGCAAGTTCCATGGAAATAGATCCTCTGCACAGCTCCCATGGCAACGGACTCCAGGGCCCTGATAACGGACGGATAAGACATTCAGGGGCCCACACTGCCCGCAAAGCGTATCGCAGCCACGGCCCAGGAAGAACAAGCATAAATGCCGATTACGACCCCCCGCCCACTGCAGCTGGCCCGCTTTTGAGAGTATGAAACACATCATCTGAGACAGTCGACATTCTTACCTCCTCCTAGCCTGCCGTGAAAGGTTAGTGCACGGGGATAAACGCAGAACGGTAACGATTGACTTCAACCCAGCAATGTCAGACACAGTGACAGAGACAAGCCTTTCATCAGCGCTTGGAAAGGAAGGTGGGATTGAAATCTCGAGGCTTATGGATGTCGATGCGTGGACTGAAATAGGCGGGCTCAACGAAAGGGGGCAAGCTGGCCACGTTCACGCCGCGCAGTCGAATTCCTTGGACCCGCAGCCCTGGTTCGTGAAGATTGTGGCTTCTTGCGCCTGTTTCGAAAAGCAGCTGGGCACGCGGCCGCCAGGCCAGGGCCACCCATACACGTCTCAGACACAAAACCTATTTCGGCATTCCAATGCTTCGTGGTGGATAGGTAGCTTTGAGACGGCAAGGCGGTATGCTGAGAACGAGTGCTCCTGCGTGCCCGCAAAGAGCACGGCCGATACCCAAACGATCATCAGCAGTATAGTACACATTCCATTGCTATGGCGACGGATTCAACATAGTATGTTTCAAAACAGTGCAGATTCTTTGCCATATGTTCACCTTGAACTGCCGAGGCTAGTGCTTAATGCCCACTGCGACTGTGATATCCAGCACCAAAGGCGCACAGCGAGCTGCCAGAATGACTTGGGCATCTTCTTCGTGTGGAGTATTGCTGTCGCGGCTGTCAATAGCTAGCAGAGTTCATGAAAACTTGCTGGATCCGAGGGGCCACCGCCACACGTGGCAGATTTGTCGTTGGCCACGATAATTATACTTGGCACACGAATAAAATCAGACTCAGCATTGGGCACAAAGGAGAATCAGTTTTTTTTTAATCTACCGCTTCAGTCTAGAGGAAATCTTCCTCGTCAAGGCCGGCGGTGCCTGATCCGGCTTCGGCTCGGGCGCGCTCTGCCGCCATTCTGCACGGTCGAGGTAATGCTCCCGCCGTGGTGTCGGGGGCCCGTTCTCCCCGAGATCCCGCCTCGACGAGTATAAGACGCGGATCTCCTGCGTGCGCAGGATGCCCATCTCCATCGCCGCATCCTCGGACCTCCTCTCGCCCTGCATTATGCTCTCGCTCGACTCGGTCCTCTTGAGCCTGCTGGAGCCTCCACCGCCGCCGCCGAGCGTGGTGCCGATGTTGCGCAGGGACCGGTTCTTCTGCCGCGTCGTGTAGACTGTCGTCGTGCCGCCGCCCTTTGTCGGCTGCTGCTGCTTCGGGTCGCTGTTATTGCGCGACCTCTGGGGGGACATGATGTCGCTGGCCATCCCTGTGGCCGTCTTGTGCCAGTTGCCCGCAAGCAAGCCGTCCATGACTGGCAGCGACGCCAAAAGGATACCCAGAGTCAAATCGATCGAAGTCCAGATCAATATCTCCGTATAGTCCCAGCTGGTGTCCTTCGACGTGCTCGGGCGCAGCTCCCTCAGTAAAGCGCTCGCAACTTGCACCGCGCCAACGATCCAGACGATATACAGCCTGATCTTCTTGGCCGTATCGAGCTGGAATTTCAACAGCACGACTATGGGGATAGCCAGCAGGATGATGCCCTGCCCGACGTGAACACCACCGAGTATATGGCTCCGCAACGCGACGTCTCCGCAGACGGGCGGAATCGCGGCCCGACCTCGAAAGGCGAGATCCCACTGCGCCGGCGCCGGGTTGCAGCTGAAGACGTTCCAGAACAGGGTCACGAGGATGTACGCGATCACCGTGACGATGAAGACGTCGATGAGGATCTGCCATCGGCGCGAGGCGTGGTGCGCCATTCGTCGCACGAATAGAGCGATGGACAGCTTGATGAGCCCAACGGCGACATAGTAGATTGTTCGGGTGGCCGCGCCGCCATAGGATCCGTAGTTGATCTCTTGATATGTCATGTCCCACACGTGCCTGCAAGTTGCGCCTACCAGAGGCAGGATGATATGTGTAATAGGATAGCTGAGTGCTGTGATCTGTGCAGCAACGTTTTTGCCTTGTCAGCTCGTCATCCAAAACGGTGTCCACACCTTGCTCCGTCGCAGGGCCAGGGAAGAGAGGGCAGACGATCGAGAATCCAGAAGAACACAACTCACTGCAGCTAGTAGTATGGTCCAGTCATCCCACCCGAAACATAGAACTGAGCTCCTCCGTGCGCGCAGGACTAGCCTGGCGGTGGTCGGGATGATGATGCCAAGAATGACAAAGACGCAGCCGATGATGACAGCCAGAACCCGCGTCTCCCGCACGGCACCGGGCGGCGGATGTGGCGCGAAGAAGAACCCTGCCATGGGTTCTGCATCTTCAATGTCGAGTGCTCGATACAGTCCCTTGACGATGAAGTAGTCGTCCACCGTGTTGGGAGGCTGCCCGTAGAGAGCCGAGGGCAGAGACATGTCGTGGCTCTACTGGCCGGGGGGCTACATCCGTGCGGTCCTTTCCCCCAACACAAGCCTTTGTATCGTGAGTCGTAGTGGTGGTGGTGACGTTTTGTCTCGTTCGCAGTTCCTGCAACTTTTCGAGTAGAACGCGTGTCGGTGTTGGCATTCAATCGTCGAACTTGGTGGAAGCAGGTGTAAAGTCTTCTAGAAAAGGAGAAGAGAGCAAGGGACAACATGCTGGGAGTCTGTGGGCGCGATGATCTGCACATATTGACTATACTGCAGGGCAGCTCAGCCTTGCAGCGAAGATTAGTCCTTGTCCCATCCCTAGCACCAGCCTTGTAGAGGAGCGTCATGCTGGACGCCCGACGGGTTTCGAATCACTGCTAGTGCGCGCGCTATGACGCGCTGAGCATCAGGTTCATCCGCGAGCAAATGGTATTGCTTGCCGCCGTACGCGGCCTTTAAAGTCCCTTGCCCTGGCTAGCGTTGTCGGAGAATAGCGGCAGCACGGGTGGGCGAGGCTGCTAGAGCATCCAAGCGCTCCCCGTCTCATTCTTCTAGAAACACGCTTACGCAGACCCCTGGTTCGGCGCCGGACAAATCCCCGGACAACGGGTACAGGCATGACATTTGGCAGGCCGCAATGGTGCAGGAGAGACCTGTCAGAATAAAGCCAAGACTCATACCTTGATTCGCTCATTTCCCCTCTTGCCTATGTCAAGCTACGAAAGATATTGTAAGCGATGTTTTGATGAATCAGTCGGAATACCAGCTGGCACACATACCGTTCCCGACGGGAAGACAGACCCACCCACTCTTTGATCATCGTCAAGCTACAACCACAGTTGCCGCACTAGAAATAGCCCCTGAGATCACGGGCCACACCGTATGCACGTCGTCGGAGGCTGCACACTTTTTGGGACAAACCCGCGGACGTGCACCTCTCGAAATGGCCTCACCATGGCCATTTGTGGCGATGCCGCCGACAAGGGGTCAGTCTCCATCTCAAGAAAAGGGTGGACTGCGGTGCTGAGAAAATGATTGATAATAGCGAGGGAACCCGCCCGGGGGACTCAATCAGCTCGGCAATCGAAGCGGACTACGCGCTACTGTACGCAGTAGATTCAGAGGACCAGCACGCACCGCGGCCCCCTGGACGACACTGGAGATCTCCCGTCTTTGCTCGAGATCAACCCCTTCTCCCTCCCAACTGCCGATGCACACCCGCTGCCGTTGCGTAATGCCGACGGGATTGATCGGCAGTATTGATCCGTGCCAATCTGCATTGCCATGGCCTGGTACAGTCCTAGTCTGGTCTCGTCTTGTGTGCATTGGTCGTTTTCCTTCGTCGCAACAACCTTCCAAATTCGCTCGCGACGCGCTAGAAGACGCGCAGACCATACTGCACACGCGCTAGCAACGGTGTTTGATACAACTTTCTTTAGACTTTTCACGATTCAATCCCCAAATTTGGCACGCGAGTACTTGGCGAGCAAAAAAGCGAAGCCAGACAATCGTATCATCTACCATGCACCCTCAACGCTCGTCTTCGCAAGCTCCCCCCCTCCCTGGGGACGCCACAAACCCTCTGCCCTCCCGGCTCGGTTCGCCTTATGATTCAGAATACAGCTTCCGGCCCTCCTTAGAGTTCAGGAAGTGATATCTGTGCTCACGCTTATATTTTAGCGGTTTCCAATGCTTCGGTTGCCTCGGAAGGACCGGAAAGGGAGGAGTAGGGAGGGGGTGGGGGGGGGGGCTGTTTTTGTTTACTTACCTCTCCTCCGCCCAGTGCATCGCATACCAGGCCGCGAACAGCGGAGGGGCCCAGTACAGCACCTGCATCCTGAACCTGCGCCAGCCGTTGGTGGCGCTCGGCAGCACGGTGATCCTCTGGAAGTTCGGGCTGAGCGCGAACGAGATGATTCCTTTCTGCGGCTGGCTCCCTGTGCGTGGAGGGGGCGGGGCGCGGGGCGAGAGTGTCAGGAATATTTATTATTATCATCATTATTGTTGTTGACGTGAATCGTGATGTTTGGGGTGGAGGGAAGGTTTTGGGACCGGGTTGAGCGTACCGAGATTGCCCCATGTATCTTTGTTCAGATATCTGCACCGCGCGGCGTCAGCCCAAGAATCTTTCTAATCGAGGTTTTTTTCTTCGTCTACGAGACTGGAATGCGAAGAACACTGACTTGCCATGTTTAAAGAGCGGCACCTCAGAGCGAAGAGGTGTTGACGGATGCATGTCAGGCAGGAAAGATGTGCGGTGCTATGAGGTCTTCGAGTGGCAATCGAGCTAAAAGAAAAAGCGGCCTCTGGCGGACACCAAGTCCCTGCCCAGCAAGGAGAATATATTAATACCATTTACTGGCCTTCCATCGGGGCCTGGAAGGTCACCCCTTCTTGAGCTCATTTCATCATCAACTCATCGTCACTGGTCAATGGCCGCTACGTAAGGTGGAACGATGTCAGCAACTGCCAAGTCCTAATTCCGCCAATCAGCGGCCGCGTCACGTATGGCGGACTTAAACGGCGATGCACTCCCCAAAGTCTGACCTGGCCTTCTGAGGGGCGGATATATCGAAACCTTCTTTCTTTGCTCTTTGCGCCAACTACGTATCAACTTCAATTCCGGCCAGCACCCATTGGCCCGAGAGATCACACGCAGAGGCTAGCTGGAAGGAACAGGCGGACGCCGAGCGTTGAAGCTATTGGCGGCCTTGTCTGTTTGCTTACGCCAAGAAGAAGAGCAGTTTACCGGGTGCTGTGCCTGTGTCGTCATGGGTTCCGGCCGGGAACAACCGGCGCGGCGCACCCGCAACAGATCGACCCTGAGGTGAGTTGAGTGCTCTGAGCCGTTCATCCGTGAAACAAAATCCCGCACCAGAATTGTCGAGGTCACGAGAGCAATTTTATCCCTGGACGTGTGGTCTTATTTGTTAACCTGGGCAAAAATAGTTGTGAGTCGTGTCGCAAGCGCAAGGCCAAGTGTGATCGCAAGCACCCTTGTACCAACTGCGTCCGATGGCAAGCGGAGACTTGTGTCTACAGCTCGAGCCTGGCGACACCGGGCAGTAAAGGAGACGGCTCTGTGGTAGTCGAGCCTGCATTCACGGCAAGGCTGCCTACTCACAGGCGGATCGCGCCTTTGACGCTTCCAAATCAAGAACCCGGTGCAGGGGAGGCGAGTTCAGCCGCCGGTCCTAAACCACAGGCTTCGACACGAACCAGGGACGTCACCACTGGCGGCATACACGTCTGGCGGTCCACGCCGCTAGCCAGCATCTTCATTGGCATTTCAGAACCAGCGAGCAGCACATCGCGGACCACGAACAAGCCGCGCGTTGCCAACGCAAGCAAAGACACAGAAGCCGCAGTCTACGACAGAGACAAGGATGTCGCTTTGCAGGAGCCTCTCTTTCCCGCGCTCGAGGGTACGAGCGGCCCCATTCGTGGCGCATTTTACAAGAACAGATACATTGGCCAGAGCCACTGGATGTACGCATGGCCGCTGGTAAGTGCAAACTTGTTCTGCCACCCCGCATGGGCTTGCTTCGGTGCTCGATCATTCATCCTCCGACTGATGCGATGCGGTGGGACGGCTCGCAGTACCCGCCGGCTCTTGCCATTGTCGGCACGGAAATGACCAAGAAGGGGGCTTCTTGGAAAGCATTCCAAGATTGCAAGGCCTTGGCTCGCCTTGTCAAGTCCCAGAAGCCACCTTCGTCTGCGAGGCTAAGCTGCACCGACTTTGGAAGGCATCTGCCGTCATACGCTCTCGCGGTCGCATTCCTCGATGGGTATCTCGAGACGTTTGAGACGGTTTACCGAATCTTCATGGTTCCTACCTTGAAGCGTGACTTTGACAGCATGTGGGACCGTGGTGCCGAAGACCAGCCAGCAAGCCGGGAGACTGTCATACAAGTACAGCTCTGCCTTGCTATTGGAGCGACAGCCGGATCAGAAGGATCGTCACTACGTCCCCTTATCACGCAATGGGTATCCGAGGGGTGTGCGTGGGCGGCACACTCAACCCAGAAGGCCAAGCTTTCCATCACGGGGCTGCAGATTCTGTGTCTGCTGCACATTGCCAGACAGGCATGTGCCATTGAGGCCGACCTGTCGTGGATCCCCGCGGGCTCGCTCATCCGCACGGCCATGTGCATGGGCTTCCACATTGATCCGTCCATGTTGCCGGCCATGCCTGCCGCTGATGTCGAGCTGCGCCGCCGGCTGTGGGCGACTGTTCTTGAGATTGTGCTCGAGTCGAGCATCAGCGCGGGAGCACCTCCACTCATCTCGGCCGAAGATGTTGGCTGCAAGTTCCCCTCAAACTGCAACGACGATGAACTCGTGGCGCAGGCAGCGGTGGACAGCCATGACGCCGTGCCACAGGCGACGAGACCTACTGGAGAGTACACCGATACATCAGCACAGATTGCCCTGGCAAAGTCGTTCAAGGCGCGACTCGCCATCGTCAAGACCATCAACCAACCCAACGTGGCCATGGCAACGAGCTACGACGACCTGATGACGCGAAGCACGCGTATTGACGAGGCTTGTCAACAGCTCCGTTCTGATCTCGCCCACCCCAAGGCCACTCCGTTTCAGCGGAAGTACTGCAGTCTCATGCTGGAGCGATACTACCTCGTCATCCACATCTCCTACCTGTCCCTCGCGTACCAGAAGAATCGTTACGCAGCGCGGTACTCGCTGTCGCGGACGACCTGCGTCGACACGGCGCTGAGAGTCATGTACGCCGGCCTCACACCGGCTTCGGCCGTCTTCAAGAAATCGCCGCTCTCCGCGTTGATGACTTGCTCCTCTGGGACAGCCTCTCCGGCCGACACGACGACCTGCCAGCAGTCGGAGGAGTACTTTCCTGCCCTGCTGCAGCGTGGCGGGGGCCATCTCCGATCGATCCCCCTGCAGTGTATCCTCGTTCTCGCGCTCGAGCTTATCACTCGCACGGCCGGTAATGACAACCCTCGCAGTTGCTCGCTGGGCCACCCGTCGCCGGCAGCACCTGCGGCTGGTGGTGGTGGTGGTGGTGGTGTTGGGGGCGGCGGTGCGATGCTCAGTGCCGCACTCTCGCATCCGCCAGGGACGACGGGCCAGTTTGAGAGCCTGCGGGACGTCGAGGTGCACCTGCTGCTGCGCGTCGGGGCGGAGTGGACGGCACGGCGGGTGTCGGTGGCGGGGGACATGTGCGCCAAAGACCACGCTTTTGTGGCGCTGCTTGTCGCGATAGCGGAGGGGCAGATCTGCAGGCGGGCGGAGGGCGGAGGGGGTGGCCTTGACAAGGACGAGGCGGACGTGGTGGTGAGAGAGAGGTACTGCGCGGCGTTTGAAGAGTGCAGAGAGCTGCTGATCCAGAGACTGAGGGCAGGCGGTGTTGGTGTTGTTGCTGCTGCTGGCGAGGAGTCGGTCGGCCACGACCATGTCGAGGCAGCGAACACTCTGGCAGATCTGGATGGAAGGGTGGCAGAGGATGTCATGTGCTGGTCTGGATATGGCGAGGTGGACATGGCGGAGGGCGACATGTTGAACGGGTTCTGGATGGGCGATGTGTCGGATGATCTCGACTGGGACGGCATCATGGACTTTACATCCTTCTAGGACTGGTCGATGTGTAGACTTGTAGACCTCTGGACCTCTAGTGTGGGCTGCTCAGAAGAAGAGACAGAGCCATGGAATGGAGACAAGACGGAGAAAGAGCCACCGGCCTGCTGCTGGCGCCTTCCGTGGCCACGACCATGGCTTTCTCCGATTGCACCTGCCACATTTGAAGCCTTCACATAAAAAAACAGCCTCCAGAGGGTCCAGAGGTCCCAGACCCATCAATCATTGCTTCACACTCACAACCACATCACCCACATCATCATCGCCATCACCACCACCAGCAAGATGCCGGCCCCCCTCAGCCAGCAAGACCGCGAGCTCCAGAAGCTCTTATCTCTCGGCGGCGCCGCTCCTCCAGAGCCAAACAGCTACCCCTTCAACAAGATCGGCGCCGGCTCCTGCGGCGCAGTCTTTGCTCAGCCGGGCAGCGCCCTCGCCTTCAAGCTCTCAAAGACGACAGAGTTCAGCCTCTGGAACGACTACCTCCAGCACACGCGCATTCGCGACATGCTCAGAGCCCATAACATCGACATCAACATCCCAGACTGCCACGGCTACATCCGCGCCGAGGACGCTGCAGCCACGTTGTTCGACAAGACCCCAGCCCTCGCCGACGCCGCAAGAGACGTCTGCCACCTGCCCACCCGAGTGCTCGTCACGCAGCGCATCAACCCACTGCCACCAACCATCCGCACCCTCCTCACCAACAAATACTGCGCACCGCGCATCAAGGCAAACGCCCTCGCAGACCCGGCCAACAGGGACTGCCTCGTCCGAGTATACCTCGGCTCCATGGCGGGCAAGACGGGCGGCGGCATGTTCTTCTCCCTCCGCAACTTCAAGCTCCACCTTAACCACATCATCGACTTGCAGCTCAACCTCCGCAATGTCTGCGTCCAGATGGCCAGGTCTCTAGCCATCATGCACTGGGCTGCGCGCACAGACGCCCGCGATGTCGAGTTTGTCTTGGGAAGCTCGGCAGGACTCTCTCGCCGCACCCCAGCCTTCTCCTCGGCCGAAATCCACGCATTCGCCACCGAGGCAACGACATTTCCATCCGTAGGCCCTGATGAGAGGGACTTCTTCTGCAGTACCACACAGCTATGGCTACTTGACTTCAACCTGGTGCAAGATATTGAGCTCAACGACAATGCCCTCGACAAGCTGGTCAGTGCGCACAACGCCAACGACCCTTACTACCCCAAGCCGTGCCAAGAACATCCCGTTGTAGAAGGACTGTGGAACGACTTTGCTACGGCGTATCTAGACACGGCTGCTCTAGTGCTTCAGAACGAGGAGGACTCAAAGACGCTGGAGCTGCCTTCCCGCTTCATCGAAGCACTGATTTCTCAGGAGCATGTTAAGAAACAGACGAAGGAACATTGAAACGGCATTATTGAGAACAAGCCAGAGGTTCAGAGGTACCAGAGGCTCAGAGGTTTAGAGGTACCAGAGGCTCAGAGGTGCAGATGATCAGAGGCGCCGAGATTCAGAGACCCAGAGGTACAGAGACCCAGAAGTTTGGCGTTTCAAAATCATGTACATGGTCATAGAAAGCTTCATAGGAGAATCCATGGCCCAGATATCGAGCAAATCCCACTTGTGCAGGTTCTTTTGCTCGCAAGTTGGCCACTATTCGGGGGATGTAAACGACGGCCCAAGCGTAGCTCAGGCAGTGGCCACCACATTCGCGATCCGCTCCACCTCCTCATCCACCACTCGCTGAACCTCCTCGGCAATGTCGTCCTTGTACCGCGGCTGCCATCCCAGAAGCTCAGTGGCCCGACGCCCAGTGGCTCGGACATTCGTGCCCCACATGATACTCCCGTATGCCGCGAGTTTATCCGCCTCGTCTGGAGTGATGTGTGCAATCTGGACCTTGGCCTGCTTTGCAGCGAGTGCGGCTGCCACAAGCTCGGCGACGTCTCCCATTTTCTGATCCACGGTGTTGCATTAGCATCTCATTCCGCACTGGTATACTCAATGCACACCTTGACACATGAAATCACACCCTGCAAAGTAGGAGACAAGTTCAGAAAACTCACCACTTCGTCGACGTGAGCCAGGTAGACCGCGTCGGGACCCCAGACAGCACCTCCCTCCGCCGTGGCTTGGTCCCCATCACGACCCGAGAGAACATCCACAGCCCTCTTGAGCAGCCGCACGAAGACATCAGAAAGATCGGCCACGTGCACCGTCGCCCAGACGTTGTCCCCCGCGCCGACCTTCAACACCTTGCCGGTCTCGAGGGCGATCCGCGCGAGCTCCGGGATCTGCAGGCTGCGCTGGTTGACTGGGCCGCGGCCGCGGCCGTAGATGAGCGGGCCGACCACGAACGCGGTGTTGATGCCGCTGTCGTTGTTGGGCTCCGCGGAGGACGATGATGATGATGAGCCCTTGTGAGTCTCGTCCAGGATGTAGTTCTCTGCGCGGCGCTCTGGGTGGGCCCGCACGAAGCGTCGTATCTCTGGGACGCCGTCGAGGTCGTCAAAGACCAGCTTGTCGCTGGCGGGGGCACTGCCGAGTGTCGCGCGGGCGGCGATCTCGTCGGCGGCGAAGAATGATGCACCGCCGACTTGGATGTGGAACGCTTTTGCCAGATCTTCTCGTCAGCGAAACGCCCCCAATCGATACAACCACCGCCCACCTTTTCTTTTCTTTGGCATGTAGATCGAATGCATGCTTACGTACCTTTCCGGGAACCTCGTGGCTGTTGCAGCCCGTGATGCACTGCTTCGATGCTGGCAAAGTTTGCCGCAGCAGCCAGGTCTGCCAGCCACACAGGCGTAGGTGGAAAATCATCAGCTCTCGGTCCATCTCTGCGCGGGATATCGGAGGGCACGGCCACTCTTGACAGAGAGGAGTCCATCATGACTTACGCATCACAATGTCTGCTGCCGACGCGAGCCGGCTTGTAAAGGCGGCGTCCTTCATGTCCCCGACGACGATTTTCACAGCTGGGAAGGCCTGGGTGATGAGCTGGCCTTTTGCTTCGTCGCGCACGAGGGCCGTGATCTCGAGTTGCGTGGCCAGCGCGGCCTCCTCGTGGTGGAGGGCGTAGAGGAAGTCGCCGCCGACGAAGCCGGTTGCACCTGTTCTGTGGTGTTGAAGGGGGTCAGTTACTCCGTCGGGGCCGTTGAAGGTGATTCAGGGGGCGGTCTAGAAGATGTGTAGATTATCTCACTTACAGCAGCACCTTGATCTGCATTGTGTAAGCGAGCAGGTGTGTGTCCGGTAGACTTCAGTCTAGTAATGTACGACACTGTCGCAAGGTATTCTGGCGGTGCTCTTCTTTTCAATTAATTAGCCTGGCAGTCAGCTTGTTTCGCAGGTCCTGGTACTACATTTATAAAGGTGCTTCTGCAGACCCCCATGTCATCACGTCTTCATGTCAGACGAACAAACGTGTGGGGTCAGCTAAGGGGCCTAATCCCATCCCCAGGCTCAAAACCACGAGGTTAATCCAATCAATGGTCAAAGGTAGCGGACCGTCTTGCCGGCCCGCGTTCCCATGGGCTTACCAATCCCCAAGCCACAGATGGTGAGATCGTGTCGGCTCTTACTTTCCCTCTGTCACAAGTGCACATTCAAGATCTGATTTATCATCAATCCAGGTGCACGACATTCATGTGCACCGCCATGGGCGCGCTGTCTTTGTGCCGTCTGTCGACAAGTGTCTGCATTTACACACCGCTGGAATGGTAAACGCCTGCGATTCGCAATTTCATGCACAGGCACAGTGCTGAATTAGTTCAACACAAAGCAAGAGCCACTGACTGACTGTATCGTGAACAAGACGGCAGCCAGATCTGGAGCATGGGGCATGGTGATGTGCAAAAACAGAAATGCGGCAAAAATGCATCAGCCGTGAATCGAACACGGGGCCCATCGATGGCAACGATGGATTTTACCACTAAACCACTGATGCTGGAGTTGTGACCAGAAGATCTGTGAATTTGTCTCATTATCAATTGATATATCAGCACAAACAGCTGGATTTTCTGTAACTTTACGTGACCTGGTTAGAGACACATGTACACCGACCTACACGGCGACGAATTCCGGGAAACAACCTTCATGTGAACAATTGCATCTCAATGGCCATCACTGAAGTATGGCCTCGCTCGTGGGTTTTACCAAGCGAGTTACCGAGCCGTCACACGATCGCTGCAACAGCGAGACAGCACCCTGCCCACGCTGATTACGGCCTAAGTTCCTCCGACAGGGGGCTCTGTCTGTCTGCTGGCTTATACACACGTCTTGCTGCCGCTACTCCTCGTAGAGTTGCCCGCAGCGGAGCCGCGCACCACAGATCCACTCGGACTCGAGGTCGACGCTGCCGCCTGACGATGTAGAGCGCCAACCGGAGTCAGTCCTCCTCGCGCGGAGATATGATACTGTCTTCCTTCGAACCACCCCCTCAATCGGGAAGGGTCAATGCCTTGGCCTGTGCAGTAGGTAATGACTGTTCCATCCTCTATGAGGTACCAACGGCCATCATGATATCCAAGGCGGCGCGATCGTGCTGCGGCATTTGTGCCGGGAGGTAGTGGATGGTCAATGATGAAAGGATTAGGGATGTGGATGGTCTTCATGTCGATGACGCCGATCGGCATAGGCACATACCAGCCCACCGGAGTAGCGCTTGCTTCGCTTGCCACCTTCCAAATTCCCAGCACCACACCGCCCTCTACGCCATCTGTCGGTGTTAAACCATCAATGAGGATCGTCATCGTCTTTCTGGTTGAGCTCCGCTCTACGTGTCGAGGTTCGGCTTCGGAGACTGCCACGGGTCTGCTGCATAGTCTAGGCTGCAGATAGACCCCGCCGGAACTAGGTCTGGGCGTGGCTGAGAAGAGCACGGCACCGAAGACGCAGGTCTCCGAGTCTGGCAGGACAAAATTGTCGATTATGACCTCGATCGTGGGGAGCATGAGGCCCTTGAAGGCGCCAAGGTCACTGTTGACATGCGGTCGAGGTGTCCATGTGCTCCATGTTGCGCGGCACGAGGTCATGCGGCGGTCGCCGATGACTGTACCGGTATACCATGAGTTGGGCGGTACTAATGGTCTGGTGGTCGAGCTGATTGTGTTTGGCATGTTTTCAGTGAGTGTTGAGAGTAAATGTATGATAGTAGGAGGAGAGTGGATGGCCTAGTGAAGTGTGTAGACTTGACTTGCAGAGTTGAGTGATCTCTGGGAGTTGCCCATCAGCCATCCTTCGGTGGTGACCGTGGCCAAATTTATGTATGTAAAATTCCTGTCATGTTTCTCACCAAGGATTTGTTGCTCGGTTTTGAGCCATAAAACACTGTGTTGGCGACACGTCAGTGCCTCGAATTGATGGTCACAGACATACAAGCGTTCGATCCGCAGTAGCACAATGGCCCCGTGCTCGCAAACAACATCGCCAGAAGAGCTTGACATCGCACAGAATAATGATTGCATGGATGCGCGTAACCTTCCCAGGACTTACACTTACACGACCATTCTTCGGCATCCTTGATTGTGGATGCGCACGTCCGACGGGTATGGAGTTCTCGGTCTTGGAGTGTCGCCCACAAGGCGCTGCGTTCAGGAGGTCTATGCCTGCGAAACCTGGCTGTCCGTTGATGCTCTGTGCAACCAAGAAGTTTGTCAAACCCAACTTGGGCGAAAAGCAAACGTTAGCGTGCTAGCAGATATTGTCGGCCAGACGGCCCAATTCTGGTGCCTGATAGCGTTGCACAAGCATTCCATATGCAGTGGAGTGTCTTCGAGGCTTCGTTCGTCGAGAAGGGTAGCTGAGGTTTGGGTTTGCTAGACGCATGCCGTTGACAATGGAAGTTGATTTCTGTAGGAGGGAACTGTATCTTGTAGTCGCCCAACCAGGTTCTGATTCGAGATCCGTTGGTTGTGTTAGTACATTCACGGCAGCCGTCAAAATGTGCTCGTCCCGACTCCTTGGACGTCTTGGCGTACGCCCCCTCAAGCAATTCACTCAAGCAGACAGTAGCAGGCCATCTCGGAAGCACTATGAGGCTCTGCGTCGTTGGTGGCGTCCATGGCCAGCTCGAACAGCCACCGGTCACCATCAACTCCTCAGGTTACCTGTTTCACCAGCAATGCCAGCGAGGTCAACAGAGAAGCATAACTCATGTCACTCGCCGCAATCGTGACTGCCAGGAGAAGAATCATTATTTGTTGCACATTTGGCTCATTGCAAACAGTTCTGCAACTTGATATAATAGGCTCCTCCGGCATTAGGTCTTCTTTGCCAGTGATCCAACAGCCGCCAGCACCAGCACAGCCGAGTCCCTCTCAGTTGCCATAATTACCCGACTGGGTGGTGAAATCTCCCTTCTCCGTCAGGCTGTCAATCCTACCGAGCAAGTACTCGAGCTGGCGGTATGCTGCGCTCGGCTGATACTGAGGCACCATGTGCCCGCTCAGAAACGTCTCGACCCAGGTAAACCCACGCTCCGTGTGAACAATACCCATCTCTCCTGACGCGGCGAGAGTTTCCAGGCTGGCATCAGGGTGATAAGGCACGAAGAACTTATCCTTGCCCGGCTCCTCCTGGAATCCCTGCTTTCCACCCCAGGTCATGTTCTGGATCGCCAGCCGTGCGCCCATATCGATGAGAACGTAGTCGAGGTTTCCATGCGCCAGGACGGTGCGCTCAGAACGCTCGATGACACTTGGGTACACCGACCACGCCGACGGCGCGGAGTCGTCATTCTCCAGCACACCATTGACGCACTCGTTCCATTCCTGCGTGGGTGCGTTGATGGCCTTCTGGACGTCGGTGCGGTTGAAGTAGATCTCTGCGCCGGCTGGCAGGTAGTCGAACGAGCCAGGGAAGCCAAGGACGTCCCAGAGCACAGGGCACGTGGTAGCGATCTGGTAGTAGTCGAAGCAGGGGTTCGTCAAGAACACGGCGTTTGCAACCTGCGTCCACAGGTCGCATCCTGTCTCGCTGGACGCTTCGGCGGGATTGGGGAAGCTGCCGGTTGCTGGAGGGGGGTAAGTGAGGTACTTGTCGACATAGTCCTTGTAGCCGCAGGACTCGTAGCTCTTGTGGATCTGGGCCGTGAACGACTCGTTGAAGTTGAAAAGCCCAGCCCACTTGTCGACATAGGGCACGGCAACGACGTCAGTTTGTAGCGCTTCGTTACCGATAACGGGGTCGTAGATCAAGGTGCCTTTAACGTTATAGTACGTCTTGTCCTCCTTATCGAGCATTGCACCGGCAATATAAGGCACGTAGAAGCCAGCATAGCTCTCGCCTGTGACGTAGACGTTTTTGCCCTGTAGCGCAAAAGTGTCGACAAAGTTCTTGAAGAAGCCGAGGAATTCTTTAGCGACGTCGTCTTCGTTCTTTTCGGTAGGTTCGCCCTGAGAGAAACCGACTCCGACAGGTTGTTCAACCCAGACCTACGACCCCACATGTTAGAAACCCTCCACGACAGCGTGAGAAAGAGGCGGCAAGAACGCACAATGTTTGTCAGATTGGCCCATGTCCAGTAATTCTTTGTCGGCTTATATGTACCGTACTGCCAGATGAAAGGCCCGTTTTCTTGCAGGAAACCTTCCAACGAGCTGCAGCCAGGCCCGCCGTTGAGCCAGATCACGACATCGTCCTTGCCCTGCGGGTTTGCGGTTGGGAAGAACCAGAAGTACAAGGAACGCGACGCATCTTCACCCGTAGGCATGAGACCGGCATACGACTCGCCAATATCGAAGTCGACGTCGGGAATGCCCGTGCCATTGACGATGTACTCTATTCACGAATCCCGTTTCGTTAGTCAAAGTAGCCGGGTGGGACGACAGGAGATGAATTGGCCACTTACTGGTCGTATTGGCGTTATGGGGAATCAGAGGCTCTGGAGCACAAGGAGGTGGTGTGGCATGACCTCTGGCGACTGCGGACCGTGCGACCCGTGGGTGGCTGACAATTCTGTTAGCCATAGATGGGCCGACATGCTGAAGACCGCGAGCAGCAGCCAGAGCAGCACCGAGCACGCCCGACACAAGAATCGGAAGAGAACGCATCGCGATGGCAGAAGATGACCCCAATGATCAAGATTGACAGGGAGAGGTGCGAGCGGTGAGACCTACAAATCTCCGGGAAAAAAAAGGGCTTCTGACAGACATTTATCAACAAAGTTGCTCGTATGGATGACGTGGGTGAGCAAGGTGGATACGTAACACCTTCCTTGCTTGGCGAAAGCTTGTCGACGCTTGTTCGGCCGAGATCCCTGTCTCTTTTGTTCACCGTTGCATTCTGGCTGACCGATTGGGTCACCACCTTCTCAAGAAAGTATGGATGATGGTTATCAGTCGCACCAAGTCTCCGCTCCGAGACATGGGTCACACGAAACTACGCCCAACCTGGACATGAACCCCTGCAGACAAGATAGCGGTGCCCGCCATCATTGATTACCTGCCAAGCTGCCATTGTCATTGACTGCTGTCTGCGAAATTACTGTAGTTTCGATCCCGTGGGGCCCTTCGCGCCCCGGCGATTTGGGCGTTTCCCAAGGTCTTATGGTGTAGACTTGGCTGTTGGCGCCTCCTCCATACTCCTGGAAACAATATTGATGAAGACCAAAGCAGGGGCTGGAATAGAATGTTATGGTTCCTTTGCTGGTCACAAGTCAGCTTTGTGAGCTTCGTGGTATGCGCAGCACGCGACTGTGCCTGAGCACCTTCCTCACCCTGATGGAGTCGAGTAAACTACTTAAAGTACACAGTATCGCCTTGACCATGACTACTGCGTTCTGAATGACAGCCCTAGCAGCAAGCCTGCGACTTCCTCGTTTTCTTTCTTGGTTCCAACGCAGAACCGTTGCGCAACCAGACTGATTAATTCAACGTGCTCACTGACTCTTGAAGAACCTCTGGGCATGGCAATGAATCACGGAAACCTCATCACAGCATCTGAGACCCGACAGTGTTGAGCTGCACACGGTAGATCTTGTCCCGTCCATAGATGTACAGCCAGTTCTTGACCCAGGCCATGTTGACAGCCGTGTCCCCAGGAGCCACGTTGATCTTGCCCAGCAATGTCCCCTGGGGGTCAAAGATGTCCACGGACCCCGTCACGCCACCGTAGACGCGACCCTCCTTGTCCGTCTTGATGCCGTCGGTGAAACCAGCGTCGCTGTAGGCGAACAAGAGAGGCTGGGCAATCCTGCCCTGGTTGGCAGTGAGATCGAACTGGTAGATGTTGCGGTTGCCGTCGGCGTCGGCGGACGCGAAACCACGCGCGGTGATGTAGAGGGTCGTCTCCTCGCGGTTGAGCGCGACGCCGTTGGGGTTGGTGAAGATGCCCGTGCCGGCGCCGGCAACCATGCGCACGTTGCCCGTCTTGGAGTCCCAGCGCCACACGCCGTTGGCCATTTCGGGCTTGATGGTGTCGTTGAAGTTGTCGAAGCCATAGTAACCGTCGGTGAAGTAGGCGACGCCCCGCTTGGTCATGACGACGTCGTTGGGCGAATTGAAGCGGTGGCCGAGATAGTTGTTGAGCACAACGGCCGTCTTGAGGGTGAGGGGGTCCATGCGCACGATGCCGCCGGGGGTGGTGTAGTTGCCCTCTTGCTGCCAGTACACGGCGCCGTCGTGGTAGTAGGCACCGTTGGCAATAGTCAGCGGCGGGTCTGGGTAGACCTTCTCCGTGACTGGGGCGGTGCCATTCAGGTTCGTCCGCCAGACCCAGGGCAGAAACTGCATCGAGAACCCAGGCTTGGGAGGGTAGAGCTCTGCCGCGAAGATGCAGTTGCACTCGGGCGAGTAGACGGTGCCATCGTGGACCATCCGGTTGGCATATGACGGGCCTGCCGGGAAGGTGAATATGGTCTCGACCTTTTTGGGCTGCCTGTAGTCTTTGATGCCAAGCACGTCGTAAAAGCCGCGGTCAAAGGCCAGGAACGTGGCGTTGCCTAGCTGGCGCAGCGTATGGTTGGCGATGCCGCTGGGGTCTCCCGAGCGAACCTCCGTCTGCCAGTAAGTCTGGGTCACGGGGCGGTTGAAGTCCTTGGCAGGGAAGACATTGCGGATCGAGGCGGGCACCTCAACCACAGAAGGACCAATGAGCAGGCCCAACGACGCCTCCCTGGCTTCAATGTCGATGTTCAAGGGCGAAGTGGCAGGGTAGCAAGAAGCTGGCACAACGGCTGCAATGGCCCAAAGGGCAAGCCGAGTGACAGTGGCCATCATGGAGGACCTGCTGAAACGCTGGCTCAGACAGTTGGCAATGATTTGGCACGCACACAACCGCTCGCCTTGCAAGAAGGACCAAGAGGAGGATCTTACTGGCAAGCAACAGCAAGAAGGCGTAGTTTATATGCGCGAGTCTCCATTCCGGGACCAGGCCATCACGCCTAGTCCGGGATATCAACTTCTCAAGGGATCAACTTGCTTTCCACCGCTGTTGAAGCATCCTCCCCGACTCCCGCATATCCTACCCCAGACCAACATCAACACTCGCCGCGGATATTTGCGCCAGCCCCGGCCTCTCCAATCGGTCTTCCCCGGATACACCTCATTTGACGACGTGGGGTGCGTTGACTGACATTCCGGAATCTGGGGTTGATCAACGCCAATTTTCTGTGGGTCCTCGGCATCAAAGCCCAGCCGGCATAGACCCCGGGCTTCTTCAGATTCCGGCCCATGTTGTGGCCTCGGAAACTTGCCGAAACTTTTGGGGTCGGCCGGTCAGCTGATCGAACCACGAGTGCCATGTCGTCTTGGATTGGATGGTGTCCCCACCAGTTTAGGCCTTCCCCTATTGCAAGGGCGCAGTAGCCCCATGGGGACCCCATGGGAGGCTTGCTTGGCTGGACTTACAGGGTTCCCCCATCGGCTCGCTTTCCCAAGGGAAACATCATTCCCCCGACTCATTCATCGCCAGTCTGTGGCTATATAGGTTGCATCTGTCCGGGGATCAGAGGGTGCCATCTCAGAGCAGATCCAGTACAGTCCCGACTTCAGGTCATTGGTTGCAACTTTGTCCGCCAACGAGCCACCTCACCTCAGCTTCACTCCACATCAATAATGTCTAAGGAACAAACTGGCGACAGCCAGCTCGAAAGCAGCCACTACGAAATGCCGGCGGCTGAGGACAGCTCCAAGACTGAGGCTGGGCCTTGTGATTCCTGGACTCCCGAGGAGGAGAAAAAGGCACTGCGCAAGCTCGACTGGTGTCTTATTCCTCTGTAAGTCGACGCCCTGGCACTCCTGCCCTGCCTCGAGGGGGAAAAAAACGAGAATGAAGAAAATGGCATCAGGCTCACAAAGAATATTGCGTCGCCAGTGTCGGCTCCCTGTACATGGTCTCATACATCGATCGCGGCAACATCGGCAATGCCTACACGGCGGGAATGGGTAAGGAATGGGGAATCAACTCGGACGACTACTCGTGGATCGTGACGGCATACTACCTGGCCTACATTGCCTTCCACTGGCTGATCCTGGCCTGGAAGGTTGTCTCGCTCCCGACATGGACGTGCGCCATGGCCATGGGCTGGGGCATTGCCTCCATCCTCCAGGCCTGCACATCCAGCCTTGCGGGCATCGTGGTCCTGCGGGTGCTAATTGGAGTGTTCGAGGCTGGCTTTGTGCCCGCCGTGGCGCTTTATCTCACCTTCTTTTATCACAGAAAGGAGATGGGCCTTCGCTACGGCCTGTTCATATCGGCCTCGCCGCTCGCCAACTGCTTTGCGTCCGCCTTGGCGTACGGAATCGTGCAGGCCAAGACGAGCATCAAGAACTGGCAGCTGCTCTTCATCATCGAGGGCATCCCGACGCTGTTCCTCGCCGGCGTGGCGTACTTCTACCTCCCGGCCTCGCCCGGGCAGTGTCGCTTCCTCACCGCGCGCCAGAACGAAATCATCAGCAGGCGGGCCGTCAAGGGCCGCGGCCAGGACACGGAGCGCAAGCTCGACTTCAAGCAGGTGTTTTCCGCGTTCTACGACTACAAGAACTACCTGCAGGCCGCCATCATCTTCTGCCTCAACACGGCCTTTGGCTCGCTGCCCGCGTACCTGCCCACGATTCTCGCCGACATGGGCTACACGTCCATCAACGCGCAGGGCCTGTCCGCGTGCCCGTACATTGCCGCCTGGTTCGTGTGCGTGGGTACCAGCATGCTCTCGGACCGCGTCGCCCAGCGCGGCGTCTTTGTCGTCTTCTTCAGCCTCGTCGGCGCGGCGGGCTACACCATGATGTCGCAGCTCACGGGCACTGCAGTCCGCTACGCGTCCACCTTTCTCGTCTGCGCGGGCGTCTTCCCCGCCGTGGCCCTGACTTTCACCTGGACCACGGACAACCAGGGGTCCTCGTCCAAGCGCGGCGCCGGCCTGGCCATCTTTGGCATGATCGGCCAGTGCGGGCCCATCCTGGGCGCGCGCATCTTCCCCAAGAGCGACGGGCCTTACTACCACACGGGCATGCTGGTCTGCGCTGGCGTGCTGTTTGGCGCTGCCCTGGTCGCCACGGTCCTCAGCGTCTGCCTGCGTCTGCAGAACCGCCACCGCGACAGGGTCTATGGCAAGGTCGAGGACGTCACGAGCGTGCCTGAGGACGTTGCTGACAAGGGCGATTCGCACCCCATGTACCGCTATGTCGTGTAGGGCTGGTCATCGAGGATGGGATGATGAACTCGTACGGGATGGGATGGGGATTGTTTCATCACTGTTTGCACTGTCTATACGAGCCCATCTGCAAGGTGATGGATTGAGCAAAATAGGAACGTGGTTCTGTAGCACACAATCCAAAAAACAGGTTGGTTTACCACCTTTTCATAATTCTTTCTCAGTTGGACGCCGAGAATAGCAGTGAATGCCAATCCTTGTCCATCATCTCGGGCATGTCCCACGGAAACGCGTCTGGGTGAAACCCCGCGCCCGTGTCCATCGCCGCAAGCGTGAATGGGCTTTGTAGCCGCGAGAACGAAAAGCCCGGCTGCTGCTGCTGAGTGTCTTGACCTCCAAAGCCACTGCTTAGCCCTCCAGCTGCCCCAATACTGACGCCGCCGCCGCCGTCGCCGTTCTCCATGACGACCGAGGGCGAGATCTGCATGTGCGGCTGCAGTGCCGCCGCCTGGACGGCTGCGGTGTCGTTCCGACTCTGCTGCTGGCTTGCCATCGTCGAGAGCTGAGCTCCGGCGCCGTCGCCATGATATCGCCCTGTCTCATTTCTGTTGCTGGTACTGCTGCTAATCCGCTGCTGCTGCTGTTCTTGTTGTTCTTGATGATGTCTTGTTAGGGTTATCATTGACTCTCGTCGCCCAGCACCGCCGCTTGCCCAGCTGCCTTCTCCTCCACCCTGCTTGCCCCCGCCACCTCCCCCCCAAGCACTGAGCTGCCGGCGGATGGTGTCGAGGCTCCGGCCGCTGCCGGGAGTGTGCTCCGCCTCGTCCTGCAGGGTCCGGACGGCGCGGCCCAGCCGTCGCGCGGCGTCTAGACGGCCCGGGGCCCGGGGCTCGGCGTGCCGCGTCTCGTAGGCGTCCACGGTGGCCGCCGTGTAGATGCAGTAGCTGACCTGGTACGTCATGAGGCGGTGGGGGAAGCTGCGCGCGTAGAGCTCGTGGATGGCGTGGATGCGCTGCGAGTGTGCCGCGCAGGCGGCCATGGCCCGGGCCCGCGTGGCGGCATCGGGCGAGTGCAGCAGCGGCCGGCGGAGAAGGATGTGTAGGGCGTGGTAGAGGAAGTTGAGAGAGGCAATGTGTGGCGGGGGGCACTGCCTCGTGGATGACACCTCGTCCACATCGACCTTCAGCGCCGCGGAGAGCTGGTCGTGCCACTCGCAGAGTCTCAGGGACATGTTGTCGATCTCGGGCTGCAGGTTGTCCGAGAGGCCCCGTGTGTGCAGGAGCAGCATCATGTCTGTGGTGATCCTGTGGAGCTCGCAGAAGCCAGAGAAGGTTGCCGTGTTGCACATGGGGACCGGGCTGTACAGCGAGGCAATGTCCCTGGCGCCCTCGGACGGCCACTCCTGCTCGTTGTCGAACTGGTCCAGGATCTCGTCGGGCCCGTAGGGCGGGCTCACCAGGGACGGGGACCGGCCGAGCGCCAGGCTCAGCGTCTTGTCCCAGATGTACGCCGAGTTGTACAACCTCTTGCGCGTTTCAATCTCGGCCGGCGTCAGCCGCTCCAGCTCGGCAATCTTGCTCGTGTGCAGGTGCACGCCAATGTCCACCATCATCCGAATGGCCATGCCCGTAAACAGCCAGCCCTGCGAGCTCTTGCCCATGGCACACTCGCGGCCTCCGAGGATGAGCAGCCCCTGGATGGTCGGGATGCGCGGCTTTGGCCTGTCCATCTCCTCAAGCAGCAGGGCTTTGGCTCGGCGGAACATCCGGTCTCCGATGGCGGCAGCCCCGTTGCTCTCGTCGTCTCCCTGCTGCCGGCTGAGATGGCGCGCAGACAGGGCGAAGATGCACGTCAGGAGGAAGTCCGAGTAGTAGGGCCCGTTAAGGGCCATGTCCATCAGGAAGACAGGTCGGTAGACGCAGTTGTGTAGCGGGTGCAGCCATGACCAGTACATCTCGAGCAGGTGGGAACCCATTTCCTTTGATATGCCAAAGGCCTCCATGTTCTTGGTCTTGCCCAGGGGAACCCAGACGGAGTCGAGCAGGTCGTACTGGGAACGCAGGCTCTCTGCCTGAGACGCTCTGGCCTGCTGGTCCCGCCGCGCGTCGTCGAGAGGCGACGTCGATGCAGGCTGGTTCTCGTCCAGCGGGCCCGCGTGGAAGCGGCTTGTCGGCCCGTTGTAGATGATGGCGCCATCCTCGCCGACGCCCACTTGGGACCAGATGGACGCGTCGCGAGCCGTGGTGGCGGTGGTGGTATACGCATGACTCCCTGCGACGCTAGGGCTAGAGGTGGCAGCGTCCACCGCCATCATGGCCCCCGCGGGACACTGGTTGTTGTTCTCACTACCGACACTGATGTCATTTCGCGGTCCCGGGCTTGGATCCAGGCCAGGCGGCCCCAGACCCGGACCGTCCTGTCCAAGCTGCGCATGTCCATGTGCCTGGGTGTCACCCAAGGCCGACTCAAGCCGCCGAATGCGAGAGCTTGCGTCTTGCAGCTGCTTCTCGAGGCGCTCGCTCCTATGGTTGTTCAGGCTGCTTGATGGCCAGACGCACTCCGTCTCCGAACGGGCACAGGCGGCACAGCAGGGCTGCTCGCCATTGCACTTGATCTTGCGCGCCTTGCAGCCCTGGCAGGCGAAGCCATAGCGGCGGAGAGACCGCCTGCCGGCACTGTGGGTGGCAGCTCGAGACCGCATCGTACCCGCGCCGGCACCGGCTCCAGCACTCGCGGCCGGTATACTGCCTTCTTCCGACGGCGACGGGCTGGCGAGAGATGGCGTGACCGAATCCTCCATCGCGCGAGGCGAAGAAAACACACCTCTGGGTGCCTGCATCGTTCTCCTGCTCGCGGATCGTGCAGAGTCGGAAGACGGGGTCTGACAGGGGCCCTCAACTACGCAGCGGTAAGATGCCGAGATGCTAGGGGGCCGAGTTTGGGGGGATGCGGGGGAGGTCAAGTGGAGAAGAAGAATAAGGAGTGTCTTGTTTGGCTAGACGGCTGGGGATTTCCGGCTAGTGAGGGGAATCCGGGGAAGCTCCCAAGTCTCGTCTCTGAGAGGCAAGCAAAACTTCGCTTTGAACGGGAGCAAGTCAACATCCCCACAGATTGAGTTATACACTCATGACTATCTACACGAATGATCAAGAAAGACACCAAGCCCGCGCTGCCTACTTTAGTCAGAAGTTGCATAGATGATTCAAGGCAGTCGTCAATCAAAAAGAGACCCGACATGCTTAACAAATGCCTCGATAGCTCTAGAATCTCAAAGCCACTCCGCGCGATCACTGCCAAGGGGTTTGGGCATGATATCCCAGCCCGACTGCGCGCCCTCGATGCTAACACTGTGCTTGATCGCCCTCATCTCCCCAAACCCCGTCTCCCGCGTCTCAAAGTACTCGTCCTCGACATCCGCGGGCCGCTCATAGTCCGGCGCGCCATCGAACCCCGTGCGCCCTTCGTACTGGCCTAGGCTGCGCAGGTACTTCATCGCGCCCGCCAGCGACACGTCGACGGTGTAGGACCCGCCCTGCGTCGCGCGGCGGTACACGGCGGCCATGATGCCCGCCGCGAGGAGGTATCCTCCGGCGTGGTCGAGCGCCTGGCACGGCGTAGGCCGCGCGGGCTCTCCCTCGCCGGCGTGCTCTGCCTCTGAAACGTTCATCCCCGAGCACGTCTGCACCAACGAGTCGTAGCCCCTACGCCCGGCCCAAGGGCCCCTTGGTCCAAAAGCCGACATGTTGGCGTAGACGATGCCCGCCGAGGGGCACAGCGCGGCCACCTCCTCCGCCGAGAACCCCCTGGCTGCGATGCTGCCCGGCCGGAACCCCTGGATGAAGACGTCGGCCGTCTTGACGAGCTCGCGCAGCTTCTGCCGGTCGGCGCTGTCGCGCAGGTCCAGCTGCACGGTGCGCTTGCCGCGGCCAAAGTCGCGGTCCATGGTGGGCAGGTCCGGCAGGCCAGGCGACGTGACCCAGATAACATCGGCGCCGTGCGCGGCCAGCGTCCTGCCGGCGAGGGGCGCGGCGATGACCCGGCTCAGCTCGACGACGCGCAGGCCCCGGAGGCACTTGTCCACGCCCGCGCCGGCGATGTGGCGCGGGATCCCCGCGGGGCCCGTGGCGATCCGGGACACACTGATGGGGAAGTCGTCGATGGCTCGCGACTGTGGCAGCTTGTCCCATTGGCTGTATGAGCGCACGGCGTAGACGGCAAGTCTGCAATCCAGCCCGACGGATTCCAGGTCGATGGCGGTCCAGTCGGCCGTCTTCTTGGTCACGTCGGCTCGGCTCGCGCCCAGGGGTAAGCCCAGAAGCTCCAGTGTCCCGTCCCGATGGTTCGGGAACGAGTCATGGATGCGGACATGGCCGTCTGAGGTCTTGTGCAGCCCGCCGATCGGGCCCCAGGGGGACGGCGTGGGCTTTCCATCGAGGGTGTAGAGTCTCTCGGACTTGTACTCGATCGCTGCGTGCTTGGCCGGGACGGTGACCTTGGGGACCGTCCCGCTGCGGGTGCGAAGAGAGTGGAAAAGCGCTGCGAGGAGGCCCGTCAGGGCAATTGTGCCCTGCGCAAGGGGTCCGATCTTGTAGGATGAGGGTAATGCCGGCCTTCCATCGTCTCCGGGCAGCTCCAGGGAGGCGAGAGCACCGGATGGGAGCTGCAGACCCTCCCAGATGTCTCGGACAATATCTTTCGCGAGAAAACTAGTCCGGTCCGGTCCATGGCCAAGGGTTGCCGCGCGGTGCACGCCATTGACCCCATTTGTCAGCTTGATGCCGTTGATTCCATTAACCCCGTTGACTCCGTTGACTTTGGTGCCATTGGCACTCTTTACGCCATTGACCGCTTTGGCCTCTGGAACCTCGACACCTAATAGTGGTGCGTGCTGCTGCGTGCCCAGCGTGTCACGCTCTCCGACACTGCCCTGGGCCCACGGCCGCTTGATGGTGCACTTCCACGCCAGGGCCGGCTCAAAGAACATGTTGGTCAGGATGTCCTCGTCCTGGACCTGGTACAGCTTCCTAATGACGTCGTTTCCGAGGACGTCGGCGTCCCGCACGCGCCGGTACACGTCTGCATCGTCGAACATGATGTCGAACGTCATCTCGAAAGGGCCTGAGTTCTTGGACCGGATGATGCGCGCGAGGTCGGTCATCTTGGCTCGTGTGGAGGGCACATCCTTCTTGGCTGCAAGACGGTACACGTCGTGGTTAGTTCATGAAAATGAGACTCGACATGCGTCAGGAGACCATTTTGGAACTTACTGAGTGGTGCAAGGGTGCCCTTGTCAATCGCATCAAATCGGTCTTGCGGGATTGTGGTGAGCGCTGAAGGCGCGCCTGAGGGGTTGGTCTCGTGATAGCTGACGGGGAACAAGGACACTTGCTCGCCAGCATCGAGGTCTACCAGGTGGTACAGGCTGAACTTGAAGACGGCACCAGCCTCTTGCTCGTGCGGCGACAGAGGGCTGGCGAAGTTACCCGTCGTTGCAATCTGGCCCGGGTATGAGAAGTGCAGGATGGACGCCCGCGCATTGTTCGCGATGGTGTATGCCAGATCCTGCGTCGGCGCGACGACCTCGCCGAGCACGGCAATCTCGTGAGGGGTCGTGGCAGCTTGTGTCTCCAGAGGGCCCATGACACCGTTGCGCCCGTAAACGTGATAGATCAGGCGGCATGTCTCGTCCTTGTCGAGCTGGGGGAACAGGTTCTGGGTGTACTTGCGCACGCGCTCGAGGAAGTCGTCAATCTGGGAGATCAGTATGGGATCCCTGATGCCGCCGATGAAGATGGTCCGGTAGCCCAGGTGTGTGACTCCCTCGAGCTTTACTTGATAAGGGCTGTGCTCAAACACGGCCCCGGAGATGCGTGTCGTTTTCTCCGTCAGCTGCTCGTACTTTGCGTCGTCGAGACGCAGCACGCCTCCAGGGCCTGGCAGCCGGTCGGGCCTCGTCTTCTCGTACAGAGTGTGCGCGGCAACGGACAGTGGTGTGCACCGCTCTTCTGGTGCGAGGGGCGTGAGGTCGAAGGAGTCCTTGCGGATAGTGGCAATCATGGACCTCCCTTTGGGAACCGCGCAGATGCCTCCGCATTCCATGATCTTGCCCATGTGCCACGCAACACCTTCCGACACGCCCTTCGAAAGGCAGTACGCTGCGAACGGAGCCGGGTCGTAGCTCCGGCCGCCCAGAATGATATCAGGGTCGCCCTTCAGCGCCTCAATGTAACTGGGTTTCGTGCTCATGTCAGCACGTGGTTGTCTGGTCTTTTATTATCTCACCCACGCCCGTGGGTAGGGTTGGGAATACTTACGGCTCTGCCCCCATTTGTGCGACAACATCCACTGCTCCGTCTACGACCTCTGGGAGAAGGTCCTCGAGGGGACCACAAGGGCGGACGCGCGAGGCGGCTATCCTCGACTTGATCAAGCCACGGTCCATGCCAGCATCAATCGTGGCAATCTTGAAGCGAAACCCGCGGGACTCGGCAATGCCGCGAACAATCTCGAGCATCTCCTGGACGTGCTTGTTGCTCCCGTCGCCGCCGACTGAGCCGATGAGGACGTTGATCCCGCGGTGGTAGCAGGCGGCGAGGATGGGCTCGAGGTCGCGGACGTAGGAACCGCGGCCGCAGGTCATCTTGTTCATGCCCAGCTTGTAGGGGCCGCCATCTGTCGAGCCGCTGTCGACAATGATGGCCGAGGGCTTGTACTTGTCGATGCCGTACCAAAAGTGCTCGACATTGTAGCCATAGCCAAGCATGGCATTGGGCGTGAGGATCCTAAATTCGTCGTTGTCCGCCATCCTAGTGAGGAGGGTGGGTTTGCTCGATTGGTTAGGGAACCATTCAGACCAGGCACCTCTCTTGGCAAACAACGGTAGGAAACCGTGAACAGGTCAAGATATAACCCTGCTGTGCAAGCGGCAGGGCCGCGAAGGTACGACCTGTGCCGACATACATCTTGCCGAACGGGTGCGAGTGGCGGCTCGGGTGGCCCGCGGCTTGTGTACACGCCACCAATCAACATGTTGGCCGGCGGAACATCTGGGAAGGCGGGGTCGGCGTCCTCCGCGTGCCCGGCATCTTACCGCGATTCCGGGAGCTGGAGAAAGTGCGGGGGCGTCACTCCACAAGTACTTGACCGGAGCCAGGGGAGTGTGGAGCACTGACTCAGTAAAGTCCATGGGATTCTACTCCCAGACCACGCGTTCTCCGCAATCCACGTTCCGTTGGCTCGGTCTGGGCTCCGGGGCCCGTGTTGGAGATGCCGGGTGAATGGCGATGACAGCCATAACAGATCCATGCCTACCACTCACAGGTTCCATGGTCCTGCCCAGCTCATGCCCAACAACAGGACCTTGCCCCGCACATCTGCTCTGCTCTCATCTGCTAGTGGGAGATGGCCTCACACAATTCGCTGCCTGCTTTCGATGAGCTACCCCTGCGATCCGGGGACCCCAAGTTCGCAGCCTGGGGTCTCTGGGGGGACGACGACGAGCTCGGCACCTTGAACCTGCTGACGCCCGACGTTGTCAAGCTCGCCAGCCAGGAGATCCGTACGGGGCAACGTATCACCCTCAAGTGAGTACGGCTATCTGGCGCCTTTGCTGTGCTTGTCAACTGACACCCCCCGGCTAACCTTCTAGCCTGCCTCTAGATGCGTTCGTCCGGCCGATGAACCCCGTGCGCAAGCCATGTGACCACCGAATCATTGCCAAGGGGCATGCCAATGACGATGAGGTGACAATGTGCCCCAAAACTATTGCAGCTTGTCCTGTGTGCGTGTGTTGGCGCTGAGTCGACTAAACATGACTTATAGCTGAACATCAACACCCAAGGAGCGAGCCACTGGGACGGACTCCGCCACTTCCCGTACCAGACAACCCTGCAGTACTACAACGGCGTCACTCAAGACGACATCAGCGGACCATCTGCGAACTCCAAGATAGGGATTCAGAGTTGGTCGCCCCTTCTTCAAGCTCTGCGTTATAGCCCGTCCTGTCCAGCAAAGTGTGTCACTGACTGGCATCTTTCACCCCTGCAGACGTAGCCGAGCATGCCATCGTCGGCCGTGGCGTATTATTGGATTGGGCCTCATACGCAACAGAGAAGCGCATCGCCTACTCACCGTTCGATAGATTCGGAATCCCGTTGGATCAGCTGCTCGAGGTTGCGGCACTGCAAAAGGTGGAATTCCGGCCCGGAGACATATTGTTCATTCGTACCGGGTGGTTGGAGAGCTACAGAGGTCTAAGCATCGAGCAGCGCCGGGCGCTGCCTGACCGAGCTATAAGGTCCTCCTGCGGCGTCGAGGCATCTCTCGAGGCGATCCGGTGGCACTGGGACAACAGGTTTGCTGCCGTTGCCAGCGACACGGTGGCCTATGAGGCATGGCCATCTCCGAAGCCGGCGGGCGTTGCCATGCACGAAGTCTTCCTCAGCGGCTGGGGCATGCCCATCGGGGAGTGCTTCGACCTCGAGGGTCTCGCGGAGACCTGTAAGAAGGAACGCCGATGGACGTTTTTCTTATCGAGCGTCCCGCTCAATGTACCCGGCGGCGTGGCCAGCCCTCCGAATGCTGTGGCCATTCTGTAAATAGACCAGATAAAGTTCAGGCAGGATAAAGCTTTTGTTTGGCTAAATTCATGGCAGCTTTTAAGGCCGAGTTCAGCAGCAAGGCATTCAACAGTCGCAAGTGACACGGTCCTTGCAGCCTGATTCAGTCCCTACGGGGGATGGCACCAATACGACTTCCCATACACTGATCATCACGAACGTAGCACTCGAACTCTAATTCGTACCAGCGCCCACGGCGCACCAAACGCACAGTATTTGGAACCTTGCTATACCTGACCACCGTACTTGAGCATTTGCGATAAAGCATGCATCATTCCGGTGAACCTCCAACCTGTACCCTTGGAAACAAATGGCCTGGCCCCTGCTCCGCTCCCATCTCTTCCCTCCCTGAAATCTCTGTTCCTACCCGATATAAGAACAATGAACACCCGGGGAGACAGATACGGGCCACAGTGCTCGAACTCAATGTTTGACGAACAAACTGCATTCAGCTGCAGTAAGAGCTGTAGCAGTTCCAGCGGCGGCTGACCACGCAGGCGAGCCCGCCCAGGTCGCCAAAGCTGCACGACGACATTTCGGCCTCGATCGCGTTGCAGTGTGCGACGCGCTCGCCGTTGGGCTGGAAGGCGCGCAGCTCGCCGCTCGCCTCGTCCCATTCGTACTAGAGTAGATTGAAATCATATCAGCAAAGAAACTCGCCGAAACTTTTCGAAAACAACGTTTGTAGAACACAATAATCTTACGTGCCATCTATAGCGCACTTATGTGGGGGAAGAATCGCGTAGTGGGCTTCAGGGTCAAGAGAATCACTGGGTAGCATGGGCAAGGTCTAGACTTACGTTGAGGGTCTCGTCGCAGTTGCAAGGATTGCCAGAAGAGAACGAGTTTTGGCCGACGGTTCCAGTCACCGCGCACTGTAGAGCACAAGTGGTCAGTATCATCTCAGATACGTGCCGTACGTATGGCCACCCCCACTGGGCTACGGGCTTGTACGTACTCCTTCCTCACAAGCAGTCCCGTAGCGAGCGGCGACTTCGAATGGTGGGATCTGTGGATTCCCCTCGCCGTTACCGCCGCCCTGAGGGGAGCCGCAGTTGATGTAATACAGGTGCCAGTCAGCCATGACTACAGCGGGAAAGCTGGCGAGAATGGCGGGGATGAGGAGCTGCATTGTGGTATGGTCTTTGCTAATAATGATGTGGCGAGTGGTGCTTTTGTGGTGAAGATGTTTCTTTGTGATGGTGAGGCAGTATTCTCTGCAGTTGTGGAGCGGGAAGTGCTCTGGTCTTTATAGACGTCGCATGTGTTCATACGAGTATTGTCATAGTACCAGCCGCTCTATGAAATCAACGGTATTCTCTCGATCGTGATGCTCGATCGTGATGCCAATCATCAACCCTCGAGCCCCGGGCATGCGAGGTTCTCATGGGCGGGTGTTTTCCTCCGCCTTACGACCAGTTGTTGGAGATGGCAGGCTTGGCGGGACGTTGTGATTCCGTGGTCAAGGACATTCGTACAGGGAACCGGACTTTTGGCTCCTATAGACGCCTATCCGTATAGCTCAGCCGCTGACGTATCTAAAGTGCTAACCGTGCGAACCCACGCGCGTGAGCTTCATGCGAGTTGTCTTTCCGAGGCTCATCCCGGTAAAATTGAGGTCGCTGTAGCGTTTTTGGCACCTCTGGGCAAGGATGGTAGTGGAGCCAAGCTCCTTACGATGTTGGTCTTGCATGGGTGTCACTTAAAATCGAATCAGACCATTAGCAGACACGTACACGGCTATGTGCGGTATTGAACAGCCACAAGTCGTGGGGGACGACATACATGGATCAAGCCATGCCCTAATCGTCTTGCGAGGCTACTGACACACGCGTTTTGACGATGAATAATTCGAAGCTCGGCCCCATTGTCCGTGGAGAAGCCCTCGGCGTGTAGCCGCCTCGAAGGTGGGTGATGGTGCTCATCCTTTGCTGCGGAATCCCAATCTGCTCTGCGTGCAGGGGGATAAGAGCAAGCCCACCATTGGCGAATTTATGCATGCGCTCGAAGATAAGCGTGTGTGATTCAAGTTCTCTGCAAGCCAGGTCTTGATGCGCCAAGATAACCAGAAGGGCTGTCTACTGCGTCTAATGTGTAGTTTACGCGTAGAATTTTTAAAGAAAAATATTGTCACAGGATATTGACTTTTCTACCATTAGCAGCGCGATGAGTAATGTTGTCGAGATGGAATTCCACGCAGAAATTGATCTTGTTCTGCCAATCTGGTGCCAGAACTTGAACGAAACACATTATCAGGCAAACAGGCATGCTTGATGCTGATCTGCACGACCTCTCATCCCCCATGGGGGGCCCCTGCTCCAAATGTCCAATCGTTTGTTTTCCAGCCGGGCCCCGCCTTGCAGGTATCCCTGCCATTCGGTGGATGCCGCGATCTTGGCAGAGAGGATTTCATCGCAGGCATGCCGAAGTCCCGTCCCATTGCGGTTGGAGGAGGGGACATTGAGAAATAGTTCAGTTAACTATACGATGCTCCAAGGCTAGCATCCTAGGCCCTGGCACCTATCCATGACATATGGTCATGAACAGTCCTCGTCCTTCACCACTGTCAAGCTTAGTCTAGCGCGATTAAACGCTCACGATTGACAACCATTACGAGTGAGAGCGGTCCCAAAAGCACGAACACTGTAGCCGAGTTCAGGTGCGAGGCAGTAAGGTCGCTGTGCATATCGTTGTGGCAGAATCCGCGTGGGTGCCCAAGCGGCTTCTTGAGGATTCTGCTGGACCGTTTTCTCCGGTATCCTTTCCGGGCATCGAGCAGTATGACAAACCTCTGGGGTTATCCTTACGGCCTCCAAGTGGGTCTCCCCGGTTCCTGTTTACCGGATCGTGGGGGTATGTCAGCGCAATCTGATTCATATGTGGCCATGGAGACAAGGTGAGCGATTTCCCACAAGGAATGAGCTGTCCCCCTTATTCGGTTGGGAGGCTTTGCATCGAGATTCTGAAGTATGAGCTGATGGACGTTTGGCATCGACCCACTTCTCATGCCCTGCGCATTGTCACATGGCACACGTCGAAGTGACTCTGCATCGGCTGCTTACGAGCGTTGTCAGATGCCGCGACAGGGGAATAACAAGTTGTTTAGCGTCGTAGAAATTGCCGCAGCTCCCATGGCTTCTGTTGTTATGAGCTCCATCGCCATGATCAGTCGCGTCGGTTTTAGTGAGGCGCAAGAATGTCCCCGTGTGTCCTTAGCCTCGCATGGCTCCTGAGATCTTGACGATTTGCATGGGCTCGGAAGAGCATGCTTCTGACCACATATTGCGTCGCTACCGGCCCAGGGTGTAAAGAGGTCGCCATGCTGTAGATAAGTGATGCTGGTGATAACCCTCGTCTCTTCTACAAAGGTGGTAAGCGAAGATTCACACCGCCGGGCTCCCTCCCCTCCAAGACCTCTTGACCGACTTGTCTCGCAGACCGATGACCGGAGAGTGAGCGGCAGCAACGCACCAGCTAGCATCTCAGGCATAGCCCAGGCAATATGTTTGCCCTCGCGTGCTTTAGAATTGGGATAGCTCGCGTCTTTGCAGCGCGCGTCAAACCGGTATGCCTTTTGTTCGACGCTGGCGGTATGGAAGTCTATGGCCCGGAAAGCTGGGCTGACGAGAAATGCTCACCAGAGCCAGGAGGGAAATTCTCAGATACTTTTGCAAAATGAGTACGAAAGTTGTAAACCTCAATAAACAATTCCTTTGTGTTTTGTGTCACGGCCAATCCATGTTGTCGCCATTTGGAAGGCGAGTAACATGTTTCAATAAGGATTCAGTTCCCTAACATTGACAAGCTTGTTGTGTACTTAGTGCGTAGACCTCAGAGGAGACCAGGGACCAGAGCACCTGGCATTCCAGGACCCTGGACGTATTGAGGAAATCGGGTTGGCACACTCACATGTAGGCTATGATGAGTCGAACAGCACTTCTGATGATGATAAAGTCACAGGATCTCCGTTCTAGGTCATCGTAATTCACCTTCAGAGCCTGATGCAATAGTTTAGGCAACAAATCCGCCGTTGGTCAATCTCCAGTAACATTTATAAACAGACACTGAGTAGCATAGCAAGTCCACACCCGTTCGAAGATCCTGAGGAAGAACAAGAACTTCCTCTGATATTCATTTCGACCACTAATACTGCTATTCCACCATTAGTTTCAATTATGACTACGTTTCTCCAGAGTTTCAAAATAACATGGATGCAAACCCAGATTTTATGTATAAAATAATACTGATCGATATTCATTTAACACGAACAAGAATTGACCGCCGCGGGAAACTTCACAGGCTGCCATTTCACCGGTTTAGTGATTTGTATAACGTAATCCACGGGCGAGCGGCCCGTACGGGCCAGTGGCCCATCCCAACCAAGTCTTGCAGGTATCACCCTCGATAATACAGCCCCAACGCCTTAAATCAATTAAGCTTAATCGCCATCTTCTACTTTAGATCTAAGAGTAACTATGTAACAAGTTCTTGCGTTATGACCGGGTTTCCCATAGACGCTATAGCACCGCTGCTTTGGTGCAGATCGACTTTCACCCCTAGTGTTTTCCTGCATTTCCTGTACTACCTGAGCATTTACCTCTCTCTGAGTTACGAGATCTTGTCCCTCGCCTAGAGTTATGCTTTGGCCTTTCCTAAGACGTGTTTTTTTGCCCGACGACGCTTGCTAAGTATTGCATTCTCGTCTTCAAGGGCTTTCATCCTTGCCTCCATTAAGGTAAACTTATGCATAATCCCCTTTGCCCCCTTCGTGAACTGCTTAACTGCTTTAATAATTGACGTTGGAGAGCTTCCCTGGTGACGAGAGATTCGACCTTTAATAAAATCAGACTGTGAACGGGCTTCTATAGCTGTAGTAGGCGTTCGGGAAGTCCAAAGCTCGGGTGACCTCCGAGGCGTCCCTGGGGGCGTTGGCGTCTTGAACTTTATATCGAGCTTCGATAAGACTGCTTCTGGGTTATAGGGCATAAGTCCCGCCCCTCTAAAGCCTCCCTGGATGTTTTTTTCCGTTATTGTCTGTTGGAATGCTGCTGAAAACGCGGGGAGGAAGTCCTCCTTGCTAATATGCGTTGTACCCGCCTTCATCTTGAGCTCAATTTGCCGGCTATATGCTTTCTTCAGCGGACCAAAACACCTAACATCGAGAGGCTGGAGTATATGAGACGAGTGAGGAGGCATATAGAGCGTAACAATGTTATTGTCCTTGTAGTAGAGCTCGAATTCGACTGAGTGGTGACTTCCGTGTCCATCGAGGACGAGGAGGCGATAATTGCTTGTTGTTCGCGACTTTGTATGGTAATCGAAATGCCGAATCCAATCTAGACCAATTTCGTTTGTAGTCTAGCCGTTTGGAGACGTTACGATTCTCCAGTCGCGAGGAATCGCGTTATCTTGGTACTATGTCGAGAGGTGATATTTGCTGGTAAATACTACGAACGGCGGGACGCAAAATCCAGTCGCACCGACACCTTGGATTACCGTAACCTATTCCCGATTGCCTGGCTGCTTTATCTTAACGTTTGACTGTCTTTGCGCGTTTGTAACGACTATCCCGGCCGCGATAACGCCTATCTGAAAGCCTGTCTTATCGAAGTTATAGATATCGGAGTCCGCGACGCCGTATTTCGCGACTATGTTCCGTACAAGCCGAAACCACGCGTTTATCGCGTCGGGATCTTCGCATTGGGCTCTCTTATAGTCGTATTTGCGAAAGAAACGCATCTGGAGTTCTGGTCGTCGTTTCACAAAGGTTGAGGCCCAGTTGATTCCGACGCCCGGCCTGTCGCGCTTCGCGAGCAGTTGATTCGCCATTTTTCTAACCTCACTTAGCCGAGGAGGATGTGCTCGCGCATCTAAGTCGAGAATGTATTCGATAATCTTCTCTTCCTCCAGCTTGGTTAGCTTTATAGAATTGGGAGGGCTTTCGCGTCTAGCAGGTACTCCCTTCTCTCGGCGTCGTAGGGTTGTTCGGGGGACGTTGAACATCTCGGCAGCGCGTCGAGTGCTCAAGTTTGGGTCGTTTTCCATTGCTTGGATAGCAAGGAACAATTGGCTCTCTTTAGAAGGCGTTTCCATCTCTCGTGGTGGAATGAACGCGTGAAGAACAGTTGAATTCGGTGGAGTGAATGAAAGTGGGCCACTCGCCCGTATGGGCCGCTCGCCCGTGGATTACGTTATAGTTGCAATGATAATACTATAGGCCGCGGGAAACAGAGTCTTGGAGCATCAAATGATGGTTCTGAAGCATCTGTACGATGTCCTTATCTCCACTTCTTCGTGCCAAGTCTAGCGCAGTGTTGCCAGTGTTATCCTTGATGTCAATCCTGGACCGATTGTCAAGCAGGCTACGGACATTATCCCATTCCTCCGCCGTCACTGCGCACATGAGTGCGGTTCTACCATTGTTATCTTGCTGATCAATTTCGGCGCCGTTTTCCAGCAACTGTCTTATCACTTCATCCCCAAATCGCGACTCCGCTGCCCAGTGGAGCGGCGCACGTCCGTCCTTGTCTAGAGCGTTGGCTGCGCTGCGGCAACGGAGAAAGCGGCTGATGATCCTAGTGCTCGGAGGCCACAAAACTGCTTGAATGTAAAGCATCAAGGGCGTGCAACCTTGGCTATCCTTGGCGTCAGCTCCAACACCTTGCCTGAGCAGGATATCAACTGTAGAAAGCTGTCCCTGTCCATGGCCAAAACGCACAGCCGCTGCATGATGGATGGGCAATCTCCCGCTGGAATCTGTCTTGTTAGGGTCTGCTCCACGCTTCAACAGCAACCGAACGACGGACGTAGACAGGTTGCGCGCTGCCGCATGAAGCGGAGTCTCACCGCGAGGGTTTTGTGTATGAACTGACGCCCCGTGCTTCAGCAGCAGTTCCGCCATCTTGTCATCTAAAAACCCACGGTTATTTTTCACTGCGCACATCAATGGGGTATCGCCGGCTCTGTCCCTGGTGTCGACCATTGCGCCGTACTCAAGAAGCAGTTGCGCAATAGCCTCATTGTGAGAGGCTATCGCCTGGTGTAGAAGTGTACCAGGAGTAAAAGGGTCCTCAGGTTCAACGTCAGCACTATGCTCGTGTAGTGTTCTAACTGCCGCCACATCACGTCGCTGTACTGCACGACTGAGTGATGTGGAACCATTCCCATCAGCGGCTTCTATCATGGCGCCGCGCTGGAGAAGTAATCGTACTATTGGTTCGCAACATGATCGAACCGCTGACATGAGCGGAGTTCCCCCGTTGTGATCAAGGGTGTTGATGTCCGCACCATGTTGAAGCAGTGTTTCCACGACTGGTACCAGAGACCGCTCTGCTGCGAGAGCAAGGGGCGTTTTACCATCCTCATCGACGGCATGAATGGCAGCATTTTGATTGAGTAGGAATGTTGCAATCTCCGGGTGTCCTGCAGAGTGCAGAAAAGTGCGTCCGGAGTCGTCCGCATGAAGATAGTTCGTGCTCACATGCCTGGCGACGGCAAAAAATATAACTGCGTTGCCATGTTTCGCAAGATATCGTAGTATGCTTATTGAATGTCTGAATACAAAGCCTCTTCGAATCTCGGAATCGGGACTCCTGTCCTCAATATCATGGTCTGACATTGGGTGGTCGTCTGAGTCATTTCTGCTAGAGCAGAGGGCCGTCACAAATTCACGGGCAGCTGAGAAACTCTCCGTCGCTAGTGCCGCAAAGAGGGGAGGCCCGTATCGCTCCTTCTCAACTTCGATGCAGCTGAGTTTAGATGGATGAGCGCGGATGAGATGACTCGAATTATTTTCGGCGAGAATGTATAGCATGCTGGCGTTCATAGTGTAACGCCGGACTGCGTACTTCTCGAAGCCGTTGTAGAGTTTGATCCATTGTTTCTTGGGAAATGCGGAAAGGAATGCCACTTGCGAAAGACCAGAAGCTTCGGCGTGTTCAGCGTGGTATAAAATGTTTTTTGCAGCATACGTTAGGAATGGAAAGGCCTTCACGGCTTTCTCTTCTCGAGAATTGTAGTCCTGTTCCGTTGCTCGTGCAAGATGGCTGAATTCCGGGTACTGGGCCTCGATATATCGCATACAACATAACTTGAGCTTGTCGTGACTCAAGCCTTTGAGGTCTGTCTTCAAATCTGGCCAAACATCATGCAAGCCCTTTTCTTTGAGAAGGAAGTCGTTCACAGACTCGTGTATGAACTGGACGGTAGGGCGCCTTGTTCTCGTGACCTCGACGAGACCTTTCGAGGCAGAGAGAATAAATCTCTGTATAAGGTCTAAGGTGGTTTCCCGAGGATTCCACTTTGTCGAAATGTCTTCCTCGCTGCCAGTGCCTGCACGAATTGCAAGATACAACTCCTGCGGTGAGAGGGGTTGCCGAGCGAACAAGATCCACTGCATACATAAGAGCAGTTCTTCCCTTTTATCGCCGTCGCGTAATAGAATGTCGCGGAATAGCGTGTGCAGATCTCGGGGCATCTTGCTGAGTTCTTTCCGTAGAGCCGTGGGATTGAGCCCATCATCGTGGCTTTTGTTAAGGATTTTAACAACCAAAACAACCCACATGAAAACCCCAGCTGCTTTCTCTTGAAGCTCCTTGTTAACGGTTTGTGCCATGTCGCTGTCGCCGATGTTGAGCTTGTCGCTCACGTAACTATTGATATCTTGTTCGTGACCGTCTTGCCGTTCTAGAACAAGCTCGACCCCTCTCCGGACTGTAATGTGTGGATAGTGTCTGCTCGCAAAGCAGACGTGGAATTGTACAGCGTTGCTGGCAGCGAAGGTCCTCAAATCTTCAAAAAAGTACACCATGTCGCGGATCTCGCTGGGGTCGCATTCGTCGAGCGCATCGATCAAACACAAGAGACGATTCTTGCCGATGTTCTCGATCGCTTGTCGAATCAGAGCCTGCAAGGATGCCAGTGACCAAGTTGACGATGATGCCAGTGAAGTCGAGCCCAGCAGACGTTGTAGTGAAGGAATCCGCGTCAGTAGCTGCAGCAGTAGTGACTGGTACATTCCTTGGAGCGATTTCTCCATCCGGTGGCCACGAGCGTGGAAGAAGAAAGAAATAACCGTTCGATCCTTTTTCTTCTGAAAGCTGTCGAGCACGAACTTCATGATTGTCGATTTGCCTGCGCCAGGTTTGCCCTTTATCCAGAAGAGCCCATGGTGTTCTTGAAATTTAGCGACATCGAGCCAGTCTTCGTATTCCTGCTTGCGCAGTAGCCATCTGCAAGTCTTGGCGTGCGCACTAGTGATGTTTGTTTGCCGGGCGTCAATCTGGTCAAACTTCAAAGACTCCATCAGGGCATGGATGGTATCCTTGGCTGGTGGAAGGGGTTCGTCGCAAGGACTTTGATGGAATTCAGGACTGACGTTCCGGTGCATCTGTAAATGACCTTGTTGTGGGTCTGACGTAACACGAATCAATAGGAAAGTCGAATGTTTGGTATGTCACCTAAGGAAGAAGAACATACCAAGATTTATATGAGCCTGGCGTGGTTGCAAAGTTGACAGAAATTCTTTTGCGCAGGCTGCTGCTACTGCGGCGGCGTACGGCTGCCAATCCTTGTTTTTGTGCTTGTCGGCATAATCGCAGATGCCCCGGATTACCAAGAAGGGAATTTCATGCCCCTTCAATGCGGCACCTTCCATCTCGAGACAGAGAAGCTTGTGCTTGCGGGCGAGCCGGTCCCTTGTTGGAGCATCTCTGACGACCTGGTTACCAGACCCAATGGCACCGAAATGCACGACAGGCTCGCGATGCCGGCGAGGGGGCCGTATTTTGAGTCTATCACCCACACATATGGCGCACGGGTTTTCCAATCCAGTATGCTCGCATGTGCCGACGAAAAGATTGTCCTCAAGGTTGGTACAGGACGTGTAGTGGGCCATCCGAGGATTTCGCTTCAACATCCACTCGAGCATGGCAGGAATTTGGCTTCCCCGCATGTCGTATGAAGCCCGTAGCGCGGTGAGTGCCGTCGTGATCCTGCATGGTGGATCATAAGGGTTGCCCGTGTGTTGCAGCCGCCCGCCATCTATCGTTTTTCCGATATCATGCTGTACGACACTGAGCCCGACAACCACATCGCCAAGACGCACATCGTTGTCTTCCGTGGGGGTGCCTCCAGCAACACCAACCATAAGTAGTAGGCGAAGTGACGCGTACGTCATCTGCATCTTGCTAGAGACGGCGGCGGCCTGGTTCATGCCCATGCCACCGGCTGGCAAGCATGCTAGCACTACGTTGAAGTGACCCGAGCGCCCAAGAACATAGTGGTTGTTGTCATTGGGACTCGATGGCAGCGTGTCATGTATCTCCAAGAGAGCCTGGGCGGCCGCGAACTCGGGGTGGATGGCGCATATCCAGCCGATTTCGTAGTCGCGATGGGTGAGTTTCGTTGGGAGGGGTGTCTCCTGAGGCGACAATCTTGGTCGCTTGCGACTTGGTAGTGGTGATGGCGCGATTGCATCTTGAGCCAGACTCAGTCGGCGCATCGTGCATGCCGTGTCGTCATGGGCTGTGCCGGGTTCCCTGGCGTGGCTGTCTGTGGGAGGTTATAATGCAGAATTGCAACACCTGCTATTCGTCATCGTCACAAGGGAAGGATGAACAAGAAAGCTGCTCTTCCTCGACCAGCTTGAGAGACTCAGAGAAGGCGCATCACAGAGAGGAGTGACAGTGAGCCTTGCAAGGCGGTCACGGGAGGGGGAAAAGGGGCTGAAGTTGCACCTGCAGGCAGGGGTGGAAGGGAACACAGCCACAACCAACATCGTTGGACATGCAGGCAACGGATGCCCATGTCACGTGTTGGGCTTGCTGCATTGGAACTTTGTTATCTTGGGAGCCGTGCTGCCATTGGCGTGAGTCGTGCGGCTTCATCCCGAGACAGAAGATGCTTCAAAGGGGTTAATGCGGTAGCCTCTTGTTGCTTGACGATGAAGGATGTGGCTCCCCTTCAATAGTCCCGCAGCGTGTCCTTTGCAAAATTGGCGGAGTGGACTGAAGGCGATCGCTTGGTGCTCCCATGCCGTCAAGGTGAAGTCCGCGTTGCATGGCGGGTTAATGCCACTTATCCACTCGTGCTGCTGGATTACGATTGGTCTGGGATAGATGTAGATAGTAGACGATATGAAGCAACATGAGCACGGCAATGTGTGCACCGAACTACGCCTCGGTGACTTCGCGGCACATGGACACATAGTTTGAACCACACCCGCTGAGGATTCACTGATTTCTCTCCGGCTGTGAGGTTGTCTTCGGTCATCCGTCAATATTAATTTGGCTCATTCGACTTGATGCCTACCGCCAAACAGGTGTGGCAGTGGCTATGACCAATGTCTACGAACAATTGGTTTGAGATGGTGCGCGCACAAGCCACATCTACCAAGTTGTGGATGGGGACTGTGCGGAAGTCGTTCAGCACCATGTCTCGCTGATAAGGCTCTATTTGCTCTGTTTTTGCCTTTCGCTGGCCTTTGCTGGCTTATATCAGGTGATCCAAGTTGAATGGCAGATGAGTGCCTGCGCGGGGGCGGCTGGGTCGATGCGGGGTTATGCCAAACACCATCGCAGGGGGTAAGGGTCGACGCCCAATCCTTCTCGTCCCAATGTGTGTCGATTGTCAGCACATGAACACTGGAATGGCCACAGTGCCGTGCGTGGAGAGCGGGCGACACCGCGTCCCATTCTCGACGAGACAGGATGGCGGCATCACGAAATGACACTACGGCGACCCTCGACCCCAACGACTATGCCGTCGTCTGGATTGCGCCGCTCGAGATCGAAGCCAAGGCCGCCTTGTGCCTTCTCGACGAGCGACACCATGGCCGGTTTCCCGTCGACCGCGGCGACGAGTACGTCTTCCACGCCGGTAGTATGTGCGGCCACAACGTCGTGATAGCAACGTTCCCAGCCGGCCAGGAGTACGGGACCGCGTCAGCCGCTGCCCTCGCCAGCCAGATCCTCAAGTGCTTTCCCAATCTCTGGTTCGGGCTGCTGGTAGGGGTCGCGGCGGGACTGCCAGACCTGGCCAGCAGCCCACCCCGCGACATTCGGCTCGGCGATGTGCTCGTCAGTCTGCCCGAGGGTGAAAGGCCCGGTGTCATCGCGTACGACCTCGGCAAAGAGACAGACGGCGGGTTTCAACCCCTTCGGTACGGGCACGTCTTGACCACGACCAAGCCGATCGTGCGGTCGGCAATCGGCCGGATAAAGCTCGAAGCACCAGACGAGGCCGCCACATTCCTCCCCTACTACGAGACGATCCGCGACAGGGAGCACGCAACGGGCACCTTTGCCGACCCCGGACAAGACCACGACACACTCTACTCGGCAACCGAGGGCAGGCCGGACATAGCTATCGAACGCCCTCGCCGACCCGACACAGCCCGCACACGCGTGTGGTACGGGCCCATCGGGTCGGGAGACAAGCTATTGAAGAATGCGCAGAAACGGAACGAACTCAGAGACAAGTACGGGGTCATTGGTCTAGAGATGGAGGCGGCAGGCACGATGAACCGAATCCCCGTGGGAGTGATCCGCGGGGTGTGCGACTATGGCGACCAGCAGAAAAATAAGGAGTGGCAGCCGTACGCGGCGGCTATTGCGGCTGCGTATGGGAAAGCCGTGCTTAATGAGATACCTTCTACGGAAAAGAGGAGTCGTACAGACGGCATCGCGAGAACCAAGGGAGTCAATGGTAGGCGTCACACAAGTCTAGACCGTCTTGGACTAGAACACCACTAACTATTAGTAGAGCCTACTCCTCCGTGCTACTACATCCAGCTTCCTAAAAACGCCCGCTTCACTGGGCGAGATACTGTTCTCGACGCGCTGGACGAAGCGCTCTCTAACCGAGAGGAAATACGACGGGTCGCACTGGTTGGTCTCGGTGGCATCGGCAAAACACAGATTGCACTACGCTTCGCCTACAATACCAAAGAAAGCCGGCCCGACTATTCCATCTTCTGGGTGCCAGTCCTGAGTCACGGTAGCGTCGAACAGGCGTACGTCGAGATCGCCAAGAAGCTTGGTGTCCGGAAGCAAAGCGACGACGAAGATATCAAGGACCTTGTGTGTCAATATCTGAGCTCAGACAAAAACGGCAACTGGCTGTTCGTGGTCGACAACGCTGATGACGGTGAGCTGTTCTTCGGAACTGATGATAAAACTGGCATCGAGGCGTACCTTCCTGAGAGCGAGAACGGTTTGGTCCTATTAACGACGCGATCGAGACAAGTGGCGGCGCAATTTGCAGAGGCCAACATTGTCGACATTGAGCAAATGGACACGAAGGACGCAACACTGCTTTTCCAGAAGTCTCTGGCGCAAAGGCACACGGCGCCGGACGAAGTGGGAGAGCTCCTTGCCCAACTGGCCTATCTCCCTCTCGCAATCACCCAGGCAGCAGCATATCTCAACCAGACCAAGGTCCCCATCGGCAAATACCTCGGATTCTTACGTGGGGCCGAGAAAGATGCAGTCCGAGTCTTTGGTCGAGAATTCCGTGACAGCACCAGATATCGACAGTCCCACAATGCCGTGGCCACGACATGGGTTGTTTCCTTCGAACAGATCAGGAAGTCCGATCAGACTGCAGTCGATATGCTGTCATTCATGGCGTGCGTCGAGCCAAAGGCGATACCGCAATGGATTTTGCCCGAGTCAGAGTCCGAGGAGACAGAATGGGCAATCGGCGTTCTCTGCGGATACTCGTTTCTCGTGCGGCGAGGAGACGACGACACATTCGACATGCACAGTCTCGTGCATATGGCCACGCGAGAATGGGTCAAGAAGCAGGGTTGGCAGCAGCGGGTGGTGCGTGATGCCATAGGTCACCTCACAGATATATTTCCCTCACACGATCCTGAGAACCGCAAGCGATGGAGGGAGTGCACGCCACACGCAGTGCGACTTCTTCATGACACCCGAGCTCTGGAAATAGACGTGCGGTTTGAGCTTGTGTTTAGTGTTGGTAGATGCATGCACACTGACCGACGGTTCAAAGAAGCAACACAACACTTTGAAGAACTATGGCGCTGGGCAAATCAACGCCACACAGGGCTGTTGGAGACTACTATAAGAAGATGGCTAGCGGCTGCATACCTTGATGGCAGACGGATCAAGGAGGCGATTGAGATTTTGGAGCATATAGTAGAGGAATGGAGGAGGACACGAGACGAGAAGGATTATGATCGACTAGCATCGGAGCACGAGCTCGCGAGGGCATACCTCGAAGGCGGACGAACTAGTAAAGCGATCGAGATGTTGGAGCATATAGTAGCGGTCAAGAGGCAGATACGAGACGAGAAAGACTATTCTCGACTAGTATCGGAGAGCGTGCTTGCGAGGGCATATCTCGACGACCAGCGGGTTAAGGAGGCGATTGATATATTCGAGCATGTAGTAGCGGTAGGGAGGGAGATACTAGATGAGAAGGATCATTCTCGACTAACATCGGAGCACTCGCTTGCGAAGGCATATATCGACGACCGGCGGGTCAAGGAGGCGATTGAGATATTCGAGCATGTAGTAGCGGTGGAGAGGGAGATACTGGATGAGAGGGATCATTCTCGACTAACATCGGAGCATGAGCTTGCGAGGGCATATCTCGCCGACCAGCGGATCGAGGAGGCGATCCAGATATTACAGCATGTAGTGGCAGTGGAGAGGGAGATACTGGACGAGAAGGATTATGATCGATTGGTATCGGAGCGCGAGCTTGCGAAGGCATACCTCGACGACCGGCGGGTCAAGGAGGCGATTGAGATATTCGAGCATGTAGTAGCGGTGGAGAGGGAGATACTGGATGAGAGGGATCATTCTCGACTAACATCGGAGCATGAGCTTGCGAGGGCATATCTCGCCGACCAGCGGATCGAGGAGGCGATCCAGATATTACAGCATGTCGTTGCCGTGGAGGCGCAGCTTTATGCCGAGGATAACCCCGACCGACTTCTATCTATTCGTCTACTCGAGGATGCATATAAGGAACTTCAATTATGTAACTAGAATACCAATTCATTGATGCCTTCCATTAATGCGTCTGTCTTTCATTAGCAATTTACTCCTATCGGTGAGCCCCGGGCCTGAGGCCTTGTTGGTTATGTACCCATAGGAATCTCTCGCTGGCTCAGATCGTCAGCATTCCGCTCGACTAGGTTTCACTGAACACAGCTGCCATGAGCTCACTTCTTTCACGCCATTAGCGGTGGCCGAAGCTTTGCTTTCGTTCGCCACGTGATTTAAACATGGGATGCAGCCGAAGTTCCATGCACCTACTGTCTAGTCTTGTAAATTTGATTAGAGCTGCTAAGAGGATGTTTAGACGGGCCATCAAGCCGCCTGACTAGACTGAAACCTAATGTACGCCATGGGAATCTCGTCCCTTGAAAGAACTTCAAGGGAACTTTTGTTGGAGGGTAAAGGCTCTCGGATAGACTCCCCTTTCGCGACGATTTTGAGCAATCGAAGGCAATGCTGATTATGAAGTCTGACAGACGTATACCAGGGTCAGGGGTGCCGAGCTGGATATCAATTTGTAGATTCGGCTCGCCTGCGGCAGATACACTAAAATTTTCAAGATTCTAGCATATAACAGCCTTCATCGGCAGTAATAGAAAGTAAGCCGTTCGAAAACCGTATAGTGGTGTGCGGATGTTCTTCCTGTTCGACCTGAGAAGCCGTGTACCAAATGCGCGCCAATGTCTAGAACTCAGAAAATGGTCTCCTTCGTCGAATCTCTAAGTCGACTGCGCGGACGCCAAAGTTTGCACACACTTATGCCTTGCCCGTCTTTACTTGTCGTTGGTAGCGTAGTCTCAATCGATCGCCCCAGTCACCATAGCGCACACAAGGAAGGCCAAACAAGTACGCTACCTCTGAACAACACGGGACTTAAGGCGCAGACATGTGACATTTCACAACAAGAAACGCCACTCTGGCCCACTGAGCAATATTTCTGCCTGCCGGTATTTGTCGCATATCGTTCGCACGCACACTTGGAACAAGTATTATTTCGCGGCCTCTCGTCGGCTTGCGGTGTCCTATACGAAACGCACGTTCGGGGGCCCCTGGAGTGTATGTAATGCATATCCGTACTGTGCAAATGTTTATTTCATATTCATGCCGTTCCAGAAACCAGAGAACAGCATCGCGAAGAGCCAAGACCTCACTATTCACGCTGCGAGATATGGGGGACTCTTACACCACCAGCGTCAACCCCGAAACCATCAAACCCCATAGGCCAACCGCCATGATAGTCGGCCCGCTCCTCGCCACACCCGCATTCTGATATCCCGAGATCCCCAGCTTGGCCCCCTTGTCCGTCAAGCACCTATGGAATGCATCCATCACCCCACCCGGGCTAGTGTCCTTGGTGATCGTCCCGTTGTAGTACTCCTTGGGTACCTCGCACCACAGATAGCACAGTTGCGCCAGGTTTGGCAGGTTGGGACTGCAGCACTCGAGCATGGCCTGGACGGCTGTCTCGTTGGCGGCGGTGATGGTGAAGGCGTGCAGGTGTGGTGGAATGTTCAGCTGCACGAAGTCGGGGCTCCACTGGCCCGTCGTGGGACCAGTGTCGCACGTCATATTTGTGGTCGAGCTCGTGAGCTGGCCCGTGAAGGTGCCTGGGTATCTGGTTTCGAGTCCGCTTGCCATGATTGTTGTTTTCTGTCGTGTGGTCTGGCAAGGGGATTGTTTTGTGTGGGCTTTTAGACCTTGGGCTAGACATACAAATGTTCTGGCGGTGATTTTTGAGCTCTGGAAAAGTCTTATGGAGGATGATGGGCAAGACAGTTGCTGAGTTTGGCAATTTGTGTGCGTGTCCTCGCCTTATGTGGTTTCTTGGGCACTCTGCTATCTGGTGTTCGGCATGCGACTTGGAACGCCAGCCACGCTTGCGCAGAGGTAGCAAGGCCTGCACGCATATAGTCATCCCTCGTGCGCTTTGGAAAGTGCAATTCGCGATAATGCTCCATTGGCACTATTGGCACGGCTGTTTTCGGCCTCAACAGCTCCCGGCTTGGCGTGCTAGACTCGTGACCTTGGCCCTGACTTGTAGGCTGCCAGAAGCGCTTGGGCTGAGCTGCAGTCCACTTCCACATGCGGCCCCTGCTCTATGGAGCCAATGGTATCAGGTCTTTCGAACAATGGGGGCCTGGCGCCACCGTCATCAGCAAAGGCAGGGGGCCTTGCCAGAACGCAAGGCGAACTCATCTCTGGCCTTCGGTCAACCTTTTGAGCCACTCGTCGTCGGTCAACTTTTGGAGTCGCCCGTCGTGAGCCAAGACGTGCGACAGGCTCTGAATTAATGTTCTCCCGCGTTGAAATGCTGTTGTGAGAGTCGGGCTGGGGCGGCCCCAGTATTGCGGCGCCGTAGCATGACCGGCCAGAGCGTGGGTTTGGCCCAATTAGAAACTCGAACTATTCGTGCCTTGCGGCTTTCGGCACGCTAACAATAGTTTAACTCGGGTATCGTGCCTCGATAACGAGGGCCAACGCCCTATTGAAGCAAGTTCTGATATCATTCGTTTGGGAAGCCGGACCCAGCTCCGACCTCTCCTTCTACTTCTGGAAAACTATAAGCACATAGGTTATCAGCAAGTTGACCGATGGGTGCAAATCGTACCAATCGAACCAATCCTGAGGACGCTGCATGGGTGCACAGTGGGCCCAGCTCTTACCCTAGCACCTAGACCCCTAGACCTGGGACCCCGCTTGCTCGTCGAAATCATTCAAGGCAGGATCATGCAATATTGTGAAAGACACCGGGTGAACGAACAGAAGATTCTGTACTCTGATAAGTCGGGATCCCGAGACCGACTTTGGGGGGTGGGGGGGGAAGGTGCTTGTGCGAGAACTTACACAGTTTGCATATGATGAACAGCAACCAGGGTCCCTGCTTGTAGCTGAGTCCAGGCCGATTTCTTGTCTATCTTGTGTATCTCGGCCGAGTGGGTTGATCGCTCTGGAGAGCCTAATATTGGCAGCATCCCTGCCATAGCTTGCTGAGTCAAGCTTAGAGCACTACCCCAGGGTCCACCTATCTTGGTCGCCCTGCTGCCCTGGGCCGTAACATGAGATGTTCGAGGGGGACATGGTTCCTTGGTCTTGACCTGATTAGCTTTGAGCGCATTCGTAAAGTCCTCCTCATGTTGGCGCGCGACTCTCATGGCACACTCCCGGAACATCGTTACAATCATTATGGAGTTTGCATGGGAGCATCTTGAGAAATGCTAGCCCGACCTATCTTCAAATATGAGCAGAGCTTGCCAGTCGTATGACAACCTGGTCACCCCAAACAGCTTTACATGGCGTAAGATTACTCATCAGCTCGATAAGGAAATGGATGTGATCAGGGCACGTGAAATTAGTATGGAGTCGTCCCGAAAACATGCCCAGCCACGAGTACTCGGGCTGCAGCGCACTTACTGACGGACGCTTCAAGCTGTCTCGTTGATAGCAAGTCGTTGGATGCTGGAATGGTGAGTCCACATGCACCCGTCTAGAGAAGCCGAGACCACAATGATAGATGCAAAATTTTGCTGCATTGTTTGAGTCTGTCATGTAGGAAGGGCGGCAACCCTGATCCTGCGGCAAATGCGGCGCCGCTAGTCATCGAGGTAGACAGGAGCTGTGCCGATGACTGTAAAGCCCTCAGGTGGACCAGACCGTTTGATCGCTAGTATTAATGCTTGGATTTGGTACTGTGGATATCTGGTGTACCTCTCTCATTCGCAGGACACCTACCTTGCCCATGGAGATAATGGGTGGTCGGAAAGAGAATGAAACTTTGTTTGCTTGGCCCCGTCTGTTTTCATGCATGGACTGACTCGCCCAAGCGAGTCTGGGCAAGACGTCATAGCCCGACCTTTGGCCTGAACAACCGTGTGCGAAGAGCGGCATGAACTGCAACGCCTGGATCAGGACGCGTAAGTCATGTTCGTGATGGGGCTGGGTGGCTTGTTCATGATAAAATCCCGCAAAAGCTATGTGCGGAAAATCGGCACAGGCGCAGCGCGCTAAAGTTCATTTGCCGTGCGGGAGGGCGCAAAAGGTCTGCATAACTAGCCTCAAACTCAGCACAGCATGTAAGAAGGTTCTGTGGCATCAAAACTTCGTGGTGCCTGGCGCCAAGCTACTTCTGGTTCACCGATGGGCCGAGTTGCGACGAGTGGGCAGCCTCGGTCCGTTGCCACGCGGCCCTCCCGTTGCTGTAGTCCTCATTACGAGTTCTGTAGCGGATCCCAGGAATTCAGGCCAGGCTTACCATGGCCTAGACCTCCCAGCCACAGACTGCCTCATCTAGGCGCATTCCGTATAAAGTAGTTGAGAGGAGCATACTGTGCCGGCGGTGGTTGCTTCTCTCAACAGCAACAACTCCTTCCTGCAAGAGACAGCAAGCGATTCCCGAGCAAGTCCCTACAAACTTAATCATCCCAGCCCCATACTGAGATGAACGACTCTCACGCTGTTATCGTCGCCGCCACTGTCGCCCTGCCCCGGCCCAGTGTCTGCAACAACCACACTGGCGTCATCTCCGCCTCTGCACTGGCCGATTCCTTTGAACCACCATAAGATATAGAGGTTCATTTGAGGAACTCACGTTGGCTACATGATTGATTGAAGAACTCCGCTACAATGGTTCAGCTTCTCCAGGCAGTGTGGGCATTTGGCCGCAAGACAGCTGTCTCAGCTGCGGCCAGGTCAACCCTCCTCCCAAGCAGCGCCGGGCTGGTAACTAACAGCCAGGTGAATATGCCTGATGCGAACGACTCAGAAACAGAGAAGGCAGCGACAATGGCAACAGCGACTCGAACGAAGCTTGACCGCTGGCTCGATGCCGTCGTCCAGTTCTCGGGCTCGTCCTTTGTATTCCTGCTCACGTTCGGCTCCGTCTTCGCCTGGGCACTCCTTGGCATCGAGTTCGCGTCTACCGTTTCGTGGGCAGTCACCATCTCGAACGTCCAGGCGATTGTATGCTACATCTTTGATTCGCTGCTGATGCGTCAGCAACTCACTGGGTACGAAGAGGACATGCGCAACGCCGCTGTGCTGCAATCCCGCCTCATCAGCCACAAGCGGATGATGACCGAGGCACTTGGAAACGCCCGGCTCGACAAGCCAACCCGTGCAGAAGTCAAGTATGCCATGGCAGCCACAATTCAGGAGCCACGAAGCCCAGACACCCGCTCGACTCCCACGGCCATCATGCAGCACTGGAAGCATCGTTTCTCTGACGCAATCGCGGCTGTATTGGGCCACATGGTCACGATCTTGTTGTTCTGGGTCTGCATCGCCGTCTGGCTGGGCTTTGGTCCCGCCAACGGATGGAGCGACGAATGGCAGCTCTACATCAACTCGTCGACCTCGGCGCTGCTGCTGCTCGTCTTCGCGGTCCTGTCCAACATTCGCAACACTCATGCCGCGCGCACACAACAGGCCTTTGCGTCCCTCGCGCGGACGGATGAGGAGCTCGAGAGGAGGCTACGGCAGATCACGGGAGATGTACAGCCAAACCCGATGGTGACCGTCCCAGGTGAGCTTTCATCATTTTCTCCAATCTAACGAGTCACTCGCCGCGACTGACAGATGTAATCTAGTTCCAAATGTCAGCCGGGGTCAACGCGCCATCTTCTACTATGCCGATCTCGTGGGGACCCTGACAGGCGTTATCATCATGCTTGTGGTCATTGTGGCCTGGATCGCTGTCGGCCCAGTGCTCCAGTTCAGCGACAACTGGTGGCTGCTCATTGGCACCTACGCGGGGCTCATCGGTATGCACGACGGGTTCGTCCTCGAGAACATGCAGACGTGCCTGCACGGCTACGTGGACGGAGCCCTGGCCACAGTGCATGAAGGAGACGTCTCCCTCATGCAGGATCTCGGGTTGCTGCTGCGGCCTGAAGACGGTGCCGCGCCGGAGGAGCTGGAGAGTCAGCGGCAGAAAGAGGTGCGGCCGCCAGTGATGACGAGGATCTCGCAGGCCGTGGTCAGTGCCATGTCACGCCCGGTGGTTGTCCTGGCCAACGTCGTCCTCATCCTTGGGCTGCTTGTGGGCGCCAGCCTCCTGCAGTGGAACGTCACGGGCCAATTACTGTGCAACGTGCCTCCCAGCATCATCGAGTCCTTCATGATGCTGATTGTCATTACCGGGCACGACTTAGCCGACAAGAAGCGCCGCAGTGACCTGAAGCGCATGCTTGATCACCGGCTCGAGTTGCTCTGCTGGGCTCGGGGGACCTTAGTCCCAGAGACCAAATAAGATGCCCTTGACCAGTACGACAGCGCGCAACGTGGACTGCAAGGAAGTGTGCATCTCCTGGCTTGGTCTTTTCGAACCCAATAATTTATGTCAGCCCTCTGGATTCAGTCAGCGGATCTCGTTAGGGTCCAAAATTTCCCATACGCCAATCTTCTTTTGCTGTCTGTGTCTGAAGAGAGCACGATCCCTTCTTTTTGTCATTTATTTTGGGCCAGTTTGGCGATTGCCGTCATCGATGGAAGTTCCTAGATAATTATGCCCAAGGTCATCTTTTGGCAAACTAAAAAATTGGTTCCGTGACGATTCTGAATGTCCTATGGTATGTGCGTGCTTGGAATCTTATAGCGTGATAACACAGTCTTTGATGATCTGGTCCAAATCTGTTACTCCTGCTTCACTCCTACCCTGCCCACCCGTCTCAGCCCCAGAATACTGAGCAGGACACACGCAAGCATGAAGCCAAACAGCGCCCAGAAGCTTGCCCGATAGCCGTGAAGCAAGGCATCCCCAGCCTGATCCGCCAGATGCGTCTTCGTCACTGACGACGAGATGATCTGCAGCACCGCCAGCCCCAGCGCCGTGCCGAACTGCGCCGAGGTGTTGAACACGGCACCCGCGAGGGCCTGCGTGTCCTCGGGAAAGACCTCGGAGATGATGCTCAGGCCCACGGTGAAAAGGATGTTGGCGCTGAGCGGGCAGAGCAGCTGCGCGGCAAAGGCGCCCTGCCAGTAGGGCCATTGCGGGTCGACGACGGCCATCAGCAGCGGGGACAGGGCCGTCATGGCGGCGGAAATGCTGATCAGCCAGAGCGCCCGGAATCGGTCGACGAGGAGGCCGCAGACCAGGCCTACAAGGACGCCGACTACGAGACTAGGAACGATGCGGAGCGAGGACTGCAGTGCGGATAGGTGTTGAATCCCTTGGAAGCTGCGGTGTCACGTGAATCAGCAGAGAGAATCTTGGGGACCGTGGAGGAAGTACGAATGCTTACTACAGGTTACAGAAGAGTTCCATTGCGTTGACGGCCGAGAACGCAAAGGCGGTGATGCCGCATATGCAGGAGAAGGACGGGTTTCGCCAGAGCGCATTTGGGATCAGTGCAGGCCGACCGAGTGTCTTTTGTCGATGCATCCAGGCGACAAAGCATGGCAGCAAGAGCAGGCCGATGCACAGGAGCGCAATTGTGTCGCCGTCTTGGATCCGGCGAGTGTCGACACTCAGAACACTGCGCCCCGGTTAGCGAGCACGCACAAAGCTGCGTTCCAGTATGGCATTAGAGGGACTTACGCAAGCAGGTAGCACAATATCGCCATGAATGCTGAGGCAAGCAAGGATCCAAGCCAGTCCATCTTGGTCCGGCACATCGCAATGCGCTCCGTAAACGACAACTTGTCTGGACTGTGAGGCAGAGCCCAGAGACCCACAAAGAAGAGGCAGGTGCAGATGCCTGCGTAGAGGTAGTATGCCACCCGCCAGCCAGCAGCGTCGATCAGCACGCCGCCAATCACCAGGCCAAAGGAGAAGCCCAGCGGCTGGCTTAGTCCCAAGCAGGCGAACGCCATATTGCGCCCCTTGCCTTTGGGAAAGGCCTGCGCAACAAGCGCGACTGACGACGATAAGTGCAGAGCGATGCCAACACCCTGGACAGCCCGCATTGCCACAAGTTGGACTCCGGTCGACGCGGTCGCCGCGCCGATCAGAAAGGCCGAGATCATAAGACATCCTAGGAGATCGCATGCGCGTGCGCCGAACGCATCTGCGATCGACCCGGCAAGCAGCAGTGTTGCGGCGGTTCCCAAGCTCGTGGCGGATGTGGGCCAGAAGGCGAGCGATTCTGGCAGGGCGAGATCCGCGGTGATGGTGGGAAGGCCCACGACGACGAGGCCATTGATGGCACTGGAGCACAAGTTGACACCGGAGAGCTGCAACACGGTGGCAACCTTCTGCAGGGCCGAGTATGTGTCCGCAGACTTGTGTTGCAGCGTACGTGACCGGACACTTAGCGTGGTCTCGAGGACCTGGAGAGGAATCGTGACAGCTCCGTGCTCTCTAGAAATCGACTCTGCGGAGCTCGTAAGGGTTTGCGTTTGCGTGGCCATGATGACTTGCTGGCGAAACGGAATCCCGTTTCTGCCCTCAGAAGTCACGTCGAGGGGCACTACTTTTGATTCATTCGGGTGCACGCTTAATTTATATGATAGTCTCCGTGAGGATCCGAGCATCGGCGTGCTCATGCTCGGCCATGCGCCCTAGCCATGACTGTGCACGGTAACTGCCGAAAATTCTTCCCCGTGGTGGAGTATGACTAACAGCATGCGCAAATTTCAATGTCAACACCGACTCCGGCTGCATAACTCGAGCTAGCCGTAATCTGCCGTATTTCCTTGTTCGGCTGACAAGACACTACACATGTAATTGGAATGAGGCGATGACTGCCTGATGGTCTTCACGGATCGCTATGAAGCCCTGAAAATCAGAGTCGGTTACGTACGGAGTCGGTAGTGGGCCTTTCGCCTTGTCAACGCAGGGCGTCGTGATGCCGGCGCTGCGTGGTGGAGGGCGCTAGTCGTGTCAGCGAGTCCTCGCATTGGCTGCTGTATGCATGTTAGAGCATGTGGCTAAGATGGAGAGTCGCACAAGCAGCACGTAAAGCGCGATGCAAAATACAAGACGAGATCGATGTTGGCCATTTCCAAACTTTGTCATGGGACGTCGCTATCAAGCGTAGGACACGTAACTCGACTTTCACCCCAAAAAGCGGCATGGTTCTTGCAGAAAAGCTACCCTGGAAACCCATACGTAGTCCAATGTTAAGTAATCTGAGCGATCTAACAATAGGCGCTGTTACAACTAGTTCCCATGAATCAGTATGAATCAGCTAACCCTAAAGCAAGTCACGCCAGGACTCCCACCCTAATGGCTCGGCGGCGAAATTAAGGGCACGCTCGGCTCTTGTCCTGAGCCTCGAGCGTACTCTCCCTTCTTGAACAACAGCATCATACTGCAGTTGACCTGTTATTCTTGCATCCGAAAGACCACCGCACACGTCGCAGCAATCAAGACATTCACAATGGCTTCCTCGGCCCCAGACGCCATACTGATTCTCGTACATGGCGGAGCCCTATCTGGGCGCATGTACAAGGACATGGCTCCTCTGCTCTCAGCACGGGGCTACGAAGTGATCTGCCCCGACCTGCCTGGTCACGGTGAGCGCGCAGCACAAACTGGGCCCTTCACGTTTCTGAAATCGACTGCCCTGCTTAAGACCATCGCTGAGGAGATCAAGCACAAAAGCGCATCTGAGAAGACCGAACGGCCGGTTGTGCTTGTTGGGGTGTCCCTGGGTGGACAGGCTGTGTTGCACTTCCTCACCACGTATCCCAATCTCGTCGACGCCGCGGTGGTCTCTGGTGTCTCTCTCCACCCGCCCAGCGATGACGCATCATGGGAGATGCCACACATGCCCAGCCCCGACGATATGGGATGGATGGAGATCATCATGGGAGATGTCGAGAGGATGGGCATGGAGGCCGCCTCGGCTGTGCAGGCTGAGAGCTTCGGGTTTTCGCTGCAGCTGGACGAGTCGCGTGGCAAGATCCCGCCCGTGTTGGTGGTTGTTGGGGAACACGACGTTGCGATGGCTCGCAGGGACTTCGCAGAGTTATTCCGGGCTCTGGTTGCGAGAAACGCCTCGTGTGAGAAGGTCATCTTGGAAAATGCGTGGCACAATCATCCCATCGACGTGCCGGGGATGTTTTCGGATATTGCCCACAATTGGCTCACCAAGTTCATGTGATGGGGAGCCCTTTTTGGGCGCATGGTAACACCTTGAGACCCATCAATGTCAGTTCGGCCTTGTTCAGCTTTGCATAATTATCACGGACGACCTTGACTTGAGTGCACAGGTGCCGGATGCCTTTAGCCATCGGCCGCGGCGAGAGCACACTTTTAGCAGGGTTACGGCCTGGACAAATAAACACCGTGTGGCGGTCACCCTGCAGCCCCGCTAAATTTCGGGAAAGTGCAAAGTTCACATGATCAACGCCACCACGAGGGCATTGTCTGCTGTGCAATCCGCTATCAAATGGCATGGAGCCCGTGAGTGCGTAGCTTGATGAATCAGAAACGATCAAAAAGAAATCAAAAACAAAGGCCGCATCGCTCTTCAATGAACTACCCTAAATGCATCAGCCGTGAATCGAACACGGGGCCCATCGATGGCAACGATGGATTTTACCACTAAACCACTGATGCTTCTTTTGGTTGGATGAAAGTAATTTTGGTTATCCAAAAATATTCATCTGACTGCTATTTGGTAAACCCTTGGGGCGTCTCTGCAAGCATACATACGATCATTAGGATCTTAATGACTGGTACTCGAAATGCGCTTGGGCACAGTCGAAGCATGTCAATATTTGACACGTCTAGTCAATCTTTTTGGGAAACAAGAATACACGTTTCTGTACATCCCAAGTTAACTACCGGGCTCGTTGCGATTTTGGAGTAACTATCCGTGCCTAGAAGTATACGTCCACGTATGGGGATCTTCGCCACTTTGTCCTTATGCCTCAATTCGACGAGTCTAAAAGCGATTTCCATTATAAGCTCGAAATACTTATGGGGTTAGGTGCCCGAGTTCCATGCAGAGTGAGTTCTGTCATTGGCGGAGGATATACCCTCCAGTGAGTAGCGGCGATTGTCTTTGGCGGAGCGACCCGTACGTAGCCGATAAGTTTCGGACATGAGTTTATTATCAGCCGCACCTGGATCGTGGCGGCATCCTCACCAGTCGGGCAGCGCAGCATGGGATCAATTTAAGACGCACCTGAGCATTAGTGCGGCGCCCAACGATTTGTTTATAGGCATGGCGGGCGCGCTTGTGAAACACCCGAAACGCCACAGATGTTGATTCGTCGCAAGAATGGGCTGAAGCGTTTGTCTCAACTCAGCACCTCTGAGGCGTCACCTAACGAAAATAAGGAGCAGTTAGAACGATGACAAAAGTGCTAGATTAGGCAGCTATAAGAAGGAACTGCGCCACGCCCCTCTCAATAGGAGCCTGCAGCACACCGCACTCAATAGTGCGCCGCGATAGCTCGCCTACGGTCCTCTCCCTGTTCACAACAACCGTGGAACCAGTTTCCAGCAATGCCCAAGAAGATTCTCACCGTCATTGGGGCAACCGGCAGCCAGGGTGGCTCTGTAGTTGCAACTCTTCTCAACCACCCCAACTACACGCTTCGAGCCGTCACTCGCAACCCGCAGGGTGACAAAGCCCGTAGCCTGTCCGCTCAAGGCGTGGAGGTCGTCTCTGCAAATCTCGACGATGTCGAGTCTCTCAAGGCCGCCTTCCACGGCTCGCACGCCATATTTGGCATGACCAACTTTTTCGAGTCCCTCATCGTGACTCACTTTGACATTGACAAGGCCGCACGCATCGAGGCGCAGCAGGCACGCAACCTGGCCGACGCAGCGGCCGCCACACCGAGTCTGGAACACTACGTCTGGGCCACGTTACCCAACGCGGCACGCAACACGGACGGGCAGTGCGACGTGCCCTACTTTGCGAGCAAGAACGCGGGCGGCGACGACTACATGCGCGCGAACCTGCCCGAGCTGTGGGCCAAGACGACCTCCGTCTGGGTCGGCTGGAACGCAGAGAACATGACATGGCCTCACTACACCCCTAACCCTATCGTGACTGCAGACGGCGGCGAGTCCGTAGTGTACTATTCGAATGTGCCGCCCAGCACGCGCTTTCCGATGCTCGGGAGCGTCGCGTCCAACTTTGGCCTGTGGGTGAGGGCGATTCTGGAGCAGCCACACAAGACGCTGCCTGGCAAGGCGGTCGCTGCGATGGGGGAGTACATGCCACTCGAGGACGCGTTGACCACGTACAGCAATGCATCAGCCCGAGCATACGCCGGTACGGCGGCCGGGGCCGAGCCGAAGAAGCCGAGGACGCACATCATTCAAGTCAGCGATGCCACGCTCGCGGAGCTGTGGCCTGTCTCGGGCATCCTGATTGCCAAGATGCACCGGTACATGGCTGCTCTTGATGGGCGGTGTTTTACCAGTGTGCACGGCGACATCGAGGTGCTCACAAGGGCCGATCTCGATGGGCTTGAGGGCCTGGCGAGCACAACAAATGGGCTCGAGAAAGTGGCGGCAGCGACGCATAAATAAAGAAACCGCACTCTCCCGAGGACGCGCTGGAATACTGTCTGAAAGAATGAGGCCAAGCGGTAGAGCCACGTAGCCTCGGCTGTTTCACACTATGCTAATGAAGCTCACACACATCCGAGGCGAGGCAGCTCTCCTTTTGAGAATCGCAATGCAGTAGAATTCTCATTCACGCAAGATGCCACCTTTGGCTGGATAGACAATGTCTTTGGGCACCCGGCCATATGGTCGCGCATTGATACTGAGGGCCTCGTGGGTCCTGCCCTCTTATTTCTTCCTCTTCTACTGTTGTTGTTGTTGTTGTTGTTGTCGCCAGTAGCTTATGGGTCGCGCTGCTGTGCAATGATCACATCGTTCACTCCCTTCCGTTTCACAGTGGTCATGACAACACTCGGTTTGAAGGCGCTCTCGCTTATGGGTTACTCAATACATTGGTTTCTGCTTTAGCGAGCGTGCAGTAGTAAGTACATAAGACACAGTGTGCCATGGAAAAAAACAAAAGCGCAGCGCAACGCCTCGCACACTCCCGCCAGTGTGGAATAGTATCCCCGCTCGCTGACTACCACCGAGCTCGCTATTCGCGACTGGCGTTGTGCCACGGAACCCCTGTTTGACGCGGCGAAATCTAGGTGGGCACGCACATCAGGTAGTCGTTGGGCTGGTTGGTGCACTCTGCAGCAGAAATTGATATGTTAGCGACTCAAATTGGCATATGCTACGTTGACGGGGGTTCAGAGTCGGGTAAACGTACTGCCCGACACGACAGGGGCGTTATCCGAAGGCCCAGCGAAGTACTTGCATGAGGAGCCGAGCTCATGACTGCAGTTGTTGGGGCAGTTGCAAGCGTAGTCTGGTTGGAATCAAAATCATCAGCCTGCGAGAACCTTTGAGGGCCTGCTGCATCACCTGGGGAAATTGGGCAACGTACAAGGGTCAGACGCAATCCCGAGTGCCTGGCCTGCGAACATGGTGGCCACGGCAGCGGTGACGAGAGTCTTGACGGAGTACATGTTGGAGTTACGATGTGTCGTGTCTAAGATTCTTGGATAGAGATTTGTGTTTTTTGGGATTGTATGAGTGGGTTTTGGAGCGTTGTTGCTGTTGTTTGGTTGTGCAAAAAGGGGGGTTGTTATTCAGACGACAGCCGACCCTTTATACTTTGAACGTCATCATGCTTGCGACTTAGTTGTCTGTCGTCAAGCCTTCTTAGAAGCGTGGGACGTCAATGCAGTGAACAAGAATAGAACAAGATGTGTACGCCTAGGGTCGACCGTCAGCATAGCCAGAGCCAAAACGCAAATCCGCTGTAAGATGAAGGACTTTCAGTGACATCACAAGACGTCAAGAGCCTCCATCACCAACTCAGAGGCAGCCCCCAAAATGCACACCCAATCATATCATACAAGTCACAACTATTCTCAGTAGAGCCGAACTGTCTAGGTCCTGTGGGTATTAAGACAGCACACATCCTGATGGATTAAGACTGCCCGTTCGCCACTCGTCTCAGGTACAATCTCTGATGAACTTGACTTTTCTAAGGAGGTACTTGCACTCGCACGGTCAGGGAGACGACCCTAGCCGATCATTTGCTTTGTGTCAGCGAACCCAAGACTCCGCTTGGAGTAGACGGACACCTGGCAAGTCCTAGCCTACACGTGTATGAGGTCATAGGTTCTGCGCAGTGAGCCAACCACGTCCCTCCGATTGAGGTTTCAGTGCCATATGCAGTAAATCTACAAGTAGTACTGTGCTAGCGCTGCTGGGATAATGCTCCCGTAAGACTAGACCCCAGCAATTATTCCGGAGGCGGCGCTTATTAGCGCCACCCCGCATTGCCTCCTCGGCCGGCAACACATCCCGTACCTTGCAGGGCTGGGTGGAGTAGATCCTCTAGGTTCTCTGAAAGGGGAACAATACGAAAGCTGCCGATCTTGGGCACATGAAATTGCCATCTCAAACACACGCTAAAATTGGTGCAGACAACACCAGGAGACATGCAGCTGATGGATGTTTCGTCATTTCGTGACATACGACTATCAGGACATCAGAAAGATCGTCATAGCGCATAGAAGACAGCATATCGACTCGGTGCTGACATATGGCCAACTAAAATAGAACGAATGATCGATGTCATGATTCCCGACTTAGATGGGGTTGCTCAGGGCACAACAGCTACACAACATCATCTATGTAGGACTTCAGTCTGCTGCCTTTCTGGTTGTACTCGTGTGAATATATATACGGCTATCATCCTCTCATCGGTAATGGCTTCTTGGGGCATAAACTCAAGCTTCTAAGTCTAGACATCCCACCAATACCAAGTCCTCATTCGCAACTTGAAAATACATTTCTCCAACACGCCACCTACAACCTTTTCAGTATGTACTTCAAGAGCTTGATCACCGTTGCCTTCACCGCGCTGATGGCCGGACAGGCGCTCGGCATCGCGACCGACCCCTGTAAGTTCCATTGCTCCCCAAAGCTCACTGGTAAATCTGCATAGAGCAGATGCACTGACATGCACATTTGCCAGACTACGCCTGCAACTGCCCTAACAACTGCAGCCACGATGTCAACTCTAGCTGCAAGTACTACGCCAATCATTCCAACAGTGGCCCGGTTGTCAGCGGCCGTAAGTACAACCAGCTCTTTAGTACTACTCCTCAGGCTAACAGTATTTATTAGGATGCCGCAACCAGGGCGACGGTATGCTGGTTTGCGAGCAGCAGTAAAAGGTTGCCACAATTTAGGGGCAATGAGCCTGTTGTCAGGCAAGCTCTCTTTTGTTCAAGCCTGGGGTGGGAATAGAAATACATCCTGAGCAGCAGCTCCTGTTTTATAAATGTCACTCGTTATAGCTCAAACTCAATACATCGTCTCTGCCTTTCTACCGACGTTGAACGTGTATAAAGAATTGCCTAGAAATGGCGCTTTTGATTGTACCCACTGACAAATGATGAACACTATTCCTTCCAGCGTATTGGCTTTGTCTTGCCGACATCCGAGGAGTCGGCCTGACAACACAACATCAAACAGAACCTGCAACGCCCGTAGCGCAGTCGGGGCACTAGAGAAAGCCCTACCACGGCATGCATGGCTTTGCAACAAGACACGATCAGAAACTACGTAAAGTCATTGTGGGGTAAGATCACGGGCCGTTGCCTCAGCCCAGACTTTGCCAAGCTAAATCCGTGCAAGGGGTTGTGCGGGATGGTGTGTTCCCTGGAGCGCCTCTCGTGTCTGTGCCAAATCCGCGTGGTGACAATGCTCGTTTGTAGACCACCTAATTAGTCCCAATTTTCCCATCATGAGCGCCTTCCTGATCAATTGAAAATCTAGCAAACTCAGCGGGCAGCCTTCCGAGACGGCTGCACGCGATGTGCCTGTCTTTGGAATACTGAATAATACCGTACGCATGGGTGTCATATGGCCAACGTCTGACTCAGCTCGGCTGTCGTGACGTCCTTGCCTGGATCGGCGCCAAGCAAGCTCCCATAGGAAAACGGCTGTACTCATGGGACGCGGACACCACCGATCTGCTCACAGCCCTTACACGTGCACGCTGATCACCCGTCGTACTTAGACGTGCTGCCCCTCGGCAGAAATTCCTGGAGACATACTGCAGGCCTATGTAAGCTTGGCATACCGCATGATTACCTCGACAAGGGGCAACGCACCGAGTTCAGTCAAAGGGTTGGCCCCGCCATTACCCGTTCCTCTTTGGGGGCGGCAAATAGAAGATCTGTACGCAGAGCCAATCATCTACAAGTGGTGACATCACAGAACCACAGCCGGCGAGAGGGGATAAGCGCCGCGCCGCGCCGCATCGCTTGCTGAGCCAATCGCAATTGTATTTCTTTGTCTTATAAGTGTGTTGTAGACAAGGGATACAGGACACCGATGGACGAATACACGTCCTGCGCTGGAACGTAGGCACGTAATGCCAAGCGTAGATCGCCAGTGCGCAGAACTACAATAATAGAACACACTCGTCAGCTTCGCACTGAATCTTTCTGGGACATGGTCTCGTAGCTCTTGTTCTCAGTAGGGGCGGCGTACAGCCGCGAAGATTTTGCTCTGAGAGATACGAGACAAGGTCAATTTCTGGAAGCAAGAGATACCACGTGGACTGTTTGCTCCCGCCCTGGTCAGATTCCTGCATGCATCGTCACACAGTGTGCCGCGCCCATTTCCAGTTCAGCTGAAGAGGATTCGGCTCGAGATCGAGAACCTGAGTTCAATCTATATTTTAAGTCGGCTAGAACTCGTTTGCTATCTAAGCTGCACAGACTTCCACACTCTCAAAAGCATTATCAACCGTGCCGGATTCAGGAATGATGCGGAGTTGAATGTAACCCAAATAACCAAAGTCGACAACGCCGATATAATCTCCAATGTCGTGCTGAGAAGCCACGCGGTTACTCCAATCACTTGCTATGACCTTACCAAACGGAGAAGCAGCCCCGGGGCTTGGACTTCCCGAACGATTGAACACCTGCAGGACCGAGCTATGTTAGTATGTGTCATTCTGGGAGATCAGTATGAGCCGCATGGGGGTTTCTTACCTCGAAGCTGACTTTGAATCCGCCTCCTCCCGCCCGCCGGCCAATGGGACCGCTGACGAGAGGGGTTGCGCGAACGTAGCCGCCCCCTTCGGCTGACGTGAGCAGGGAATAATCGGCGATTGGTGCATCAGGGAACCGGGCACCCCTGATCTCTGCATGGTGCGCCAGCGCGGTCCTCCCGGTGAGTGTAGTGCTGTTCTGGACGTCGATATCGATGAAGTCGTAAGCCACGTGCAGTCCTTCCAACTGGCCCTGCAGCTCCAGATGCAACTTGTCATTGATGACAGCAGCTCGTCCAGGGTTGACGGCTTCGGCACCTTCATCCTTGAGATCGATGAAGCCCCAGGTGATGGCCGTCGTGATGGCGCCGGCGATGGAGCCTGCAAGGTAGTTGCAATCAATGGCTTCGACTCTGAACGTCTTGCAGGCAGCCCACGCAGTGAAAGCGCTTGGGCCAGCCTTCTTGCCCACGGCGACGGCCTGGCTGGAGTACTGTGGGTAGGCGCTGACGCCCTCAAGTACCTGCTTGAGCAACTCATTGCAATCGACCTTGATATCGATGCGCTGCATCTCGGTGTCGGCGGGGGCAGCAACATCCGTTGAGCTGAGGTCAGGTTCAACAAGGGCTGCAGTGACCTGCGCACTATGAAGAGTGGCAAGCACTCGGACCAGAAAAGGGGCTGTGAAGGTTCTCATGGTGTGGGCAGGATAACTTTCGTTGGATGGGATAGAATTTTATAGGAGGTGGCAGATGGAAAAGATGTTTCAGTGCGCAGGGTTTGTTGAAATTTGGAAACTTCGCAGATGATGTAGACGAAGGGGCTGAACATGTGTATAATATATTCAACGGGCGCGTTCAAGAGCCACACGCTATTTCGGGCGACACTTCACTAGATAATGTCGTCATCGGACCTTCGCCAGACGATCAGTCGATCCTAGCGCGCTCTTGTTGTCTTTGTGTCGATCACAGCATGCTAGGACGTACTGAGGCTGGGAGGATCCAAGGTGTGTAGCTCGTGTGGGTTGGAGCTACTTCCATCCTTGTCTTCGAAGCTTCCTACTATTGGGCGGCTATAACACTCATGATACCTACAATGTACGTCAGCGGACCTCGATTCGAGACTGTTCGACTTCATTGTTGGGAATCTTCAAGATGACCTTCACTCTTGCCACGCTTATCATATGCCGCTCTTGTAACTATCAGGACACTGCGACCTCGGGTGGCAATTTCCTTTCTAGAAATGGGTATGTAGGGAGTCTGAGTAGGATCCATATGGCATACAGTCTTAGAAGCATGACCTATTCTTATACACTGACATACCGTCGATGGGTGTTGTAAGCAAAACTCGGGCTCATCACTTCTGACCCGATGCTCTTCCACCACCGGCATCCCAGGCTGGAAGGTGGCAACAGAGTTGCAAGGCTTTTGCTGTCTATCCATAGTTCTTGCACGGAGGCAAGCTATATTGTTTTCGACTGATTGGACATTCACGTATGGCGCAATGGCGTTCGTTGCTGACCAGAGGAAGATGGATCAACGGTACTCCAATACTCGGGTCTCACCTTGCGCCGCGATTAACATCTCTACAAGCGCGCAAACTTGGAGGACGTCTTTGCCACTTGTTACCGTTTCCTACGTAGAGTCAAGTATAAATTCTGGACGTTTCGTGCCCCATGGTCAGACTATACTCGGCGGCGCCCATCACTTGACAAACACACTTCAAGTCCAGAACCATCTGCCCAAGAACCCATAACCTGTCTCTCTATCCAGTTTCCAGCTCTTCGAAATGAAGTTCTCCATCACCGTCGCCATCGCCAGCCTGCTCGGGGCTTCCGCGGCCGCGCCCACTTTCACCTTTCCAGTATGAAGACCTGACACCTGTCGGCCGCTGAATCATTGCCTAACCAAGAAGATAGAACTCCACTGCCACCGTCGACGACTTATTCAGATCCCTCAAGCGCGCCCCAGAGGGTCATGCTCTTCTCCGCTCAGATGGAGTAGTTGTGGCATTCGACCAGCAGGGCAACGTTATCGACCGCGCGGCAGCCTCGAACCACGCTGTGCGCGAGTACAACGCCAAAATGGACCGCGTCCGCGCTCTATTGCGGGAGAAGCTCGATTCTCCATCCCGCCGTGATGGCGGTGTGGGCCCCTCAGTGGGTGACTTGGCTCGGGCCGCAAAGCGCGAGTCCAGTCATCCCGGGCCCTACACCAATGGCACCGCGGTGACCTGCAACTAATATGGCCGCACCATCAACTAACGCGTAGCTTCTGAGGCTGCACTGCTGAAATACAGCCACCGGTTTAGAGCCATTTAGAAGACCTTCCGGCAAGGTTACGACGCCAACAGGGACAAAGTGCTCGACCGATTGAGCACCATCGTATCGATAGTGAGCTCTTCAACCAGCGCCTTGAATGTATTACCCTATGCCCGCAACGAGGATTCCGATTGTACAGCTATTGGTAACGGTGGATGCGCATGCCTTTTGGTGGAATCTAGAGGTGCAGATGGGTGGAAACCCTCAGCCGGCAGTACCAGCTACTCAGGCTTGGACGTTATCGCAACAAATATTGTACAACGATTCCAAGGCTAGATTGAACGTTGTTTCTGACAGGCCAGTTGCTGACGCTTGTCGCAAATATATTCTTTTCTTTGCTCGCCAACCCCCAAGGGCTCACGTCACAATGTTTTCTCAAGCTTCAGTTGTGTCACCACATCCCACAGCCGATCCAGCCACTCTGATGCACCGATGCTGGATTTAGTAGAATCGGCCAATGGCGCTATTTAAGTCTTGGTGTACAGTTTCACCAGCTGGAGGACAACACACGGAAACATCCAGGTCTGTGGATATTACGCGTAGCGTAGCAATGGCGCAGTGGCCTGAATTTTCTTCATTTGGGAGATGTGGTTAAGGAATTCATTAGGCATGGACCTCCTGAGACATACCTCGGTACTGCAGGAAGCGCCTATTGGGTGGCGGGCACTTGAGCAGGGTCAGGCAGACATGTCAGCCTCTGGAGCCTTGGCACACGACGCCCCCGCTATCACCCGGTCCATCTCACAACTCGTCAGGCATTTCGCATGAGGCTCTTGACACGATCGCGACACTGCTCTCACCCAGGTTTGCAAAGATGGCCGAGATGGCAGGCCTGGCGCTTGGCGCCATCTCGCTGGGCATCGAGGTCTGCAAGGGCATCATCTCGTATGCCGATGCACTTCGTGGCAAGACTGGTGACTTGGCGTCCCTCGATCGAAAAGCCAGGGCGCTTGCCAGTACTCTGGAAGTTCTCGGCACCACACTGGAACGCCTCGGCGCGACGGCGGCGGTGACGACGACGACGACGACGACGACGACGACGACGGCGATGACGGCAATAGCGCCTCCGCTTGTTGCGATCGGAAACAGCCTCGCGTCCTGCCGAGCAGATCTCGAAGAACTCCGTGGCTTCGTCGCCAAATACAAGAAGGCGGGCACTAGTCCGCCTTTGACAGTCAAGCATGCATACAGCAGCATCAAGTACGGCTTCCGTAAGGACGAAGTGGTCAAGATGGAACAGAAGTTGACGGCAGTCAACGCTGTCTTGATGCTATCATTGCAAAGTCTTGATATGTAAGCTATCGTTCCTTTCCGCGCGAGCGCGATTTCGGGAGCTCTGAACTCCATACACAAGGGAACTCGCGATCGGCCAAGCGAGCCAGATCAGTGCTGTCCAGTACGAAGCCAGGCAGCTTTCCACTGAGCTTGCCCGCCAGGATCAGACGCTCTCAGTAGTTCAGCTGGACACGGCACAAACTCTTAACCGACTCGACTCGTTGCAGTCCAATCTAGAAGCATTGCACGGTGAAGTTAGCAGTGTTACGATCGACGTTGTGGGGCGAGTCACCGTGTTGTCTAGCCAGTTGGACCAGTCGAACACGGCGCGGCACGACATCGTCACGACCGAGCTGGCATCAATCAGGCGAGCTGTGGAAGTGCAGACAGCTTCTTGCGCGAGTCTTACAGCACAGCTTGGCGACGCGCTGCGGACCCAAAACCTGCATGAATCTGTGAGTCTCCTGGTCTCGAGACCCGCCCTGCTACGAGATGCGCTGCAGGAGAGATACCAAGGGCATGCGCCGTCAGGGACCACAAGTGTGGACACCTTTGAGACATCAGTATGGCTGGGCTGTGACTGCGAGCAATACACAACGACACAAGGGTGGTCAGCGCAGTTTGCTTCTTCGAGGATTTCAGTCACGAGAAAACGGATCGTCCAACATCGTCCCCAGTGCAGGTTCGCCAGAGCTGCTGCGAAAGAGAAGAGAGTCGATCACTCCGCAAAAGCTCGATTCAGATGCTTCAACTCCGTACTTGACGTGGCCTTCCGGATCTCCTACTCATACCGTTCGGGCAGCGGAGGGTTCAGCATAAGCCCGTGGCTGGCCCTCTCCTCGATCGTGGACAGATCTGCGTCGCCAGCCTTCAGAGTCTTGGATACTTTAGGGAACACCATCAGACTATCTCGAACAGCCAGTGCCAATGTAAGACAGACGCTTCTGAGGCATGTTGTCGAGGTAGCGATCCATAAACTGGAACAAATCTTTCGAAATCGCAGGGCGTCTTCTACAGACGTGGATCAGCAGGGTTGTACCTTGTTGCATCGTTTTGCCTATATTGTCAGTCACAAAAGCCAGGCGACTTGCCGATGTTGACACCGCTTGCGGACGTTCACTGACCCTGTAGCATGGTCGAAGATGCAATGGTCCAGTCGAGAGGAGAGACAATTGGCTCAATTGCTTATGATGGAATTGATCCACAAGCATGGCGTGCCAATCGCCCGCGAGAATAATTTCGGCCAGTAAGTCAACCAAACCAAAGCAAACTCAGAAAGCTATCGGCTAATGATTGGTTAGGTGGCCACTCCACCTCTCAATGCTTCACAGAGACGACCGTGTTGTCAACAGGTTGTTAGTGCCGGTGGGTGACGAGACAGCGAATCGAAATGTTGAATTCGATCCTTATATGCTCACATCCTTGATATACACCATGGGCTCTGCCCTGAGCGTTTGTAATGGTGAGTTGGCCTCGCTTGTGTGTACATAATGGCACGATAGGTATTGTCTGATTGGTTTTAAAAATACGGCTGACTGCTACAATCAACAGCTTTCCACGTGGAGCCTTTGAGCAGGGCTATCATCGCGGACCAGCCAGACGTTGTAGCCCGGCTCATCTCCACTTCTCCCGGGCTGCTCGACGAGGAACCAACATTTGGCTTCCGCACACATTTACACCTGGCAATTGGGATGGGTCGATTTCATTGCTTCGAGAGGCTTGTTAAGTCACTGGAAGCAGTCGATAATTACGGAAACCTGTCTCCAAGGCGCCTGGACAGACTTCTCATGACCAGCGACGAAACGTGGGGCACGACCTTGGCGGAGTATATCGTCGAGTCCTGCGAGGGGAGTAATCTGACGTGCCACGACCTAGAACCTAATGGTGCCGTCATACCACAATCTTGTTGGCACGCAACGGCGTTGCTGCTTATATTCGCCCACAAATGTTCAATGCGGCCCCGACAGATGCACCTCGATCCACGAGGGCATGTTTACTATTGCAGATGCACTGCGGTCTATTTCAACGAGCTCAAACATCGTCGCCAATTGGTACGCTCTATCGCCTTGCAGCATCTCGGCCCGCTTGAAATTAGGAGATTTGGCCTCGACCAGGATCTGTTGCTCGATCGACACTATGCCTCGGTGATCAAGCAGCTGCGGTCCCAGGATGTCCACATTCCCAGCTACTTGATCGACGCCGAGACGGATGACCAGCTGCTACCTTTATATCATTGGTCTTATGAAACAGTGGGATTGAAAGAATCCTTTTTCCGGGGAGGTAAACACCTTGGAACAGTTTACGCGCTCAACACAGCGGTACTCGCCGCTTTATCCTGGTCCGGTTTCCGTGACTTTCAGGCGCCGTTACCCAATGGCATGACGATTCTTGATTATCATATTCTCAATATCAAGTACCCATGGTGGGACCCGTATCGGACCTGGGACACGATAGACTGGATTCTGACCCACTTAGCTGACGAAGCCATCACTCTCGGAAGTGCGTGGAAGCCCAAGCACGCGCCTCACTTGGTTTCACCGTCAATGTGCGTCGCATGTAGGCACCAAAATGCGGTGCCACAGGCCACTGTTGCGCACATGCTATCTGGCGCCCTCGCCCTAGACATCCCTACGCAATGTGAGCCGACAGAGTGGTATCCTCAAGCCACGTGGTTGAACCTCTTAGTCAAAATCTCACAAATGACGGTCAATGACGGAACGATCTGCCTCTGTTCACCACAAGGCCGCATGCCGTTCATGTACTTCCTCCTGGATTACATCACGGAGTACTTGGATCACGAGACACCAAGCACCCTCAGCAAAGCGATGAATGGTATCATCCGAATTTGTGGTGCGCCCTGGCAGGCATGGCACTACCAGTGGGCTTTCCGCCTGCTCACGTTCGAGGCTTTCTGGCTAGAACACACGTGCGACTATGCCCAGGACGATATTGAGGAAGAAAGGCTATGTTCTAACGTCGAAGATGACTCACAACCAGCGAGAAATCGTGATGCAGCCGCCCGTGCAGCGTTTGAGGACATTGCCTCCGAATTTCATGCCCGGATCGCACGAAGCGGAATGAGCGGCTCTCTAGATCGGACCCAGGATGATGCGGATACGCACGGTACTGAGAACCCCAGTATAGCTCAAGATGTTGTGGACATTCAGCAAGACTCAGTCCCGGCACAGAATGCGTCGGACGAGGATGATTTCAACATTCATGCCTCCCGCATCTGGGAGTCCTGGCTTGAGGAGTGGGTGGAGCGCGTGGACCATGCACTGGCCGAGTTGAGCGACAGTGAATCACAGGAGGATCATGTACAGGCATCAGAGGCAGATGTCCTTGGCGTCAGATGGTGCGAGCCACCAGGTCGGGTGGACGAGGAGGTCGACCCTAGTGAACCCAATTACACCTCCTTGGAGTACTGGGCTTGGCGATTCGAAGAGATCTAGGTTATCCGGTAGGTTGGGCCAGACGCTCTCTAGATGGTGACGGAACGCTTCATACTGCTATAGTCCATCAACCCCTTGAACACGAAAACAACCAACCACGCATGCATTTTCGAAGGATCCTGATCCGCCCAAGTGCGGCAGGATCAGGCCATACCAGGACGGTGTGGGAGCGGGACCGATCTAGCGCCAGGAACTTGACATGGCTCGTTTCAGCTGGACCCGCTCACGATGAGTGTAGACCCCTTGTTTCGTGCATTTATAATGAGCGGGCAGCATCCTACTGTGGGCATTGTCTCTTTGCTTCATGTGGCGTACTCTTTAATCGTGCTGCGGTTGTCCCGAATTCGTTTGCAAAATGGTGGCACTCTCGTCTAACCGCGTGGCGGAGGCGTGGCTGTCCGCCTCGTCACTCCTTACAGCTGCTTCGGCTGACTGCTTGTCTCGGTCCAGTCGCACACTGGGTGGTTATTCTGCCTCAACGCCAGTCACGGAGTCGTCTTCATCGCCTTCGTCGTTTTGCGTCGTCACGTTGACGACCTGCTCTGGCACAACCTTTACCGTCACAGGAACTGTCACGACCAGCCAAACGCCGATTACCCAGGCCATCCTAGAGACTTCTCTGTCGATCTGCACAGCGCCGACCACAACGGCCACGGTTAATTCTGAGTTATCTGAGACCCAGACAGAGGTTATAACGGAAGTTGCCGTCAGTACCTCCGTGACGGTCACCACAATCACGACAGCCTCGAAAAGCACCGTGGCAGCCCCAAGTGACTTCGTCCCCATCAGGGACAGCGCACCCGGGGCGTATTTCGAAGGCACACCACCGCAGCACCGCGCAGAGGATTTCTAGGCAGACGCTCGCGACATCGTGGAGATACCAGCATGCTCCACCACCTACGCCAGCTGCACTACAGCCACAACGACCGTGACGACCAGCACCGGCGCGCCTGGCGAGACAACCACCATCACCAGCGTGCAAGTCGACCAGTCGACCACAGTCCCGCAGGCCACGGTCACTACCATGTCCACAAGTACAATTACACAGCCGGTGACGGAGCTCAGCACGTCCGTGACGGTATCGGCCTCGACCACATATATCTACACGGCCACGACGACCTCGTACGCGGCCTGCGCCACCCACAACCTGATGAACGCGTACAGGCATGCCACCGGCAACGGCGGCGCCGCCTTCATCGTCTACACCGACCCCGACCAGGGCGCCCAGTTCGAGCGCGTCGAAGGCCTGACACGGGGCGCCATCGAGTGCTGCGAGGTCTCCGTCAGCAACCCCAACACGTGGGGCTTCTACTGGGTCTACTCGACAAACGCCTGCATCAGAGTCTTCAACCCTATCATTTGTCCCAAGGCCAACCTCGGCGCCCAGCTCCAGCCACACGTCGGGCCGTATTCGCCCAACTACATTTTCGGCAACGGGAATTGCGGTCGAATCAATGACGTAGTGATTGGGTAAGAATGAGACAAGGGACTGCTACCCGGGGTTCAAAGTCATGGGCTTGGTTCGTACAGGAAATGAATCCTTCCCCTGTGGGTTCTGGAACCTCATTCGAATACAAATATTCCCATCTACTCATGGAGGGTTTCAAACCGCGTGTATCCACAAGTCTTGCTCTCCATGTGATTGATAAGGCCGGCCGATCTCTTGACATCCGTTGGGCGGGTACGCTGGGGACAACGATATAACACCTGTTGATGTAACCAGCAGAGTTCGAGAGCCCTCGGTGCTGGGTGCTGATACAGGATATCGCTTAGAAGATGGTGACATCAAGTATTGATTGAAGCTGGGAAGCGTAAGTATTCATGCCCATCGCATAATTGGAAACCTGATTCCCATCATTTACCTGGTCTGGTAGGCACTCACATCTGTAGTGTTTGCCGCATACTGCCTGCCGCTATGTTGGGGCTAACCATGCGGCCGCAACCGACGGAAATTATCCCAACAAAGATGTATGGAGAGTAGCCACATGCAAGAATCAACGACTTGCGCTCTCATTCGGTTATGCCGGCCGACATTAATCGCTGGGAGCAAGAACCATAACACCGAAATTGTCAACAGAGACGGCCCTCAGTATTTATCTAATCTATCTCATCTCTCTGTCTATCCAGCTGTTTCCACACATCCAAGCTACTTCAGATATGTGTCATGCGTGTAGAACATCCTCTTTCAAATGAACATATACATGTAGTCATATTCAACCATACCAATCAAATGCTGCTACAACTGCTCTGAGCAGCAGCATCGATGAGACACCGATGATACTGAGGGCTCGAGATGAAATGCAGCGCCAGCTTCATATCATCGTCAGACATTCCCTCGAGGGTAGACACCTTGGCGTTGGGGAAGGCTCGGAAGAAATGGGCGATGCCCAGGCGAAGCTCTATATAGGCTAGATGCATGCCGATGCAATCTATTAACCCCGTGAAAGGCGCAGAGTTAGCTCAGTTCTGTGTGAGGCAAGATAGCTTGTTGATGGGTGTTAGGTAGGAAGCAGATAGCATGACGATGATGAAAAGGAGGAGAGTGGGTCACGGAAAAGAGCAGATGAGACAAAGAACGGGGAAGAAAAGAGTAGAGGCCGACCAAACTCACTCCGCGAACCACCCCCAAAAGGCATCCAAGAATCCTTCATGTCCTGAGTAACCCGGTCCCAACGCGAAGGATCAAAACGATCAGGATCGGGAAAGATATCCGGATTTCTATGGAGACTCCAGTTCTGCGTCGTGACGGTCACGCCGCCGGGAACCCAATATCCCCCAAACGACGTCCCTTCCTTGGGTACGTAATGCGAGAGTCCTCCCGGCACGACAGGGTAGCAGCGCAGACCTTCGTGGATACACTGGTTCAGGAATTTGAGCTGCTTGAGGTCACTGTCGGTGAATGATGATGGAAGACTCGAGAGTTCTTGGACTAGTCTCTCTCGGAGCTTGGAATTCTTGCAGAGGGCCCAGGTAATGTAAGTCAGGGAGTTGGATGTGGTGCTTGGCGGTAGAACCGAATGTTAGGTCGTTGTAGAGAGTGGGAAAGGGTGAGGCTATACATGGCACTTACTCGCTACCAGCAACAATATAGAGTTCAGCATCTATTACAGATAAGGATGCTGTTAGTTTTTCTTTTCTTCTGTCCCTTCTTTTAAGAAGAAGAATTCGATATCCACTCACCGTCAGATATTTCCTTATCCGATAATCCCTCTCCATCAACGGTCTGACCTTGAAGCAGTCTTCCCATGAGGTCTAGATATCAAAGCATAAAGAAAATCATTAGCAAACATAAATCATAATTATCGAGCAAGAGAGAGAGGAAGGGATTCACATTTCTCGCCATCCTCTTGTCCATTCTCGAGACGGCTCTTGAGTTTTCCAATCTGCGACTCGGCATAGCTCCTCATACGCTCGGAACGATCGTTCCAGCTGTTGCTCACAAAGGGCAGTCTCGTATGCGTCAAGAAGGTAGTGAGGACTAGGAAGTGGGCGGCGATGCTGACCAGTTTTCCGGCAAACTGGAGATCCTGGATGTATGTGTTTATCTGTGGATTTTTTGCGCTTGTTGGTTAGTTGTATTCTCCTAGGGGAGTTGTTTGGAAATCAGGTCAGGCGGTAGGCTTTAGTAAGCATGTGGTGATGTAGACAATTAGGAAATGTACTTACCTTGCCGCTTTCCAGCATATTAAAAGAGTCACCAAAAGTAAGCTCCCCGATGACGTCGGTCGTCATGAACATCCACCACTGATAGACGTCGATGGCGCCCCGGGTTCGCATCTCGTCGCCCATCCTCTTGATAGCCAGGCGGACTTGCGCCTCGATCTGGGGCACCTTGGACCTGAGACCGTTCTCGGACAGGGGGGCCGAGAGCAGCTTACGGTGGCGACGGTGGAAAGCCCTGTCCTGCGTGTTCAGCATGTGTTCTTTCCCCGGCGGCACACCCTGGTAGAAGGACGTCTTGAGGTAGTCGGCCTTGACGCGATGGATCTTCTTGACGCCCTCGATCTCAGTCGTGTCGACTTTGTCGGGTCCTAAGCGCAAGACGGGACCTGTTTTTTTGATCGAATCAAATATTCGGTCAGTATTGCGTGTGTATGCGCCGTGTAAAGTATTCGATAGCGAATGGTGGATTGAGCAGCACTGACCATATATCTTATGCAGTTCGTCGACATAGCGAGGCCCGTTGCCTCGGAGGGTGTGGAAGATGTAAACCATGGTCGTCAGGTTCGTGTACCAAGGACCAGGGACCCTCTGTAAAGGGCCATAGTATAACCTGAAAGTATACTGGAATCAAGTCACCTATCAGTACTGTATTCCGTGTATCCGACTGCCATCAGTCGCAGGCAAAGAGCAATCATACATACCACAAGCGCTCCGATAAATAAGACAGGCAACCCAAACATCGGAGTCGTTACGACGTCCCTCAAATTCGGACCCTCATCCATAATGATGACGGTTCCCTATGAAGACTTCTGTCGTGGTATGTTTGAAAATGGGAAGTTGAGGGTAACTCTATACATTTTGCGAGACAAAGTGAGTATAGGAGATGATAAGGCTTGTACGTAAGCATGTAGGTCGAGCGGCTGGACGGACTAATGCGATCGGTGATCGGTGCTCGGGAATTGGAACGATTCAGAGAGCAACGGCACCGGTCGGCCGCCCCGCCCTCTCTCCACCTTCATCCCGTGAATAGATGATGCCCTTGTCTGTGTCTGAGAAGAAAAGGGAAAGCTTAACCTGAAGGAACGCGAGACTTATACTACCGGCGCGAACTCCTCGGTTCTATCCTAGCCGCTTTTATGGCTGGCACGAAATGCACAGGTAAACAAGAAAGCCAGATGGTAGTTGCAACTGCTGCAAGCAAAAAGCCCCAAAATGGGGCGATGCCCGGGATGCGGATAGTGAGTCCCCACTAATATTAATGCCCGTACCTGATGAAATAACGGGAAAGGCCCGCAAAGGTAAATACCCGCCATCGCAACGGTAATATGACTTAGACTTCGCGATAAACAAGATCTGAAATTTACGTGATAGTGTTATTGTGATGATTGCGATTAGATTCTGATAACATATGACTATTGATACGCCCACAAAATTGGACATGATGGCCTGCCCGCGACCTGGCAGAAAGGTGGCTCGCAGGGGCACTGTCAGACCAGCTATATGCCCCGTAGCAACAGTCCAACTGAAGAAGCGAGGCGCCTCGCGTTGTTAGGGTCGTCTGGTCTCGGTCGGCCTCATTCTTTGCAGCGATAGACTTGGTGGCCGTGCTGGTCCATTTCGTCGAGGAAGAGGGTCAAGCGACATTTTCTTGGGTAGCGGAGGAGGTGCAGAAGACTTGGATTTGCCGGTATGGGATCTTCCTTGCGGCTTCTGTCGCAGTGTAGCTCCCTCTTCGGCTTCGTCACTGCTTTCGTTGAAAAAGGTGGTAGAATCAGTCGTGGATCCGGCCTCACGCAGATATGGGAAATCTGGAGGAGACTGCTTGGGATTGGCCGCATGACCTCCCCATCTCGCAATTGACTTCAGTCAAGATTGAAATTTGCGGTTCAGGATGGTTCGCCCGAACTGCTGGCCGTAGGTGATTGCGGTTAATTGAGGGCATCAAGGACCGCATGTATTTTGAGGGGCAAAACTTGTTTGAGCCGTGACCTTTCAAAAGCACTGCCGCCTTTCTTTTATGCCAATGCGCCCATGACTGGTCTGGCTGTGACGTGGTGATCATGTTGAAGGGCCCGATGCGAGGATGGGAAAAGTCCAAAACAGGGACACCTCTGTTGACAAACAACATTGGCATGTTTCTCAGTTTAGAGAACCTTCTTCATACTCGCATAACAAGTCCATAACTGCCAGAATTAAATAAAGAAAATCAAAGGACAAACACCCAAACATATGTCTAACCACTGACCCTGGCCTGACCCAAAGGACTCCTAACTCCCACCCCCCTCCCCTCCCCTCTGAGCAATAACCTCGACAGCCAGATCCCGCAGCGACTCGATGGTGCAAGAAGCCCCCAGAAGCAGCACGAGAGGCACGTCGACGCGCATGCTCTTGTAGAACCAGACGCGGAACTCGGCCCCGATCATCGAGTCCATGCCGTATTGCGCGAGCGGCTTCTTCACGTTGACGGCCTCCGTCTTCATGAGGACGAGGTTGCCAAACCGTTTTCGGATGAAAGCCAGCACCGCCTCCGCGAGCGGCTGCCCGGCCTGCACGAGCGCTGCGACTTCGCTTGGGAGATCGCTGGTGCTCTGTTGGCTGCCATTGCTGGTGCTGTTGCCGTTATCGGCGCCGTCGAGCGCGGCGGCTAAAAGCTTGGCTCGCGGGTCTTCCATGGCGGGCTGTGTGCCCTCGAAACCCTTTTTGCGCAGCTCTTTGATCCCATGCGGCTCCATTCCCGTTAGGAGGTGTGCCGCCGCGAGGCCGTCGTATCCGTGCGGGATGGCGAGCGTGGCGCTCGCCGACAACGCGAGATCCGTAAGCTGGACTAGCTCTTCGGCGTCGATGGCCTGGATGCCCTTGCGCACGAGCAGCGCCTCGATCTCGGGGTTGTCGTGGAGATAGCCCACCTCGGAGATCATGCCGAAGCCGACGGCGACGGCGTGGATCTTGTGCTGCGTGCGCAGGTGCCGCGCGAAGAGGTCGAGAAAGTGGTTCCCCGCGCAGTAGTTGGCTTCGGTGGCAGTGCCCACGCTGCCCGACACGGACGATGTCATGAGGAAGAAGTCGAGCGTCGTCGATGACCCGGCTGCTTCGACTTTCTGCAGGCTGTTCAGCAGGTTCCAGGACCCATGGACCTTGGGGTCGATGCCGGTATGCCACGCCTTGTTGGGCATGACGGAAAAGATGGCCTCGCTCAGGCCCATGGCTGCTTGTACGACGCCACCAATGGGGCCGAGATGCTCTGTGGCGGCGGCCATGACGGCGTCCGTGTCGGTGCTGCTGCACACGTCGCCGCGGACGACCTCGCAAGTGGCACCGGCGGCCTCGAGGTCCTCGACCAGCCGTCGTGCCGCCATCTTGTCCGTGCCCGACCGGCCCAGGAATGCAAACTTAGTGGCGCCGCGACTCATCATCCATCGCGACAGGGTGCGGCCTAGCCCACCGAGACAGCCGACCATGACGTACGACTTGCTGCCATCGAACTGACTCGCATACTTCTGAGGCTGCACCTCTATCTCGGCCTCGGGGCGGTCGAGACTGATGGCCACCTTGCCCATACGGTTGCGCGACGAGAAGTACCGGTATGCGTTGGAAATGTCATCAATGGCAAAGACCTTGAGTGGCTGCGGGGAGGTGGTGATGTAACCCTGGCGGTAAAGAGAAAAGACCTGGCCGAGAAGCTGCTTCCAGAGCCGGTGCATGCGCTCGTCGGGCGAGTGGTACAGATGGCTCAGATCGAAAGCCGAAAAGGTCGTGTCTTTGAGGAATGGCTGCATCTCGAGGCGGCCGGAAGCCGTGAGGTCGGCTTTGCCGATCTCGATGAAGCGACCAAACGGCGCGCAACACTGCCAGGTCGCGTGCAGTTGATCCCCAGTCAGCGAGTTGAGCACGACGTCGACGCCACGTCCCGACGTTGCGGCGAGGATGCCGGCCTTGAACGACGTGTCCGTGGAGCGGAAGATGTTGGTTGGCTTCACACCGAAATGCTCGGCGAGAAAGTTCTTTTTCTCATCTGAGGAGACTGTCGTGTAAACCTAATTTTTTCAAAGGGGCTGGTTAGCTGTTGCTTGCTAAATAATGGAGTTTCAGAGTCATTGTGATGTAACTCTTTGTCCGCAATACGGACGGGCTTTGGGAAGGCAGAAAGGAATAAGACAAAACCAACCTCTGCTCCGGCTCTCAGGGCGATCTGAATAGCGGCGATACCCACGCCGCCTGCTCCCGAATGGATCAAGACCGACTCGCCGGCCTGGATATTGGCGCGGTGGTACAGGGCATAGATGGCCGTGGCATACACGAGCGGTAGTGTCGCGGCGACGTCGAAACTCTCGGAGGGCGTGAGTTTATGGCAGGCCCAATGGGGCAGGACCTGGTAGGACCCAAAATAGGACGGCGCCATGGCGACGACGCGATCACCCACCGAGAAGTCAGCCACGTCCGAACCCACCTCGGTGACGGTCCCGGCGCATTCCAGCTGGCACGTGGCATCGGGCGTGTCGACGCGACCGACGAGGACGTAGTAATCCTTGGCATTGATGCCGACCGAGGCGACCTTGATTCGCACCTCTCGGGGCCCTACCATGGACACCCCCGGCGCCGGGCTCGCCTGGCGCTGGAAGTAAATAGAGTCCAGTTGGCCGGCCTGGTGCATCGCGAGTCTGAAGTCGCCAGCATCGACGACTTTGCGCTTGACAGTAGCCAGGCCCTGGCTCGAGCGGAATGCTTCGTTGACCGAGTCGTCGGGCACGAACCGACTGATGTGCACGACATTCTTGTTCTGCACAAACTCGTAATCGGCATCCTTGCTGCTGCTCCTGTTCTGATTTTGCAACAACAGCGCCACCAGTCGCTGTGCGGTCGTCTCAACATGCATGTCTGGCTCGTCAATATCGTACGTGCAGATCTTGAGAGATGGCTGCTCGAGCATGAGAGCTCTCGAAAGACCTCCCATGAGGGCATGGTCGGGTCTCGTGCCTTGCAGGATATCCGCGTGGGTCGTCCAGATCAAGGTTGACGCGTTGTCTGTCATGATTTTGACCTTGTCCATCTCCTCGTCCGAGATGGTCGACAACAGCGGTGAGCGAAGCTCGCAGAGGCTAAACACATTGGTCCCGTTCGGGATTGCGTCCCGCGTGACTTGACTGAGAGTGAGGCGAGGCACCATGCGACCACCCAAGTCTTGGCTGAGAACCGTGGCGAGTGCCTGCCCGAGTTTCGTGTTGGTCTCTCTTTCGACGATGACATAGTTTTGTTCACTCCGGAGCCGCTGCTTCTTCTCCTTTTTCTTCATGCCGTATACCAACGTTGGCGCTCCCTGGGCGGACAGGCTCACAGGGACAGTCTCGAATCCGTGGGAGTCGAGAGTACCGGCACTTGTGCCCGAGCTCGAAAGGAGAGAGATCACGGACGAGTCTTCCGACATCAATCCAGGAAGTGCCCCAAAGATCCGTCCGAGTTGAGCTTCGTCCCGTGTCAAGACGAGGATGAGATCGAAGGCTCCCGTGATAGCCGCGGGGCTCGAGCTCCTCTCTCCTGTCTTGAGATCTACTTCGCCTGTCACGAGCTCCTTTTCAGCATTTAGTTGAGCGGTGTGATAGGTCGCGAGTCGTTTAAAGTCGGTCTGCGACGACAGGAGCTCTAGGATAGCCAGTGTCAGGTCGTGGGATGGGTTGCCCAACTCGAGGATGCGGAGCGTAGGATTCTTGTGGGCAAAGAGATCCAGCAAGGCGCCCGTCTTGAGCAGGTCCGTGTCCGACACGGGCGAATGTGCTTCGTCGGCGAACTTCTGTGCGTAGGCCTGGGCGGCTTCAGGGGCCATGTGCTGACCCAGCCCGTGCACGTCAGGTTTCCAGAGCAATCGAAGGACTGGGTGGCGCGCATCCTCCTCGTCACCCTGCACTGTCGACTCGTAAGGGGAGAGGCGAAGCCCATCGAGACTCGCGGTCACTTCGCCCAACTGGTCGACGAGTTCGGCGTTGGCGTTGTAGTATCCGAAACCGTTGCGTTCCGTCAAAGCATGCATCTGGCAGTCTTGTCCGGATGGAATGGCCGAATGTTTGACGGATACTGACGAGATCCTGGTAGGGACTAGAGCGTTCATGTCTTTAGGTACGCCCTTGGCCGTCGATACAATGGCCACTTGGATTAACGCATCAAGCGTGATGGGGTGGGCTGGGTACGTGGTCGACACATCGCCCGAAGCCGTCAATAAAGGCGCAGCGGCGCTCGCGAATGCGGCGTTCTTCATACGCGGTGTCCGGAACTCCGAGATGGACTGGAAAGTCGGGCCGTAGTTCAAGCCGCTCTTTACGAATCTGTTATACCAGACACGTTTGTGGGTAGCCTCGAGAGCCACCGTCTTTGGCGCTTCGTATTTCGAGACCCGACTGTCCAGGTTGCCGGCGACGTGCACGGCTATGCAACCAGAAGCATGGGTGACGGCCTGGCCGTTGTCATAAGTTGTGATGGAAAAGTCCCACCAAGTATTGGATGCAGTCGCCTTGGTAATGGGAGACTTGTGCAGCGACGTGAATACTTCAACTGGCTGCTCAGCGGAGAGTGGAAGAGCGTTGGTGATGTTGATGTCGGTCATCTCAAACGTCTTGTCTGCCTGCTTGGACTCTCGGCTAGGATCTGTGACCTGAAGTGCGGCTTCCATGGCCATGCAGAGATATCCTGACCCGGGGAAGACGACCGTATCGACAAGCCTGTGGTCCTGAAGCCACGAGACATCGTCCAGCTTCAGCATGTTGCGAAAGATGAAGTCATGCCCGTTGCCACCGGGGACGAGCGAGCCCAGAAGCTCGTGGCGAGGGTATTTTCGTTGACGGTACTCGACACTGGCGCGGCTTTCGTTCCAAAGCGTTGTCTCGCCGTAGTCGAAGCGGTACGGCGGGAGATCTACGACAGCCTTGAGTGGTGTTTGCCGGGCTTTGTCAGCCGAGGGTAATCCGTTGATCTTGGCCCAGTTGACATCAAAACCTCGGAGCCAGAGATTGCCAGCGAATATCATAGCCTGTCTGGCCGAGTCGACGTTGCGCTTGATCGGCCCATCATACTGCAGCTGGGCGCCGGCCTTGGCGAGTGTCTGCTTGATGGGCAGCTCCATTGTTGTGTGCGGACCCAACTCGATGAAGAAGTGCTCCGAAATGGCGTGGACTCGGCTGATTGCGGTTGAAAACTGAACCGGGCTCTGAAGATTGCCGCGCCAGTAGCTGCTGTCAAACCGGGAAGTCTTGACTTCACCCGTGACAGAAGACACGACGACTGGCCCCAGGGGCTGTCTGATAGAGGGACCTAGACCCGGAAGAGCTTGATCGAGCAGGCTTTGATACTCGCTGCCCAGAGCCAGCATGTGATGCGAGTGGTAGGCCTGACCTCCAGTCTTCAATTTCCGTGCGAATGCGTTTTTCTGCTGCAGATGAGCCAATAGTTGATCTACTTGCTGCCCGTCACCGGAGACAGTAACACCATCGGGAGAGTTGACGCAGGCCACACAGACTTTGCCTTGAAGTCCTGCAAGAGAGATTTCGCTGTTGACGGCGGCCTCGGGTAGCCCGATAGCCATCATGCCACCTACCTGGCTGTTCTTCGCGGCACAGTATCCCCGGTAATAGGCGGCAGTGATAGCTTCTGCAGCCGAAAGATGCCCGGCAGCAAACGCTGCGGCTATCTCGCCCGACGAGTGGCCCACTACTGTCGCAGGCATGATATCCCACGACCCCAGCAGACGGACAAGTGCAACCTGAATAGCCGTACAGCAGGGTTGGGATCGCACTGGGTCATGAATAAGGGCTGGATCGCTGTCGAGGATGGCATCTGTCAGTCGCCAGCTGGGCGCATGAGGAAGGTTCTTGAGGACCGTTTCCATCTCGACGATGGTGTTGCGGAAAACAGTAAAATCGGTCAAGAGCTCCCGACACATGCCAGACCACTGGGACCCCTGGCCGGTGAATACAAAGGCGAAGGGCGGCGGGGATACTGTCGCAACAGCACCGGGTGCCGTTACAAAGTTCTCTTGCTTCTTGAATGCCTGTCCAATGTCTTCATTTCTCGAAGCAAGTAGGAATCCACGTTGAGGGAATTTTGTCCTCCGCGTCGCAAGTGTGTGGGCAAGATCATCCAGCTCGGTCTCGCCAAAGTCAAAGCTTGCCAAATCTTGCATTCGTGCTTGTAGAGAGCCTTCAGTGGCCGCTGACAGAGGCAGTATAACAGATGTCTGCGATGGGGCTTCTCTTGGGAGCGCCATTTTGATTGGCGCTTCCTCGAGAATGACATGAGCATTCGCTCCACCTGTATAGAATTCTCTTTGTTAGCCTTTCCTCTGTTTATATTCTCTTCATCGTCCCGTCTGTTCTGTCCTGGCTTTGAGGTATGGAGAAGCACGTACCGTAGCCAAACGAGTTGATGCCAATACGCCGCGTACGAGGCGACTTGTCCGGCCAATCGATGGCCTCGGTGGGAATCTTGAAATTCCGCTCTTTGAGTCTGAGCTTCTCGTTGATGCTCTTCAAGCCATACGTAGGCGCTATCCTGCCGCGCTCAAGAGCCAGGGTTGATTTGATGACGGAGGCGATACCGCTGGCCGCCTCAGAGTGGCCGATGTTACTTTTCACTGAGCCAATGTAAAGAGGGTTGTGCGGCTGGCGCTTGAAGACGCTCGCCAAGCCGTCCAGTTCGATAGCATCTCCGACCTTGGTACCGGTACCATGACATTCAACGAAGGTGATGTCATCTGGGTGAATGCCTCCCTTTTTCATAGCCTTTTCGATAACGGCCGTCTGCCCTGCAGCGCTTGGTAGACTTATACCAGAGGTGTGACCATTGCTGTTTCAGTGTCAGCGTCATTGTTTATTGCTTGTATCCAAGATCCTCCCCGGACATAGATCTGTCTACTCACGCGTTGATGGCAGAGCTGCGGACCACACTACGAATGGGATCCCCATCACGTAGAGCATCCGATAGTCGCTTCACGTAAAGTGCGCCGATGCCTTCACCTCGACCGTACCCGTCTGCGGAACTGTCGAATGTGTGGCACGCCGACGTGGCCGAAAGAACACCGGCCTTCATCGTGGCGATATGCTGCTCGGCAGATTGGATGAGGTTGGCACCGGCCACTATGGCTGCGTCACACTCGCCCCTCTCGAGCGCCGTGCAAGCAGCGTGGAGACAGTAGAGCGAAGAGGAGCAAGCGGTGTCCAGCACGAAGCTAAGGTCAAGTCTGGTGAGCGATGAGGTCCAGAAAGGCTGGAAAACACGCGGCAAGCAGAGAGGTGTCTCACCTGGGACCCATGAGGTTGAAGACATGGCTGATTCGGTTCGCCAGTATCGTTGTACCCAGACCTGTTGCTGAATAGCGACTCAAGCTAGATGGCAGCACAGACGTGGTCAGCCTCAAACAAAGAGGGACAATGCTTTTTTGTGGGTACTCGAAAGTTCCAACATACTAGTCTGGATCGCGCATCTGCATGACCATGTAGTCGAACGTGAAGTTCCCCACATAGCATCCAGTGTTAGACCCCGAAGCCTGGTCTAGTGGGATGCCCGCGTTTTCAAGGCATTCGTAGACCACCTCTAGGAGCTTCCGTTGTTGTGGATCCATGAACGTTGCCTCTAGTCATCATCACAAATAACACCGGCATATCGTTAGCAAACCTTCTTTACCACATCTCCCCTTCCCCATATCTGAACTTTCCGAAATCAGTAGCAGCACTTACCCAGGTTGTTAATGCCAAAGAATGAGTTCTCAAAGTCGCGGATGCTGTCGTCAAGAAAATAGCCTCCCTCCATGTTGATACTCCCCGCACGGTCTTTGCCGTCGGGGTGATAGAAGCCATCGAGGTTGAACCTCGACTGAGGCACGCGACCGTTGGCCGATCTGGCATTCACCAGCAGCTCCCATAAACCTCGAGGGTCGGAAACTTGACCGGGCAACCGGCATCCTGTATGCGCGTGTTGCTTGATGAGTATGAGGTATTTCCCATGAGAATTATTTGAAGCCTTGGAGAAAATGGGCGAGGCCGGGTGTTGGGGCCCGTCAGCCTTAAGGTCATTAACTCCATGAGCGGAAGTGGCCAAGCCACAGATCGCGCCACAGGGCTATGCCAGGGGCAGGTGAGGTTTAGAGGGAATGCAAGGTAGGCTCTTTGAACTCGAAGTGACGTAAGGAGATGAAATTTCTTACGTACCGATACCACAGATTGCAATGGACTCACCAGCAGCAGGAGACATTTCGATGGGTGTAAGCTGCGCAGAGCTTTCCCCTGTCCCGGAATTGTCGCTGTCGTTTACATATGGCGCCATTGTTGTAAAGCTCCGAGAATAGAGTCTTTGATTAGTGTGAAAGGTTGAGACGATTAGTTCCTTCTACTTGGCCCAGACATGAGACAAAGGGCTGGAGAGCAGAACCATATATATCGGCTTTAGGGTCGTTGCCAGATTGTCGCAATTGGTTCTTGAGTTCAGTATATGTGTTATAAGTTATCGTTGCCAATGAAGGTATCGATCTGTAACAGTATAGAAGCGTGCCGATGTAGAGTTAGTTGAGCTATATTTACTATTCCAAAGACAAGTAGACGTGAAGTGAGATTTCAACGGCGATAATACGCAATTGTATCGGTGGCGAGTAATGGATAACGTCCCATCGCCGGGAATGCAGTGTAAGTCGAGTACACCGGTCGGCCATCCGCCCTTTTCGGTACCTAGCATCTAACATTAGGCATGATAAGATCCGAATGAGTGAGTGCCAAATCGGGAGTACTATGTCATACATGGGCAGGGTACGAAAGAATGCTCTTGACAAAGGGTGGGACCCGGTGGCGAACGGCCGACTTTCCGGGCCGTGGGGGCACATCGCCGGAGCTCGGGGATACAGTCACCGACGGCATTGTGCGGGATCAAATCTCCCCAGTCTCTTTTGACATGGCCAGTGCGCATCCTTTCGAAAACCGGAAGAGCAAGAATTCAATGACATAGCCTCTTGAATCCTTCTTTGTTTTTGTCTGGCTTTGGTTTTTGTAACATTACCACGCTCGGTCCATGATTGCGATCCAAAACGTACTTACCCAATCATCGCCCACAAACATAGCAAACCGTAACATACCCAAGCACGTCACAGACATCAGAATAATGGCAACGATGAATAGCAAGCGTTTCGCCTTGATTACAGGGTAAAAGAAATCTCCGGCGCATTATTTCCGCATGCTACTTGTTGTAGTGTATCCAACTTACCGGTTTACAGGTGCGGGAAAGGGGGAATCGGCCACGCGCTCGCCCTCGAGTTCAAGTCACAAGGTAAACGCGTTTACACCTCTCTACAGCATGAAGACAATAGCAAGATAATTCATATCTCAGTCTCTAGGATTCAATGTCTTCGCAACACTTCTCTCACATGAGCCGCGCGAGCACTTGACCGAGGCCGAGATCCACGCTTACGCCTCAGATGTGACCAACGATGAAGATGTCACCACTCTCAAAGAGGCGATAGAGAGCGAGACCAAATCCGGTCTTGACGTCCTAGTGAATTGCGCGTAAGTCGAATGCAGCAGTCTTGCAAGATTCACTTGACGAAGATGTATGATCGGTTGTCATGGCGACTCGACTGACTCTTTTCTCACCAGAGGAATCTGTAAGCTGGACTTCCCTTACCCCAACTTGACGTAAATATCAAATCCTATTTCGAGTACTCAGCTCCTCCGTGAGTAAAAGGCTATACCATGACGGCAATGGATACAGACGTCAGAGAAGTCGAGAGAATGTTCTCGGTCAACGTCTTCGGTCCCATGCGTATGGTTCACGTATTCCATCCGCTACTGATCCGCGCAAAGGGAACCGTCGTGAATATCGGTAGTGTTGGGGGCATTGTTCCTTATGTATACGGCTGTAGGGCGAACCTTTCTTTACCTTCTGTGTCAGGGAAACCCAGGCCGAGCTGACGATAGAATGCGCTGCAAGCTAGTTACAATGCCTCCAAAGCTGCTCTGCATCATTGGGGGAATACCCTACGGGTCGAGATGAAACCCTTTGAGTAAGTGCCTGATCATGTTCGTACTGTTTCGGAGCGGTTCCGTGTCTGGTATTACACACCTTGATCTCGGGTGCGTAACATTGACTCGAAGGTCGACGCAGCGTCAAAGTTGTCAATATCATTTCGGGCGAGGTGGGGACCAACATCCTGAAGCGCGACCAGTCGTCTCTCCGCAAGCTTCCAGAGAACTCGTTTTATCGACCACTAGAAAAGGATTTCGAAAGCCACATCAACAGAATACCAGGTGAGTCGTTAATATCAGCGGGGAGGAAAAGAGAGCAATTGTACACTTGCTTGGTCACACAGTGTCTGCACTGACTATTGTGTACATCACTGCCAGCTAACCCCATTAAAACAGCGACTACCCCTGCGGCTGAATATGCACGATCCGTCGTTGCCGAAGTGATCAAGGCGAACCCAAAAGCCTGGCTCTGGACAGGTGCCCGCGCAGGCGAGGTGCGGTTCTGGAACGCCTTCTTTCCTGTCACGTTTTGGGTAAGTTCCCGGTATTCCACCTCGGGCCGGTAATGTGTCCATCGTCCACCGGCAAATCTATTGTGCTAACGCGGGTCATTTCCAGGATTGGCTTTTCACACGGGAATTCGGCTTGAACAGGCTGAGACAGTGATATTAGCTACCTGCCGACAGTGTTAGAAATTGAGGCTAGTGTGGTATAGTACAATACGCCACGAAGGAACATTGCGCCAGGCCTTCTAGTTCCCACTGTATATAATATCGTAGTGGTCGCGTACACATGGAGTTCCAGACGCTCCTCTCGGGGCTAGCTATAAGTCTGTCACAACCCATTGACATGCCAGAGGAAAGAAGTCTTGTTCTTTTAGATGGCGCGACCCTCTCTATCAAGATGTAAGACCCATAGAAACTGTATGGTGTGCACATCTGTATCGAGGTCGTTACCAGAATGAAATATTAGATATTACCTCTTTGATATGGCTACATTGGATGACCATTCGTTAGGTACCTAGGTACTGTCCCATGTCCCTATATAGTCAGACATCGCCGGCAAAAGAAAACCGCGCAGGTGACGAGCTAATTATCAGGAATTGGGCGGTGTCTGTCACTTCGTCGTCTGTGCTGACCTATGATACTCGGCATGCGCTGAGATCAAACAAAAGCCTTAAGCTGGTACTCACGATTTAATCAATAGAAAGAGTGGGCGAGGTCGCTAGGCGATGATTTCTACACGGCATGCCATAGAATGAGGCTCGGGGAAGACTGCGTTGTTATTGTTCCCGTTCTCTTGATGCCCCAGTGCATTACCAGTCTAGGGCTATAGGCATCTTGGTCCATGAAAAGAATGGCTGAGACTCCTTCGCCCCCAGTCAACGCAGACGGCCCCCTAGAGTGATTATAGCGACACTCAGGAATCCGCGCTCGGCTGCTGCGTCGTTGACTACTATTTTCACCAGGGGTGATACGGTATACGGCGACAGGATCTAACTATAAACGGTCCCGCCCCCGCTAGCTTCGAGCTCGGCTAGCTTGGAGAACATTATCGGACCGCTGGCCATATCGTCAAGGGGCCTCGGCGCCCACCGGGAACTAGCCGATGCTCGTAGGGCTTCCGCTGGCACTAGGGTAGGGTTAGGGGTAACCGATAACAATGACGTTGTGCTGATACGCGAACTCGTACATGTCCGGTATGGGCATAGGCAGCAGCAGAGACGGTGGCATAGGCCGGGATAGGAGCCGAGCATTCCCCACGCCGCCGGAGTTCCGGGGTTCCGGTGTACAGGGTGATACACGTGGGAAGCCCGGCCAATTCGAATCCAGGATCCCCGCCACGAATAACATACAATCTTACGAGGCAAATTTTAGCTGAGGGAAAATAGAATGCCCGAGAAACAGGCTGCTCCATACACGGTGTCGTGTTTGGTCGGGCTAAATCTGTCCGATGCCCGAGGATGTGGAGCCGGTCAAATCCCCGAAATGGTGCGTGCCCGACCAACTCCTATGCGCTTTCGAGAACAAGCGAGAGAAGCGGGTAGGCTGATGAAAACCGAATGCCTCTTTTATCCAGATGGCCATGCTTCCCGTTGTTACCTGTTTCCTGTCTGTGGGGTACTCGGATTGATTCGTCTTTAATCATCATTATTGGGGGTGGTCGCTGGGACAGGGGCTCGGGGCACCTGCAGGGGAACGCTGTAAATTTGCTAGGGAATAGAACGTGCGATTTGAATCTAGGTATTTAAACGCGTCAGACTCTTGCCGACCAATCTGGATCCGCAAGGTACCTAACTATTAAAGTCGCGTTGCTGTTCAGTCAAGTAAGGTAGGCATCACACACAGACTCGTCACCAAGCCCTACGAATCATGGATATCCAAACACCCCCGATAGCGATGGATAATGTCGTTGCTGCAACTCTGAGTCTGCTACTACTGCTTCTGTTCTCGTGTTTAATTGCCTTCCCTGGGGTACTATTCACAAGAAGAAACTCTCTGTCCAAAGTACCCTTGTGGGGGAAACACCTATCGACGAAAAAGCGCCAAGATGCTCTATTTCACAACTCGAAATCTATTTACCTGGCATGCTACAAACAGGTAATGGCCAAGAGCAGTTCTTTTCTTTTTTCCCCTCCTAATATCTTATCGCCTGCGAGGCCATCTGTTCTGATATCTTCTCTCGTGAACAGTTCAAGGATACGCTGGGATTTCGAGTGACTACGGTCGAAGACAGTGAGTAGTCTTCTCCCAAGGCCGGCCATCGCGATCACGCATCATGTACCTGGTGTTGATAACTCTCTCACAGCCGGCGAGAAGTTGCTAGTGTCGGGCAAATATCTCGCAGAGCTGAAAAAAATCCCGTCTACTATTCTCAATTTTGAGGAAGCACACAATGAGGTATTTTGCGAAACCTCCAACGAGCCTAACCATGATGACAGCCAAGAAGGAGTGGGCCATCTCAGAAAGAAGACTACGCTGACCTGAAAATGATAGATCTCGGAGAAGAAGTACACCAATTCTGCGCCTCCAGGCTTCTTCCGGGTGATGCCGAACATCATCAGGACCACCCTGACACCAGCTATCGGTCGTCTCAATCACGCCATGATGGCCGAGGTCGACGCGGCCGTGCTCCGCGAGCTCGGAGAGTGCATCGAATGGACTCCGATTGAAATCTACGGGAAGATCATGCGCATCCTCGCCGTCGCGTCTGGACGCGTGTTCATCGGGCCCGAACTGTGTCACGACGAGCGCTACATCGAGGCCGTGGTCAACTATACTATAGTGCTCAACCAGGCCACTCTAGACATCAAGAAACTCAACCCCTGGCTGAAGCGGTTCCAGGCACACAGGCTTCACTCTGTCATCGCGCTCAAGAAGCTCGAGGACCGGTTCTTGACCTTCATCGCGCCCACCGTCGAAGCCCGTCGCAAAGCCATGACCAGCGGTCAGACGGTTCCTGATGATATGCTCACGTGGCTCATGACGAAAGGTGCCGGCGACGGGATAGAGACTGTAAGGGATATAGGTCTGAACCAACTCGGTCTCACGCACGTCGCCTCATTCGCGACCGGGGCGACGGCCACAAATGTGCTGTATGACCTGGCTTTTCGGCAACAGTACATCAAGCCGCTGCGCGACGAGGTCAGAGAGACCCTTGCTGGGTTTGACGGGAAGCTCACGACCCCGGCCCTGCGGAACCTACAGAAGATGGACAGTGTCATGAAGGAGTCGTTGCGCATGCATCCGCTCGTCTTCTCCACCTTTGAGCGGCGCGCTCTGCAATCCTTCACTCTCTCTGATGGGCATTTCATACCCAAGGGAACCAACCTCGAGATCCCCAACCATGCCATTGCACGGGATCCTGAGATATTTCCCGATCCTGACGCCTTTAAGCCCTGGCGGTTCTACGAGATGGGTGAGAAAAACACAGAGAAGAACGGCGGCGGCACATCGCACCAGTTCGTCTCGGTGTCGACAGAGCTCGGTTCCTTTGGCTATGGCCGCGACGCGTGTCCGGGACGGTTCTACGCCGCCGACGAGCTCAAAATGATCTTGGCGCGGATCCTGATGGCGTACGACGTGCGGATGGTCGATGGCGAGACGGAGCGGTACCCTAATCTCGACTTCGGAGGGGTTTGTATCCCCGACCCGACCCGCAAGCTGCTTTTCAAGCGGGTTGTCGACTCTCCTACTCGTTAGATACCTTTGGCCTGAAAGACGGCGATGATGATCATATATTCATTTATTCAGCGCAGTGGTCTGTCCTATTTGGGGAGGGATTTGAGAATAAAGAACATTAAATACTCAGGCACCCATGTTGTTTCTCAATTTGAGAGGCATTATATCTATCCGACCTATAACTCTTGAGACGAAGTATCCGCTAAGCCCTATGCGACTTAAGGTATGATATCAGTGCCTACTATCTGTTGTAAAAGGATTATGTACGTACCTATCTGTAGGGCGGCAGTTTGTAAGAGTAGGAAGAATAATGGCCTCTCCCTTCATCCAATCACACGCCCATTATCCCGATGTAGTAGTACATAGTTCGCGCACCAGAGTGGAGCAAACGTTACCTGCATATAGCCAGTATCTCCTACCAATGAAGGCCAAAGCAGCGCAACGGCCAACATCCCGTCACTGCCGCCAAGTGCGGGCGGCCGCGGCCAAGACGGCCTCGACGGTGGCGATGACGACGACTAATGGCCAGTCGTGCCTAACAGGGCACTCTGCTGCAGTTCGGAGCCCCACCGAACCACAGCGCCACCCTAGACGATACACTTACAGTCGCCAACAAGTTCCACGGAATCAACGCACCCTCACGACGCAGCAGCCTCTTCTGGCGTGAAAATGGCCAAGCGCGGCAGGATCAACACCCATGAGGCTCGGCATTTATGCTCGACCAATGGGCGGCCGCGTTGCAATCTTTTTGGCTCAATGCCGAGGAGTGAATACAGGGCGCGGAACGGGCCTTTAGTCTGGGCTGACCACAGCGCGAATCACAACTGGAACCGGCAGGTACGGCGGGATGACTGCAGATACGGCAGGATGACTGCAGATTCTTTGAGATGACTGCAGATGTGTCCCTCTTCTTCTCTTGGTGTTGTATGTTTCATCGAGTCGTTAATTTTCTCAAATTACCTAAAGGTGGATTAGACATTAGGTAAGTACTTGAAGAATGGAGAGAAAGCGGGGGAGCGTCGAGGCGGGGACAGGGGCAAAGGAATTGCGGCTCTTCGGCACAGTCAGCACTGCAGGATGCATCACCACTCGGCACGGTTTTGATGTCACTCTGGCACATTTGGCTTAATGGTACTTCTGAGATTAGGTAGAGGCAGATTTGTAGCTTGGTCAAAAGGCCATCCCCTGCAACAACACCTTGATGTCCGTTAATCCGTATATTCCTTGGGCTGCTTTTGTTGTTGATGTACGAAAGACCTACATGGTCTTGATCAGCACGCAAATTGCAGTATCGCAAAATAGAAATCAGCCATATCGAAGCCCAGCTCATGTCCAGCCATGATGGAAGATGCTATACACTGGACCGCGAAGCAATATCAAGGGGGTTCCAAGTACCGAGCGTCCTGCGACAGCTGTAACGAGGCCAAGGTCAGGTGCAGCCAGGACAAGCCTACTTGCAGCCGGTGTCAGAAATCCCAGCGCACGTGTGTATACGGTCTATCTCGTCGCTCGCACAAGTCGGCAGCTCGTCCAGGTGCTTCAGCTCCACCTTCGTCTCAACAAGAGAAACGACGGGATTCGGAGCAACAACAACAAAAACGAGTGAGCAGTCCCCTAAGATGCGATACCACTACGCCAACAACGACAGCAACATCTTCATCGTCGACACAAACGATGGCGACGACTGCAACTGAAAATCCCAGTACCACACATTCGACGCCGTTGGGAGGCATCATGTCGTCCTCCGGATTTCCGGACTTGGGGTTTGACTCGACTTTCTTCACGGGCACGTCTTCTCTACTAGACACATTGCTTCAAAATGGAGGGGGAATTGGCTCAGACTTGATGACGACAAGTGGGGGCCAAGAGTTCTCAGACCTCGGCCTTGACTTTACCGTGGGCGACCAGACCGTGGCGGACATGGACGATCTATGGGATGGGTCGACGCCCATGTCCACTACAATCTCGGCAACCGCTGGAGGGTCCTCTTCTTCTTCGTTCTTGGCCCACGGCAGCTCCGTTGCTCCCGTGGCAGCATCGGCATCAGCATTATCCTCGTCCTCATTTTCCACCAGCTCCTCTTCAACGCGTACTTCAAGGTTCATCACCAAGTTGGCATCGACGATGCCCCCTCTGTGCGCTCAGGGATACCCGCTCGACGTCCAGCTCTCGAACCTCAAGGCTGCCATTGGCTTTGCCGAAGAGGGTCTCGGCCTGGGCCTGGGTCTGGGCCCAGATCATTCGGACTGGGATGACGCAATGCCGCTCATGTTCAGCACGCTTCTGTGCAGTATAATCAAGGGGTTTGAGAACTCACTCGACAAGCTGGATGCTGCCGTCACGGGGGGAGAAGGGTCAGGTGAAACCAGCGGCAGTGGCAGCAGCAGTAGCAGTAGCGATATCATGGGTAGTACTACCAGCTCGATCCACAGGCGCGCACTCTCCAGCGCCAGCATCAACAGCAACACCATAGCAACAACTCCCTCGTCATCGCCCACGGCGAGGCAACAACAGCAACAGCCGCAGTTCAGCTGGGGCGCGCTAAGCATCGACGACGACAACGAGCTCGCGCTGCTCAAGCGGCACATGTGGCTCGTCCAGTTCCGGCGCGTCGACGCCGTGCTGCAGGGCCTCGAGGCGCGCATCAAGGGCATGAAGCACGAGCAGATGGACCAGGCGACGGCCCAGAAGATTCTCGCATCCAATCAAACCCACATGTGGCTCAAGCAACGTGCGCAGCTCGTGCGGAACAAGTTCCATGCTGGCTGTACTGCTGCGAGTGCCGCTGCGGGTGAAGGTGCCTTTCGGTGATATGATCGGTTGACTCGGGAGGGAGGCTCGGCGCCGCATCAGCCCACATGTAGTATAGTATGAAAAAGTACATAAGAGACCTGGAGGTCTGCACTAGTTCCGGTTGGTGGCTTCTACTGGTTTTTTCGAGTAGACTTCTAGATAGATTACATAAGAGAACCTTCTTGCGGCTCATACTGCAGGGGTCGCGAAAAGAGAAATACGAGGTGCTTCATTGGCCACCTCAGATTGCGCCAAGCTACACTTGAAAATCTAGTGTTGTTGTGCCTCTCTGCGTCGTGGCGCCAACCCGTCTTGACCTATGGTTCGTGTCGAGAGTGCCCTATTAGTGACCAATAAGGTGTAGGTACAGTCAAACAGACATGAATGGAGAGACTGCACGGAAAGTGTTATGTAATGGGATCCTGGGCTGCGTTTCACTGTCGACGACTCTGTATACGTTGGTTGCTTGAGGAAAAGAGCAGGAAACGTGTATATACATGAGGAACTCTATCGGCTATCGCTGCGTCTTCTCGTCTTACGCTGTCGCGCCTGAGCGGTCTTGGAAGGATCAACTGCCTCGGCGCCAAGATACGACGTGATGTCGAGCTCGCCATCCTTTGTGATGAGACAGCTGATGAATATATGCGCGCCCTTGCCATCATGAAGCTGGCGATGCCGGTTCAGCTGCTTAAGCACGCCGAGGTACTCGGCATTATACTGCCCGCGACCACGCTTCTCCATCCAGCCCATGAGACCCTCGGCCAGCGCGGCGTCGTCGGGGCCGTACCCGCGGACAGGGGTGTAGAACTTGACGTCCGGAAGCGACCGGCCAGGCGCGATGTCGAAGTAGTAGACATAGTTGTGCAGCACTTCCGGCAGCTGGCCAAAGTTGTCCTTGGTGCCGTCCGTGTAGTGCGCCGCGGTGAACGGCGTGTCCTGGTCTTCGGGGTGGGCCTCGTCGATGCCGGAGACGGCGCAGATGAGAGACCTCAGCTCCTGCAAGTGAGCCTCGTCTACGGGCTTCTTACCGCCCAGCGTCATGATACTGCGCACCGACGCGAAGCTGTTGCGCGGCCCCAGGAAGTAGAGCTTGAGCCGGGATTTGGATGGCTCGACATTGTCCACGGCGAGCATACTTAGGGGGCGAAAGGGTTAGCGTTAATGCGTCAAGTCAACATGTTCTAGTTCAGGTCGAAGGCACAGATCATATGGACATTGATTTTGTTTGCTTACAAGGGAGTGAGTTGCTGGCCCTCGGGGTCATTGGTGAGATATTCGAACAGCGCCTCGCGCGCCTTGTTGCCAGGGTCGATCTGGGCAAAAGATTCCTCCCACTGCGCGAGGGTAAGACCCTTGGCACTGACCGAGGTGCCAAGGCGGCGGGGTAGAAAATACGTCTTGACGCTGAAGCCCTTGTCAAGCCATTCGGGCGCAACGAAGATGGTGCTCGAGAAACGGTCTCCACGCGCAGCCTCGTCGGCGTACTTGCCGCGGTCATGGTCGAATAGCGTGGCCAAGAAATGGTTGGTCCAGGTAAGATCGACGGTCGGCACGGCATCCTTCAGACGGTACAGCAGCTCGATGGACGCATCCTGGTTGAGCGGGTCTCGCGGCCGACCGGCGTACTTGCCGATGGCCTCGATGCAGTACCGCACGTCGGGCCTCGAGTCGGCAGCGGACGTGTTCCACTTCCACGAGTACTCGAGGGGCGACCCCTCATTGCCCAAGAGGCAGTTCCATGCAGGGGGCCCATTGCGGCCGCTAGGGGACGGGCCGAGGTAGGGGACCTGCGTGCTGAAGAATGAGCTCGAGAAACAAACGATGACGTAACAATGTAACAATGACTAGCTGCCCTTACGATATAGTGGTAGTGAAAGAGGAGGGCATCGTACTGCGCCTCAACTGGATACCCAGCGGCATGCATCATGTGCGCAACGTGGGGGCCAGTCAGCTTCCACCAGTACTCGACATTTTGGTCCTCGCTGGGGGGCAGCCACCGCGAAACAGCATCCCATACGCTGCTCTTCTTCCCGTTCATCACAATCTCTTGTGCGGCTGGCATGATGCGTGGTTCGTGAGAAAGAAAAAAGTCAAGGATCCCCATGTAGTAGAAAGTACAAGCAACCAACTCACTTGTATTATAATTGTAGGTGGCGAGTCTGACTGTAGTGGGTCCAAACGTTCTAAAATACCACTTGGCGAGCTTCTAGGCGTCGGGGATTCGGGGAATCGGCCATAGGGTGACATACTAGGACGCTGCTTGGCAGTGACCACTCGGGAATGTCGCCGTATCGTAATAGGTAAGAGTAGAGACCGCCGGCCGCAGGATACCGGTCTGCCGTTACAGTCAGACCTCGTTAACGCGAAAGCCGATCATCTACACCGGCACATTGCCAACACAACCCGGAGTCTGAGTGGCCAGTACCCCCAAAGATGTCCGACCAGGGTGGTGCCATCATCGCGCTGTGGTGGCGAGAATAGCAATGAGAACCTGCTTCTTTGAGATCGTCGGTAATGAGTGCAGGCATGCTGGCCTTTGGTGGTTGTTACTCGGGCACTTCGTCAACAGCCTATACCCTTCTTGACTCCTGAGCATCCAATTGAGAAGTTCAGACGACGGTCGTTTCAAAAATCAAGACCGGCTGATACGTCTCTTGACCTGCTTGTGCCTGTCTACTTGAAATTCCGACTTGAGTAACTTTATAGGCATGAACAATGCGATTTTGGTTAATCGATCTAGATGTCAAGGTGTGAAGAAGTTGATTGGTTAGACACCTCCTGTTTAACCGTCTATGGCCACTACTACATGTATAGATGCTCTGTAGTGTGTCGTTTTAATCTGAATCACAACGTTATCTGAATAATATTCGTTCACAGGCAATTTCAACCTCATGATAACTCTTTCTTTCTTCCGCAATCTAGGTTTTCTATTTCGTGTCCTATCTGTTCCATTCAACAATAGGCGCCGACCGACAGCAAGCATCCCAACGACTGCGATATGCGGGCTCTAAGATACCTACCTAAGTAAAGTACCCCTACGCATCTTTCCCATAATGCTGCGCATGAACGTAGTCCTTCTTCATGTCTCCCAGATATTCGTCAATCGTCTCACCATTCACTTTGAGGGGCTTCACGTCCAGCAGAATGAAGACCATGCGCCCCGGCTTCTCCTCGTCCAGGTTCTTCCACTTGTGCATGCAGCCGCGATTGACGCCTGCGTGTTTCTTCAGGTCAGTCTTCGGCCGGGTCTCATGTGGCGCAAAGTCAGGGTGCACATTCGTGGTGGTTTGTTGTGAGGTGGCAGCTGGGCAGATGGGTAGTGAGGTTGACGGATTTGATATGACCTACTCATGTCGCCCGGGAGCATCACCTTCTGCTCCCCACTGTCCAGGGTGAGCAGGAACTTGCCCTCGATGACAACGCCATAGTCGATTGACATGGCACGGTGGATGGGAGACTCCAGGCCGGGCGTGAAGTCAATCAGACGGACGCAGCTGCCGTTGGGAACGTGGATGGGAGGCTAAATGAGAGAGATGGTCCTTGCTTAGCCCATGTCTTCCTCTAACTTCCCACCTACTACCGCCGCACTCTTCATGGAATAACACTTTCTACAAAAGAGTATCCAGGTGATAATTCCGACTAGATAGAGAGCGAACGGAGTGCAACCAACAAGTTTTGAATGAATAATTACTCACCTCATTCGCGCGGGCGAAAGCGATGTCCTTCTCGTCGTTCATATCTACGGGGCAGTCGCGGGTACTGTAGATGATGTTGGCGGCGGCTCCACCGTCGACAAGCAGCCGGTGATGATCGCCTTCATCGTCGGCCACGAACACGCCTAGGCCATCCTTGTTGTGGCTCGTGATGAGGCGGTGGATGGGACGGAGGCCCTCGGCGGGGAACTTGGTGAGTGTTTTCTGAACCATTTTGAAGTCAAAGTAGAGTAGTCAGGCTTGAAAGTGACGGGATCAAAGAGCTGAATCACTTGCTTTGCAGCCCTTATCTATCACCTCTTATTTTCTTTCTCTCTTCCCCTCTTTTCTCTGTGCGCTGTGTATTGCCGCGTACTCATGCATGTCCTTCGTTTTCATTCCCCCTTGTCACTCTGTCGGAGGTTGTTCAGATACGATAACCAATCATCGCAATATGCGGCGATCCTTTCTGATGATGCTCTCGTCGACCAACCGACGGCAATGAGCCTCGAGAGTCCACTAGGCTTTCGGGCACATGGACACGATTAGACGGGGATAGGCACGGGGATGACCGTGGGCGGCAATTTACAGTTCCCCAGTTGGGATAGCGTCCCCGCATTCCCCCCTTACCCATGACGGGTCGCTACTGTATCTCGTCCAGTGGACAATCTAGGTCATTTGGCGACCGCTTCGGAATTCCCGGTCGCTTCTTTCCCGCATCCTAGATGCCCGGTAAATCCGGCGTCGGAAATCTTGCCGCCTTGCGAGATCGGAATGGCATGACGATCCGCTTGTTCATTTCACTTAGTGGATTTCGGTTTTCTGTCTGCAGCAAAGATGATGCCCGTCTCTTTACTTGTTGGTTTCGCTCCGACCAGATCCATCGCTGGACTTGTAAGAATCGAGTAGCAGTCGCGGATTACTGGACAAAGTTATCGTGAATGGTAAGTGCCACGGAAGATATCATCATTGGGGGCACAATTGTGGTGTAATTCACAGAACACGATCGGGTTCGATTTCCCCCACCCCCCCTTGAATCATAACAGTAGTGTACGTGGTATTGCCATTCGAAGATTTCCAGCTTCTCTATCTCCTCTGCTCTCGCTTGCTATGAGCGAAGAGACACGATAGTCTCTCCTCTCCGTCCCAGAACGTCGAGTAAATCTTGCCACAGCCTCCTGCCAGACTCACGCCCTTCAGCACTTCGCACATAGGGTGAAAGAGCCGAACTAAGGAAAGACTTCAGTGTCAGCCGAGATGTATGAAACTGTAAGTTGCGGAGAAACAGGCTAGTGAGAGAAGGGGTCGGACGAACTCGTCAACAAGCGCATCGTTGAGATACCGCCCGTGGCTCTCCTCATTCGGGACGATGGCAGCCACGAGCGTGCGACCGCCGACCTCGGCCGTCCGGGCGGTCGCTCTCATGAGCAAGTCGAGCACGAAACGGGTGGGCCCTGTTATGTCGTCAATGAGACCCGAGTCGCAGTAGCCGGGCGTCAGAGAGTTCAAGATGACTTCGGAGCTCTTGAGTTTGGCTGCTAATTCTCGGACGAGCAGGACCTGCATCAGTTTTGAGATCATGTAGCTTTGGAGAATTATGTTTCTGTCAGTATTAAAAGCAGTGTATGTTCATTTTGTATGCACTGAGGCTTGCATGGAAGCCTGAGGAAAGAGTGGGACATGATGCGACCGACCGTTTTTGCATGCTCGCCGTCTTCTCGACGCTGAGGATATCGAACAGATTATCCTTTTCCTTCCACGCCGGCAGGGGAAACATGACATGGCGATCAGACGACACGACGCTGATCCGAGAGGGTGAGTTGTGTGCCCTCGCCGAAGACCTTAGGGTCGGGAGCAATAAGAGCGCGAGATGGAAGGTGTTGATGACGTTGACAGTTAGGTGGCTCTCGAACCCATCGGCTTTGGCAAAAGAATTGGTATAGATGCCGGCATTCAAGATCACGGCGTCGAGCCTGTCTAGACTACCCATGCGCTGGGCGAAGGCCGCGACGGAGGCATGCGATGCCATGTCTAGCTCCTGTACTGTCACTGATCCGGCGGCACGCATCGTAGATGCCTCGAGTTCGCGCGCGGCATCTTGCCCCTTGGTCGTTGATCGAACGGCCAAGATGACGCGCTTGGCATTGAGCCGGAGTAGATGGCGAGCCGCTTCGAGCCCGATGCCTCTGTTGGCCCCTGTGACAATGATGGTCTGCTCGCTGAAGTTGGACGTCGGAAGGGGAGGTGTGATGAACAACTGAGAATGCAGAAAGGATAAAGCTGACATTGCGTGACACTAGAAATCATGCACGATAACGGGGAGCTTGAAAAGGTCTCGCTTAGGCCTATTGGAAGTAACAAATTGACAGCTCATCGCATGCGTGTAGCTCCGTAGCCTCTTATAGTGTAGCCGGGGGCCGACCGGTGATCGGGCATGTGATTCTATTGGCTTAGCGCGGAGATGCTGTGTAGGCATCATCGGGCGCGAAGGCCGGCCCATGCCTCTCTCTTTAGGCTAAAGATCACTACTCTAAGCTAGCCTAGACAGCCGGGGCACTGAAGCTCCTTGCTTGATACGCCCCATGTGAGGTCTTTGAATTTCCATGCAGAGGGGCTTCACTGTCTTCCGATACACGAATGGCCTTCGGGCTTCATATGCTGCCTACCTTGCAGTATACTTAGCAAGTCTGTACCTGCAGCGTCAAGCCACCGTCGACAATCCAGCCAACGCCCGTGACGTAACTCGCACCCGGGCTGGTCATGAACAGTATGACGTCTGCGATCTCTTCTGGCGATGCGATCCGGCGCATCGGGATGACAGAGCTCATCATAGCGGGTAGCTTCGGGTTGCCGTCCATGGCTTCCTGCACCATGGGTGTCCTCGTCCAGCCGGGACAAATGGCTACCACCCGGATGTCGTGCTGCGCTAGATCTAGAGCTGTAGACAAACGGCCTGGTCTCAGCGTTGATGATGCGATAACAGCATCACGAAGAGATTCATCCACACATGAACGGGATATCTAGTAAACGGGGTTTGCCTACCTGCATTCTTGGTGAGACCGATGACGGCATGTTTGGTCGTCACATAAGGAGTCACGTCTGGAGTGGCCATGTAAGAGTTGGCGGACCCCAAGTTCAGAATGACGCCGCGGCCCACGGACCGTTCCGATCCCCTGATGGTCATGGTCGCGATGCTCTGTTTTTTCATGACCGCCGCGACGGCCTGGATGCAGTTGACGGTGCCGATAATGTTGACCTGCCAGAACCGGCTCATCTCGACTGCATCCACTTGGTCGACCGGGCGATGCTCCCTGATGCCAATGCCGGCGCTATTGACGAGGTAGTCGATGCGTCCGAAGCGCTCCTCGGCCATCGCGACCACGCTCGACACGCTGGACGCGTCGGTCACGTCAACGGCCACTGGAATTGCCTCGAACTCGGCATGTGTGGCGAGCGTCTTGGCTTCGTTGGCTGTGGCCAATGCAGCGTCGAAATTGAGGTCTGCGACTATTACGCCACGGACGCCTTCGGCTGCATACCCAAGAGCAGAAGCCTTGCCAATGCCACTGCCTAATCCGCGCTTGTCAGGGCGTCTGGGACCAAATAACCTCGGGGGGTGAGGTTGATGAATACATGAATGAACGTGGCTTGATGTGCTTAGAAGGCGGGAGCTTCGTCAGGCCTTTACTCTACTCACCGGCACCTGTGACCAAGGCGACCCCGCCAATCTGGAAAGTCATTTTTCTAGGGAATAACAGGTATCAACAATGGATAATAAGTACGAAGACAAGCTGTACCGCACGGGCGTAAGTAAGTCCTCGGCGAGCGAAGGCAAAAGTCCATGAATCCTGTCTCTTTCACTTCTGAGGGTTATCTTATGCTATTACTGCTACTTTCCAACCATTGTTGCCATGGACTACATCATTCACCAATGTTTTACGGGCAGCAAGCAAGCTCGCCGTGCCCTAGTTACCGGCGCGGCGAAGTAAGAGATCCATCGGGGCGATGCTGATGGCTGTGGATCCCGGGTCCCCGATCCTCAGGCGCGGGGAATTGCCGCTCGTAGCTAGGCGTTCCCGAAGCTTGCGTCAATGCCGATGCCGATGCTGAGATCTGATGCAGCCCGCAGCGTCGTAATTGAGCTCAGCATTCAGAGCAATGAGCGGGATGAGATTTACAATATGCTTCATGCAGGAAACGTTGAATCATATATTGACATAACAGTCACCTCTCCCAACCAATCAGAAGAAGCATCAGTGGTTTAGTGGTAAAATCCATCGTTGCCATCGATGGGCCCCGTGTTCGATTCACGGCTGATGCATTTGCAACCACAGCTCGCGAGCGACTTTCTTTTTTGAGATTCTCTTCCACTGAGATGTGTTCCCTGGTGCACCTTTTCTTTTGCTACTCTCGCAGCGCTGCAGGAAGCTCGGAAGAGGATTCCTTGTGTCTAGCTTAGGCTCTCGATAACGCCAGTAGCCTTCGCGTCCATGGACACATCTTGCTGCGTTTACCACAAGTTCACGTTGACGAGACACTCAATTGCGGACTGCGACGACGCTGGTTGTTTGACTGGTATCACATGATAGTGGCACCGTTCTGCCAGCGAGGATCCCCGTCTTGCCAGCACGCCGCAGCATGGTGATATGGACCGTCATCTACCAGATGTTCACGATGGTAAGCTTTACTCCGTCCAACATGGCGCGAATGACGTACTAGGCAGCCAACCTCTACCTTTCGACTTCAGCGATCGTTCCAGGTATCTTCTTTCAATACAGCCACGCGCAACTACTCAAGGTGATATGTTTTCATCATGCCGCGGTGCAGAAACTGTCGATGCCGGTTCGGGCTCTGCCTACTTGATGGTTGTGGTGACAACAAGTCGAGAAGCAGATCACAAATCAATTCTTTGCTCCTCCGCAGACATGCATGATCTTGGCCTACAGCAATGCCCGGAGCAAATTGTAAATGTGGACAAATTTGCTCCGGGCGTCAGTGCTTGGTAATTCGCGCGCGGGGGAGCGACACTTACTGTGATTGGCTAAAATTACCACCCATGGGATTGGGGGCCGGCTTTGATAAGCATCGAGGGTGTCGCATTTCCAGCACGCCCATTGGCCAATTGCTTACGATCCACGGGTACGGCTGCCTTTGTTGCATTTCTGATCCCAGTTGACATGGCATTTGTAATCGGTCGATTTAAGCTATTTCCCATCCCACATGGCTCTTACGAATATCACAGGCTACCAGAGACATGCTGGTAGTTATAAGGGCATGGTGTGCACCGTTCTTCAGGCTCCTGTACGATCCCTAGTTGTGTATCATCATTCAACTATCACCTACATCCACACCAGACTGCCGCCTCTGTATCACTCATCACCCTCTACGCCTGCTCAAGATCTAAAAAATCCATCATGGCTGCCAAGTCTCCGGTCGCTCTTATCCTAGGGGCAGGGCCCAACATTGGCACCTCAGTTGCACGTGGCTTTGCATCCAAGGGCTACAAGATCGCTCTCGCAGCACGCTCTGTCGATGCGGCTGCCAGCACCGACAGCCAACTCAACATCCCAAGTGACTTCACCAAGCCAGCTGATATTGTCAACGCGTTCCAAAAGGTAACGCAGACCTTTGGTCCTCCCAGCGTGGTCGTTTACAATGGTAAGTCACCCAGTCTCACTGTCCCCGCCGTGTAAACCCGGTCAGAGGCGACGCCCCGTACCGAACAAGGACTGCCTTGTGCTAATTGTGACTCCTGCAACTCGTACAGCCGCCACCGCGGCCTTCACCCCTGCCGACGATCCATTCACATTGCAAGTGGAAGATCTCAACCGCGACATGGCCGTCAACGCCACCAGCCCATACATCGCCGCGCAGCAGGCCGTCAAGGGCTTCGCGGAGCTTCCCGAATCGGCGGCGAGGACCTTCATCTACACGGGCAACATTTTGAACACGCAGTCTCTGCCCCGCTTCATCAGCCCGGGCATGTCCAAGTCTGCGGGGGCGCATATGATCGCGACAGCAGCGGATGCTTATAAAGACCGTGGATACAAGTAAGCTGTCATTACCCAACCTGGAGCCCCCACTATTGATACTACTCACCTCTTTTTGGAAAGAAAAACAGTGCTAACACATTCTTCTTCTTCTTTTTCTTTCTGGCAGATTCTACTACGTCGACGAGCGCAAGCCTGACGGTACGGCCAAGTACAAGGTCGATGGCGATGCCCACGCGGAGCACTTCTTCAAGCTTTCCGAGGACAAGACGCAGGGGCCGTGGTTGCAGACGTTCGTCAAGGATGTGGGATATGTCAAGTTCTAGATGTGCTTTGCTTCTTAGTGAGAGCTGACATGGCAATATTGCCGTGATATCGATAGATGTGTTGGACAATTGGGAGCTCACCTCTGCTACTTTACCACGCGAACCAGCATTATAACTACATAGTGTCCTTCAATACCAATCTGTCTTGCCCCATCTCCATGAGACATGCTACTTCGAGCTTGTGAGATTTACAGGCGCTTTCAGCTGCTGTGGATTGAATGAATACATCCATACGTGGCGGTAGTTACATAGGTGGAGCACAGAGTATCGTGACTGTACAAGTTCCTCAACGTATCTACAATGACGTTATTTGAAGATACATCTCAGCATTTTACAGAGATACACAAATGATCGACGCCCTCCGAGGCATGAATAGGTTCTCAGCACGGTCGCAAATGGGCCATCAAGCTACGATGTTGCAGGGAGACAAATCTGGCTGTCAAGTCAATAGGACTGCCACTTTATCCGTGGCCCGAGATGCTCCGTCTGTCTGAAACACAAATTTCTGTAGAACTTCTCTCCAGATTCCATTTCACAACGAGAGGATCGAAAACCCCCGCCACCTCCGCCGATCTAACCGCGGGCGGCGCCGCGGCTAACCCTGATCGTTGGTCTGGAGTTCTCGACCGGCTCCGCGTTCGCCTTTCGGCTAGTGCATTTTGGCTTCGTGCTCGCATTTCCTTTGCACAACGCCCCAAAGCCGCTTCTTGGATCTTGTAACCTTGCCGGGGCCCACCTAAGTTGTTCTGACCAATGGCCGAGTCCATGAAAGATACGCGGAGCCGCTGAGCGGACGCTTGGCGCAGGCTAACGAGGAAGGGACGTGGCCCAGCCCATGTCCTGGGAGGTGGGATCGGCGGGCGCTCAGGGTCCATGATCCAGCCAAGTTTTCAGCTCCCCTGCAGCACGTGGCGCATACTCAAGCGGGGCTGTCGGGGAATGAGGATTCAGGGCCGAGAAGGCGACGGAGAGGCGTAGGTATTCCTTCAGTGTGTAGGTGTGGTTCGTAGGTGCGCATACAACACACTAGCCACGTAGCACTGATCGCTGATCGTTGGGCTGCACGCTTCAGCATCGACTAAGTGGTCCCCATTGACGAAAACGGTATGGTTGCGGTTATACGCATCCGACAAGGCCAAGTTTCTGGAGGCTACTAGCAGGGTGAAGCAGCTGCTGCTGCTCCTCCTTCTCGACGGCAAAGGGACCCCAGTTGCAGAAGAGGCGGCTGGTGCAGCGCTCAGACGGAACTTGCCGAGGTCCCTGACCACCATGAGGTTCTGCCTTCCAGCACTACTCCAACGCTTACGTGCCTCATCGACGACAAGCAAGAACTATTATCAACAAAAACTTCCAACCCCTTAAAGGGCAAGAACCTCAGACATCGTGCTGTCTCTATGGACGTGACTAGTTCATTTGGCCTTCAGACAAAGTAGATCGTCACCATCATTGTATTAGCTTTCCCGAGTCGTGCTTGATTTCGCCATTGCACACGATTAGCTAACCGATAAGTGGCGAGTTCGCGAGTGCGCTTCATTCACGCATCAGATAATTCGAATGCTGCCAGGTTCGCTCTCTTGGAACAAACCCGCATGCCACATATCGTACATGAGCACCCCCGAACTAACCAATAAATCTATGTGCCAAGGTACTACCTCAACAGGACGAATCTCCCTGGTCTACCTCGCATGTGGAGTAAGTCCGCTAATCTGAGCAACATGGGAAAGAGCGCAATTCTCGTGGCCAACCAAGGCGCTAAAGTAAACCATACTAGTGATATGCAAGTTCCCACCCAACCTAGTCTAATAGGGCTTGTGTGTTGATCACGAAGGCCCCTGCGTTACTGTACGATCCAACCTATTTGAATCTAAAATCGCACGGGCTCGAAGGGGCGAATAAACTCTATCTAGAAATATGCGGCTAAAAGTCCACATTAAGCTTCCTCCGTGTCGCGCCTCTGCGCTCGGGGATGTCCCCGCAAGACAGATGAGTAGCACAGATCTGCCGAAATCACTGCTTCAATCTGAAATAAGTGCGTGCGTCACAAATACAGTGGTGTTACGGGTGCCTCAAACTGAGGAGACAAGCCTTGCAATGCTCGTCATCAGCGTACTGTATCTCAGCTCTCTCGCAGTCCACCTGGGCAAAGCTGGCAGCATGCCTCCGATCTCGAGATAATGGGGAAGCCCGGCATGGTCCAGATGGTGCCTCGCACCGGCTAGCACAGTTCTAGCAAAGCCGAACAAGTTCGCCTCCTGCATGATCCAAAGCGGTGATAGATGGATTGTCTAGCCCAATGTAGTCGCCAATCACGGGGCTCGTACGAGCAGGCAGCTAAACTCGTCACAGATCCGCCACGACTACCGCGTAGATCGAGCGAGGTGGGCTTCGGCGGTCATAATAGCGTCTTTCCAAGTCGGTGATTTTTGCAGGCACGTGGGACTCCCACTCCATAACCAATGATGCGTGGTCTCGTTGGCTTTTTAGTTCGGAATCTGTACGGCGCGACAGTGCCCTGTATCCATGGAGCACTCCTGCTGGCGACAACTACAATATAAGGACGAGATTGATAGTCCATGGTCAGAACTCTCGTTTCCCTAACATCATATCCAAAAGACTCTTGTGGGGTGGACGGCTCGCAACTACCAGCGCCGAGCTACATGTTGAAAATGGCACGTCGACTCCTATTTCTTCTCAGCGCCCTTCCTCTTGCTTCGACCGCTGCTGTTGAGCCACGAGCATTCACCTACAATGCTTGCAGCGGTGCTGCGGCCGTCATCGCCAGCATCTTTGCCAAGTCCCCTGATGCCCTGGCATACTGTTCGTCCAAGTATCCTGTGCCCGCACTCACCAGCACAGTCACGGCACCGGCCTCTACCTCAACGGTAAAGAGTACCAAGACAGACAGTACGACTGTTACCACAACAACCATAACGTACGTGAATCCCCGCCGAGACATGTTTGCTAGGATGAAGCAACGGTCAGGGGTGGAGACTAATACAATCGTGATATTGCAGCATCACTGCTCAACAAGCTACTGTAACCACGACCCAGTTTACCACTTCTACTACCACCATACGATCCACGACGACATTCACATCCGTCATGACAGTAACCGCAACAAGCACGTCAACTTTTACCACTAATTCTCCAAACCCCCAGAAACGCACAGCGGCGCAACTAGCTTCGGATGTACAAGCTGGAGGGATCCCGAACAAGCCACGCGCGCAGAAGTCCGCTCTCAAGGACCTCCTATCCTATGCTAGCTCCATCGTAGCTCAAGTCTGCACCTGCATTGAGGTGCCTAAGACTGTGACCGTCAGGTCGACCCCAGCGGCAACCACCACTGGCACAACCACAACTACGACATCGATTACCGCCTCCGCTACTACGTAAGTTCACCTGGGAAGCCCTCAGCCACCACGCACAAATAGCCCCAGTGATTTTGACGGAAAGAATGCAGGACATCCACGCCGACAGTCACGTCGACCGTCTTCACCACAGTAGTAACTACATGGACGACTGTGACGACAACCACGGCTGTCTCGCCCAGCACGACGACGACGATCACTACCACGACGGTCGTATATGTGTTTGTGCTCCCCGTCACTGTTATATATGTTGCAAGGCCACTCTCGCTCAATATGGACTGACAACTGTTCGACAGATATCCTTATTGCAACTACCAGGACGCTACTTACGGGCTGAAAGAGGTCGGTGGCTGCAGTATCAACTGCTATTGCGACCGCCTCACCGACGGGACAGGTGGTGTGTGTGCGGCTCGCCGTGTACGAGCAGCAGCCAATGCGGACCTGGTTTTGCCTGCGTATCTGGCCTGAATTGCAACAGCGATGGGACTACAGTAAGCATCCTCTGGAGTGTGATTGGGGAAAGAAAGGCCTTGCGGTGCGGTCTGCAAGTCCCACGTCCCCTTAACCACGTTCCTTCCCTTCCCCCCTCCCCCCCCTCTTCGAAGCTTCGCCGCATGCATTCATTTCCCCGCTGGGACACCAGAAAAATATCGCAGACTCTGGGATCATGCCCCTGGTTCCCGCCGCCGCATCGATGATGTCCCGCTCACAGCCGGTACACGCGCCGCTAACCCACGGATTCGTTTCCAGTGTATCGACACCCGAGGTTGCACTTCAACCTACCAATCCTCCACCAAGCTCCGCAGGAGCGCCCTAGGTCTGCCAGAAGTGTTTTTGGAGCCGCGTCTCGCGGCTCGCGCGGGGTCCTTGGACAAGCCGCTCCACAAGGGCGTAGGCGGCACTTCAAGCTAATTGCGGAACTTGGGATGTGGCTCTGCTGTGAAAGGATTGAGTACTACTGTAAATCAGTAATTTCGGAAGGCTACCTAGCTAGATGGATGTAGAAGAGGCGCCTTTCACTTGGCGTTCTAGTTGTACAAAGGATTGGGGCCGCTGGTTCAGCTGACTCGAAAATACAATGGCGTGCGGCAGGCAGATCTAGAACTAGGCGGACCGTACGCTTTAAACCTTATCTAGCGATCCGACCCCGGCGCGGATCCTATCCTCGAGCCTGATGCTAGTACTTAGACTCCATTATTGATCGAACCCGTCTAGGTGCAAGTGGTCCATAATTCTCCATGGCAGTGTTCTTGGGCAGAGTGAGGATTACTTCTGATGATATGGCAAACGACCCTCGGCCGCCGAGGAGAGCCATTCGCCGGCTGGTTCTGATGGGTATGTTGACCTTACCCGTGGCCGTTCAGGCGGGACTGTACATTTACAGGGCGGGCTTGTGGTGGTGCCGGCGATTATCGCGTCATCATTGCCGGCTTTCTCGACGCCACAGCCCGAGACTGGGCATCGTGAACATCATCAACGCTACCACACACAGATCTTGCCCTACAATAGGCCCACCTCTCGATGCGAGATCATTCACCTCCCTGCGGATTCACGATTCTCCGCAGAGCAAGCTCTCGATGAGCGAATGAATCTTACGAGGGATGCAGCTGTCCAGGCGCATGCTGGCGTGCCAGTATGCGTCAATGAGCATGACAGTGTCGCTAAAATGATATCTATACAGGTTCGTGACGTTCTCCTTCATGATCTAGTCCCTGCTCCGGGACCCTCTAGCCTGGTCCGGGAAGTTATGGGTCAGATATCCTCTCTGCCACGGTCTCGCACCTTCGTAATTTGGCCTTCTCCTGCTCACAACATGCAAACCATCGCTCGACGTTTTCTATCCTGCAGGCCGACCCTATCCACAACAAATAGTTGCCGAAGCCGCCAAGCATAACCAGACACTAGTCCGTCTGTACTTCCTTCGTCACGGACTCGAAGCCATGGAGACCCTGTTCATCGTCATAAGAGGCTGCATGTCGGCCGAGGGAGTCGCCCCTGCGGACGTCGATGAATTTGGACAACAGGGACGCGGCTGCTAAGGAGAGACAGGCGATGGCGCAGGCCGTGCAGGGTCCCTGGTCTGTCAGAGTTATCAAGTAAAAGCAGGATGTTGGATCTACACATCCTGAAGACTTTGGTGGAAGAGTATGCTCACTCAAATGTCCAATAAAGGAAGTGGTCGAGGTTCCAATCCACTGTGCTAAGTGTGGGGAGCTGTTAAACGTACGTTCTCGAGACAGGAGACGAGTCTTTACATATCTAGGCCCGCTAAACAGCTGATGGAGAGGATACGGATCTATTGAGAGCATACAAATGTGACTGTCCATGACGACACAAGGGGCTATCAAGTCAATTTTGTCCAGACTTAGATACTGAATTCTGTCTCTGGAACTGTTTCTTGCCATTGAAAAACACTTTTTCTAAAACGAGGAAACAGTCATCCTATTGGGACTAGTTAGAGTAGAATGCACATTATGAAGATATCCATCGTTTGTGCTTTGAGCTATCTTGAACCTCATGGTGCTCAGAAAAGAACAAATAGATACAGACACCGCATCATCACCTCAATCCTCGAATCCATACTTCCAGTTTTTGACATCATCTTCAATATCCTTGAGCACCTTCAGCACCTCGTCGTGATCCGTCGCCAGAGGATTCGCGTTGTACCGGGTCCTGATGGTGTTGATATGCTCGGCGGCCCAGTCACGGGCAAACATGGATACCTGGGCATAGTAGTGCCCGTAGAACTCGTCCCAGTGTGCCGTCAGGCCCGCAGCGTCGACGCGGTTGCGCTCGATGATCTGGAGCTGAGTGCGGATGGACGAGGCGGTGTTGTCCATGATGGTCATGACAGTGTCGTCGCGAAGGTATTGGAAAAGACCTCGAGTCTCGCGCAACGGGGCGAGCATGGCGTTGACCGCCGTCATGTTGTTACCGTTGACTGCATTGTTGAGATGGGTTCTAAGGACTGCCGGCGCCTGGGGACGGTTGAACATTTCGAGTCGGCCCTTGTGACCGTTGAAGACGGCCTCGAGGAAGGTAAAAGGGGCAATATGCTGATTGGCGCCCAGGGCTTCCCAGATGCGATCTGCGGGCCTTCTGAGATCGGCCGAGTCGGGGGTCACGCGCGGGAGGCCCGCCGGCAGGGCGTCCGCAGCATTCCAAACGTTGCGCCAGAAGTCTTCGCTCATGGCCGGAGTCCGGGTCATAGCTGTCGACTGTGGATATCTCTGGGTTTGCGGACCGCTGGGAGCCCAGTGTCGGCCCCAGTGTGCGACAGCAGCGAAGCGTGGGTGTGTAACAAGGGGCACTGCGTGCTCGACCTGGATGCCTTCTGGCATCGTATGATCTTCGCCTTCCTCGATAGGGCGTGATTCTAGTTGAGTGTTCTCGCACCGCTCCGAGTGCCGGCCAAACCATCGGTCCGGCGCACCACTGGGTCGGGGTTCTTGCTGCGCGACTTCCCAGAGTCGTGGCCTTTCGACATAGCGAAGAGACCTCATCCTGATTGGCACCAAACTTTTGGGGATCCAGCTGAAAGGTCTCCCGCCGCCACGTTCTTCCAGCTTCCGCAACTCGTCGTGGCCACCACTTTCCTCTGGAGCTGGGTTCTCGAGTGGGCGAGAGGCATCATCAAGGCAGGCCGACGGCTCAAACTCGCATGTTGTCATTGGACAGGTCAAGGGCTTGGGCAGCGGCTTGCTGACCTGGCAGCAGAGAGCCTTCTCGCGGTCCCAGCTGCACAGGTTCCACGAGTCACCGCCCGACTGTTTATCGACCTGAACCTCGTTGACCTCCTTGTCGCCGTCCTTCATCAGGCAGTTGGCATCGACGCAGTCGGGCGACGTGCCGCGCCATTTGCAGTCGTGGAGGGCCGTGTTGCGAGGGCAGCAGTACTTGGGCACGGCACTCATCGGGCACGAGCCCTTCTTGCTGGCCACCTCGATCTCCGTGTTCGGGTCGCAGCTGTTGGGGCCCAGACAGGGAGTCCAGCGGCACCCGCTGACGACGTTCTTGTAGTCGCCGGCCTCGCAGCAGAAGACCTTCTTGCCTCGGGCACACACGTACGGATCAGACTCGCGGTCCTTCTCAGGACCGCCTCCCCACCGCGATGACAAGACTCGGGACTCGCCAGCGTGGCACTGGCCATTGCAGTCACCCCATACACCCCCGTCGTTGCCGCTGCCTCGCCATGTGCATTTCTTGGGCGCCTTGTCGCCGGGGCAGCAGATGGGCTTGCCCTGCTTGTCCGACTTGCACCCATCGCGGTCCCACCCGATCATGGTCTCTCCTGTGCCGCAGGACAGCTCGGCGACGGGCCTGCACGCGAGGTTGGTGAGGGCTTTGCAGCCTTGCCCGTTCTCGCCCTGCAGCGACGAGGCGACGTTTTCAGATGTCTGCTTGAGTGCAACCACGGTCTTGGTGTCAACGTGGCTCACGCTGCGGCCCAGCAGGCCGCTCATGGCCGAGAACTTGTCGTCATCCGTGTCAACGGCCCAGATCATGGAGCCACCAATGCCCTTGTTGTTGGCCCACTCCTTCTTGATCTTGAATGTTTCGGCATCGTCGTACGACACCCACTGGTTGTTATCAAACGTGAGGTACTTGACCGCTGCTTTCTTGTCAAACACCGGCTTGAGGTTGGGCAGTTGTTTCAGGATAGCCTGGATCTCGTAGTACATGAGCACACCCGAGGTCTTCGAGCAAGGGCCCTCCTTGGCGCCGCCCTTGAAGGCACAACCGGGCGCTGTGCACTCGGGGTCTGCCAGCTCAAAGGAACGGCCATAGAAGCCGTAGCCCAGTGTCACCTGCTCGGGCTTCACGCCTACTCGCCATAGCAGTTGGGTGGCCAGGTCGATCTCAGTCAGGTTCGTGTGGGCTTGGGCGATAGAGCCGATGGGGTTGGAGCTGTCCCAGCTGCCGTCTATTCACGTGAGTGGGACATTAGCATCTACGACTTGAGAGCCAAAATACATGCTGTGGGCGGGAATAGTACTTACGAAGATCGTAACTCATCAAGTTGGTCCAGTCCGCATATTTCAACAGACCCGGCATGTCGAACCACCGCAGATACCAGAAGGAAGAGGGAATAGTGAAGGTCAACCCTAGCATTCGTGGCGAGGCGTCAAATGCTTCCCTCAGCGACTTCATGAGCAAAACAAAATTCGCGGTATCGTCAGGCTTGCCGCCACGGTCTGGTGCACCAGGATATTCCCAATCAATATCAAGACCGTCGAAACCGTACTTGTTAAGGAACCGCACGACGCCGGCAGCAAACTTCTGGCGGTTGGCCTGAGACCGCGCAATCTCGCCGAGAAGAGGTTGTGTGACGGTACCGTTGTCTGAGAATGTCCATCCGCCGACTGCGACGAAGACCTTGAGGTTGATGTTGTGCTTCTTGGTGTCGACTGTCAGCTGCCATAGATCCTCTGTCGTCTCCTTGTCCATGGTCGTCAGCTCGTACGTGTTGGGGTCGACAAAGGCGAATGCATAGTTGAGATGTGTGAGCTCCTTCAGGGGCAGATCAGTTGGTGATTTCTGATTGCACTTGGATCGGTAGCTCCAGGACTCGTAGTATCCAATCACTATGGTGAATTGCGTCAGTTAACTATGGCGGCCAGTAGTCTGTGTAGCCCCTCATTTCGCTTGCGACATACCTCTGTCCATAGAAGCACCCGTGGGAGAGCCACCTGGGGGCTTGGGTTCGAGGATGCAGTTTGACTGGCAGCCAGGCTTGCAGAAGTCCGTTGTCGTGCCGCAGAACCCGAATTCACTGCAGCACGCGTTGAGGGGGCATGTTGTTCCCGGGACTTTGGCGAATTGGCCGCATTCGGCCGTGGCATCGCAGTTGGATGAGCAACCTGAGCCGCAGTACACCGGGCCGTAACCGCAGTTGCCAGAGGCGCCACAGCAAGCGCCGTTGGAACAGGGCTTGCCTGGCCCGCATGTGTACGGGTCATCATCGACGGCGGCGATGGCGAAACCGGCCGGTGGTGAAGTGTCAGCTCTGGCTACCTGAGGCTGGCTGACATGCTGTCTGCTGTTCGCCAAAGCTCTGTGAATATGCTGGTGGTGATGGTTCTGGTGAGAGCAGAGGCCCAACAGAGCGAAGGAGAGAAGAATGAAGATGGACAAGAGGCCAGGCTGCCGCCTGTTGACTTGGGAGGAGCGCATCGTGAATTGTTTCGCAACTTCCTGGCCGAGGGCGACTTTTGCCAGGCAAGAACAGCGACAACACTTTGCGCAATGCTATGACTGAGTAATGTGAGCTACTTCATGTGTATATATATATATGCTTTATCTGACACCAGGGTACGTATCTTAGTCTACAATGACATTGGAATTACAGAGTATGCAGTACACCCTCCAAGTCTCAGCACTGACCTCTTTTCTTCTTGCGGAGCGAATATCCGCAGGGCAACTTGACATTCCCCACACCTCGCGTTCTGCTTGACAACGCGAACAGAACGCGGACCGATTGGGGGCCTACCGCAAGCCAACGATGAAGAGTTTTCCAAGGAGTATCTTCCGCCACGTGCGGGGGGTTCCGGAGCCATCGGCTCATCCATGTACAGAATGAGGCCAAGAGTTGGAGAGTGTACGATTTTGGGGTCCAGATTAGGCGCCACGTCCGAGCTGACTGTCAGTCTGCATGTTTACATGGATTAAGCATCGGGTGATCATTGAAAGGGGCAGTGATCGGAGCACTAGTTGCTGCTAAACGGCACACGCGGATCTTCCCGCGATCGATCCAGGGATTCAAGGGACTGTGGACTGACTGTCAGGAACTGTCAACCCTGCAATCAGGGGGGTCTCCCTGCAGGGTTTCGCTTCGGGCCGCACCGGAACCGCGCCATGCACGCAGGTACCCGCCGACAGCTACCTATCGGACCATGCGGGGCTCTCAGTGAATGTCGATGGACCTGCATCCGGAGATTGGGATGAACAGTTTTCAGTCCCAAAGAGGTGCCGTGCCTGCATATTGATCACTGACTCAACGTACGATCTAGACCCTGCCAAGAGGCTGACATGCGTATAGCTCAGGCCTGTGAACATGAAAGCATGCAGCATAGAGCCGAGCAATTGTCCGTCCTGGACTTCGCGTATAGAGAAGGAAATTGCAGACTTTCTTGATCACAGCACTCCACAATGGCCCGTAGGGTTTGCCACATTCCATGTCTTAAGCGACGCGACTTCAAGATGATATATAGAAGATAGTGCCAATCGTGGGGGGGTGCAGTCTGGCTGGCCTGTAGACTAGGCTGCCTCTTTTGACAACCTTGGGCAGAATCGTCATGTTTTGCCGCGTAGTTCATATGGCCAAGGGCAGCGCTGGCTCTTTTGCCAAGCTGGCAACACTGGCAGCGCTGTTGACAGTACCGAGCACAGTTCAGGCTCAGCAGTTCCCTGATGGCCTTCTAGGCTATAGCTCTGCCCCCGGGCTGAGTGAGGGGTGTGCCGAGGCTCTCAACACCACCGTAGCCAACTGCCCCGTTTACCTCGCCCAGATGGCTGTCAAGCAGCCTCGTCTTGAGGCAGGTTTGCTCCAGTACATCTGCACATCAGCCTGCAAGTCCTCGCTCCAGAATGTGAGAGGCATCATCGCCTCCGGCTGCCGCTCTGAGACGGACGTCCTCGAAATACAATCGGTAGTTTACCCAGGTCAGTACTCTCCCTGGCGCTGCGAGTCTCCCTCGCTCTTGCCGCGTCGTGCGTCGTTTTGCTGACCGGCATATCCAATTCTCAGCCACGTTTGTCATTGACAACCTTCTGTACGCATACGACATGTCTTGCGCCAAAGACAAGGGCTCTGGCCAGTTCTGCGACCAGCTGTACATGGACGCTCTTGCCAATAACACGCAGATCGACAGCTGTTCTGACTGTGCCCTAGCTGGCGTGCAGAGGCAGCTCAACTCACCCTTTGGCTACAACGCCGAGTTTGCTGAGGGGTTCCAGTCCGTCACAGCCAAGTGCGGCGCCTCCGGGTACGGCTTCACCTCTCCGGCTCCCTATGCTATCAGCACCAGCACGATAGACCCTGAGCCCACCCTCGGCCCTAGTTGCTCGTCCCCGTATGTCGTCCAGCAGAACGACACGTGCGACTCCATCTCAACCGCCAAGGGCATTTCTTTCTACAGCGTCGTCAAGGCGGCCGGCACCGACACGGCCTGCAGCATCCTGAACCCCGGGGACAAGCTTTGCCTGCCTCAGTCGTGTGCGGTCCATCGCGTCGAGTACGATGACACATGCCAAGGCATTGTCGACTCCATCGCCGGTCTCAGGGCTTCAGACTTGCTCATCTGGAATCCAGACATCAACCCGCTATGCACAAACCTCGAGTACTTTGCAAACAAACTCATCTGCGTCAGCCCCCCTGGCCGCACACTCGATGATGTCACCACAATCACCGACGGCCCTATACCCACCCAGCCGCCGCCCACCCCCGTGCCAAGACCGGACAACGCCAAGGCCGAGTCCAACACTCGGTGTGCCGGCTGGTACGAGGTTCAGCAGGGAGACGCCTGCCAGGCCATCTCGATCAAGGAGGGCATCTCCCTGCAAGACTTCCTGTTCCTCAACCCGTCCATTGACAGCGCCTGCTCAAACCTCTGGCTTGAGACGTCGTACTGCGTCCGCGCAGTCGGCGACATCAACACCTACACCAGCTACCCCTTTTCCACGTCGCCAGTGTACACACTGACCTCGTCGGCATACGACACTACAGCAGTCTCGACTTTGCCCTCCGTCGTTGCTGAGGCGACTCCGGTCGTCGAACTGCCTCTGGCACCTGGTTCGGATGGCGAGTCTGACGGCTGTCTCGAGTTTGTCAGCTATCGCGCCGTCGTGCCGCAGATGGATCAGTCCCTACAGACTGATGTGCCTACAGTGAACCAGAGCATCAATTCGTGCGAGTTCGCGCTGGGCGCCTACAATGCCAGAATGAGCGACATCCTCTCGTGGAACCCTAGTCTTAAGTCTATCAGCCCTTGCTACCTTCAAGAGGGATATAGATACTGTGCTGCTCATAAGGACTCCACACGTAAGTGATTTCTCGTCTTTGTTTTCCTTCAGCCCTCTACCCCAGTCGAAATCGCCGCCGTCCCCGAGCTCTGACCATCGATATGTATAGCATCACCTTCGCCGACCAACACCAGGGACTGTTTGCCCATCGACGAACCATATCCCGGCACCGACTCATCGTGCTCCTGCTTCACCGTCATTCAAGGCTATGCAGCTTCATGTAAGTGGACCACTGCCACTTCCCTATTTTCTCATAGAAAATGTTCCGAGAAAAGTTTCTGATCCTTCCGTTCAAACGCACAGATTTCGACTGCCAGGGTCTGATTGACGAACAGAAAATCGCACTCAAGGACCTCCTCAGCTTGAATCCATGGATTGGCGGAACCGACATATCCAGCTGTACCTCGGGATTGTACGCCGGACTCGCGGTGGACGCCGAGCGTGCTGTCTGTGTCGGGACAGGTGGAACTCCTATACCGGGCGGTCCAACTTCTTCTTCCTCGTCATCGTCCGTTCCCTCAACGTCGACAGGAGCAGCAACACCAACAACAGCAACAACAACGTCGACGTCGGCGGGCGCAACTCCAGCCGCACCGACGCAGACTGGCATCGTCGCAGGGTGTCGCAAGTTCTACACCGCCAAGTCGGGCGATGGGTGCTGGAGCATCGCCAACGACAATGGTATCGCGCTGGACAGCTTCTACCAGTGGAACTCTGCAGGTAAGTTATAAAAGAAAACCAGCTCGTGAACTCTTCCCTACAAAACTCGCCTCAAACCTCTTGAGCAACCCCCGGCGCGCTTCATTACATAATCCCCTGGACCCTTCCCGAGACTGACACTTTTTCGAATCTCTTCCTCCAAAACTTAGTCGGCACCGACTGCGCGAACCTCTGGCTCGGCTACGCATATTGCGTTCAAGGCCCCGCCCCAGTCCCTGCCCCGGGACCAACCCAGGAAGGCGTGACCTCGTCCTGTGTCAAGTGGCACAATGTCGTCTCGGGTGATAGCTGCCCGGCCATACAGAAGACGTACAATATTGCCCAGTTCTCGACGCTGCTGAGCTGGAACCCGAGTATCGGGTCCAACTGTGAGAACATGTGGCTCGGGTATAGCCTTTGTGTTATGGTCTAGATTAGGATATTTATCTGGATATTTAAGGGGGGGGAATGGGGCCCTGGTGATGGTGAGGGTGATTGTAGGCTGAAGATGAAGGCTTTTAATTGTGCAGGCTTAGTGCTGCGGCCCCATCACTTGATCAGGGCCTTACTGTGTACGTATGCACGTGTCAACGTTTTCTTCGTGTTGAACGTTTGGCCGAGGCGGGCGGTTTCAAAGCACACAGCGAAGCCGTGCAGATCACAAGGGCCATGGTGATGCGTTTGAGTATGTGGCTGGCATCCTACATCGGGCAAACCCCCTTGTACTGGACACTTATATGGAGACACCCCCTGGCCATAGTACATCAGGCCCTGGTTGCTGCGTCCTCGGCGCGCTATTAATGCAGATCTCCTTGTTGCGGAAACTGCACGCCGTACCCATGACAGGCTATGTAGGGCTGACCCACCAGCCAAAGGGCATTGAAGCATTCCCGGTGTATAAAAGACGGGACAAGCCGCCTCTCGGTCCTTTGTCCTTGTGCCCTCTCTGCCTTTACTCATTACACCACGCGTCCACAGATACACACACCTTCCAGCCACGGAATGCCAGTTATATCGGAAATAGCTGCCGCTCGATCAATACTGCGATCCGCCACACTTCAACGCCGTGTAGCCAGCTCCTCACGTTCTATCAGCTCGCGACCGAACAGCTTTACAAGTCTGCATACGCGCAACTTTTTCAAACACGGACCACTAGCAGGTCACTCCCGTCAGCTGCAGCGGCATCTGACATCATCATCATCGTCATCACCATCCCTGACAGCCTCCCAGCACCACAACAACCGAACACCTGGTATGTCAGACCCGCAGGACCAGAACACCAGCAGCATAACCGCGGGCAAGTCCGGCCTCGACCTGACAGAGGAGGACGCCCTGCGGTACCACCTCTCCCTCGAGCCCCCCAGCTGGCCCCACCGATGGGGCTGGGTGACCTACCGCACCGCGTACGCCCGGGACCTCGACGCGGGCTGGGCCGCCCTGCAGCGGCGCATCCGGGACGCCATGGCCAACCACGTCGACAACAACGCCGAGGAAGTCACCTTCTCAGAGGACATGGCGAGCAAGCGGGACTTTGTCTTCGTCGAGGACACCGGTCTCGAGGGCGTGTCCGCCGAGGCGCTGCGCACGGGGACGTTCCAGCCCTGGGCGCTCGCGGAGGCGTCCGGGGTTGATGGTTCCGCCTTCCGCGGGGCCAGGTATGACTATTTCCTCCAGGCAGATGAGGAGGCGTTGAGGAGTGTGCTGGGCATGTCCAACAAGGAAGATGGGAACGTGCGGTATCCGCCGCATGTCAACATCGTGCAGGCTTGGCCTGATGTCGATTCCGAGTTTGATGATGATGATGGAGAGGACCAGGCGCAATCTGGTGGCGACCCCGGCGAAGGGCCGATGGATAGGATGAAACTGCCCCTGGATGAGCTTGGTGTGCATAGTTACACGGAGCTGAACTCGCCGGATATGTGGTATGTCTTGTTGAGGTCGGCGCAGGTCAAGTGTGCGCCAATCAGGACTTGAATCACTACAGTGATGGAGCGGGAACGGGTCCTAGAGGCGCTGCTAGAGATATTCATGTATCAATATAGTATATCTTACGGAAGATGCAGCTGCCCGGATGCATGTTAGCGGGAGGCAAGTACAGTTCATAGCTACGTCGAAAGGATCAATCTACCCGAACAATCCAATGGGCTTCACTGGCCACGCAGGAACCTTGACAGCGACACTGAACTCATGGACGCCTGAGCCCACGACCAGCTTCTCCGTCTCAGAACCGGCAGGAAAGACCACCTCGGCCGTGGCATTTGGTGGCACAGTGACTGTCATGCGCAACCTCTTCTTCCTCGCCTCCTCGTTTGCACCCTCTGCCTCCGCATCTTGCACTACTTCTTCTTCGTCTTCTTCACCCTCCTCCAGCACCCACTGACTCCCCACCTTCCCATAAGGGGTATAATGCACCGCTTTCACCCTCGTCAACCCTCCTCCCACGACGGGCGCAACCTGGATCCTCCTCCACCCAGCCTCGAGCGCCTTGAGCCCCGCCGCACGCTCCCACATCCACCTAGCCACAGCACCCAGTGCGTAGTGGTTGAAGCTCGTCATCTCGCCCGGGTTGACGCTCCCGTCGGCCAGCATGCTGTCGTAGCGCTCCCAGATGGTCGTGGCGCCCATCTTGACGCTGTACAGCCACGAGGGGCATTCTTCGTTGCGCAGCAGCGCGTACGCGACGTCCTCGCCGCCGCCGCCTTGGTGCCCCGCGAGCGTCAGGGCCTCGCAGATGTAAGGGGTGCCGGCGAACCCGGTGCCGATCTTGAACGCGTTGCGCCGCACGAGGTACACCAGCCGGTCACAGGCGTGCCGGCGCTGGGCTGGGCTGGGGAACAGCCCGAAGACGATGGCCAGGGCGTACGCGGTCTGCGAGTCGGACACAAGCCGGCCCGCCGGGGTGAGGTACTCGTGCGCGAACTGGGAGCGCGCAGACGCGGCCTCGCGACGCAGACGCTCGGCGTCGGTGTTCTGGTGCAGGAGCGCGGCGACCTCAGCGGTCGTGTCGAGCGTGTGGATGAGGAAGGCATCGGCGACGAGGATCGCGTCTGTCTTGCCGCCGGCCGGGTTGTCGGGCGGTGCCGAAGGGTCGAGCCAGTCCTGTTTTTTGTGTGTGAGTACAGATTTCGTTGAGATAGGATTCATCCATCATGCGTGCCTTGCTCAGTCTGGGGCTCCGCTGACGATGATGAGATTAGAGAGAGTTTAGGGAACAAACAAACAAAAGGAAAAGAAACGCAAACGCTTACCCCAAGCTGGAGGAGCGAGGACTTCCACAGGTGCGTGTTGCCCGTCTTGTTCCTCGGAATGGCAGCGACCCAGTCCAGCATGCTCTGGTACTGCTCCCGCAGGATCTCGACATCGCCACTGGCCTGGTACAGCGCCCAAGGGGCCAGGACGGCGACATCGCCCCAGACCGCAACGGGCGTGACGCGGCCAAAGAAGGGATCGCGGGTGAGCACGTTGGGCACCACGAGGGGCGGGACGCCGGCGTGCTTGGCCTGCTCGGCGGCCAGGTCGCGCAGCCAGCCGCGCAGCATGTCGGTGCAGTTGTAGAGCAGGGTGGCCGTCGGGGCAAACATGGCAATGTCGCCCGTCCAGCCGAGCCGCTCGTCGCGCTGGGGGCAGTCGGTCGGGATGCTGAGGAAGTTGCCACGCATGCTCCACGTCACGTTGGCGTGGAGCCGGTTGAGCAGCTCGTCGGAGCAGGAGAAGGAGCCGGCGGGCGCCATGTCGGTGTGGCACACGACGGTCTCGACGCAGGACAGCAGGTCGCCATTGTTGTCGTTGTTGTCGTTGTTGCTGATGTTGTCGTTCTTGCTGTGGTTAAGGTTGCCGTCGTTTGTGTTGCTGCTGCCTCCTCTTGCTGCTGCCTCAGGCCACCCTTCCACCTGGACATATCGATACCCGTGGAACGTGAAGCGCGGCTCCCACGTCTCGCCCTCACCTGCGGACGAGTCGCTCCCCTTGCACGTATACTCGTCACGGTTGGCCGCCTTGCGCAGCGGCCGCGTCCCCAGCTCTCCCTTCTCGAGCACCTCGGCGTGGGACAGCGTGATCTTGTGGCCGCGACGGGCCCTGACCCTCTTGATCCGCGTGTACCCGACGAGGTTCTGCCCAAAGTCGAGGATCGTCTTGCCGCTGAGCGTCGTGATCCGCTGGACCGGCCGGACGACCTCGATGCGCCTCACGGGTGCCGCCTCGCCCGTGATAAGAGCCACCGTGTCCGGCAGAGGCCCGCGAACCGGCACGGGCTCCCACTGCGCTGCGGCCGCGTGTTTCTCCTCGTCCTCGGCTGGCCGTGGCGGTACATTTGGCGATGCTCGGTCATCACCCTCTGCTTCCACGGCCCCCGACCACCCTTCAATCTCGAGCCGCGCATCGTACTTCTCGCCATCGTACAGTTCAGCCAGCAGCGTCGGCCCCCTAGTCACCCTCCACGACGAGTCCGTGCTCACAACGACCTGCCTCGCCCCGTCCACAAACGTAACCTCGAGCTGTGCAAGCAGCGCCGGCCGCTCGCCAAAGTGGTTCCTCGCGATCGAGTCGTCCAGCCAGCTCAGCCGCCCGCAGAACCAGCCCTCGGCGACCCGGACCCCAATCACATTCTTCCTGGGTCTACCACCAACGCTGTTGCTGCTGCTGCCCCCGTGGATATACCCCGTGACATCATAGCACTGATACCGTAGCCGGCTCCGGTACTCGGTCCACCCGGGCGCCAGGAACTCGTCCCCCACCCGCCGGCCATTAATCTCGGCCTCGTACACCCCCTGCGCCGTGATGTACAGCCGTGCCGATCGGATCTGTCGCTGTGCTTCTTCTACAGCGGCGGGTGTAGCTGGCTGGACGACATCAAACTCGGCGCGGTACAGCTCCTCGCCCCGCGGGGTCTCAGCGGCCGACTGGCACTCGTCCCCCCACGACGGCGGCGAGGAGATGAGCTGGCCTTGCCAGTCCCCGCGGTCGAGCAGCCCCGTCTCGATGCTTGCGGGCTCGCTCCACGGGGTCCGTATGGTGTTTTGCGCGGCTTCTGCATCGGCCGCCCGGCTCTTCTCTGGTACAGCAGCAGCAGCAGCAGTAGTAGTGCTAGAACCAGTAGTGCTGGTGGTGGTGGTGGTGGTAGTGGTGGTCGTGCCCCAGGCCCGAACCCGCGCAAACACGGCCTGCCTCGACACCAAGTCCGGCAGCTTCGCCGGCCAGGGAACCAGCACGCTCTGGTCCGACTCGACCACCTCGCGATGCAAAATCTTTTGTCCTCCTCCCGCCGCCGCCGCCGCCGCCGCCCTGACGTCGGTTCCATCCTCTTCCTCGCCGTGGTGGCGCCCGTCAGGACCGGGACCAGGATCCGTAATAATGGTGGTGGAATCGTAAACCTCGAGCTCGTACCCAAGCTGGACAAACCCGGCGGGAACATTTGCAAACTTCCACGACAGCCGGGGCCGGACGGCCTGGGTGCCGAGCTGGTGGGCTACGGAGTAGTGCTCGAAACGCAGGCCGGCGATGCAAGGCTGCTCGTGCCGCTGCTGCTGTTGCTGTGAGGTCGCCTCCATGTCGTTGCCCCGTTGTCAGCTTTCCGAGGCAAGGAAGGAAGAAAACAAATTAGACCCGTGAATGGCTGAAAATAAGCAGGGATGATTGGCACAAAAAAGCAACGAATGCTCCTCTTATACGGCCCTCGAGCATGTCAAGTTGACGAACGAAGAGGTTTCCCAGGCGTCGGGAGTAGGAGGACACACACACACACACACACACACACACACACACACACTCACTCGCGGTAATCATGTGCCGAACCCCCGGCACTTGCTCGCCCGGCTCGCCTCGCCTGGCTGTGCGGGCGGGGGCTCTCCACTATTCCCCGGATGACCCCACATGCTCCTCCCCAGGCCGGGTGTCCCGTCGGCTCGGCGGGGGAGACCCGGCGGCGGCGGGAGAGGCACCTTGGACTCCAGAGTGTTCTGCACTCAACGCATTACTGGACCCATCCCAGCAACCATGAAGGACGACGGACAGGTCCACTCCGTCAACACATTACACAGCGCGACTTGAGCAAATGAGAAACAGTGGTTTGGTCCAGTAATGTGTAATTTCTTTCTAACTTGAAGACATCGTCCATGTCCCGATCAATAGATAATACAATGCTGTACTAAAACCAACCCAAGACGCCACAGTAATAATAATAATAAAAGTTCATGAGTCTTTTCTCTGCCCAATACCCTCCTCATAACATCATGTCAGAATCCACGAAGCCTTTACTTGAGGAACTTGAGAATCTCCTCGCGCTCGCCAACAGGCATCATGTGGAGCATCTCCTTCAGACCCTTGAGGGCAGAAGACTTGTCGCCCCGCATGAGCGTGGCCATCTGGTTGGCAACAGAGTTGGCCTTGACAGATTCGACCTTGCCGGCAATGAGCTTGGCGTTCTCCTCGTACCAGGAGACGACGGCCTTGTCGTTGGTGGCAAAGTCGGAGATGCCAGTCCAGGCGGCGAGGTGACGCAGGTGGTCAGCCCGGTCCTCGGCGCTAGACTTGGGGGTGCTGTTGACGGCGGCGGCCATCTTCTTGAGGATGTACTCCTCGTTGAGACGTCTGCGCAGGCGCCAGTAGAAGAAGCGGCGAGCGTTCTTCCACTCGATAATCTCACGGATCGTGCCCTTGGCCTTCATGCGACCAGCACGGTCGTGCAGATCGGCAAACTGGATGCTGATCTGGCTGTAGATGGGCAGAAGCTGCTTCTCGCGAGCAACCATCTTGCCCTTGATCGCCTCAAGCTCGTCCTTGGACAGGTTCTTGTCGGCGGCCTGCTTGCGGAGAGCGCCGTATGCGGGGTCAAGGCGGGCCATGGTCTCAAGTTGCTTGTCCTTCTTGTACTTGATACCGACGATACCCTCGGGCTCGAGGACACCACCACGAGAGTCGACATCGGCGTACATCTCCATAGCGGTGGGGTTGATGGTGGGATCGACGACGACCCAAGAACCACCACGAAGCTCGCCAAAGGGAGGAATGTAGACGAAGATGGGCTGCTCGTACTTGACGAGGGCGTCGACAATGTACGAACCGTACTTGAGCACCTCGTTGTACATGTCGCGCTGGCCACCAGAGAAACCTCTCCAGTTGGCGAGGATCATCAGCGGAAGCTGCTCACCATTGTTGAAGTCGTTGATGGCCTGGGCAGTCTTGAAAGCGGAGTTGGGATACCAAACACCACCAGCCTCGTTGGTCACCTGCTCGACGGAGTCGGGGTTGGCAGGGTCGGCAGGCGTGACGTTCTCAACGGTGCGCGACTCGACCGCAATGACACCCATGGGGATACCGCCGAGGCGAGCACGCCCGACAACGACAGTGCGGGCCCAGCCGCCAAGAGTCTCGACGAAAGATCCCTTGTCAAACAGACCAGACTCGAAGCCAGACTCATCCTGCTTGCCATCAATGAGCCATCTGACATCGAAGGGCTGCTTGTTCGGGGGCGTGTAGATGATCTCACGGTCCCAGGAGTCAGTGGTAGGGGCAATGGGAACGGGGAGACCGCGCGAGGCAGGGACAAAAGACAGCCACTCGACAATCTTGCAAACACCAGCGAAATCGTCGTTGGCAGTCATGTGCGAGACACCGTTGCGGTACATGATCTGAGTGCCACCCAGCTGCAGGTTGGAAGTGTACACCTCGCGACCGAGGACATTGTTCAGGGCACCGGCACCAGTGAGAATGATGGGCTGTCCCTCAATCTGCACGGCACGCTGGCCAAGACGGACAAGGTACGCGCCGATACCTAAGAACTGTTAGCGTGATCTTCTTCTTTCACAAGGTCACACAAAGATAACTTACCGACTGAGCGACAGGTGATGAGTGTGCAAGTGAAGATATCCTGGTAGGCTCGGCTGGTGGCACCAGCAATGAGACCAGAACCCTTCAAACACTCGACACCCAGACCATCCTCGGCACCAACGATGGCGTTGATCTTGTGGCGCTTCTCGCCGTTGTCGGTGATCTCCTCAGTAATGACATCGCCATTGAACTGCTTCTTGGCCTCCTCGTCCAGGTAGAGGTAGCGGAAGCCACGGCTCTGCTCAGCGTCGTCGTTCCAGGCAACCTTGAAGTGGGGGATCAGCTCCTCAGCAAGACCCAGGCGTGCACCGGAGTTGGCAGAGAGGTAAATGCGAGGGATGCCAAGGGCGCGGGCAAGCTCGGTGCACTTGTTGAAGAAGTGGTCCTCCTTGGGGCCGAAGGAACCAATCTTGTAGGTGATATCGTTGGCAACAATGATGAAACGGCGGCCTGAGGGGTACTCGGGAGTGCGAGCCTTGATGACCCAACCAACCATGCCACAGGTGTTGTTGCCAGGGTCGCGAGCAACCTCGGCCAGCTTGTCCTGGTCATCCAGGACAAGCTCGTTGAAGGTGATGCACTCGCCAGTGGCAGGCTGCTTGTCAGCCAGGCCGGGGTGCGACTTGACAACCTTGGTCCAGCTGTTCTGGATGGCCTGGCGGAACAGCTCTGGGAAGTCGTACACGTATTGAGTACCCATGAGGTGAGCCTTGTAGCGCTTGGGCTGCAGCCAGTTCTTGGTCGGGTAGGGCGAGTTGACGGGCATCAGGTGCATAGAGCCGATCTTAGTGGTGCCACCAATAGACTGGAAGACCATCTCACCCTTCTCGGACTTGCGCTCCGAGTAGATCTCGACCTGGATGACATAACCAGACGTGTTCGTGATGATGACACGCATGGGCATGGGGTTGCCACTGACAGGGTCAGTGCAGACGATGCGGATCTCAACCTGCGAGACACGCAGGCGCCAGCCACGAGGGCCGAAGCGTTCAAGGAAACCTCCGAGGGAGGCCTCAACCTCTTCAGGCTTGAGCTGGAACACGGGAGTAAAGTTGAGGAACAAGTGGTTCAAATCGGAGTTGTTGTTGCCGAGAATCTCGAGCGCGTCGAAAATGTCGTTGATGACCCGGTCAGCCTCAGAGATCAGGTACTCCGCAGTGGGAATGTCATCCCGAAGGCGGCCAGGTCTGATGGCAGCACGAGTGAAGAAGCGCTTGTCAGTCTCGACACCCTTGCCCACAGCCTCGTACATGTGAATATTCTTGTTCTCGGTGAAGACAGGGGTGATCTTGAACTTGGACAGGCGGCTAAGCTCGAGCTGGAAGGCAAGAGCGGGCTCCATGTGACGGAGAGTGTCGTTCTCCTCGTACTCGGGGCCACGGAAGGTGTAGTAGCCAGGGTAGCTACCATCGGTGTGGCCACAGATGAAGGTGACGCGGCGCACGCGGTGCGCAAGCAAGTCTTCCTTGAAATTGGCAATGATGCCACGAATACGGTCCAAGTTCTCCTGGTCAGAACGGTGCTCCGAGTCGCAGATGGCAATGTGTACAACGTGTGCGAGCTCGTCTTCCGCAGCCTTGGGAGCAAACGACTTGCGCTTGCCAGTCAGGTCAGGGAGAGCGCTTGGGGTGCGCTTGGCACTCTTCGGCAGCACGTCAAGTGCCTTCTGGAGAAGCTCCTCAGCCTCGTCAAGGAAGCGTGCAGGGACGATCACACCCTTCCGGGTGGGCTCCTGGCCGGTCTTGGACTTGATGTACGACATGTCGCTCACGGAGTTGATGCGGTTGAAGCCAAACTCCTGAGTCGGGGTGCCGGGCACCGAGGGGTTCGTGGACTGAGTGGGGATACCGTACTCGGTCTGGCCCATCTTGCCCAGAGCAAAGTCCCAGGACATGAAAGAGGGGTTGGTATCGGTCTCGTCAGCGTGGTACTGGACACCCTGGAGGTCATAGGCACGATACGCGCGACGAACGTAGACCTCAAGAGCGGCCATGGAGACCCAAGGGTCGTCATGGCTGAAGAAGGAAGTCAAGACATCGAATACCGTATACTTGGAGTCGACGACCTCCTTGATGACATCCAAGCTCGGCTCTCGGTGTTCCCAGCCAGTCTCGCCATACTTGTTCTCGACGACTGAGGAGCGGAGGATGTGCTCCATCTGCGCGGTACGCTCCTCGAGCGAGGGCATAGCGCACTGGATCAGGAACTCGCGGGCCTTCAGAGAAACCTTGGCAGTCTCGCGAGACTCGAGCTCGGTGAGCTTGCGGAGAGCGCCTCTCAGGTACTTGCTCACATTGCCAACGCTAGGCTTGTTAGGACGGTAGAGGTCGAGCAGCGAGAGGATGAGGTTGTTCTTGGAGCCAACGCGGACGTGAGAGAGAACAGTCTGGACAATCTTGGGGTAGTCCTCACGGTTCTGGTCACGCAGCTTCAGGATGACCTCCTCGTCTTGGTTGCGAGAACCAGAGAAGAGCAACTCGACATCGGCGTAGGTGTCGATGAGTCCCGCAACGAGCTTGAGCTCGTGCACCTTCTGACCCTCAGAGTACGAGTCAAGGATCTCAACCAAGGGCTTGATTGTGTCCCTAAGCGTGTTGGCTTCGGCGGCAGTCGTGTTCTCCTCGAGGAACTTCTGGAGAGTGCGCGAGAGCTGCTTGGCTGGGAACTCGGTGTGGCGCGAAGCAGCACGCTCAACGACCTGCGTGAACAGAGTGTCAAGCTTCTGGGGCATGCGGGAGTGCAGGGCGGATACCTGAGCGTTCCACTCGCTGTACGGCAGCTCCGGGCTTCGCAGGATCTCGATGTACTCGCGGAGGTAGTCCTGCATGACGACCGAGTTATCGTAACCAAGGAGGATGTTGTTCAGCGTGCCATTGATCAGCGCAAAACGCTGGTTGGGCTTGCTGCCAATGACCTGAGGCGGGCCGTACTCGGGCAGCTGGCCGAGGAAGGGAGCGGCCTGCTTGACGCGAGACGGGTCGTCCAGGGCGAGGATACCGAGGATATCACCAGCCTCGATGGTGGCTCCGGGCTGCTTGATGAGCTGGACGATGCCATCCTCCTGAGCGATGAGAGGCATGAACATCTTCATGACCTCGACCTCAGCGTAGGTCTGGCCAGCCTTGATATGCTCGCCGTTCTCGACCGTGTACTTGACCAGCTTACCGGGACTGGCAGTGCGCAGCTGAGTCGGGTCGTTCTCCTGCTCAAGCAAGCAAGTCTTGCTGTCGACGGAGATACGGGTCGCGCTGACCTCTTCACTCCAGTACACGCTGTGACTGCGGCCATCAAGCAGGATCAGGAGACCACCGTCACTGAGGGCACGGACACCCACGAGCACCTTGGAGCCGTTGATAAAGAGGTGGTAGCTGCTGGGACTAGCGCGCGAGACCGTGAACCTGTAGCGGGTACCCTCGTAGATGAAGTCGATCGTGAAGACGGTCTTCAGAACATCCTTGGCGGGGATCTGACCACGCTCAAGGCCAGCACGGTACTCGGCAATGCAGGCCTCGCTGGCAATGTGTGCCTTGGTAGTAGCACCGCACACGACAGCAAGCATGGGGTCGGGTCTCTCAGCCGTCAGCTTCTTCGAGATGAGCTCGTCGAGCCAGCCGGTGGTGATTGTGTTGTCCTCGAAAGCCTCAGTCTCGAGAAGCTTGATCAGGTACTCAACAGTGGTGCGGAAGTCGCCACGAATGCTGAGCTCCTTGAGCGCCACGACCATGTTCTTGCGGGACGCCGCGCGATTCTCGCCGTAGGCGAAGATGTGGCCGAACTGGGAGTCGGAAAGGGTGTGGATACTGGACGCCGTACTGACGGAGAAGTAACCCCAGACGTTGGCACTGGATCTAAAGTTGAGGTCGTGCATGACACCATTGGAAGGCTTGAATCCCTCACCGGGATCCTCAGAGGTGATACGGCACGCAGTGCAGTGACCCTTGGGGCTGGGGCGGCGCTGGACCTTGTCGCTGTCGGGATTCTTGAAGTTGAAGTCAATCTCAGTCGACAGCTTGGGGTCGACTCCGTAGAGCAGACGGATATCGCTGATGCGGTGCAGAGGGATACCCATGGCAACCTGGAGCTGAGCAACGGGCAAGTTGACACCGCTGACCATTTCGGTGGTAGGATGCTCGACTTGAAGACGAGGGTTGAGCTCGAGGAAGTAGAACTCGTCGTCGTCGTACGAGTACAGGTACTCGACAGTACCAGCCGAAACGTAGCCGACAAGCTGACCAAGGCGGACTGCGGCCTCCTCCATCTTCTTGAAGGTGGGCTGCTTGGCAATGGTGACAGGCGCCTCCTCAATGATCTTCTGGTGGCGACGCTGGACGGAACAATCTCTGCCGAACAGCGAAATGTTGTTGCCGTACTGATCAGCGAGGAGCTGAACCTCCAAGTGGCGAGCATTGCCAGCAAGCTTCATGATGAAGATGGGGGAGCCGGGAATCTCGCTGGCTGCCGCGCGGTAGAGCTCCTCGAAGCCATCCTCGGACATGGCCTTGCGGATACCCTTGCCACCACCACCCTCGGAGGCCTTGATCATGACAGGGAAGCCAATGGCCTTGGCCTTCTCCAGGCCCTCCTCCCAGGAGGACACGCAGCCCTTGAGGTAGACATCATCGGCAACTGTCACGATGCCGTCGGCGTCAACCTCGACCTCTGAGACGCCAGTACCAGACCAAGGGATACAAGGGACCTCGGCGCTCTGGGCGACGATTGTGGAGGAAATCTTGTCACCAAGCGAACGCATGGCAGATCCGGGAGGACCGATGAAGACAATCTTCTTTGGCGAAGCTGCCAGTGACTCTGGCAGCTTCGGGTTCTCGGAAGCGTGACCCCATCCGGCCCACACGGCGTGGACGTTCATACGCTCGGCAACATCGACAATGAGCTCGACGTTGGCATAGTTGTGGTTGTTGGTGCCACCGGGCACCTCGACATAGTGGTCGGCCATTCTGATGTAATCGGCGTTGGCCGCGAGATCTTCGGGGGTGGCCATGACGGTGAACTGGATCGCCCGCTCATCGCCAAACGTCTCGTACGCCCATTTCCGTACTGATCTGATCTCCTTGACGGCGGCGATACCGTTGTTGGCAATCAGGACCTGTGGTAGGCCATGCTAGTCAGCAAAACTCGTTCTCGATAGCCCTCGTGGGTTCGCGGCAGGACTCACGTTTGTAATGACAGTGTGACCGTCGTGGTTGGCCACGAAGTCTTTGACCTTGGACGGCGGGGCATTCGCGAGCTTGTTGCCGCCGATGAAGTGGTCGGCAATCTTGTGCTTTTCGGCATAAGACGCCTTGCCGTTAGAGACGGGCACAGTCCGGCTGCCGTTAGCGGCGGGACGACCGTTTATCTCAGTCATTGTGAATATGTGTGTGATGCGACAAGAGGAGGAGTATGTCGAAGTGGGTTTGTTTCGTGGACGCGATCCGGGAGGATTGTCGGATCGTCTGATTGAGTAGCTCGAGTGCTTTACGTCTGAACGTGAGGAAATGCGGAGTCAGATCCCGTGCAGAGGAATTGATTGAGCCTGTAGAGGCAATTGCCGGGTGCAGCTTACTGTGAGGTCGTGGTAAGCCCGACGGCGTTGCAGATCGCGGGAGTGGGCGAAGCTGCGGTGTAGAGTAGTAATAGTGTCTAGTACGAGGGCAGCCGTGTTAGCACTGGGAACAACGGACGAGGCTCCAAGCAGTCGCTTCCAGCTTGGCCGGCCAAGATGTGTGTAATCGAAAAAGAGAGGCGGTCGAAGCAGCCGGGGGGTCGGCGTCGGTGTCGGGGTCGGCGTTGTCGACCGTCAATGGCAGGCTGTCTGGCGAAATCGCCGACAGCAAGTAAATGCCAGGCACCAAAATGCAGGGCTCGGCAGCTGCAAGGGAGCACCTGGACAGCCCCTGGAGGGGGTGGCGGGCACGAGAGCGCTGACCCGCTGGCGGAAGGCGGGTGCGGATCGTGAGTCGCCGCCCGCGGGCAGCGTCTGCTGGGCAGAGGGGCACGAACGGCACCAGGCGGTGGACGGGAAGCTCTCGTTGCCCTGCAGGGCCATTCCCAAGTCCTGGCCCACCGGGCTTGTTGGGGTTGGAGGAGGAACCCACACCCGCGCAGTCTGCTGGGGACCGCGCGCCGATGCTGGCGTAGACACCACTCAAACGCACGCAGGCTTCGGGGCGTCCGTTGGCGCCGACCTTGTTCAGGATTGCTCGCCGCCGCTCCAGATCTTCTGCTGCTGCTGCTGCTGCTCGACTGTGCTGGTCCCTGGATCTGGCGAGTCGAGGCATCACAGCAGCTCCAGCTCGGTCGTCCTGTGCTTTGAATCTGTCGCCTCCGGCTGCCGTGCTGCTTCTGGTCGACATCTCTGCCTCCGTCTCTCCGCTGCTGTGCTGGCTGCCGTCGTCCACCACGGCTGCTGTATCTCGCGGACCGAAAAAGAAAACGAGGGGTTTCACAAAGGGGAGCTGGCACTTACACAGACAAAGAGAGCTCAGAGGCACTAAGCAGGAAAGTGAATTTCTGCTTGCTCGTCTTCTCTTGGGAGGAACCTTGCCGGGAGTAGTGTGGGCGGCTGAAGACAATGAGGTTGCGTGGGGAAGTCGAGGGGACCAGTCTCGGCTACGAAGGAAGGACGCAACGATCAAAGAGCAACAGCTGGGCAAAAGGTGATTTGAGGCGACCAACAACAAAAATGAGGCACAACCTCGGAGGAAGAATAGTTTGGAGGGAGATGAGGAGAGGGAAGGAGAGAGAGAGGAGCTCGACCAGAGTCGTTGGGCAGGGGCGAGCCAGGACGGAGCTTCCTCTAAGTACCCTCGCGGCTGTTTGAGGCACGATGGGATGGCGGGCGGGCACCTGAGAAATGCTGAGACCTGCCCGCACCCGCTAGCCTCGAGGGGCTTGGCTAACAACTGTCATGATCTGCACTCACCCCAGAGCGCCCGGCTCGTCGCTTACACGGCCAGTCTCGATGCCGATGGTGGCTAAGGCATTTTGCTAAACATTCGGCAGACCCAGCGGGCCGGGGCCACAGCTTGGGAGCTCCTACACCGCCCAGCCAATCCCAGCACACGCCTCGGTGCGTTGGGGACATTGGCCCCACAGCCAGCAACCTTTTTTCCTTCCGATGCTTCTGTCTCTCTCTCACCTTCGCTCTAATATTGACCTGCACCCGCCCCAGGCCCGACGGACCCTCTTCGGCCGCAAGGGGGGCCGTCTTTGGGAGATTGCTAGCAGCCCAGGCACTATCTGAAGATCTCGAGGTTTCGACCAAATCTACCACTGAGCAGAGCAGAGCAGAATGCGTGTGACCCGGGCAGCGGATCGATGCTTACGCAGTGCTTGGGTGGGTCCCCCGGGGAGACATGACAGGCCTACTAAGCCGTCGTGGCAAACGACAGGTACCTGGAGGAGCCATTGTCTAACTTTGGAGCTGCCATCCACGCGTGTGCTTATTGTATCGAGGCATCAGTGTGGTTCTGTGACGCACAGAAGGAAACGATGGTCCAGCTCGTCAGCTCTGCTTGCAACAATCTCTCGTTGCAACTCGATATTGTGAACCCCCCAGCGGAAATGGTTGACGCCTGACAGGTTGGCGGCGAGTGGATCCAGGGGTCCTCTGGGTTTCTTTCTGAGGTCCATCGACTGGGGGGGAGCACCCTGGCCCTACAAGATTCGCGTCCCGCGGCCGGCCGTGAAAGTGGACGGAGCACCGGCCGGGCCAAGGCGTCGTCGAGTGCGCCTAAGTGAAGCTTTGTCTGACGGACAGAGAGGCCACGGCGCCGAGGATGCTAGTCGGCCATACTCGGAGATCGAGGGGAGGACGGGAGCATCTGGCGTTGCGTGGATTGGGACGGATCTCGCAATAAGCTCAACGCATTGCTGGGCCAGGGTGCCGGGTGGTGGGGAGGGGCCCCTGCCTGGAGTGGCATTCTGAGGACCGCCAGAGCGAAAGGGGGTGTGAAATGTCTCGGTGCGGGACTTTGGCAACCCTGTCCCGGGAAGAATGTCAGCGAGTTGGCTTCTCGAAGGCGGCCCACCTGGCCAGCCGTCCATGTTGTCGTTGCTTGTTGCTTGGGTCACCACGAGCAAATCCAGTGTTGCGTGCCCGCGGCCAGTTGTCCATCACCACCACCACCACCAATGTACGCGCACTGCAGCGAATTGTGCGCAGAATTGCTCGTACACGGACTGCCAGTACTGGACGCGGCGTGGCAATGCTGGGCTGGGCGTGGTCGTCGATATGCTCGCCGCGTGGTGTCGCTGAAAATTGGAGGTGGGGCTGGCGAGGAGAATTCGTAGTGGGGGCTCAATTGTTGGGGTAGGTCCGCCCACAATGCAGCCAGCCCGACCCGGCTCGACTCCTGAGGCACCAGCAGACACTAAACCACAGGCACACACACTTTTTGGGGGAAAGGACGGTGCACCACCACCGCCAGCACCTCGACTGCCCAAAAGTTGTCCCCGATATCAACGATAGGCCCCTGGCAGCCCGTGCCTTGGGCAATCGATCTCTGAGGAGCTTCCATGTCTCCGGCACGTCTCACTTCCTTGCATGCTCCACGACAGCTCCCACCACGCCTCGTCGACACTCGCAACCTCCCCCACCCGGCTCCACCAGGCACAGGGTCTGTCCCCCAAGTTTCCAGTCCAGCAACAAACAGCCCGTCAATGATATCTTGCCGATTTTCAAAGTCGAGCGGCCCCCTAAACTGGCGCCGGGCGAGCGAGGGCCAGCGAGCTATCACGGGCATTCAGCTCACCCAGGCCAGTTGGTGGCTTACGGCCTGTGGACAGGCACCCATGCCGGCCTGCCTGGCCGGGACGCTCTCCAGCAAAAGAATGACGCAATGATGCATCCCAGGCATAGTAAACAATGCTGTCGCTGCTTAGCTAATTCACTCAGGCCGGCAACCCACTCCTCCTCCCCGTCTCCAACAGCTCCTCACCACACCTCACTCCAGCTCCGTCCGACTCGGGGCGTGCTTGTTCTCGCGCACAGCCCAGCTGTAGACGCCCGCCTCGGCCCGTGTCGCTGGTCAGCCTGCCGCCACAGGGAACCACCATCGGCGCCACTGCTGTTCATATGCTGCACATACATAACCACCGCCGTCCTCTGCATCATGGCCTTGGCCTGGAACACACACACAACCGCAGGAGCAGGTCGGCGAAGAACACGGTCGGGTCGTGATACTGGCATGCACGACACCCACAATAGGGTCGTGGCTGCGGCAACGACTCAGCGGTGCTAGTCCCAGGCCAAGAATAGACATTTCTCTACTCCCGGCGACACTGGCCAGCCTCAAGCTGCGAAAGTGTGCAAGTCAAAGCCGGTGGACACCGGCACACACACCACACGTCCCCGGATTTGCTTACTCAATCGTCACGGACAGCCGTGCGGGGACTGCCGTCAGCTCGCGGGCTTGGTGCCCAGTCAGCCAGCCGGGTCGTCTGCTTTCGGTCGAGATGGGCCTATTCAGTCCAGTACATTTATTGACCGTTGCATGCCGCACTGCACATGCGAGGCTTAATTGACCCAGGATTCTGGAGTCGGATCGTGTCTGCTCACGTGGCATAGCAGCGGCGGCCCAGGGAGGACAAGCTACACGGGTGACGACGACCCGGAGCTGTCTCCGCCACCATGGGCGCCAGGCTTCCAATGCTGCTGTTGGCGACTTGACGCGGCTACTATGAAGACATCGTGAGCTTACCCCTTGTACACTTGTCTGCCGACACCGCGAGTAGGCAACCACATCGCAGACTCCCTCGCTCTTGCCGCAGCCTCGGGTCGCCATTCTTGCTTGGCGTTCGGCATCTAAAGTCCCCTATCACGACAGGGGCAACATGTGTCACGGCTGCCATCAATTCTCTGATATTCCATACCCGCACGATCATCGATGCGCCTGGCGGTATCCGAGACAGCTACACGCCCCCGGTGTAATAATGACATCGTCGCGCACGTTCGGCTGTTTCCGGTTTCCAGCCTCCATATTGCCAATCCTGCCTCACTTCCGAAACAAGGGAGCCACAGTAATCCGACCCTCCACCTCGTTCTCCTTCAACCACCAACCAGCCCTGCGAGTCTACATAAGGACTGGTCGTGTCACCTCACGTGCTCCTCGTCTCCCTTGTGTCTCTGGCGGCGACTGAGACTCAATTCTCCTGTTGGTCTACATTGTCCTAGTTGATACTCTTTTGTCCATGCTCATGCTCAGACATTGAGACAACTACGTGCATTTGTCCATCCTCCCCACTGGGAGAGGGGACTCTCGTGTAGGTCATTTGTCAGACACAACTTCGTTAGCAAGACCTGCCGCCGGATCAGAATACTGGGATGGATCACCTCTGGGCAAAAGAAGAAGAAGGTGGCCGACAGCAAAAGAAAAGGAAATCCAAAAGTGAAGGTCTGGCCAGGTGACATGGAGTGACAAAGCCTGGTCAACATCACACTTCATCTTTTGTGGAGAAAAGATAAACGAAGAAGCAATAGAGAGAACAGGGCACTTACATTTCGATTGAAATTCATCCCCCGATTTCATCGGAGCCGAAGAAACTGCCCAGAAATTCAGGCGAGAAAAAAAAAAAAAAAGAATTCATAAAAAAACTAGAAATAACTAAAGTAGAGAATGGAGCCAAGGAAGAAAACAAAACTCCACATCAAACACGAAACAACATGTACTGTCATGTTTCGGTTTGACCAGTTATCCATCTTAATCTCTCTAAACTCCCCACAGCAGACACCCGCGAATCCGCGGCATCACCACTATCTCTCATTGTTCAATGTCAAGAACTTTTAGTTTATTTTCTTTTCTTTTTGGGTGACTATTAATCCATCGCTTTTTGGGAAAGGGGGGCGGCTGTTTCATAGATATGAAACCCCGAAACCCACGGAGGGGGACAAAGTTCCTATTCTGTCTTGCTGTATATTTCCAGGGAGACAGTTTTTTTAAGAAACCAAGACGAACACACGGAGGAGGAGGTACGCCGTTCGACAGAATACTGCCACCAGGATTTTATTCTCTTATTGCTTTTTTCTTTTTTCTTCCTTTTAATTTTGAACCAAACTGCAGTTGCAGATACTTATGTGCACGGAATGATGCTGGCTGGCGGTAGTAGTGCCGGTGATGTATAAAGTAATGTACAAGTGATACAAGCCCCAATCCCACGATGGGGGTTATATGGCACACATGCAAACACGCCACAAACGGAAGCATCCTGTCCTGTATCGACGCGCAGGCGTGACCAGCCAAATGCAGAAAAGAGTGGCCAACGAATAGCACAGTATACCCTTGGATCAAGTCAAGTTCAATTCTTCTCCTCACTCGTGGGGTCACAAATACATCTACTATCCTCCTCGCGCAATAATGCCCCAAGGCAGACTCAACTTGACGGCTCCTTCGCCAGCTTTACTTCCTCTTTCTCAAGGCTGCCTTGTCGGCACGGAGGCGATTGGATCCAGGTGATACGGCACGACATGGTCCTCATCATCGTCACCGTGCGGCCCGTCCTCGGCACCAGACGAAGCATTGGCATAGCTGCTCCGCCGGCTGACGTCCCGAGAGTGCCGCCTGCTCGCAGCCTGGAACGACGAGTGCCGCGACGTGGCGCCCGAGTGCATGCCAGGACGCCGGGGATGCTTTTGCGGCTGTTGCTGTTGCTGCCCTGCACGCCCAGTAGTGGTGGGAGGTGTAGTAGTGGCGGGACCTTTCTCGACATCCCCTGCGGCGGGCGCGGCCGCGAGCGCCGCGCTGTTGCGCCTCCGTGCGTTCCCGGACACGCTGACCCTGCGGCCCTCGTGCTCTGCGTTGCCGGCCGCGAGGGACTGCGCGAAGGGGGACTTCTTGCGCAGCTCGGGACCCTTCCAGTAGATGACGTACACGGCGATGACGAGCACAAAGGCGATGCAGAACAGGATGGTCGACGCGTACTGCAGGTTCATGCCCTTTTCGGCGCCAATCTTGGTGTAGAAGGGCGTCGCCGGAACCGTGAGGATACCCGCCAGCACATCGCGCGCCCAGCCGTTACCTCCAGTCGCCGAGGCAGAGTAGACGGTGTACGCAGCGATCATGTAGTCTATCGTTGCGAGGTAGATTGCCTGTCCCAGCCGAGGTTAGTCGTGTATTGCCTTTTTGGAATATGCGAGCGGACAATAGGAGAGGAGAGGAGAAGCTTACAAAGTTGGCAACGCCGATGAGGGCGGCGCCAATCATCGAGGCGATCCACGGAATTGGGGGACCCGTGCTGGTCCAGGCAAAGATGATCAAGCCGAGAGGCAAACACGGCGCAAGATACAGAAGAAGCTTCAGGCGGGACTCGTATTGCGCGTACTCGTCGTCGGGGTTCGCCATGCGGCGCTTCTTGTTGCGCTCAAACGACGGGATGAACGCCAGCCAGCCGATCACGTAGCCCACGCCGATTGGGATGAAACTCAGACCGACCTGGTACGCATTGAAGTCCCAGCGGTCGCCATAGACAAGGACAAACGACTGGATGCACATGAAGATCAGGGCATCTGAGAAACCGGACAGTAGCGAGAGGACAAGCACGATGGGTTCGGTGAGGAACATGCGGAACGGCCGCAGCCAGGTGTACATGAGCTCTTTGAAGCTGAAACGCTCGCGGAAGGGCACGATCTCATCCGGGCCATAGACGTTGGGGTCTTGGCCGGACTTTCTGCGCTTCTTGGCGATGCGGTCGAGCATGATGGTCGTGCGCGTCTCGGGGACCGTGAGCAAGTGCAAGAGCTGCACAGCGCCGCCGAAGATGAGCTGGATCCAGATGGTCCAGCGCCAGTCGAGGAACTGCTCGACAAAGCCGCCGACAATAGGCCCCAGGATGGAGCCGCCCACAGACGAGAAGACAATGTAGGCCACGGCGTAGTGCTGGTTGTCGCTGTCGTACAAGTCGGCGACCATGCCCAAGGTCACACTGCCTCCGGCCGTGCTGAGACCACCCAGGAATCTGCCAGCGAGAAGGCAGCCAAAGTTGGGCGCCAGGGCGACGGGAAGTGTGAAGATGTTGACGAGAAACAAGGAGGCCTGGAGGATGGGTTTGCGGCCGAACTCCTCGGACCACGGGGCCCAGAGCTCGCAGCCAAAACCGTAAGCGACGAGGAATATGGCGGCTCCGGCGCGGGCGGCCTGCTCGCTGACATTGAACTCCTTGGAGATGCCACCGATGCCGTTGGAGTAGAGCGAGGTGTTGAAGTTCATGGAGGTCTGGACAAGGAAGATGATGGTGAGGATGTACCACTTCTTCCACGAGGGGAAGGCGAAGCCGAGCTCGTCCTCGCACTCCTCCTCGGTGATCTCGCGCTTGCCCTGGAGGCCAGCCTGTTTCTCCTTGTTGTGCTCGCGGGCACCGACGGTCTGGTTGACGGTCGGGCCGATGGCTGTGTGGCCGCCAAAAGTGGTGTCGGAGTCGAGGTCCGACTGGTGGTCGGCAGTGGCCCGGCCAGGGGAGCCAGGCCTCCGCTCCCGGTGCTGGGAATGGGCCGTGTTGTCGGTCATACTGGGTCGTCTAAGCCGTGATGTGTTGCATGTGTCGTGCCAAGGATGTACCACACGGGGCGGGATGAGGGAGCCACGACGCGGTAGACGGGCGTGTAGGGACGTCTGGTCCTCACTGGTGCGACAGAGGAGAGCACGAACACGTTGTTAGAGGGGAAGAGAGAGAGAGACAAAAAAGAAAGGGTCTACCGGATGGGTGATATAATCGAGACACAGGACTACCGTCATCCAAGGACGGCCCGGGGCAGACAGGTCTGGTCTGGGGTATGACCGCGTGCTGCCTACCTGGGGCTAGGTTGTGGGGAGAGGTGCAGAGACTGCACCGACGACATGCCAGATTGCATCATAGGCGGGAACCGGTACACCAGGAGGAGTCGAGATGCTGCAGCACGGCAGGGGCCTTTGACAAGTCTCGGGGTCGCTTAGAGGCCGCCTTGGGGGGGACCAACCCTTTCCCAGCGGATGCTGACATGGCGCTACCACGGGGTCCACCACATGCGAATGGTGCGGAATGGGGATCGGTGGATGACCGTCTGCTCGCGTGGGAAGCGAGGGCGAAGCACAGAAGGGCGTTGGCGAGTCCCGAGGTCTGGTATCGCGATCGAGGGCGTCTGACATGGAAGGAAGGCCCGAAGAGCGGGAGCGACAGGCGCGGAGCGGGCCCACTCCCATGACGCTGCTGCCAGTGGATCACGGATGAGCCAACCTCGACCCTCAACTCGAGGGCATGGAGATCCCATTATGGAATTGTGCCCCGTTCACGCACAAAGGGGTCTGTCTGTCCGAGGCACGTGGCAAGAGCAAAGGCCAGACGGGAGATTCCATTGCGATCAACAGGGACAGCCGCGCTCCTCCAGCTGTGCTTTGTCTTGTGTGCTGGAGGGGCAGATGGACATCGACGGGCCGATGACGATGGCTATCTCGAGATAGGCAGCAGACGCAGTGATATCATACCATGGCATGGCATGGCGCACACGGCCGAGTTGCACTCAATGAGGATGCGGCTCTTTTGTCGCGCAGGGTGGTCCGACAGGGGCGGCCTGCCGCTGGTCTGGCCTGGCGGTCGATCCCCAAAAGCTCCGCCCGTGCGCTAGTTACGGCTCGCGTGCGCGAGATTGTTGGCTCCAAAGGTGAGCAATGACGACATGGCAGCTAGCGGTCAGACGGCCGGCCTTGACTTCCCAAGGGTTTATCAAGTGTCCATACGAGCAGCGGCAAACACAGGTTCTTCCACCGACCAAAGGTATATCTGTCTACGTGAGGGGTCGTACTTGTGTGTGATTGGAGTCTGGCCTGGCCGGGCCTGTCCTTGGAGCTTGAGTTGTTCAAGCCCTATCGCCAAGGCGGGCACGACAAGTCGCAGGTGGGAGGGGGAAAGGAACCCTTGGCTGTCTTTTCAATTAAGCATCGCCAAGTGTCGTCATCATGGCCCGGGCCCTGGCTTGGCGAGCCAGCGCCCTTAGTCATCAGCTGCGCCAACCAAGCAAGCGCCCACTACTGCCTGGATGATTCGGCCGCCGTGCAGAACGACGGTGTCCAGAAACCCGGGCCGGGTTCGCCCAAGACGGAGTGTAGCACCTGGGCTGGACAGCTCTCACACCACTTTTCCTACTCTAGCCCATTCGCGCTCGCCGCCCAAGCGCACCACGGTGCAGAAAAGCAGCACTGGAACAGACACACTTGCTACCGCCGATCTGAGTCAATGGCTCCGTGACTGCAGGAGAGCAGTCCCGCCGCGCGTGGTGCAGTACTTCTGCGATATCGGGTCGCCCTGTTGCTCACCTTGCAGTGGGCTGTGACGCGCCCAGCACGCGAATGAGTCAGCGAGGCGCTGCACGCTGTGCACCCAAGGAGCACAAAAAAAAAAGTTCGAGTCTCAATCGACGGAAGGGGGTGAGCGTTTGCTATGCGCGCCGCTTCCGCCATGTACGGCACGACAGCCTCTTGCCTATTATTGTCTTGCTCTTCTTCTTCTTCTGCCGCTTCTTCGTCACGTTTCTGCAACTATACCCGCTCTCGTCTCTCGCGTTCTGCGCTGTCCTCTCTCCTCTGTACAACACCCTCCTCCACCCGCAACCTCTGCGCCTCCGGCCGGGTCACCGCGCTGCAGTCACCCCGCCATCGGCGCTCCTCGAGCCCGCTGCTGCCCTCCGCGCCGCCGCACCTGCCCCACCACGCCGCAAAACTCATAGCCAGCTTTTGCTGCTCCTCGACGACCACGGCCACAACCCCAACCCCACGATCCCTTCCCGCGACGATATCCTCGACCTTGACGTCGGCACCATCGCGCACCATGGCGACCCAGAGCATCGTCGACCAGCTCGAGCAGCTCAAGCTCCAGCCCTACCCCAACTGCTACCCCCACGTCAACCCCTTCGACATCTACCGTTCCCACATCACGACCCTCCTCCAGCCCATCACCGGCGTCGACGCCTCCATCATCTACAATGCCCTCCAATGGACCGCAACCCTCGACAAGGGCGATCTCGTCCTCGCCGTCCCTGCTCTCCGCGTCAAGGGTAAGAAGCCCGACCAGTTCGCCCAGGAGATTGTCGCCCAGTGGCCCGGCTCAGACCTCATCGAGACACCCACGGCCTTTGGCCCCTTTATGCAGTTCTTCTTCAAGACGGGGCCTCTGACCAAGACCCTCATCCCCATGGCCCGCACCCTCGGCCCCGACTTTGGCAAGAACAGTGCCAACGGCCTCCGCGACCCCTCCGACCCCTCCAAGAGCAAGAAGCGCATCGTCGTCGAGTTCTCCTCCCCCAACATTGCCAAGCCTTTCCACGCCGGCCACCTCCGCAGCACAATCATTGGTGGCTTCCTCGCCAAGCTGTACGATGGCGCCGGCTGGGACGTCAAGCGCATCAACTACCTCGGCGACTGGGGCAAGCAGTACGGCCTGCTCGCCCTCGGCTTCGAAAAGTACGGCAACAACGAGGACCTCGAGAAGGACCCCATCAACCACCTGTTCATGGTCTACGTCAAGATCAACCAGGACGTCGCCGCCGAGAAGGAGCAGGCCGAGGCCCTCACCAAGGAGGGCAAGACAGAGGAGGCCCAGAAGATCAAGGACACCGGCCTGGATGAGCAAGCTCGCAAGTACTTCAAGGCCATGACGGAGCAGGAGCCCAAGGCCATCGAGCAGTGGCGCAAGTTCCGCGCCCTCAGCATCCAGCGCTACAAGGAGACATACGCCCGGCTGAACATTGAGTTTGACGAGTACTCGGGAGAGTCGCAGGTGTCCGAGGAGGCCATGGCCGCGACGGCCGCCAAGCTCGTCGAGATGGGTGTCGCGGAGGAGTCCGAGGGCGCCCTGATTGTCGACTTCTCAAAACACATCCCCGGCAAGCCGGGCAAGTCTCTCGAGAAGCCCATCATCCGGAAAAAGGACGGCACCGCCCTGTACCTGACCCGCGACATCAGCGAGCTGCTGCACCGTGCCGAGAAGTACCAGTTTGACGAGATGATCTACGTCATTGCGTCGCAGCAGGACCTGCACGTCAAGCAGTTCTTCAAGATTGTCGAGCTCATGGGCCACAAGGAGCTCGCGGCCAAGTGCAAGCACATCAACTTTGGTCTCGTCCTGGGCATGAGCACCCGCAAGGGCACAGTCAAGTTCCTGGACGACATCCTGCGGGACGTCGGCGACTTCATGCACGACGTGATGCGCAAGAACGAGGACAAGTACAAGCAGGTCGAGAACCCGGAGAAGGTTGCCGACATTGTGGGCATCAGCAGTGTAATGGTGCAGGACCAGAGCGGCAAGCGGTAAGTGACACCTCATTTGATTGATTGATCTCTGGACGTTGTCAAGCATCTTGCACCTTTCTTTTTTTACTGACATCTTCAACCCTTGCTATAGTATCAACAACTACAAGTTCGACATGGAGACAATGACCTCGTTCGAGGGCGACACGGGCCCTTACCTGCAGTACGCGCACGCCCGCCTGTGCTCGATCACGCGCAAGGTGAACCTGAGCAGCGAGGAGCTCGCGGCCGCGGACCTGTCGATCCTGACCGAGAGCCACGCGACGCAGCTGGTGCGCACGCTGGCGCAGTGGCCCGACGTGGTGCAGAACACGCTCAAGACGCTCGAGCCCACGACCATCCTCACGTACCTGTTCAAGATGACGCACTCGCTCTCCTCGAGCTACGACCACCTCAAGATTGTCGGCTCCGAGCCCGAGGTCATGAAGGCCCGCATGGCGCTGTACGACTCGGCCCGCATCGTGCTGAGCAACGGCATGCGCCTGCTGGGCCTGACCCCCGTGGAGCGGATGTAGAGAGGTTGGGTATATGTGTGTTGACACTGCCGTGACGGGATGACAAGACAAGACAGGAGAAGAGAAGATGCCAAACAAATAAAAAAGAGAGAAAACTGTTGATGGCATATAGACGATATCCCCAGAATCAAAAATAGTAAAAAGTTGTCAAGTACTTCGTGTGATCTCCTGCCCCGATGTGAAGTAAGAGACTGTCAAGATGTGATGAATGACGTCTCGAGACTCGTCCAAAACGGGGCTCATTCTGCCAACACGTGCCGAAGTCACTGCTTTCCCCCATTCCGCCGGCCAGAGTTTGGTAGATCCATAAGGAGACTCACGATGGGCAAAGGATCAGACTACTCACGACAAGTAGCAGCAGGGTGGGTATATGTGAATAGGAGTATTTGCATTTGCATTGGGTATATATCTACATCCGTCTATGGAAAATAACGCCAAACTTTCCCCTATAAGTCTCACTTTGTCGCTGCACAAGCAAGGTGGGAAAGAATAAAAAGAAACCATGTAACAATCCAGGTTCAAAACCTACTTCACTTTAAAAGCAGTACTCCTCGACATGCAAAAAGATGCCCTGCGCGCCTGTGCCTTTATGCACGGCCCTCTCGTCGCTCAGCGCGGCCACACAGTTGCGCGTCGCCGCCACGAGGGACTGCCCGCCGCAGACGGCCACGCTGGTCTCCCCGCCCGTGGCCTCGACCGCGGTCCGGATGAAGACCTGGATGTCTGGCCGGGCAGCAGAGGTGGTGATCTGGACAATATCATCGTCGTTGTTGTTGTTGTGATCATTGTCATACTTGTTGCTGCCGGGCTTAGTTGTGTGGCAGCACGGCGCTGCCTCTGTGGGCTGCTCGGCCGTAACTGTAACCTCGATGTCCTTGTGCGGGTTCGCGCCGCTCTTCCTAAGGCTATCGCGGCTGTTGTTGCTGGCGGTCCGGAGTGCCGGGGTTATCTCGTCCGACTCGGACGACGAGGATGAATCGTTGCGTGAGTGCTTGCAGCATGATGGCGGGCCTGCCTTCTTCTCATCGAGATAAGCAGTCGTTTGTACTTTTGTAGGCAATGCCGTGATGGTTCCCAGCTGGTCCTTGCCGGTCACAGCGACGTGCACATTGAGCTCAATGCCCACGACACGGGCCTGGTCGACGGCTTCCCGCAGTCGCTCAATATAGAAGCCCAGCTCCTCTCCTTGCCGCGCTGCGAGAAGGAAGTCAACCCGTTTCGTGCAGGCCGTGCCCTGCGATTCGGCTGCCCTCAGCACATTTTCCAGGATAGGAAGGGTGAAAGAAGCTCCGGTCGAGGCCGAGATGAGGACCAAAGTCTCGTAGACATCCCACCTCGGCGGGTTGCCAAACGGCCCTATCACGAACGCGGTGAGCGTCCCGCGCTCGCCAGAGTCCGCCATCTTGCGGGCATGCCGATGCAGCTTCTTTGAGAAGCCTGAGTGTGACCGGATCACCAGCTGGATGCTGTTGCAGATACAAGTCTTGGGCATGCGGTGAGGACAGGCGATGGTATATGGGTGGATGTCAACGAGGCCGATCCGGGGAAGCCACAGCCAGAGATGCTGGCCGGGGCGCCACTTGAAGTGGACATCTTTGATGGTCACGACTGTCGTGGCGTCCCCGACTACAGCCAGCTGGACTTGATGGCCCCAACGCTGGCCGCCGCTGCAGCGAGAGCGGACCGGGTTGAGCTTGGTGTTCTGCCAGACGAGCATACAGCCACGGACGAGCCTGTCGAGGCACAGCAGGGCGACCGCGAACCAGACATTGTACTGGGCGTTCTGAGGCAGGTGGACGTATAACAGCCAGAGAAACAGCACAGCACCAATGATGTGCTGAATGACAAATACTTCGTAGGCCATGGACCGGAACGGCTTGAGAGAGGTGACGAAGAACCAAAGGAGGATGGCCCAGGCGCCGATGCCGTAGACGACCATGGGCATGGACTCGAGCTGCCACTCGACTATGTCGGCAATGACCCACTGCTGGTAGAAATGCCAGCCGTGGACGGTGGCGGTGACAAAGAGAGTGCGGGCGACCCAGCGGTGCAGCCAGTTGAGGCGCTCGTAGCTTGTTCCCGAGATGAGGCCTACGAGGTTGGTTTTGAGGGCAAGCATGTACAGTAAGGGCACCTGCATTACCGACGTCCAGGCGTTGCGATAGCCGATACGCTCCCAGAATAGCACGTCCTTGAAGATGGCATCGGCGGTCATCATGTAGATGATGACGGCCCAGTAGGCGAGCAGAAGTAGGATGCGGCCCATGGGCGGCGGCGAGAGCCACTGCAGCCCTCTCGTGGGGATGTAGAGCTGTGGGTAGCTGGCCTCGCGGGCGACAGCCGTCAGAGTTGCCCAAGCCTGCATCCAGGAGTTCTGAGGCTGAGTCGGATAAGCGACGGATCGCGCGCGCAGTGTCTTTAGTCTGAGCCTGTTCTGGATGTGGTCCACGCCGCGGATGACGAGGCAGAGTCCGAGCACGCCGGCGACCAGATACCAGAAGGCGGCGGCAAGCCCCATGTTTGTGGCGGACCACGAGTTGGAGGACATGCCGTGCATGTCGTGCCTGCGCTCCATGGTGGCGGTGTTGTTGTGATGCTCTCTGGCGAATTGTGGCGAGGATGAAGCAGATGGTGGAAGCAGTCAGTCGGTCGAGTCGAATGCAGCAGCCGGTGCTGGCGGTTAGGAAGGCTGAGGACTCAGACGTGAGAATCCATCGGGTCAAGAAGGATGCGCGCCGGTAGTACCTGGTGTTGCTGGTCTGGGGTGACGGTCTGGAGGTTGCAAGTCTGAGGCCCAGGAGATGGTTCCGCGTCGCATCTCGAGGCAGTTGCGCAGGTTCTTGAGACGACACCATCTACAATGCACCTTCCGTGCTGAGTCGATGCGGGCGCACCTGCAAGTACCCAGGTATCTTGCTCACGGGCTGGGCCTGCCGGACGCCACAACTTGCTCAAATGGCCTCAAACGGGCAATGGGGGCCGCAGCTGGCCACTCACAGCACCGCCCTCGGCAGGGCCCCGCCCCCGCGACAAGCACCCCTTCCCCTAGAGCCACACTGGGACTAGCGTCCTGCCGCTCGTCCAGGGTCCCAAAGGCCAAGCTTCCTCGCGGGGGGGAAACACCCGGATGGCTGACGACTGTTCTGCTCTACCCTGGCCTCAGGTTGCGATATGGGGCAAACCTTGGGAGAAACAAGGGGTTTCTGTTCACACTTTGGCAGATTTGGGATGGAGACCGTTCCCGAGGTCGGCTCCAACTAGCAGAGTGAGCACGTTTTGTGCCGCAGGGCCCGCCAGCGTGGTTCACCTGCGTCTCACCTCGGTCTCCTGGCGTCGCCTGTGGCTGCCCAGGTGCTGATTCCTCCTTGACCGGTCTGCGGGTGGCTTGCAGGTCGCGCCTTCTTATAAGCCGCGGCCTTTCCGCTCCCAGAAATCCCATCGGAGCCCGTTTTACCAGCGCGTCACTTTTTTTCTTTTTCACTCTCCCAATCGCAATTGACTCTCGAACCTACTCATCTTCGTCCCAATTACCTCAACCTTACAGCCACCACAGCTCCCAAAAGCGCACAACCACACACCCACTCCCCAGTCAAACAAGATGGCGCCCTCCCTCCTCTCCGCCGCTGCCGCGGCCCTGCTCCTCGCCAGCCAAGCCGCCGCCCACTTCACCGTCCAGTACCCGCCCACCATCCAGCCCTTCAGCGACGACGGCGAGGACCAGGCCCCCTGTGGCGGCTACACGCCCGACCTGGCCTCAGCGTCCACCGTCACCGAGTTCCACGTCGGCGGCGACTCGATCGCCACAAAGTCGTCCCACTCGCAGCAGAACTGGCTCTACCGCATCACCACCGACAACTCGGCCTCCAGCAGCGCGAACTGGACCCAGATCGGCGCCATCACCACCCAGAGCGGCGCGGGCGCCTACTGCCAGTCCAAGATCACCGTTCCCGACGCGTGGGTCGGCAAGACGGCCATCCTTAGCATTGTCGGCAGCGCCCCCGATGGGCTGCTGTACCAGGTATGTACACAGCGCCCTTCCAATCGTTATTATTCGCTTTGTCCTATCCGAAAGCCTCGCGCTGTTTGGAGGCACAGTTGATGCCCGTATCTATACTCATCCTGGCCAAAATCCACTAACCCGTGCCCGTCTGGTAATAGTGCTCCGCTGTAAAGTTCGTCGCCGGCACCGCCCCCTCGACCCCAAGCCAGTGCACGACCGCCAACGGCGTCGAGTCATTTGGCGCGTCAGACCCGGCCCTGTCCGCGCTCGTCAGCAACGGTGGCGGCAGCTCCTCGTCCCCCACGCCGTCTGGGACGCCCTCCTCGTCCACGCCGGCAAGCTCGTCCGGCACGCCCAGGCCGTCTACCACGCCCAACGCTGCCGCCCCCGCGGCTGCTGCTGCCGGGGTTGTCGGCGCGGTCGTGTTTGGTGTTGCGGCCATGTTGGTCTAATTGGTAGTTGGACCCTCGGGGGGGACCTTTTAAGGAAAGTTTGTTTTTGCTGTGCTCGGCAAAGGATAGTGAGATAAACATTTGCATTTACATCGCGAGAGCCAAGGGTAGAAAAGGAAGGAGAATTTAGCGATGTTTTATAGCGTACGAATACCAAGGGTTATCATCTGTGCATCTCCTGCTTTCATCCCAAGCATGATATAATTCTCAAAAACCGCCGACGAGCAGAAGAGAGTAAGCCCCAGCTGATCCTTGTGAACTGAGGCTGGTATAAGTAACTCCCGAGCCATTCCTCATCTTGGATTCCCAAATTCAGTTTCCCCGTGTAGAAAGCTGTCTGATCGAACAGCGGAAGCCTTTCCGTGCGTCCGAAACAGTAGCGCTAACAAAGCCACCCGTGTAGAGCGAGAGGGAAGCATCACCTACTTAGGCGGCACTACCGCCCTGGATGATCTTCTCCATCTCGGCGGCGTCCTTGACGGCATCGGTCAAGTTGACCGACCCGTCTTCCGTGATGAGGATGTTGTCCTCGATCCTGAAACGGAATCAATTAGTCAATTAAACCAAGCAGCAAGGAGAGGGGAAAGGTTAAAAAACGTACCGCACGCCACCGACATCCCAGTACTGATCCAGCACGGCCTCGTCGATGAACCGCGCGTGCTTGGGATCCGCGAGGAAGGGGCGGATGATGAATTCGCAGAAGTAGATCTGTTATGAGTTGGAAACCGCAATTGTTAGCTTGTGATTGTGCAAGGTCTTTTTCTTTCTTTCTTTTCTCTTCTCTTTTGTTTTTGGCCCTGGCCCTGGCGGCCGTGTCTTTCCACACATGTACCTTTCCCCCCGCAACTCCAGTCCAGGAAAAGGGCTGGGGGCTATTGCGGATGGGACTCGCCGCTGCCGCTGCCCAAGGCCATCAAAAAGGAGTAGAAAAAAACGAGCACAGTGAAGCAAAGGGAACAGAAGCACAAAGAACAACAAAACTTACACCAGGCTCCACAGTAACCACACTGCCCGCCGGCAAGTCCCTCCTCACCCGCAGGTACCGGAACAGCGGGTCCTTGTCCGCGTAGTTCGGGTGGCCGCCCGTGTCGTGCGTGTCCATGCCGAGGTAGTGTCCCAGGCCGTGCGGGAGGAACGCCGCGCTGGTGCGGGCCTCGAGGATCTCGTCGACCGTCCCCGCCCCTTTCTTGAAGATGCCCAGCTCGAGCAGGCCCTCGATGGCGATGCGATGCGCGAGCAGGTGCACCGAGTCCCAGGACACGCCGGCCTTGAGCATCGCGATGGTGTCGAGCTGCATCTTGAGCACAATGTCGTAGATTGCGCGGGCGCGCGGGGAGAACTTTCCAGAGATGGGGAAGGTGCGTGTCTGTTGGGACGTGTAAGCAAGTAAGTAAGTACGTGTTAAACCTGGGTCTGTTCGGGGATAGAGAGTCGGGAGTTTCTTTGCTCAGGGCATGTTTGAGCACTTTTGGTTGATATGCTGTAGCTCAATTACAAGAAATGAAGCCAGAAAGCTCGCATCATCATTGGCATGAGAGCAGCGCAATAATGATACTTGCGCAGCAGCAACGACCACGAAAAGTAACAGGAGGAAACAGGCAAACGAGACTGGCAAAGGAAAAAACCTACAATATCAGAAGCATAGCAGTCCCACTCGGCACCCGCATCCACGAGCAGCAGCTCCTTGCCGCCCAGGGGCTTGTTGTTGTGTACATAGTGCAGGGTGGCCGCGTCGCGCCCGCTGGCCACGATGCACGGGTACGCCTGCTCCTTTGCGCCGCGGGACACGCACTCGCCCAGGAAGACGCCCTGCAGCTCGTACTCGTTCTGTGCGCCCTTTGTGCGTTGCATGACGGCGCGGTGCGCGGCGCCCGAGACCCGGTTCGCCTTGACGATCAGGGCGACCTCGTACTCGTCCTTGACCACGCGGCACTCGTCGATGGCATCGCCCAGCACCGACAGGTTCTTGGTGCCGAACTCGAGAAAGGTGACGCGGTCGGCGACGCGGTCGGCAATGGCGAACAGCGTGGCGGTGGGGTTCGCCGCGCCGAGCCGGGCGAGGGTCGGGTTGAGCTCCGTGTTGGGCAGGACCTCGTCCACGTCGTACTTGGCGAGTGCCTGCTCGGGGGACAGCGGGAGCCCGGCCCAGACGACGTGCTCCGGGTCCACGGGGGGGATGAACAGTATCGACTTGTCGGTGGCCATGTCGTAGATGACGGCGCCGTCGGCAAGGTCGGCCGCGCCGGTGAGGTACATGAAGGCGCGGCGCTGGCGGAAGGGCACGGGCTCGTCGCAGTCCTCGAGGAGCCCGTCGGCGCGGCCCTCGACGTAGATGATGCCCGCACCGGCGCCTGCTGCCGTGCCAGGCGAGGAGAAGGCGTCGGCGTGGTTGGCCCGGATGTACTCGGCCACGCGCCGGGCGTGCGCCTTGGCGGGGTACTTTGAGCCGCCGAGGACGGCGTCGGCGTCAATGTCGACCTGCTGGACCTTGGGAGCAGCCATGGTGTGGTTTGTGAGTGCGGAAGCTGTCATGCAGAAAGCACGTGAGCTGCCAGGCCGCAAGAGAAAGGCGCCAGCGGAATAAACGGAGGAAGCGGCAGCCGGGGGAGCAGAGCGCAGCCTCAGGCGGTGCGGGGCAGGTCATGTAAGCGATGCGGGGCCTGCCGGAGAAGCGTGTGTTGCTGCAAGCCTGCTGGCTGTGGTGCTTGACAAGGACGGGCGTACGGGTAACAGGGGACCGGGGCCTAGAAGGCGCAATGGAAGAGCCTGTCGCGCAGCAGCAGCAGCAAATGGTAGCATTGGCTGTGTGGTGCAGGCTGGGCAGAGGCAGCTGGTCCGGTGAGGCCGGGCCCGGTCGTGGTGCGGAGGAGGATAATGCGACACACACACGGCTGGCAACGGCGTTGAAAAGCTGGCCGAGCGCGGGAGTGGGCAGGAGCCGGACAATACCGCCGTGACTGGCCGGCATGGGCCCTGGACAAAGTGTGTGGGCATCCTGCCAAGCTTGGAGGATGTTGCGGGGCCACCACGCTTCATGGTCCTTTCATGTCACGAGATGAGGACTAACATAAGTCAGATACAGTGTGTGTGTCTGTGTGGTTCAACTGCTGGTGGCAACGGCCAAGAACACGCGGAGCGCTCTGATTTCGCCATTAATAATTACAGATGCAACGTACTATGCACAGACCCGCCAACCTGCTTGCTAAATCGTGTTCCTGGTCAAACAAGTGAAGCCAACGCGCAACCTGCGTCGTGGGATAGAGCCTCGAGAAAGCAAAACGCCCAGAACGCCTCGCGTTATCCAAAATGGTTCCCTGTTGTCTTAGAAAGAAAAATGCACACAGCTAAGACCATTCCCTTCGCTGTCGGGACGAGAAGTGAGGAGAAGTGAAACAAAGAAGATGAGTGTGGCGTTTGTGTTGCTCGCTTTGAGTGTGCAACCTGGAACAGCGAGTCGGCTTGCTCTGCAAGCGTGCCATGCTACGCTCTCCACAGTACTGTGGCGTTCCTCCGCGTGAATACCCATGTACTTCTCTCAGCCGCGCCCCTCTCTGGCACGTTGTCACGAGCGTCCTTGATGATTACCTGTGTCCCGTGAATGACCGCCACCATAAAGTGTACTGCATCACCCAGCCACAGACTCGGCCGTGATCTTCCGCCGATGCGTCAGCTTGATTGCAGACAATGGCCCCTGCAGCCCGCCGACGCCGCCACCCGACGACGGCTTATTGTCCTTGAGCGACTCCCAGTGCTTGCGGAGCACCTCTTCCGTCACCATGAGTTCGAAGCCGGCGAGGAAGCAGAAGTTGATCTCTAGCCGCCCCAGCTCGACCTCGCTCACGCCACCGACCCGCGAGAACTTGGCGTGCGGGTAGCTCAGGTCCTCGAGCGCCTTCATCGCCACCCGCAGACCCGCCAGCAGCAGGCGGTGGCAGTTGCGGCCGGTGACTGCGATCGCGCGTTCCTCCACCGCCAGCCGGAAGATGTAGTATGACGTGGCCAGGTAGACAGCTGTCGACATGGGGCAGTAGTGGTGTATCCGTGCCAGGTAGTCGGAGACGCTGATGGGCGGGGGCTTCTTGCTGTAGAACTTGCGCGTAATGGCACTGTGCTGCAAATTGAGTGGCTGCGAGTTGGCGCCTATCACTATGTACGGCTCGATGGAATCTGTCGACGGCGGAGGAGTCGGCGAGGCTCGCAAGTGGACTCCATCGATGGGCGGTGCCGGCTGCGTGGCCTGGTCGAAGAAGCCGCCCGTGCTGCGCGTCCTGTCGTCCGCCTTGGCCTCTTCGGCCACCCGTGAAAGGTCCTGGTTGGAATGAGACCGCACAATGGCAGCCTTTTCTCTGGCCATGCCGCTCATGTGTGGCACGGGGGGGCTTGACAGCGGCGGCGTAGGGGGGATGTCGCCGGTGACATTGACGAGAGCCTCGACAGCAGCGCTGAGCAGACGAAGAGCAGCGAGGGGCGTGACGTGGAAGAGGTCCTCGGGCAAGGTCGTCGGGGTGCGGAAGTGCAGCGGCGGCGGCGTGCGGGCCTGGGACTCGAGCTTTGGGTCTGCCGAGGGATTGGGCTTTGGCGGCGGCGTCTTGGGGGTGACGGTGTTTGTGTGGGCGTCGGCGGGCTCAGCATGGTGCTGAGCGTCGCCCTCTTGACTCATGACTGGCTATAGGTCTGACGTGCCGAGGCAGTTTCTGCTTGACTTGTTGCAGCGTCGAAGATTGAATGGGGGAGGCCGAAAATACTGGAGCGATAGGGATATCGTCGTGATGTTGCTTATCGGACGGGAGGGTTGTTTTGCTGACCTGGGGGGCCTGGCCACGGCTGTATCCACCCACAGAGTCGGCGCTGTGGGGAAGGCGAATGCTGGGAGAGACGAGGATTGGAATCCAGGGAGTCTGAAGGATTCTTGTCGGTGCGGTCTTGTTCGCGGAATGCCTGTGGTGGAAAGGAGAGGCGACGGCAGAGACGCAGGCTGGTGGGAGAGACTGTGAGGGCGCGCAGGTCAGGCAGGCGTATAGTCTAAGGATCATGCGACCAGGAAAATGGGCGATGGTTGGGCCGAGGCGGGCCCTGGCGAGGCGGCAGCTCGAGGTGGGGGCAGCGGCAATTGGAGAAGGGCGGGCGTGCCGTCTACGTCTGGGTGGGCTGCGCGGCTATCATGGTGTGCAGCGTTGGGGTTGGACGTCAAGTCGCTCGCACAGGCGGCAGAGGACGAAATGGTGCCGATGCTGAATGATCGAGGGTGAGAGGAGACAAAGAGGAGATGAAGAGAAGAGAGTCAGAGAAGATGGGGAGGACATGAGACTGAATGGCCCCTCACGCGGCAAAGGCCTCGCTCGCATCGACATGTGCCAGCCGCAGAACCCTACGTGCCGCAAGTAAGTACCTTAAGTACTACACATGCAAGTACACAGGCTGGGCTGGGCTGTCGGCCCGCCGGCGTGGGCGCGCAGCGGGGAAATGGAAGCCCCAGGGAAGCTGCGACCCGCCCGCTTCCCAGGCCCGCCGTGGCTGCCTCTTTTGTGGGACACACAGACGTCTGAACGGACAACGACCGACTTACACGCAGGGCATCGGCCCATGCATGTTTCTCTCCAGGAAGCATCTCCATCGCCTCGCGTGCCTGCTGCGAGGGACTGTCTTCGTTGGGCATCTTGCATTTCCAATAAACACTGCAGCAGCACCAGCAACACCAGCACCATCTTCCGCCTCTGTCGCCACATTCCTTGTCTGCCTGCATGGACAGGGTGGTCGCAGCCCGGGGTCGCTTCCGTCGCCTCCGCCTCCAATCGTCTGCTCCGAATCGCAATGTCCGCCACCGGCCCGGGCTGGACCCTCAATCTGTCTGTCAGTTTGTTCCCAGGCAAAAATCACAAAAGCCATGCATGCTGTACTGCCCTGCTTGACACTCGCTCAATATCAAGCAGCATTGCCATTGGCTGTCTCAGACCACGCCCATGCTGCTCATATTCGCAAATTCCTCAGCGGCAATCGGACTGATAAGCACTCTACAAAGGCCCTGATGCGGAAGGAGCCGTGTCTCTGGAGCTCCCAGCCGTGTCTCAGCACGTCATTCCATGTGTTCGTGGAAACACTATTGTCAACCGCTCGCGCGGTGGTCCTACTGGCGCATTGTCGACACATCGGTTCCCTAGACCGCTCTGTTACGCAAGTACTCCTTGACCTCGGTTCTACCAGCGTGCGGTCAATGGAACTTGTGCGATTAATCGCTCAGGTTGCACGCGCCAGACCACACCGGCGGTAGAGCTTTTGTCTCAACCTTCCACGCGATGGAGGGCTGCGTCAAGACGAGTGACACGTCTCGGTCCCGGTCTGCCTTTTTTGGCGTGAATCCACAGCTATCTCGAGTCCGCGTTGTAACTTGTGGCTGCTAATCACCAATCTCGAGGGCAATGATAATTCGGTCGCATCGCTCTGCTCAGTCCTGTACACATACAGGCCAAGTTTGCAAAATTGACGGGAACGCGAACAAGTGAAGAACATGAAAGCGCAGGGATTCAATATGTTTTCTCGTGGTTGCCGCGATTGCATCACCAACGCGCGCGAACCATGCTTCACTTCCGGCCATCATTTGCGAGGAGCAGCTTCGACTTCGGGAGCTTGACCGCTCCAGACAAAAACTCCCTTCTCCGAACAGTTCAGTCACATTGCACTGTTGCTCTTGCTAGAGCTACAGCCATCCTCGGATGGAAACAGAAAGGCGCTTCCCCCTTCGAAAGACTGCTTAGACATAGTCAAACGACTGCCAATCGGCACCCAAGTCTACCTTCTCGCGCTCATTGCCCTGTTGATACTTTGTTCGTCTTTATTCAAGTATGCTTGTCCTAGGGCGCCCCAACGCCGAGGTCTCTGCAAGTCAGCTCCTCCGCTATGGATACTACTTGACCTTGGACAACTAAACTTGGCATGGCTGCTGTAAGTAGGGGCCACGAAATGCCAACGGAGGTCCAACAACTCAGCTCAAGCACATCACGTTGTATTCAGATCCCGCAGGATATGGCAAGTCATCCAGGCGAGATCCAAGGCCAGGCGGTTCAGCAGCTCGGACACCCCCCCCCCCAGACCAGACTACCGTGCCAGCCACTCCAACGAGTACTACGAGAACACAAAAAGAAAGGGGGAAATAAAAGGATTGTTCCCCGAGGATTTCTAAGCATCCACTACCACACAACATCAAGTCAGTCCCCAAGACACCACACTTAATCAGCCTGCCAACCTTGTAAGCCCTACTTCACAAAGCCTCGTGTGAGGGCCGACACGCGATCAAGCCAGTCTACCGAGATATAACGCCCTCGCAGTCCAAGTAGTCACCGGCCGGTACGAAGATATCTCGACTACGAAGCTCGTGTTCGAGGAAGCTTCCTTCCCCACTTAGCGACCGATAGGCCCGCTGCTGCGCACCATGACATAACGATGGGTTCCTCTCAGAACAAGAATCCACGGGGGCTGACATCTGGGAACACATTCAGCCAGGAGATAGATTACCCCAAAGCAGATGAAGGATCGGACGGCCCTTCTCGTGCGGACTCAGAATCTTGTACTTGCTCAGCCGCTCCCTTGGGAAGCATCCCATTTGTCTGCCCTCAAGTCGAGCGTTGCAAAAGTAATACAAAGCGCCTCTCTCTTTTCTCCGGATTTTAAACCACTGTTGCAAGGGACCACTCTTGACAACAAAGAAAGTAGAACAAGCATATCGATTTGTCCCGAGACGTTTGTACTGCCGTAGTCAGGGTAAGAAAGTGGTCGCGAGTAAGCAAACAGCCACAGGCAGCAGCCAGAGCAACTTGACACTGAAGAAAATGCAACCGTGTATTGAAAGCACGTGGCTAGATGCATGAAAAGTTGTCCGGAGAAGCGTGCGGTACATGTATCAGCCGCAGCGTCTAAAGGTCTTCTCGTCATTCATCTGGAACCTGGCAGCGGGTGGGAAAAGCGAAAAGGGTGGGCTTCGTCCCGAGTTCTTCCTTCTCACATGGGAAAACGTGGGCGGTCCAGCAAACACATGTATGTCATGCCGTCAGGAGGCGAGATTCTTCCGGGCCGCGGCATATGCGAGTCTTTTCGACGACCTTTTAGCTCCTCGCCGAAAAGAAACGGATGCACAACGGAAACACGTCTCACGAAGATTGTCCAACGCGCCCTCGGTCTTTAGCCATATATAAAGTGTCTTCCATCCTGTCCTATCCCTCTGCCGCTTCTGTCAGCTTCAGGGTCCCCTAGTGACCCCCCGTCCATGCTAGAAGACTAAAAGTCATCCCCTCCAGCAGCAACTTGGCTCCGTACCAAAGCAAGGTGCAGAGAGCAAACGGCACACCAGAAGGAAATATTTTGAAACCCCCAAAAAGCGCGGGACACAAACAGAAATCGTCGCTGGAAGCCCATTACGGGGCAGGGGATGATATTCCCAGACCTCAGGCCCGAGCACTCGCCTCTCACCCCCAAGTCCTTTTCCGTCCTTCTGTTACTGTTGTGTAACAAGGTGCAAACGATTGTCGACAACACTAGGCTGAGAAGAACAAAACACGAAAACAGCCACCGATACCATCCGATGCCTCCTCCAGCTTTGCCGAGCAGCCGTCGGTCGTCAAAAAATCAAACACCTCATCTAGATCGTCGCTTTGGCTCCGGCCAAGGATAGGCAAGGATGCTGCCCCAAAGATCCGTCCGTGCTCAGCGTCTCTTGTTGATCGAATGCGTCGACATTTTCACAAAAGCAATCAAAGTCCTCACCCAACTCATCGAAATTCGTCATTTGACAAAGCTTGTTTTGAACTATAGAATGCTATCTCATGCCGCTCTTTTGGTTCTGCTTCTCTACTTTGTCTTACACCACACAACGCTCTAGCACGACTCCTTGTAGCTCGCCGAGTCCAAACCGATGTACCGCAACACTTCCTGTTGTTGATCAATTTCGGTACGGTCCAATCGATGTTGTGCCATTGCCTTTTGCTGATGCCTCGCCCGCCTTGTGAAATCAAATTATGCATTATACAGCCCGAAAAAAACATCGGTAAACTCCTAGGTCCGGTCATACGTGACCGGATCGTGCCATGATGAGTGGTATTGGTGTTGTCTGAAAAGTGAGACTCTGTTGGTTCTCACGAGCCCGATGCTGCGAGGTTGAAAAAATGCCACGAACGCCGTACAGTCCGCTTTTCGTGTATGCGGAAGGTATCATGGTCCACCCGAAGGAATTCCAAATCCGAAACGCCAAGGCCAAAATACAAGAGCGATGACCGCTGTAAGCAAATAGAGCAAAAGGTTTGCTGACTTTTGTGTCACGCAGGAGCAGAACTACCATTTCTCATGGTAAAGCCTCAGAGACCTGCGAAAGACTGGTTGAGTAGTTGGTCGACACTGTGTCTGACCAGATTGTTCTCCTCTGATACCGCCCCACTGAATCGCGTCAGTCGAGTCAACCCCGAATTGCTGGAGAACTGTGCGCGTCCGCAGTGAACGGAAACCGCACATTGATTGTTGGATTCTGGAACGGTGGTGCGGTACCGTTCATCTCCGCTGGATAGCTCGTCACGGCTCCTGGAAGTCCAGCCTTCGGAGTCGTGGAAGACGCGGGGCTCATCGATGGAGAGTTGAACGGCGAATCCGCAGGTGAAGCGCCAATCGCAACCATGTGAGCATTCTGGAAGTACGGGTTCAAGTTGTGGCGGAGGGTGTGGTGCACCGCACCTCGGTGAACTGCGCCAGACATGTCGGGGCTGCCGTTCGAGCTCGACACAGTGCTATTGGTTGAATGCGTGAGCGCGTCATCTGCCCCATCGAAGCGGCCGCCCTTCAAGGTCCCGTCCAGAATCTGGGGGCTTGCTTGCTTCGAGCCGTTGAACTAAATTTCATAAAAACGCATCAGTCACTGGCCGAGCGGGAAGCCTGGGGTGGTGGTGTGGTGTGGCGAACGTACGAAGCAGTATTTGTTGAGGATCTCCTCATACGATGATGAGGCGATGCTGGCAGCAGCGGGAGAGTCGGAGCCCGAGACCATGGTGACTGGACTAGCTACCAAGGGTGCCGTAGAGACCAACGGCTTGGGCTCAACGAAGTCCTTTACGACTGGTGCAGTCGGAGCCTTGACCTCAAATGAAGCAGTCTTCTTATGGCTCTTCATGTAGAGATGGCCGTCATTGCGAGTATCCTTGTGGGACTTGATAGCCGCAGTCAGTGAAGCTCCAAAGTCGTACCGGTGGCCAAATGCCTGACCGCTCGGTGTAGACAGGCGACCCGACAGATTGTCGCTGGGCAGCGTCGAAGCAGACTTGGACGTCTTGAGACGAAGGGGTTGTGACTCTCCGAGAAACTCATGAATTGGCTGGTCATAGTTGACCTGGCTGTCAAAGTCGTCCAGAGCGCCGACGGGCATAGACTTGGGGCGCGGCGCCGCAGATGCGTTGCTGCGTCGGTTGCTGCGAGGCAACGAGTTGGCAGGCCTAGCTGATGCTCCTTGGAAGTTGCGCTTGCCATTTTGCGGGAGAGCCTTCTTCCGGAAGTCAACTTGGAAGTTGACATTATTGTTGTTATCCCAGTGTTCTTGCCCGTTCACAATGTAACGGACACAGAAGTAGAGTGTCTTGGACTCAAGGTTGGCCATGTCGGACAGCTTGATAGCAAACTGGAAACGGTCATAGCCACTCTCGGTCTCCCGCGGGCGAATCTCGTGACTATACTCAGCCGCAACTTCTGACGTGGTCTTCCAGTAGTCGAAGGTGAACCGGCAATGCACCGTCTTCTGGAACGCCAGATTTGCAACAATAATAGAACCAAGGAGCGACTTCTGATCTGGAGACATCCATACACGCTCAAGACGAACAGGCATGACCTTACGTATCGGAGTCTCGGCAGGGAAGTTGTTGACGAGGAGCTCCCATTCTGATGGAGGAGTGCGGGTGGATGAGGCGTCACGGAAGGGATACTCGGTGTCGCTTTCGTAATTGTCATTGGGGGATGAGCCAGCGCTGACGGCAAGCGGACGGTCGACTTGAAGGAAGTGGCGGACGTGTTCAAGATGCGAATCGAAATGAACAGCCTTCGAGTATGTTGGAGTACCAGGCATGCTAGAAGGGCGGCGGAGCGACGCAGGTCGCAAGGCAGGGCGGACTAGCTCACCAGACTTCTTGCGCACCATTGCGGGCTTCTGAAGGGGTTCGTCCTGCTCTGAATTGTCTTCGGACAAAGAGACAGCCGACTCGTCCGGCTTCGCAATGACAATATGGGGCTCCGTTATGGACCGCGTGTGTGAGATTCTGCGAGGGTTTGTGTCAAGGCTAGGCAGCACGGTTGTCGGGCCGTTCTTGGACCCGTGAATGAGTTCTCGAGCCTGCGAAGGGAGGACAAGAAGATCACCAGGAAGCGCCCGGGTTGGTGAACCCTCCCTGTGCTGAGGTATCGCGCTGATGGCATCCTGTAGTTCCTTGAGGTTCTCAATCTGCCTGCCACGTAGTTCCACCTCGGTGTGACCTTCATCTTCACTAGACGATTCCGGAGGGGAGATGAGGGCCCCTGGCGGCATAGTTCGCGCATCAGCAACCGGCGCCGGAGATTGTCTGATGGGAGAAGTGTGAGCGACTAGCATACCCTTCAGATCATCCGACGTTCCTGGAGGGGTGATCTCCTGGGTCACGGCGGTCGTGGCGGTGGCGGGTCCTTGGCTCGGCTGCTGAAACGAAGGCGTACGTCTGTGCCGCGCGATGTATGAAGCCGACCGTGGCAGCGCCGGCCGCGAGGCGCTGGCATCTACACCCGCGGGCATTTGCACGATGGAGGATCGGCGGCTGGCATTGGGACTGGATGGTGCCGAGGAAGACGGCGACCGGTGGGATGGCGGCGTGTAAGGCATGCCCAGAGTCCGAGAGGGCCGCTTGAAAGAAGGGGCCGGAGGGTGGACGTGGATGAGATGACCGTCTGACGACAGCAGGTGTGTGAAGCTGCTGGGTCGAGGTGTAGAGGCTCGAGGGTGAGGCCAGCAAATCAACCGCTTCCAGTAGCTCACCCAAAAGTCGGCTCCAGGACTAGGAGGATCAACACTGGCAGCAGGAGCGACAGTGTCGAAAAGGCCTGGGAGAAAGGTGTAGTACGTCAGCATTGTCTGAAGTGGCGCAGCTTTCCATGATATATATGGATGAGTGTAGCAAAGGTAATTGTTGCCTTGCCGCAGATGGCTCAAACGTCACTGACTCGGAACCGTGCAACCAAGATTCGTCCCCAGTCTCGCCCGGCTCCGAATGCTGAAAAGGGAAATGATGCAGTACCGGGGAAACTTTGGGCATTTATAATATAGGATGCATTGGGAAGTGCGTGGTCAACCAAGGGCGTTGGAATGTTGGCCGATCCGGGGGAACGACCAAGACATTCCGCAGCGCTGTGCGGGCGAGCGCCGTCTAGGCACTCAACAGCGCCTGGTCAGGAATGAAGATTGCGCATGGCTCTCCGTCTCACACATTCCCATCCCACGCGAGGATCTGAGCCCTTAGACATCGTGCACGGAAGCACCTAAGATGTGCGACCGCGCATATCCAAGCACTAGGATCGTGGAGGATGCAACCAGTACACTCGAACCGGCGCAATGCGTTTGTGCCTGCTGGAATGTACCAACAGGAATCTGGATGATGACAGAGCAAGAACAGTGCGTCCTGTGGAACAACTTACCGGTTTAATGGCTCGCTGAGCTCTGCAGAACCGTACCGGACAAGGTCGAGCGTGGACAGGTGCACTGGCAATATTCCAGCGGCAGTGCAGGTCCAAAGTCTCGAGAGTCCCGCCGTGTCGAAGCTGACGCACAATGATAATAAAAAAGCTCAAAGGTGGTGGTGAAAGGAACCGCGGTAGGGATCTTAAGAAGACGGAGGTCTCGGACCTTTGCTGAGGATATGGCGTCGGCGTAGGAGGTGGGCGAGGCAACTCTATGGGGCGAAGCGCGCAGATGGCGGAACCTTAAAAGGTAAGGAGGCGCCTGGAGCCAGTTGGACGAGCCAATTTGCAACCTGCCAGCAAAGTCAGGCGCAGTTTTGCGTTTGGCTTTACGAATCCCTTATTAGCCTCTCGACTGGTGTTGTCTTGGACCAAAGAGTCTCTGCTGACTCGATCTCCCAGGGAGATTTCGACAGTGGAAACAGGTCCTTTCCAAATATTGAACGTCGACGCGTACCTCGAAGATGGGTGGCGAGAGACGCAGGCTGCTGAGCGAGGCGGCTGGGTCTGGAACCGATGTCGTCTCTGCGTGGTAACGCGTACCAGAGCTGTGCTCAGAAAGGGCCGCTGAGAAGAACCGGGGCGCGGAAGCCTCGGGGTCTGGGCAGGCGAGAAGGGGCAGCGGGAGGCAGGATGGCGAAGAGACTTCAGCCGTGGTGATCGTTAATCGGCGCCGTGACTGGACCCGGTGATGGAAAGGCCGGCGGAGAGGATCGAGGTCGGCGGTGCTCTTGAGGGCGGAGGAGGAGACGGCCAGGAGTGAAGCTGAGTCGGCTGGGGGGCTCTGGTGAGATTATCTACCAGCAGTGGCGGCACAGACAGCGACAGCGGCAGCGAGCAAGTGGGCGGCGGCCGGGGGGGGGGAGAGCACGGATGGGTGGGAGGGTGGTGCGTGGGTGCGAGAGTGGAAGAGAAGGGGGTGGGCGGATGCGAGAGTGTCGAGTGCGAGATACTGTGCCGCCGCGACTCTGCGACACAGCGGCCTCGCGTTCTTCCCAGGCAGGCAGGCATCTCACTAGCGGCCATTGCTAAGCTGCCTGGGGGCGGATCCCTCGCGTGCAGCAATCATCAACACCACCACCACCAGCTCTGTCTTGTCGTCCTTGCTCCCACCTCACCACATCTCCATCTTGCCAATCTGCGTGCCGCCCATCCTGCTGCGAGCAAGCCATTGCATCTGCCGCCGACAATACAACGTCCGTCGAAATGGCACAGTGCCCCGGCGCATAAACAAGAAGCTGGGGGTGTGCCGGCGCCGTCGTCCCACGACCACCCACGCCTGCTCGCTCACTTGCTCGCTGCTGCACACACGTCCACACCACTCAGCGCGCAGCAATGTACACGCCCCCCACCCCGTCCCCCATGCCACCTCTTCCTTGCCAGACCCCCCTCCCCAGCAGCGCCGGTCAACTCCCCCGATCGATCGCCGGCGACGACTGAAGTTTTTTTCTGCGCTCACCTCCGGATGCCGACGTCGACTCCTGGACGGCTCTCCCTCAGCCAAGGCCCCGCTACCGCTTCCGCTAGGTGCCTCCCTGAAGCACCTTACGCCAGGCCATCCCAGCACGGCTCAAGCCCCGTGGCTGTCCATCGTCGCAGCCGCCACGCTAGCTCTTGCTCTTGGTAACGCAGCGTTGCTGACTGTGGCCCATTGGTCCCACGGTTTCTCGGTCTGGCCCAGTACCCCGTCAGGATCCATTCTCTGCGGACTTGCCTTGCAGTGCCCATGGGGTCCTCCTCCTACTGCTTGCTGCTACGCAGGCATGCTCCGCCCTATTCGGTCTCCATCATGATCCAGCACAGACGACGTCTCCCTTCCTGGCCCGGCATGGCTGGTGTCCGTCTTCTCATCAAGGGGCCGTGGGTTGTGCCGCACAACTCCCACCCACGCACCTGTAACGATGCCAGTCAATATCGGTGAGGACGTGCCAGGCACGGTGCTGGGCGGCTGGCACAGTGTGTGGAATCTGCCCAGAGAGCACTTCAGCCACCATGTACCACGGCCTGCAAGATGGCGCGCCCCGGGAGGCATACCCCCGTACTCGACGCCTCTTGGCATGAGCACCGGTCGAGGCCTAGGGCCAGGGCCCCTGGTCGTTGTGGCTCCAGAGCAGCCAACGCCATTCTGAGGACGAAGATGGGCCAAAACACCAGGAGTGGTTAGTAGTCAGCATGCCTTCTCCCCTCATATTCAACCTGCGCCCTCTGCTTCTTTCCATTGGTCGCTTTGGCACTAGACCCCGCGTTTACGGAATTCGGGGCTTCGCTCAAGTCAATAAAATGCGAAAACGAATTGGCCAACTTTTCGTGGACAGACATATTCTCAGACATGCACTTACACGACTCAGGAAGCGGACTTTGTGATAACAGGCTGACATGATTTGGTTGCAAAGAGGCCGACTTGATACAGGCTGTATTCTGGCGACGTTCCTTTGGAGCAAGACATGCCATTCATCCTGTCCAGGCGCGGGACTGCGCATTGTCGACGTCAGGCAATTTTAATTGAATCGCCGGCCATCGAAACAGACCTGGCCGGGCAATTTCATTTCGATGCTCGCTGACCCTCGACACGATCATGGCTACGCACGTCCCAGGTCGGAAAGCCGGGTTGCGGACATTCTTGTCAGTGGACCAACCATGGCTCAATTAGTGGCACGGTTTGTCTTGGAACAAGCGCAACCGCAACCATCGTCGATGACGTCGTTGTGAGCACCAGCCCCGTCCCACCCGCCAATCGTCAAGCACCTTCCCACCCGCCACCAGGGAATCCAGATTACGCCGCCAACAGCAGTTTCACACAAGCCACAACTGGGGAAGAAACCAGCCTACCCTTCCTCGTCCAGGCCGACATACCCGAGTAAGACTGTTCTTGGTCACTCGGCCCCGCTAATCATGATTGACTGTGGCTTGAGTGCTCACCGCAGGATGAGTCTCGTCTGCAACGTCCGCCATCAATTCCTGGCAGTTGTCGCCCGGCCATGATTTGCTGCCCGGAGCGAACCTTGTCCAGGCCATTTGAACCTATCGGGATACAATGTTCCAAGTTTCCAGCCTTGCCGCCGATGCAATGCTTCACCCTCACCAGGCGGGTTGCCTCTCACCATGCGGGTTGATGCGCGTGATGGACAAGCAGCTCATGGGTCGGTTCGGGCTGTAAGATTTGCGACGCTAGTGCCACTCACGAATGCCCGTCCTTGAAATAATGAAAGAGAGCGATATCTCCGATTGTCTATCTCCCGTCGACTAGGCTGTGCTAGGACATGCCAACAGGTGCAGCCATCCCAGATTTCGTCCGACTCAACACAATATTACCGTCTTGCGGATGGCCTGGCCGATCCCGCAAACTCTGCTGCGGCCGTGGCAGACTAGAGAGCCACGAACTCTACACTGGGACTGCAGCAGGAACCCGTCCTTGACAAGAGCGACAATGCAAAGCCACGCTTGCAGATTCATAGCTATATTTGAGCCTTCTGCGAAGCCGATAAGGGCTCTGAAGGAAACACCCTCGGACACTGCTCACTATGTTTTAGGCACAAGCCCTCAGGAAACCACCATCAGCTTCCTCCTCTACGACCACTCGTCCTTGAAATGGGGAGATCATGGACGCGCTGGAGAGTTTAGAGCCGACTGCCCAACGCCTATCTGGTTAGAAGCTGCCCCTCCCATCGCACTAGACTGATCAAGCTGGCGTGAGCAGGCGTATGGCACAGTATGGACATGCCACTCAACACTTTGCTCTCCCAGGTTTCCCACTCGCGCAGCCTTGCTAGGGTGGGCACTCTGCCCTCTGTCGTCTGGCCTTCGTACTATGGTACGAGGACTGAGGGCTGAGGTGCAGCCGCGACCTCACAACACGTATGCATGGTACTTCGGAGTCCTGCAGGTGTAAACCTTCTCCTCGCCCCGTTGGGCTTGGGGCCGGGGGATTTGGCACTGCCCTCATTGCCACTCAACCACCACACACGGCCAGGTGCGATGAAACGAGCCGAGTACTCCGCACAAACTCCACACAATTTTCAAGTGTGCTACTCGGCTGTTCCCCATGGGCGAAAGCATCTCATGCAGACTCCTTCCCCATACATGCAATGTCGTTACGCTTCGGCCCAATGCCTCAGGAGCCGCAGCTAGGTATCAAACCTACCCCATTCC